TCACACCCGCTCCTTTGGATACCATCACGAAGGAGGACATCAAACGCAAATCGAGCAACTTAGAAGAAGCCCTCAACGAATTAGAAGCCATCTACAACAGCTTAAAACTAGGCGACGAAGATCTACTCGACAGGGCCGAACAGAAAGAACAGGAAGCTCTAACCAAAAAACTCGAATCCTCCAACACCTACCCAATCGGCGTCGCGAAAGGCGCCCTCAGCGATTCGAGCTACAGCTACGAACCGTTCGATACCGTAGACTCGCCCAGGCGCAAACGGTTCTCCAAAAAAACCCACGACCTCAAGCTCGACGACATGGCGTTCAGGAAAATCCACCAAAACCGATCGAACACCATCGGCGATCCCCAATCGATCGTCTCGCACATCAGCTACCTCACCAGATCGCCTGTCTTCAGCAGAAACCACCAGAAGAGCCACTCCAACGAACCAGACGTTACCTTCGACGATGTGGTGTACAGAAACGTGAAGCACTCGAATAGTTTGTTGAAAGTAGCGGAGCCCCAACCGCCGTTCGGGATACCATTGGGGCCCATTTCTCCTGGTGCTAATAGCGATTACCTCCACGCCAAGCCGGAGCTGCTCTACCAGCCGGTGTACAAGCGCAAGAAAATCCCCGACATCGTCAAAGACGATCTGGCGTTTCGCAATCTGCGCAAGGACTCCAACAAAGGTCCAGCTTTGCCTTCCAACGAGAATTCCTCGAGAGAGGAGATGTCGAGGTATTCGAATTCGAAGAAGAAGCGAGCGCAGCGATCGATGTCGGCGAACATCGGCAACATCCTCGATTCGAGCGAGATCCACGTGGATAATCGATTTAAAACGCTGACTGATATCGCCGATGCGATGGAGATCGCCCGAAGGGTGTTGAAGGAGAAGGATGATAAAATCGCGATGACGAAGAAGGCATTCATGAGCGACACAGACGCTTCCTACGGCAGCGCTAAAGAGAGACTGAACTTTTTGAACGAACTCAGAGGTAAACCCACCCTGTTGGGCGATAGTTTGGCTTGCAAACCGCCTAGAGGTTTAACGCCCGAACGTCGGAGGTCTCCCAAGGAGTCTACACCGATACCCGTGTCGCCTTTGGAGGATCGAAGGTGCGAGTCTACGCATTCCTCCTTGGATGAACTATTAAACGCTTTGGCTGAGGAAGCTAAAGAAACTTCCGAACGCATTACGAAGGAATTGCAAGAACTCAGCGAGGATAAAGAGAATGTGTTCGACAAGCAATCGGTGAGCAGGAGGTTGATCGAAATCGATTTAGTGGCTGAAAAAGCGAGGTTGCTTGAGAACGTCGTCGATAGTACTCCTCTCATAACAGCATTGAATAATTGCACTGAAGAGGAAGCTAGAAGTATCAACGATGAGGCGCCTTCGGCGGAATCCGCCACGATAGTGATGTCGAGGTTCGAAGACTCCGAGCACGATTACGAAAACGTCGACGAAGATCGTTGTCTGTCGCCGTTCGAAGAACGCAAGGCCGAGCTGGTGGCCACATTTCAAGAACTCAAAGCCGATGAAGATGCAGGTGCAGGTGAGGCGGAAGAGTGTGACAGTGTTTTAGACGTTGTAGCTTACACGCCCGGCGCTTTTCCTCTATCACTAGATACTAACACTGTAGCGTCGAAGCGGTCGCATTTCCCCGACGATTCCGAGGTGAGTTCGGGTTTCCACTCGTGCGGTGAGAGTTCGCATTCGCACGATAAAACGAACAATCTCGATTCGATGGAGAGCTTGAAATCGCCGAAGTTGGTGTTGGAGACGAGGTTGTATCGAGCCGAGGAGGAGATGCCGGAGAGCTCGAGGTTGGTCATGCGATTGGAGGATGTCGGGAGAAGGAATCCTGATCCTGATGGGAAAGTGAGGGAGTTCTCGACTTGGTGTCGAGATCCTGCGACTGTGGCGTTTGCATGTTCCTACGGTATAGCATGCGCTCATCAATTGGCTGATGTCGATTTGTTCGCTGTTTTGAGCATTCTGTTTGCTGTGTTGTCTTTCGTAGCGGCTTTGTTTCTCGATTGATGGTTGATCGAATCCGTGGTGATTTTGTGTTAATAAAATTTGCTTGTTTTTGGTTTTCTTTGCGTAACTAATTCGATTAACATTGTGAAGGAGACACACTGAGATTTGTTTTTTAAATGCAGGGTGTTGCAATGTACTTATTTTAATGGGTAATTCTTGAGTTAATTTTGAGTTCAAAATTAAAAATACAATCCTGTAGGTATATAGAAAACCGAGCTTCTTAGGACATACCTTTATATGAACTTTTCGACTCAACATTAGCCCAAGAATCGCCCGTTAGGATAAGTACTTTGCATTAATTAACACCCTGTGTACACAACGAAATTGGTTACCTTACTTTTGACATATTTGTACTATAACTAAGTTAATTTTATATGCCAAAAAATAGTTATTAGTTTCATCCAGTTTGTAGAGTAATTATTTATCGTTTGAATAAAGCGTAATATTTTGTTTATCATTAATTAATAAATTTTTATTTGTTGGTTGATAAAAATAGAGAATTTCTCCTATTACAATCGATAATAAGTAGATAAATAACGAGGCAGAGAACGTTGAAAATTAAATTTAAAATTTGTGTTTCTCGGTGTAATAATTATACATGCGTTTTAATTATCATCAATCACTCGTCATGTGTAAAAAAGCTATGCAAGTATTCGCTAAATGCACGTCATGCAAAAATATAATTTGTATACAGCACGTATCGAAATTAACAATAATGCTCTGCATTCGATTATTAGAATGGGTCGAGTTTGTTTTCCATTGCAAAGTTCAATTGCGATTATAATTTCTTTCCATTCATATTTACATGCAATTTTTCGAGGTTCATCTTCTAAAATATGCGCAAAATTTTCTCAAAAACTAGTTACAATTTCGTTCATATTATGTTACTTCTTTGGATCCATTTTTTAACCAATTTCTTAAACTAAAAATACAGTAATTATCTACTCCTACTCCTAGAATCTAAGATTCTACTCCTTTAGAAGGCTGCTTAAAAATCGAAGTAAACAGGCTTTTATATCAGACAAAATCCCTCTTCTTAAAAATATTTAAACTCCTAAACGAACTAATTCATTCTAATCTCGTTTGCTGGGTTTCGTTGAATTATTTTGTAAAGTGATACCGAGCGTTTTATTGTAGGTAATCGATAAGTAGACGTCGACTTTCCATCGAACTCTCTGCTCTACTTTGCGCGCCCGCCTTTAAACGACAGGTAAAAACTTCCGAATTGTGAAGGTGGTGACCATATTGCAAAAGTAATAAAAATAATTCTGATTATTTTTTTATTGCATTTCCTCGACGAGTTATTCTTCTACTAACTAGAGTTAGTAGAGCAACGTGGTCATTATCACCTGAATTTGTTACGATAAACTTTTCGAATTTTAACGTTAATTAATAAAATGCACCAGTGCCAATGATATTTTTATTGTTATTATTATTTTTATTATTAATAGGCTAAACTGCCATTTTTTTTGTACGAAAATTTCTGGCTGTACGAAATGTAAGAATATATTTTTTATTATCGATGCGTGTGTGTAATTAAAAGACTACTTACCTGTTGAAATTCTGTTTTATTTTAATAAATAAAGTATTATTGTTCGATGCGATGTTTTAATCATTTAATCGACTTTAAGATGCAAGTGCAAAATGCAAACGTATTGTAAAAAATCAATTTCTTTGACCTCATTCAATAAATATCGCGATTTCTGCGCACATTTGTGTATCCTAACGAGCTAATAATTAATAAATTTCTTTGCGTTTAACATGACAATATGGAGTGCTTCATTAATAATTAGCGGCTAATCGAAAAGGTCAAAAGTGATTGCTCATTCGATATATATACAGGGTGTGTACATTATTTCAATACAAACATTTCATGCGAAATCGGTAACGTAATCTGTTGTTGCCGAAATCCAGTCAGTATCATTCTATTATTATTTTTTGATAAGAGTGACAAAAGATAATCTAGATCAAATGGTACCCACAATAAAATTATCCCGTTTCCGCGCGATAAAACACATTTGCATCGAGCGTTTCGACAAAACCAACAAAATAAATGCAGTCGGGTCGGGTTCGGTGGAAATCCGCTTTTATTATCCGAACGTTTTATCGTTTCTATTTGCGGTATTCGGTATTTTTTTTATATACATTCGTACGTGTGCGACTTTCGTCCTCCACTCTCCTTACTAATAATCGAGCGTGAATCAGTCGCTCGATCGTAAATAGCCTTGTTTTCGGTTCCTTCGCGTCGAGCGAGGCATCACCATCGGCCCCAGTGAGACTCAGCTGTCCAGTTTAAGCGGTTTTAAACGGACTAGTTTAGTGAAGATTCGCTTGTCGTTGGTGTCGAATGGAAAACCGTTTTGTAGAAAGCCGAATAAATGCAATGGGTTTTTTTTCCCGAGTGCGATCGCGTCACGGTTTGATATTTTTGTAGCGACAGGTAACAGGTGTTTGATTGAATTGGATTTTTTCGAAGCGATGTAAGTGTATTTGCTTAGTTTTTGTGTTGTTGTGAGATTTTTGTTTTTTTTGGAGGCGTTTTGCGTTACCTAATAAATTTATACAATATATTTTTCTCGTAAATATAACGACGTTATTTGTTCATGTGTAAATGTTATTAGATATAATTATTGTCACGGATGTAGTTAAATAATAATTAAAAATCAGTCGGGAGACGTAATTGAAAAAAAATATATATGATTTGCTGTTAAAACATTTAAAAATCCAACGAAACATCTCTAATAACAAATATTCGACGTGCTTTGTTAAAAAAAATATTAAAAATGTTAAATTTGTTAAAAAAAAAGTTGGAATTTTTTCCTCAATTGTCTATAAAATAAAAGCGAGAGACTAATCGAACTTTCGTTCTTTTTTTTCGTTACAGATCAACATCCAATAAGGCGTCCTCGACTATTCGATTGGCCTCGTTATTTACATGGAAACTTGCATCACTCAAATATGTCTGAAAACCAAGAAACTAGGTAAGATTTGAATGCATCTAAACTATACAAGGTGCTCCTAAATCCCTCAAGTTTTATCTACAAAATAATCTACACTTATCCAGTATACAGATCGTCCTGTATTCCTCGTTCGTTTTTGACAATTAGGTTATATTTAAATCGATCCATCAATATATTCCACGTTTAAAAAAATTTACACCGCAGAGAAATTTTCTAAACCAAGTCGACCGAATGGAATTTACGTACAAAATATATTTTAATAATGAAAGAATCCTCGGTGAGCGTACACACTTCCATCAGCAAAATGACCTTAGAAAATCGTCCAGAATCGGACTTTTTCAACTACGAATTGCAATACGAATAATCCCTTTCAGATTAGAACGCATCGCTCGTTACAAACAGGAAAGAAGGAAACAACTGGACGAGCAATTCGCCTCTTTCAAAGCACCAGCGAAAACCACCAGGCCGACGAACAAAGATGGAAATTCCTCGCACAGCTCGGACAGTCCTCGACCGACGATAACCTCCAAATTACGAGCTGCAGCTACATCGGTAAATACCACTAAAACTCCATTTTATACCTCCATAATTTAAAAAAAAAAGTAATATTTCTACACTCCAAAAGTACCCATAACTTCTGTATGCGAATCTATCATTTATCTTGAGACATTAAGCGATAAAACAGCATCGTTTGTGTACTCTTACAACTACGAATTCGCTATCTTATATTGCTTTCGGTGTTTAGAAATCCTCCGCGAATGATTCCAACGAGTGCGACACGAAAGCAGGAAGCAAACGGATAGAACGAGACAAGAGCAACAAACGGAAATCCAATCTTAATCGCTCGTTGAACAGCGAGGAAGTTCCATCATCGGAAGGCTCCAGTAAGTACGATTATATTTCTCCATTTCGTTCGAAACCGCGCCTAAAAAAAACCTACATCTAATCGGGATTCGTCACGACAGAATTTATCGAAGACGAAACGTAAATACAATCGAAGATTACCGATTACAAACGGTATTAATAGCGAAAGGAAAATGCGAAGGTCGACGCTTTGTTGTAAAGATCGCACTTTGGACTCGACGATAAATTTCACTAGCGATCGTAAACGTTTCGAAAAGAATGCATATCTTTAAAAACAACTCAATGTCTTCTTCGAAGCTGAATTGAGCTGAATCGAAGCAAAATTCAAGCATCTACAACTAATTCATTTTCCAGCCGTCGGCGACGTGAAGATCCGCCGACGCCGGCGACGTTTCTTCCCCGCCGAAGTGTTCGAAACATCAGGTAACGAAGCTTCGACCGCCTCCTTAACACCTTCCAGTCCTACTCCGAAGAAAATCGAACCCGCCGACAACAAATACGCCGCCAAATACAAGCCCTACAAGTACAAATCCACCGCCAAACCCAACGAACCGATGCGCTTCAGTCCTAAATCGTCCACCAGCAGATCGGGAGCTTCGGACGATGAGAAATGCAAATCAGTACCAGCGCGAGGCGAGAAGAAAATGGAGTCTAAACCCGGCCAGAAATCGAGGAGTTCCAAAGATAAATTGTGTTCGATCCTCAAGAAGAACTCTTCAGACGAAATTCCTGTGATAGTAGCCGATGCTTCGAGCGCTGCTGTAGTAGGTCCGGTATCGATATTGAAGCGAAAAGCTTCGCAAGATACCAAACTAGAACACCATCATTCGACCAACACGCCTCCGGTCACCTTCTCGCCCAGCGTTTTAGAACCGTCGAGCGATCGCCGCAAGCAGGGCATCCTGAAGAAACGCCGCAGCCTCGACGAATCCTCGGTGCTGCGCCATCGCAGCTGCAGCCCCGACAAAACCGCCGCCGATTCGCGCTCTATTTTAAAGAACCAACGGCGCTCTTCGCTCGAAGAGCTCAGACGAACCAGATCGCCCGACCTCCACGGCATCCTCAAACACCGCCAGCCCAACTACGACTACGACGATCACTCGTTGGACTCGCCGCAGAGCATCCTCAAGCGGCGGTCTGGCGGCAGCGGCGGAGGAGGCGGCTCGCCGCACGTTTCCATCGCGACGGCGGTCATCCTGGCGGCGGCCGGCGGCGCCGAGATGGTGCTCAATTCGGACGGGGAATCGGTGCGGCCCATACTGAAGAAGAAGAGCTCGTGCGAGGAACGAGCGCATTGCAACGATGGCGCTGCGGACGCTCCGCCCCGGCCTATTCTGAAGAAGAAATCCAGCACGGATACGGAGGAATCGTCGGAGGAGCGCCGGAGGTCTATACTCAAATTGGCGAGGAGTTCGTTGGAGTTTGAGGCGTTGGAAATCGATGCGCAATCGAAGGATGCTAGCGAGGCGGAAGGCGAGGTTGCCGCTCATTCGGTGAGGCCGATTTTGAAGCAGACTGTTGGTAGAGAGGAGTCCACCAGGAGGCTTTCGTTTAGATCCGGGTAAGTAGTACAAATTGAAATTCGTTCAAAGGGTACTTTATTTCGCTTTTCATTTACTTGATTGAGTTGATACACAACGAATCTAGCGCTCTATAAGAGTGTACTGTCTCATCAAAGTCATAGAAGTCTGAGGTCTTGGTTGGGGAATCACAGGAATACCTTTTGAGGTAAATAATTCTGTGACTTGTGATCCACGCGAATCGCTCATTTTCTGATCATTCTAAAGATCTCTATATAAAATAAACCTGGTTGATACATTGTCCTGGAACGAACCGATTCTTAGCAACGCTGCAGCGTTGCCATATCGCTCAGTATCATTACTTTTCCGCCTATTAATTCGTAAATTCGATGCTGGGTACCTTAATATTGCACTCTACAATGAAAGTTGTACAGTTTAGTTGAACTAACGTTCACCTATGACATCTACAACAGGGCCTTAGATTTGGTAGAACTCTATCAAAAGTTCGGCAACGCTGCCTACATGCGACATTGTTTTGCACCGACCGTATAATCTATTAATTTTGGGGACAGTACCGAGTGCGATCGATGGTCGAGGAGGTCTCACACGATCAGCAGCAGCGACTTGGAGATCGAATCGTTGAAGGTGAAGCGTCGCGACGAGGACGGTTTGGGCAAGCCGAGGCCGTTTTCGGTGTCTGAGTTGGTGAAATCGTTCGAGGGAGGCGGTTCGACGGGAGCGGTGCCGAAGAGGAATAACAACAACAAGAGGGCTGGTAATAACCGGTACAAAACGCAACCGGTTACTTTCAACGAATTGGAAGCTAGGTGAGAACTGGTGAATTAATCTTTAACTGATTGTTGTTTGATGGGTATAGATTGTAAAAGATGTATTTTTATAAATCTTATCATTTATTGCTCGCGATTCGTAATCGAAACGAGATAAAAAGTTGGTTTTGTTTACTAAATTTTTAATCGACTGGTTATAATATTACTTCGTGTTGTATAAGATTTACTCGAGTGTATTCGACTGGTTAATGTCGGTGTTATTTCCGCGTGTTAGGTCTATTTTCATTCGACTGTGGTTAATATCGAAACTTTCTATTTCCAGTTCGTAATTCGATTGGAAACCATTTCGACGGGCTTTTGTTTGATTCGATATTTCTAATATTTACCCAATTTACAGTGATTAATTTATCGATAAAACAGTACGTAAATCGTTAGTTTTCATTGATAATTCATTCACAAATTCTGTAAAGAAGAAAGTAAAGTAAAAAAAAATCGCGCTTAATCTTGCATTTATAAGTTTATTTTTTGTGGTGTAAATAGCCGGAATTTGGTGAAAACTCCTCAACAGTTCGACGACGATCGTAACGATTTCGAGGGACGTCGCGACGCCCGTTCGCTGTTGGACTTTTCCTCGTCGTTGGGCAGAAATGCCGGTCAAGTGAAGGGTTTTTTGGCGTCTTCGATGCGCTCCCAGAGGAGTCCCGAGAGCGTCGCCGGAGAGAAAATGTCTTCGGATTCGGCGTTTCAATCGCTCGGAGACGGTTTGGAATTGGAACAGGTGATTAATATCAATGTAAAAGTTGCATAGAAAGTGACCGGAATATTTTTTATTTTTCTTGAATCTCTTCTCTTTTCTTGAAGTCTTCTTGAGACGAGTCTTTAGGGATCTCGCTACTGTCTTTAAAAATTTTCTACCTTGGGTTTTCAATAAAACAGAGTCACCTTAAGCATTTGCATCGATTTGGTCCAAGAAATTCCTTTCAAAATCCAAAATATAAGACAAACTCTTTGTTCATTATTATTTTTGTCAGTTGCAAAATTCACTTCTGACATGAACTGATTCAATCAACTGCTACAACCAAACTGATTGAGAAATTTCTCTAATATTTTGCATGCTCATTACAAACAGTATCACCAACATACAGAAACTTGAAATAGTTCAAAATGCATGTAGTTTAAATGAGAAATTCCGGATACTTTTCTATCACAATGTATACAGTTTGTTTTATTGTGGTATTTTTCCTCTATCGAAGATCGACGAATCTACTCGATCGTCCGATGCGGATAAGAACGATGAAGACAACAATCCTGAATCGTGCGAAAACGGTAATTTTTTTTTCTTCATCTAGAATCTTCCCTCAACTCATCCAAATTTCCACTAATTTTCCAGTAACCAACCCAACAAATCGATACCAATCGAGAAAATACAATTCCACTACGCAGCTCATCTCGCGCTCCATCACCATCGAGGCGATAAAAACCGCTAGTAAACATTCCTCCAAAGGTACCAAACGATATAATAGCACAAAATAAAATCCCATAACCTATTAAGAATCGTTTCTAGAAGATCCATCGAAGACCAGAAGCAAATCGACTGATAAGGACGACGAAGGGATATCCTGCAACGATTCGGATTCCTGCTCGGATTCCGATGCAACGCCGAAGGTGCGATCGCTCGAGGACGATGAGTGGACGAAGAAAGATCGGGAGGAATCGCGAACGAAACGCTGTTGTGATAGTAGTACTTCGGAAGGGGAATCGTCGGGCGGTAGGGAGATCAAGAGCATCTTCAACAGCGATTATATTTCGAAGATTAGGTGAGTTTGTTTTTGTGTATTATATTGTATGTAATTGTGTTAATTTTATAGGTCAGTTTAATTTTTGGTTTAAAATTTATGTTTTGTGACGATTTGGGAAGATTTAAAGATGATGGTAGTTTTAATTTAGATCGTGGTTGTAAATTGGTTTTCAATTATACAGAGTGGTAATTAATTGAGTGTCGATGCTTGGATGGGAATGTTTGGATGATTTTAAGAAGTGTTACGGTTTTAGAAGAAAAATATTTTCTATCGTAGTTTCCTTATTACTGTAGATATTTTATAGATAGGAAAAGCAGTCTCAAAATTAACTTGGGAAAAAGTCGTTTTGGTTTTTATTTTTTTACGCGAAAATGGTGCGTCGTACGAAAGTAAGTCTTCGGATCGAATTTGCTACAAAATAAATGAGGATTTTTAAAATAATTTTAGTTTTTTGCAAAAAACAGTGGCGTGCCGTTTTTTCTTCAAACATATTCAGTTCGAACCCCGTACGGACGTCACTGGTGAAAATTTTCAAAAATCTTTCGTCTCAAAAAATGCTACTTAATAATTAAAAAGTGTGTACAAAATTTCATAAAAATATCTGGAGTAATAAGAAAATTACGATAAAAAAGTTATTTTTTTTTCTAAAATTGTAACACCCTTTAGCTCGAAAACTAAGAGGTTTAGGACATATATTGATATAAACTTTTCTTCTTAAAATCACCCAATAATTCATATCCTGAAGTATCGGCACTCAATTAATTAACACCCTGTATTTAAAACAGTTACAATTCGAAAACTATTAGTTTTTTCTCTAAAAAATCCGGTTGTCTACCGGATAATTCAATCTATAATCGTTATAATTGTATGGGAAAAGTCGAGGGTAGGTTCTCGAATCGTCTGAAAATAGAGACCTCCTTTTAAAAATAACCGAAGGACTCGAACATTTTCACGACTTCCCCAACCTTCCCGGAACGCCCTGTAATAAAACCGAAACCTTCCCGGTAGTGCACTTATCGATCCGTGCGAACAGGGCCGCACTAAGAACATTCAGCGAATTGGTATTGTCCAATAAAAAAAGTTGTTATTTTTATAATTTGTAGCGATGATTTTTTTTTTAAACAGGGTCTTTTTAATAACATGCTAACAATGAAGGGGGTGTTTCTTGGACCTATTATAAGAAAAAACCTTCTCAATAACCCCTTTAGTATTAGAATGTTATTAAAAAATACCCTGTATATAACACTTTGGCGCTGTATAAATAATAATTTTGGAAAGTTTCAATGAATGAATAAATGAACGAATGAATGTCTTCTACAGTTATATAGTTACAGTAATATTGCAGATGTTTAGTCATAATTTATGCAGAAATAAAAAATATCTCGTATTAATACAACGTGATTAATTTGATTAAAAAAAAATCAATAATGTTCGATAATCATCGGCTCTAATCAAAGTAAATTCGGGCCACTAAAACGCCGTGGAACCGGTCCTGTAACGACGGTATAATGCCGTTGCACCGAGATAAATAACCGGCGGCGCATTATATAGTGTTTTTAGAGTGACGTCGGCGTCGACCGGCGTCTCTCTACCCTATTTCAGTTCAACTTCGATTAAATATTTGTCTATTTTCGTCAGTTCAGTTGTCGATTCGTGTTCCTATCGCTCGTATCCAATTCGTCCGCGTTAAATGAATAAAAAATCCAATCATCGTGCTTTATTTTTTGTGATTCAATTCGAAAGACCTCGAACAACAATAACGCCAGCATAACAACAACCAAAACGAATTCGAGCTTATACACTCGATGTTATCGAATCGATAAATGCAATACACAATCGGTATGTAGTACATCGTAACACGGTAATAATTTTTAATAAAAATAAAATTTAATTGTGTTCCGTTTTTTTTTTATTGATTCGATCTCTCGTTTGTACAGGCGGACTCCCGCAGGCGGCTCGTCGACCACCATCAATCAGGAATCGTTCGTCGATGATTCCGATTTGAACGCAAAGTCCAATCGACAGTACAACATGCCCCAGGTGATCGCCGACATCACGGCGAAGCTCCAAACCTCCGGGGAATCCGAATGGAAGAAGCGCCTCGCCTCGCGGAACAACTTCAACGACGAGTTGAAGCTGTTGAAGGTGAGAACCCGATCGAATCCAATCGCTGGAGATAGAGTTCATTAAAAAACTTGTGGTTTTTTATTTTGTTAGGATGATATTTCCAGTAAAAAGAGCCAGCTGGACGCGGCGCTGACGAATTGGAAGAACCGCGTGGAGAAGTCCGATGCTGAAAAGTTTTCGGTCGCCGCCAAAACCGATCATTCGCTGGTCCGCGTGAATTTGCCCAGCGCTTTGGAAACGAAGAGTCCGCACCAGAAGAAGTTCAAATTGAAGCAAGGTAAATCGCTGTTTGTTTTGCACCGACTGTAGATGTTTTCGCATTTCTATTTATTTTGCACCAACTGTAGATGTTCAATAACAATTGTTCATTCCAGGTTCCGATTCAGCTTCGACGTCTCCGGAACGGAACGGAAGCGCCCTGATTCGAAGCCAATCTCTGTCGTTTTCAACGAAATTCAATTCCACCGGTAACTACCAACTTTAATTATTTATATAACACTTTTTATTCTACTTCTACTTTACGTTTAGAATACACGAAGCGAATCGAAGATAGCTCATCGACGACGAAGAAATCTGTCACCGTTTTGAATCCGGACGATATCACGATGAAGAAATTCTTCAAGACCTTCGATCACGTCCATCACCAAGCCGACGTGTCTCTGGCCGATTTCGACGCCGTCCAGCGACAATCTCTATTAGTGATCCGGAAGAACGTGCAAGTGCGCAAGCGCAAAACCGCCTCCAACAACAATCCGATCAAAGCCTTAGCTTCGAGGAGCGACATTTCCAACGAATACACCGAAATCCTCACCGGCGTGGCGGAGAGAGAGAAGAAAAGACTAAACATTGAGAAACGTAAGATCGCTTCTATTTAACGCGCCTCTATTTAACTTTAGAGTGACTCTAAATAGGCGACTAGAGTCCCTAGTTACTCCATAACAACAATGTAAAACTGTCAAAAGTGAAAGAATCTCCTTAGTTACTCCATAACAACAATGTAAATCTGTCAAATTGAAAGAATCTCCTTAGTTACTCCATAACAACAATGTAAAACTGTCAAATTGAAAGAATCTCCTTAGTTACTCTAGAGTGACTTTAGAGTGACTCTAAATAGACATCTAGAGTCCCTAGTTACTCCATAACAACAATGTAAAACTGTCAAAACTGTCAGATTGAAAGAATCTCCTTAGTTACTCCATAACAACCAATGTAAAACTATCAAAAGTGAAAGAATCTCCTTAGTTATTCCATAACAACAATGTAAATCAGTCAAATTGAAAGAATCTCCTTAGTTACAGAGTGACTTTAGAGTGACTCTAAATAGACATCTAGAGTCCCTAGTTACTCCATAACAACAATGTAAAACTGTCAAAACTGTCAAATTGAAAGAATCTCCTTAGTTACCCCATAAAAAAAATGTAAAACTATCAATTGAAAAAATCCCCTTAGTTACTCCATAACAACCAATCTAAAACTGTCGAGTTAAAGACGCGACTTTAAAGGCACTCAACAGAGGCGCTGAACATAGACCATTATCTTCATTCCTTCGATTTTATTTCACCTGTTATAAACAACTTTTACTTGTGATTACAGTAGCGAAAAATTCCGACAAAGCCCTCGACGCCCTGGCCGGTCTGGCGAGCAACGAAGACTTCAAATCAATCGCTTTGAAAAAATCCTCGGGTCAAATCTTCCAGGCCCCGTGGAAAGACCTGATGCTGTTGCAGATCAAAGGCAGACGGCACGTTCAAACCAGATTAGTCGAACCGATCGCCGATAGCATCAACGAGGGCGACAATTACATTTTAATTACACCGTCGGCTTATTACACCTACACCGGCGCCCATTCGAACGTCATCGAGCAATCGAGGATGTCCGATATCGTGAATCACATCGCCAAAACCGGCGATTTGGGATGTAAAGGAAAAAGCCTCTACGCTCTGAGCGCTGCCGATAAATCCTCGAAGCATGCTTTAGATTTTTGGAATCATTTAGGTAATTGTAGTGGAGTTTAGTGGATTTAAAGAGCGCCATTTAAGAGCACACCAATTGGAATGATTCTACTCTATTTGGAGTGCTCGTGAATGGTCACCTATAACATCTACAACTAGGCTTTAGTTGTAACTAACTTAGTGATAAATTTGTGTTTAATTCAAACAGGATCCGACGGTGTACCGGAGGTTGCGAAAGCCGGGCATTCGAACGAAGACGAATCCTACGAATCCAGCGTTCTACTCACTAATATGATCTACTCGTTGGACGGGGACGAGCTGGTGCCGTGCGATCGCCATTGGGGCGCCGCGCCGAGATTCGAGATGCTCGAAGACGCCGCCGGCGTCTACGTGTTCGATTTCGGCGCCGAGATGTACGTGTGGAGCGGCAAGAACGCGGCGCCGGCGCGGAAGAGGATCGCTTTGAAGGTGGCTAAAGAGATGTGGTCGGAAGGATACGATTACAGCGATTGTGGTTTCTGTCCGTTGGGCGTCGCTTCGATGTTGGGCGATCGGCGTCGCGACGGCGAATCGCGGATGTCGGGCGATCGTCGGCCCGATTGGGCGTTGTTCGCTAAGCTGACGCAGCACCGGGAGACTATATTGTTTAAGGAGAAGTTTCTCGATTGGCCGGATTTCTCTAGGATAATACAGTTTAAAACTAGCGAGAATTTGGATAAAGCGAACGGTTCTGTAGATATTCGACCGTGTGATGTTGACGAGATGCTAAATAAGGAGCGAACGCTGCCCGATTTGATCGTTGAAAACGTTCACATGGGTAGAGGAGATCGGTATTTCGATGAGGAAACTCGCAGGCTGTTCGTGTACGATACTTTGAATGTAACTGGTACGTTTCTATGCATTAATTGAGTTCCGATACTTCAGGATGTGAATATTTGGACGATTTTAAGAAGAAAAGTTTATATCAATACATGTCCTAAACCTCTTAGTTTTCGAGCTACAGGCAAGAATGAAAATTATGACAGAAAAGTAATTTTTTATTCTAAAACTGTAACTCTCTGTAGCTCGAAAACTAAGAGGTTTAAGACATATATCGACATAAACTTTTCTTCCTAAAATCATCCAAACATTCACATGCTGAAGTATCGCCACTCAATTAACAACCTGTATTTAAATTGGAAGTTTATTTCGATCTAACGAAATATGTTCTAGGCTGGAGGATAATAGAGCCCAGTTACGAAAAACTGGCGACGAAGGATTTGGGCACTTTCTACGACGGCGACAGCTACATATACAGATGGGATTTCAGGCAAACTGTCCGAGGAAGGGAATTGAATGGAAATCCTTCCAAACACGCCGCCGTTGGTAGAGATCGGTGCATTTTCTTCTACTGGCAAGGTGAGATTCTATTAGATACAAACAGCCTTGAACTATGAATAAGGCTGTTGGTCTCTTATTTGTAAAGTCTTCGGTTACATATTTACCAATCAATAATCTCTATTTCTTCCTTGAACTGTGAATTGGCCTATGAATAAGGCTGTTGGCCTCTTATTTGTAACGTCTTCGGTTACATATCATCGATAATCTCTATTTCTTAGGTTGTAATTCTTCGATCAAGGAAAAAGGAGTGGCCGCTCTGTTGACGGTGGAACTGGATAAGGAAAACGCGCCGCAAATTCGGGTGACCCAAGGGGCAGAACCGGCCGCTTTTCTGCGCCTGTTCGCCGGAAAAATGACGGTGCAAAAGGGCAAAAGGACCGAGGACGATGCGAAAAGTCGGCTGTTTATATTGCGAGGCGAGAAGGACGACGAAATGTATTTGATGGAGGTGGATTTGGACGTCGCCTCGTTGAGGAGTAAATCGTCGTTTGTTCTGTTCGATTACAACAACGATAGAGTAAGATAATTTAGTTGATTAATTGGTGTGATGTTTTGTGTTTGTGGTGTTTTATAGGCTTTTATATGGCACGGTGCGAAATCGAAGTCTCTAAAGCGAAAGGGGGTGTTGAGATTTACGCCGGAATCGATGAAAGTTGTCGAAATGAACGAAGGATCCGAAACCGAAGACTTTTGGAATTTATTAGGAGAAGATAGAAACTTGTACCATTCGCTATTGGATTCGAACGAATCCTTCGATCACACTATCAGAATGTTCAACATGTGCAGTTTAACTGGCGAATTTTCGGCCAGCGAGATTCTGTGCCCGCACAGGAGCGAACATTCCACTCCTTATCCTTTCGTTCAATCCGATCTCTATTCGGCCAGCCAACCGGGTAATTATAAAAAATAATTGTACAATAGAATTAATTATATTTGCTCGTGTAGCTCTGTTTCTAGTCGACAACGATCACGAATTGTGGCTGTGGCAGGGTTATTTGCCGGAGCCCCGGCATCTCGAAGAGGACCAAATGGTTTCGGTTCGATGGCAGGCCGAGCGAAAGGCCGCCATGCAAACGGCGGTGGATTATTGGAAGAGGAAACGACCGGGAGAAAGGATCAAAGCCTATCGAACGTCTGCCGGCTCCGAACCGGTCGCTTTTACCAATTTATTTCCCTCTTGGGAGGTGCGAACGGACATCGTGGAATTAAATAAGAAGGTAAATGGTCTAAAATGGCAATGTTGGGAAATCTACATACATATAGTAGGCACATTTTAGTACATAATTTCTTTTGTAGAGTGGAAGAACTGGTGAAGGTGAAATGGTACCGTTGGAAAGGGATTTATCGCTGTTATCTAGAACAACTTATTCGTTATCGGAGTTGTTGGAGAGGCCGCTGCCCGAAGGAGTCGATCCGACTAATATAGAAAAGTATCTTTCTTCGGAGGATTTCGAGCAGTTGTTGTCGATGTCGAAGGAGGAATTCGATAGGTTGCCTTCGTGGAAAAAGACCGTTCTCAAAAAGGAGAAAGGACTGTTTTGATAATTAATGGAGTTGTTTCTTCTTCTTTATCGCTTTTTTTTTGTTACTTACCGAACGACAATAATTCGATTAAATGATTCGAGATGGAACTGATTGTTTTGAGGAGGAGAATAGACGGTTCGAAAATACATTTTAACTTTTTTTTTGATGTAGGCCGTTTTGATTTTCGAGAAATCGAAGCTCGTTTGTATATATGTTGAATACCTAAATCGAAAAGTCTGGGTAACGATAAGTTCATTTGATATAACGTGAATTTTGGAAATTTTTCACATGAATATTTACAATTTTTGGACACATTTAATTTTGTTCATATTTAAAAGTTATTAGAATGCTAACATGTAAAAAACTGTAGTAAAAACATATTTATACAGGGTGCGTATTTTTTAAATGTATTTTTTGTCTCCTTGTAATATTGTGGAGATTTTCTTGCTAACATTTATACTATGTACATACGAAAAAAATAACTTGAAATTTGCGGAAACTTCATGCACAACTTAGGTCATTTAATTCATTAATAATTGAATTAAAATTGATTGGTCTTCCTTTGAATCTTCTTCGTTTATTTGAAAGCTTACAAAGTTTCCCAAATTTGTAAAGAGTTGTTTCGGAAATGTATATGATTTTTATAATCTTTACTTTCATCACACATTTTTTATATCTTAACATATATCTGTGATTAGGCTATGTATTTTTTAGTTTTGATATAATAACCCATGTTGTAAATAAAACGAAAAGGTGCCTTATATTTTTTTTGAAAGTTGAGTAAATCTCAATTTTATTTAGTTTTGTAAAACTTTTCTAGTCCATTTTTGATCCTCACGGCACTTACTTTTAAATTATTTTCACATTTTTTTTATATTTATTTAGATGATTTTTACATGATTTTCAGTTATTTAACCGCAGAAAAGTAAATTTTTAACACAAACATAATTATTTACGATTCGAAAGCCTGCGACATGTAATTTCATTGTTTTTTTACGCAATAAATATTTTCGAAAAATTGTTAGTTTTTTACAAATCCCGCATTTTTCCAGAAACATTTAATACTTATAAACTAAGTCAGGCTCTTAGATTTCTATTTATTGTATCTAATGAATAATTTACATCTTTTAGGTACACGTATTTAACTTACATTTTACCAAAAAATAAAACTTACAAATATGTACAGCTCAAGGCAGAGAAAAAAAAAATAACATTACAAAATAGGCTACAAACGATTGAATAAAATTTATCACAATTCCAACACGATACGAAAAAATTTAAAAGCTATTTACTACATTTTATCGAGTAGATATTTCTACTGTGTAAATACAAAACCCTTAATTATTTATTAGTACTTTAGAACAATTTAAAGTGATTTTTTTGTCATTTTAAGTACAATTTTCTTAAATAAGCTGCGATGAAATTTAGTCATTAGAAGAAAAAGTGTAGCTACTCGACAAAAGAAAAACAAAACCCTTCATCACAACTTACGTAATTCAATAGATTTTACTGTTTTGCATCAATTTTTGTAAAGAAATCGATTTTTATGTACATTTCATTTATGTTCAGTGCATTAAGAAACCTATAGGCATTTACTTATCGAAACACAAACGTTTTCTGATGCAGAAAACCTGTATATATTACAATATATCTAACATTTTAACTACTTTGTTTATAAAACGGACAGAACAAAAAATAATAAAAAAAATAGGCGAAATTTTGGTTATTTCCAAAATATTTCTAAAACATGAATACATAATTTACAGTGATTTTAGTTTTGCCAATAAAAAATCTGGAAAACACAAAAAATTATATTATAAAAATCAAGTCTTTTTGTACAAGGTTGGATTAATCAGTTAATTAATTTGATCGATTTATACAAAAAAAAAATGTGCGTAATAATTCAGTTTGATCGAACCTTGTTTGTTATTAATCGGAATTATTAACAGAAAATTAGCAGTTACTAGCAAATAAAATATCAATCCGAGCTAACGAAATGCTATCTTTGGTTTTATTTAAAAAATCTAGAATATACCATTCAAATTCGGCATTTTCTAACCATTTTTTTTCTGCGAAATTATTCATAGGAACATTTTTGTACTGAGAAATTACGAAAAAAAAAAAACAAGTACAATGGCTTTACGAAATACAATTTCCCTTCGGGTTAGAAAATTCAAACTAAAATACATTTATGTAGAAATGTAGAAAAATAAGTTGACAACAAATTGATACTAAATCTACATATAGTAAATTATACTACAAATCTATTAGACTTATATGTACAATATATAGGCAAAATTACAATAAATATACGGTAAAATGAAGACTTCTATCCGACGAAAATTACTTTTAGTTGAAAATGTTTTTTATTTTGTGAACATCCATCCGTTTCGGAAAGCACTTGAGCATTAAACGATTAAATAAATCATTCAGTAAATGTTTTAAATTTTTACAATGCTCAGAATATTTATTGTAGGCGAAACATTCGACTATTGACCTAAAGATTGTCCGATAATTATAATTGAATTCAATTTTACATTGGTATTGTTTATTTGCATACCAAAACATTTAAACGAAACTAACTAACAAAAAAAAGGAAAACATTTATTATTTTCATTATGTACACACATTTAGACAATCTAATTACTAATGTAATGTCTTAAGACAGCTAAACAAATCGTTAATTATTTATTATTTATTAGAAAGATAGACGGAATTCTAAAATTTAATCGAAAAGTACTACTTCATCCGCAATTTTTCTATACAGGGTGTTAATTATTTGAGTGCTTAACACCCTGTATTTATTACTTACTAAATTATCATTCACACTAAAAAAAAATAAAACGAGATCACTGTCAACACACGAAACATCAAACATGTCTATCTTTCCTCTTAAAAGAGAAACCAAAGAGAAATAAAGCGATTGAAAAGAAGAAAAAAATTATCTCTCGACGTAATTATATTAAAAAAAAATGCGCATTAAATAATAAATTATTACATTCTTTGCGGTAGGCGCGAATGAACGTTCGCATTCGAACTATCAATAATAGTCATTCCACGAGGAGCGTACTCAAACTCCTCTAATTGCGCGACAATATTGTCGCTGTTATTTTGGCTTTGTTCGCCCATTCTACTACTAAAGTTTGCCGGATATTTCGATACATGGCTGAAATTAACAAACGTGTCTTGAATAGCGAAGGAAATTCAGGGAGATGGCACCAACTTAGATTATTTTTTTGGCTCAATCAGTGTCATCTCCTTCGACTCACCTACAATTTACCATAGCCTATGTAAATGGAGGTTCCTCGACAGCACCGATCTCACGTCGGCCGTGAATCGCAGGGCGTCGAGCACCGGTAGCAGATTGAGTAAAGCTATATCGGTGGGATCGGAAAACCAGGATTTTATAGGAATCGCATTATCTACAACAAAAAAACTACAATCAACAAAAACTTATTAAAAATACAGGGTGGTAATTAGCGCAATTTACTTGTTTTAACGGGTAATTTTGAGTCGAAAAGTTCGCCTCATTGGATCCGCCATGTTACCTCTATCTTACTTTTTCTGCCTCGTTTACTTAATAAGTAACAGATAATTTTCATTGTTGGAGTCAAAAATTTTTGAATTTATGAATGACTAGTTGGAGATGTGAATACAACCCTGTAGATATATCGAAAACCGAGCTTCAGAGGACATCTTTAAGTATTAAAATAAGTACATTGCATTAATAAACACCCTGTATTTTCCGTCGGATAGTACCTGGATAGGCTCTATAAGCACCGGGACTATTGTCTAAAATAAATACACTAGATAAATCGCTGCCGATCACGCAAAGATCTTTCGTGTAAGATCCCAATTCGGGTGTACAGTGTTGCCGGTAGAATCTCCTTTGCAGGATGCCCCGACCGGCGTCTAATTTATCCGCCACAGCGGCTCCGTATATTTCCATACTCGCCGTAAATACCACTAATTCGTACCATTGGGATACCTGCAATTCAAAAATTTAATTAAATCGCTAGAAATAACGGATATATTGAACAAAATGGCCTCTAAGCAGCACTTCTTTTTGACAGTTTTGACAGTTTTACATTGGTTGTTATGGAGTAACTAAGGAGATTTTTTTCAATTGACAGTTTTGACAGTTTTACATTGTTGTTATGGAGTAACTAGGGATATTGTTTAAAGTTTAATGGTCCTTTTCGAGTACTTACTATATCTAAGAAAAAATCTACGTGGGGTCTTTTGTGTACGAAAAACCGAACGGGATGTCGATCGATGGTGACTTTAAGTACGAAATCTGGGGGAGTTCCGGGCCGTACGGTTTGCCTGACGACACCGTCGTGATGAGAATGTATCAATGTTTCGTCTAAATCGAGTACGAGGACTTTTCTCTTTACGATACCTACAAAAGAAATGTACGAAATTTAATTGTGTTACACTTGAAATGTAAAGTACTTACTTAGCCTATGCCTAGATAAAGGCGATAAGGGAAATATGTCGTATTTAACGGATTGATGTTGAATTATCTGCAACAGAAAAAAAAATACAATTATGCAAATATTATATATTTTTTATTTTTTTGGAATAACGCCAAATAGTTGTGCCAAAAGTATCTTTCAAAATTAGACGAGAATACGATTTATTTAAGATAAAATAAAATTGTAATTTACATAATTACAATATGTTTAAACGATAATAACTTACAGCCCGGGTCTGTTTCTTTAACGTATAACACAGGCACGTCCATACTCTCGATGCTATTAGCAAAAATGCCCGAAGTCCCATCTGTAACTGTTTCCACATCGGAAAAAGGGTTAAGTAATAACAAACGCGGTTAAATCGGATTAACACAATTCCAAATGATACGTATAATTTTCACCACGGCACGTGCGACACTATTCTTGTATCACATTTTACTTTATTTTTCTACGACAAAATGATATCAAAAGCAAACCGCCATTAAAAACGACAATAACGACATCGACCCAGTGGATTTTTCTATTCGGATTTTTTGACAATTATGACAGTTGACTGTATATGTCATTCTGATTATTTTCTTCCTTTTTTTAAGAGGGGACTCCATTACTTCAGCGTTGTCGTACAATTATTCTGTTGCTTACAAAATTACAGAAAAATCCAACCGATAGGCAAAATATATGATCTATTGATCTATATCGATCTTTATGGATCCAACCATAGAGAATGAAAGTTATATTTTGTGAATGGATCCAACCTGTAGTATATTTGACCTTGGTTAACGTCAACTCGGAACGGAACACGTCATTTGACGTTTGTTGCGATTTTATGCCATCGTGGCCGATTTGTCATTCACTTTATCCGGAAAGTTGGACGTGCTCGAGTAAAATTTGAAATATTTCGGTTCTTTTCACTGTCGACGTGACTGCAACGTTTGGTTATCTACCAGTATTAAGTCCAGCGAATTAAAATTAACTAAAAGTGAGTAGATTTAACGCCGTAAATTATCTAATTTGCGTTCGTTTTGTAAATATTTACATCGTCGTTTTTTTTTAGTAATATGGACCAAATCGTAAAATTCGTGGAGCCCGGCAAGCAATTCGCCAAAGATTCCATTAGATTGGTAAAAAGGTGCACGAAACCCGATAGGAAAGGTATGTTTAGATTTTTTTATACACAGACAAACAATAATAATATGCAGTTTTGGCAATGTGCCACATAGCCCATTATAAATAAAACTGTAAATTGTTGATTATGATTACAACAGCTGTTCATTAGTTAATTCAGTATGAATCCCAAGACTAATTATCCTTATACTCTATGGTTAATCCCTTACAATATAAAGTTTGCCTTATTTATAAAGTACTATACAGTTGATTGACTCTTACTGGGGTCAATTTTAAAGGTTTGATTTGAATGTTTCCATTTTATTTTTGCAGAATTCCAAAAGATCGCGATTGCCACAGCCATCGGTTTCTTCATAATGGGTTTCATAGGATACTTTGTAAAATTAATCCACATCCCCATCAACAACATCATCGTCGGATCGCACTTTTAAGGGGCCCCCTTCGATTCCATTCATCTATCATTTATCTTATTAGGTACAAATTTAAATTATATTTTAATAGTTTTTTCATATTAAATGCTCATGAGTTTCTTTTTTTATATATAATAAAGTCTGTTTTGTAAAAGCGAGTTGGTTTTGCAAAAAGGAATTGAATTGTTTTTGGAGTTGTTTATTTTCTTACCAATTTGTGATTAAAAAGTACAAAAATTTAGGAGGAAAAATTTATCGGTTTTCATCAAAAAGAGATGTAAACGAATTATACGGATTAATTTTAGCAAAGTCGTGTTATAAAATATTAATTAAAATTAGTATAATTCGTTTACAACTTAAAAATTATAAGTTATTTTAATAGTAATAATTTCGTTATTTTTTTTTATTCAAATATCTTATAAGATGTACGTTGTGCTTACATCAAAAAGCGCCTTACGTGCGTTTGAATTGCAATTTAATGACATAAAAAATAATTTGAAACAACAGTTATCCCTAAAATAAAATAAAAAATCTTCAATCGAACTTAAAGATATGTATATAAATCTATTTTTAAAAAGACTATACAAAAATAGGTTATTTGTAGTTGAATGGTTTATTATTTCGCGTTAAATGTGATGGCACAAGAACATCTAAAATAATACATAATTTCAATACATCTAAAATAAAATTTGCGCAACGAAATTTTCATTATTGCTTAAAGAAGAGGAATGTAGTAGTATACCCATTCTGTTTTAACCGAGAGGACTTCAAATTTTATTTTCGACGTAAAAGGACTAAATAAATCGAAGCACTAAAAAAATAGACATTTTTATCACAATTTTTTTCATATTTTTAAGTAATTGTCTTTTGAAATTTCGACTCCGAATTCGCGCCGTTTCGCCCAGCGAAAAGGCGCGTTTCGAAGATGTTTAACGAAGCGCCTAAAAACTAGTTTTTGAAAGCGAGAGAGAGTCCTTGAAGCGAATTATTCCGAATAATTGCCTAAGTAACTAAAACGTTGGTACAAAATCATAGAAAATCGACAATAAAACGACTAAAATCTAATAAATCACGCTTGAAATCGATAGATTATCACTTACATAACTCGAGGGCGCGAATCGATCGAATATCGAACTAGAAAATGTACAAAAAAAATCGCGATTTTCGCGCCCCGAAGTCTACACCGGGTTTACTCGCAGGTACTCCAATAAAATCGTTCCCGAACTGTGTATTTCAATACGATTTTTTGTTTCTTTTGGAAGAATTGGAAGAGATATACAAGACAGGAGCTTCTAAATACTAAGTAAACTTAACTAGTTAAGAAAAAATGGAATTAAAAAAAAACAAACAAACAAAAAACTTAGTAAACGACCTCGGAAGTAATATCTTTTACTCTTCAATATACAGTGTGTCCCTGATTGGAGTTACGAGAGGAAAAATTGAGTTGTTAAGAAAAGTAATGCTTGTAGAAAGTGAAAAATAAAATTTGGAATCTGTTATACAGGCTGAAATAAAGAACCGCTAAAACGAATCGAGGGAAAAGTATCATAATTACATATTTTCAAAGCAAAAACTAATACAGGGTGTCCCAATGAAAAGTAGCCTCTTTAGTGAGCTAATAATTTTTCTTATTTATTAACACCCTGTAATTATTTCTTCTCGTCAACTCTACCTAGAGACACACTGTACAGTATTATCCACTCTTCGGTCGATTCACAATTAAAAATTTGGCAGTAACATCCACAAAAAATAAAAATTAATAGTAGAAAGTAAGAAAATACTATAAATTCTAGTACTTGGAATGCGTTTTATGCACCAATATTAATATTAAATCATTAATAGTAGTAATAAAGATGCAAGAAGTCCTCGCCTTAAACGCCCCCGATTCACTGTGAAGTATCGTACAAAAGTATCAAAATCAAATCGGAGACGTTTTTATAATTTTATCGAGGACGTCCTGTATATTTGATACGCGTAACAAAACAATTTATATATACTTTATAAAATTCTTAACATCACTATAAAAGTAAATTCAATTCAGATCTGGTAACGTTCGTAATATTATAACAATGAGGTGAATACTAACAAATAACTTAGAAAAATAAAAACTACGCAGTATAAAAATAGAAGAGATTTTCTCATTTCGCCGGGAAAATGGATCTTTTCCTAATACCTTTCGATGAATTCGCATCGACGGAAATACAAATAAAAAATAATAATAATAGAGTCCCAAATTATTCGAACAGTGACACGCGAACGACCGTTTTTTTATTTCCACACCTCTACTACAACAATCCGTTTTAGTGCGAATTTCTCAACAATATAACATTAAAAAAAAAAAGAAAAACTTAATACTCGATAATCGTACTCGAAAATAATAAAAAACAGACGACTTAAAGCTTCCTATTTATGGGTAAAGTTTGTATATAGGCATGCGAAGTATATTCTAAAAAACGAAATAAGTTAAATAAAAAAATTATAATAAGTGTATCGCGAGTTGGTTTCGTTCGCGCTTTACATAATATACAGAGTGTTGATTAATTGAGTGTCGATAAATCAGGAGGTGAATATTTGGATGATTTCAAGAAGAAAAGTTTACATCAATATAAGTTCAAAACATCTTAATTTTCGAGCAAAAAGGGTGTTACAGTTTAAGAAAAAAACATAATAAATTGTCTATAGTCGTCACTGGTAAAAATTAAAAAAAAATCTGCCTCAAAAAATGCTCCATAATAATTAAAAATTGTGCCCAAAATTTCCTAAAAATATCTGTAACACTAAGATGTTTAAGGACATATATTGACATAAACTTTTTTCTTAAAATTTACCAATAAAACCATCCAAATATTCACATCCTGAAGTATCGAAACATCCGATTAACTAACACCCTATACAGTTTGTCTCCCAAAAAATATGACTCACAAACTCCAAATTAACAGTTTCACATTGTTATGGAGTAACTAGGGACTTCCCCCTTGTCATCTTCACTTATTTAGAGACAAACTAGGGACTTCCCCATAGTCATCTTCCCTCTAGACAAACTCTATGCATAAACGAAACCCTCTAGCGCCACCTAGCGATAAAACCCCGAACCATCAATCACGCCATACAACCGTTATCCATCCCCCCGTTGTTGTACCCCTGTCCCGCGTAGCCCCCGTGACAGGGCGAGGCGGCGCCGTACGGATAACCGCCGTCCAAATCGGTGAACTGCGCCAGCTCGAAATCGCCGCCGATCTGCTCCACCACGATGCTGGGAGGCGGCGGGCGTAGCTTGGTGTAAGAGAGGTGGTGATGGTGGCTGGATGGCCTCGAGGCAGTCGAGTAGTCGCCGTTGTGCGATCGGTACGAGGCCGGATCGCCGAAGGGGTGGCCGTCGATGACGGTGCCGACGGGCGGCAGCCGGTGGAGGTGGTCGCGCGTCACCGGGCCGATGTTGTGCTGGCATTGCGGCCTGGAACGGTACGGGGGGGGCGGTTAGTTGCTGAATGGCGGAGGAGTAAGAGGCCGATGGGTGTGTTGTGGTGGAGGAGCTGGAGGTACTGGAAGATCTGGGGAATTTAGAGGATCTGGGAGAACTGGAGGATTTGGAGGAACTGGAGCATTTGAATGGACTGTAGGTTGTGAGAGAACTGGGGGATTTGGAAGGATCTGGGACATCTGAAAGAACTGGAGCATTTGAATGGACTGTAGGATCTGGGAGAACTGGAACATTTGAAAGAAGAGCATTTGATGGTTTGATAGAACAGAAAGATTTGAAAAAAACTAAAATATCTGGAAGATTTGAAGGAACTTGAGCATCTAAAAGAACTGTAGGATCTGAAAGAACTGGAGCATTTGAAAGAACTGAAAGATTTGATAATACAGAAAGATTTGAAAGAACTAAAGTATCTGGAAGATCTGAAGGAACTTGAGCATCTAATAGAACTGTAGGATCTGAAAGAACTGGAGCATTTAAAAGAACTGAAAGATTTGATAATACAGAAAGATTTGAAAGAAATGTAAGAAATGAAGGATCTGAAAAAATTGAAAGATCTGAAAAATCTAAAGAAACTGGAAGAACTGAATGATTAGGAGATACGATCTGAAATCTAGAGGTACTGTATAATCTAGAAGAACTGGAAAATGACATAAAACTACATCCAAACCGGCTCTTATTCTCAACCTCAAACCAAATTCCCGATGCTATAACAACAATAGATAGGAAAAAAAGAAGCGATTGTATATTACCTGTGAATGGACAACATCTCGAACAACGTTTGCTTCTGGGTCTGGAGCTCCTGCATCTGGGCCTTCAGTTCGACGTTCTGGGTCTCCAAGGTTTCCGATTCCTGGATGAGGTTTATCGTTCGTTCGCGTTTCTTCAAACGGCATTTCGTCGCCGCTATTTTGTTGCGTTCGCGGCGCCGTCGTCTTCGTTCTTCGTCTTCGGCTGTCAACTGAAAAAAAAATCAACAAAATCATCTTCGTTGTCATGTCATAATCATAAGAGTTAGATCTAGAAGAGTTGATTTTCGATCGCTCTTACGCAGATCTTCTCATCTAGATCTAGAAGAGTTGTTAGATTGATGGGTTAAACTGTCGACTAGGCAACCCCGCGTGAAACGGTGTCGAATCAGGTGGGCGAAGTGGCCATTCGACTGGTGCATTTCTCGATACCAAATGATTGGATTCGAAGAATCTTGTTCGTGATGGTCATATGAACTACCTTGGATACCATACAGTTGGTGCAAAATGAACTATCAATGCACGTTATCTATGATTTACTACGTCACAAGTAGGCAGTGTTGCCGGACTTTTATAGAGTATACAAAAACTGAGAATTTTCTACAATGGCAAAATGACAGGAACAAATTGCATTGCAGTTAAAATACTAAACTATTCAGCGATTTATTTGAATACAAAATTGTCGAAACCCTTTAGTTTGGAATACTCGAGGGAGATGAAAGTTCACTATTGCAAGTGATAAAAGTTTCTGATAATATGACTAATCTCCAATTAAACAAATTGTTGAATATGCTCGAGTGTTGTTTTGAAATTTAGGTTATTCCACGTATTTTTTACGCGAAAAAAATCGTATCGTTATCGCATCGATAATCGTAAGTTTCCTATTTTTTTTCTTTAGATGTAATGGATTAAATTATTATTATTAAATTTGTTCGGCGTGTCGAATTTCGCAAAGGCAAATATAAGCGTCCTGTCACAGGCGAATATCTCGCAAAAATAGAAAGATAAATAATTGATGTTCCATATATTTTTTTCGAAATTTAAAAAAAAAAGTTAATGTATTTTTTTATAGTCTGCGGCGACTGTGAAAGGCAGAGGCGGGCGGGTTTTGACTCGAAATTGTGAATTAATCGAGGGAATTTCGTGTAAAATTTAGTACAATAGTTTAAACAGAATTCTGGTTTCTTTTCTAGTACAACCCTGCAATTACACAGGGACAAAAAAGTACCAGGAAAATTGGAATAAAACGCTAAATTATCCTAATATTTTTCTAATTTCTCTTGAGTGTTATTCGAAATATGCAAAACGGGAGATGTTAAAGTTAAGTACTACTTCATGATGATTTTCGAACTCAATTTCCTTAATTTTCTCACCATTATCATTGATTGAAGTGGTCGAATAAAAAAGGCAAATCTTTAGCGATCTCCAGACTGTCTTTAAAAGTTTTTTATCATTCGTAAACTTTAGTTTTCGATAAAATTGAATCATCTTAAGCATTTGCATCGATTCGGCTCAAGAAATTAAGTTCAAAACCCAAAATATAAGACAAAATCTTTCATTATTTTTATCTATTGCAAAATTCGCAGAACACTACTGGAGATAAACTGATTCAATCAGCTGCTACAACCAAACTAATTGAGATAACTCTCTAATTTTTTGCACGCTAATTATAAACAGTATTACCAACATACAGAAACTCGAAATAGTTACAAATATTTAGTGCAGGTATTTTAAATCAGAATTTCGTGAAGTATCGAGAATTTCCATCATACAGTAAGTACATTTTAAACCACAATAATTGGATTAAAACCAACATTTCGAAACCACATATTTCTCGAAAATACCGAAAAATTAATAGCCTCACACACGCCTATGGCCTGTAACTTGTACCAGTTAGACGAAAAAGCGTAAATCAAATTTTGGCAAATGCACCGAAAACACAACAGATTGTATTCCCAACAGATACATATCGGTTGGGCGGTAGCCAACCGACCGGATTTAAATTTACATAATATGTACTCGGTTTTTTTTTCTACATCCGGTTTCGTTAAAAAAAAATATATAATTCGAAATGCCAGAGATAAACGGTACGCTCTCATAAATACGTAACGAGGAAAGGTCATTAGGCAAGCCGAAAAATTTAATATCTATCCATCTTTTTCGGAGATAATAGAAATGTTAATGGGTGGAAGGGAATGCAGGAAGTTTCATCACTCGGTTTATAAACATAAACTGAATGGTTTTTACGTGCAGAAATAGAGTTATAAAATTAAATCTTTCATAGGTAATGTGTAGGATTACTCACTTATATTGAGACATCCTGTATACTAGTATACATGCAGTTATATGTCAGTATTGTTAATGAAAATTTAGCTTTACTAATAGACTGGAAACTGGAATTATAAAATTAAATATCTTCGTAGATAATAAAAAAGTTATGGGTGAGATTACTCATTTATTTTGGGACATACTGTAGAGATCGGTCACGTATTCTGGGCATTCTGGGACATCCTGTATACAACTTTATATGCACTTAGACTCGGTCTTTTCACAACAATTTAATTTTGCTATTAAAATTACTAATAGACTGGAATTTGGAATAATGAAATTGATTTTTTTACAGGTAATAAAAAAGTTATGTGTGACATTACTCACATATTTTGGGACATCCTGTATACAAGTATATATGCAATTATATGTCAGTATTATTCACAAAAACCTAACTTTACTAATAGACTGGAAACTGGAATTATAAAATGAAATATTCATCGGTGATAAAAAATGTATGCGTGAGATCGGTCACGTATTCTAGGCATTCTGGGACATCCTGTATACAACTTTATTTATGTGCACTTATGGCCGGTCTTTTTATTAACAATTATTTAAACTACTTAATAATTTTTGCGGTTGTCTTGCATCTTTTACGATTTTTTTTTCGCAATTATCGCTCGCGCTTGTATTAAGATGGAAAATTGCAGTAATCGTAAATGGCTATTTATTACACCTTGTTTACCAGTTATCATCGTGGATTGGATATTTACGATCGTACAAGTAACCTTGAGGATTCGAGCGCGAAGTTTTCGACGAAATTTTACGAAAGGAAATAGGTCGAAAATATGCGAATTTCAGACCAACATTTTTTTAGTAAAAACCGAAACAATTTTTTTTGAGAATGTTTCAAAAATGTTTACAACTTCAAAATGAGCAATTAGAGTAAGTTATAAACAAGGTATTAGTGAGGAGCTGTTACATAAAACGTGGAACATCCCTTTTGATGGCCTTTAACTTGTGCAATTACAGTAAGTTTAATACAAGATATCGATGAATAAAAGTTATAAAATCCCTTTTCAAGGCATTTAACTCATAATATCCGCAATTGCAGTACAAGATATTGATGAATAAAAGTTATAAAATCCCCTTTTAAAGCATTTAACTCATAATATGTGCAACTACAGTAAGTTTACTACAAGATATTGATGGATAAAAGTTATAAAACCCTCTTTTAAGGCCTTTAACTTATAATATGCGCAATTTCAGTACAAGATATTGATGAATAAAAGTTATAAAATCCCCTTTTAAAGCATTTAACTCATAATATGTGCAACTACAGTAAGTTTACTACAAGATATTGATGGATAAAAGTTATAAAACCCTCTTTTAAGGCCTTTAACTTATAATATGCGCAATTGCAGTACAAGATATTGATGAATAAAAGTTATAAAATTCCCTTTTAAAGCATTTAACTCATAATATGTGCAACTACAGTAAGTTTACTACAATATATTGATGAATAAAAGTTATAAAATCCCCTTTCAATGCCTTTAGCTCATATTATGAATAAAAAGTATATAAGTTTAATACAACATATGAACGAATCTCAATAACTATACAACCGAAACCGACATTCACTGACTCATTGGCGTGTTTTTTTTTTTACGGCTTTATTTGCGGGCGAAAAAATCGGAAAAAAATTCTATCCTACGTAACTCGACGAGATCTATCGAAATATCGACTTTTCGAAACCCGGAAAAGTTTCCTTCCGGGTGAAAAACCGGATTTTTTGTTAAAATTACGACTTTTTTGGCATTTTCGACCTATATCTCCGAAACTACATTACAGATTTTTTTCAAACTTTCACCGTATATTCTTTGATTTTTTTGCCATTTTTCCACGCAAATCGCGTTTCTTCAAAAATATATTTCACCAAGTTATAGGGAAATGAAAATTTGCCGAAATTAAAATTTTTTATAAATACACTCCGTTTACTCGGAAACTATGGGGTTTTCGAAAAAAATGTATTCTTTCAAAATTATTAATTCAAGTTTCGTGCAACTAACAAAACAAACCCGATAACGATATCTTAACCCGTTTCGGAGTTATAGCAAAAAAACTTTGTCGATGCACCGGAGTACGGTAGAAAGGAATTCCCGGTCGGCCGCGGAAGGAGCGGGGATCGTGGTCGCTTTTCCATCGCTCGGGTAAGTTGCCGATGGATTTCGTCGGTTCGGGCCAGCGGCGGGTGTTTCGCCATGGGCGGCGTTATTTTTTTTTTTTTTTTGAAAAAAAAAAAAAAAATTTTTAAAGGGGGCGGAGCCCCCTTTACGAGCGACAGCGAGTACGAAATATAAAATCCCATTTTATGGCCTTTAACTCTTCAGACATGCAACTAAAACTAAGCATCTAAGCATCTAACCCACCCTCATAGAAGCAAAAGTATAAACAAAAAAGTTCGAAACTCACACTCACCCCGCTCTCGGTTTTGATCTTATCGTCTTCGGATTCGCTGTAATCGTTCTTTTTGATCCTTTTGACCTTATCCAAATCGAGCAGATCCTCCCCGTCCCCGTGATGCCTCCTCTTCTGTTCGATGGTCAACTTCAAACCGGCCTTTATCAACTGGGAGCAGGTGTGCTGGACGCTGGGCGGGTTCGTCGTCGGCGATTCCACTGGAAATCACAAAGAAACAAGGCCTATTAAATCCTCCAAGGGATCCAGAAACCACCAGAATCCCCCAGGGGTTCCAGACAACCCTTTGAAAGATCAATCAAAGTGCATAAAACCACTCCGGAGAACCTTTTGAAAGATCAATCGAAGTGCATAAAACCACTCGAATCCTCCTGGGGTTCTAGAGAACCTTTTGAAAGATCAATCGAAGTGCATAAAACCACTCGAATCCTCCAGGGGTTCTAGAGAACCTTTTGAAAGATCAATCGAAGAGGATAAAACCACTCGAATCCTCCAGGGGTTCCAGAGAACCCTTTGAAAGATCAATCGAAGTGCCTAAAACCTTGAGAAGAGCATACCTTGACTGCTGCTGGAGCTGTTGGAGTCGCTGCTGGTGTGGAAGGAAGCCCCCCGGATTGGGGGTTTCTTGCCAGGGGCGGACTCGTCGAAGGCGTATTGGTCCAGGGGATTGGTCATGGCGATGAGGGAGTTGAGGATTTCGGGCGTGCGGGGCGTCGTGGCGGCGCCGTCGACCAGCAGGCTGTGGAAAATTGGAAAATTTCAAATTTCGAAATTTTTTTTTTTAATTCGACATTTTTGGGTGGAAATTTGGCTCACCTGTTGACGGCGTTTTGCGCCGACGTCGCCAAGTCTACGTTTAAATTATACATAATATCACTGTATATTTTCTTCGGTTTATCGAGAAAATTTCAAATCACAATTTCGGGACGAGACGAGGCGCTGGGCGAGTCCCTTATCACCTCCGTAGGATCCGATTCGGTTCAGGTGAATGTAAACTGGAATATAAAAAAAATATATGTATTTGGTATGGAGGGAGTTTGGTGATAAGATTGTGACGAAATCGGGGAGATAAGTACGATAATAATTCGGTAATTTTACTACTAATCCCTTTGATGCGATATTCGATTCGATTAATTTTATATGTATAGAGATTAAGTGGAAGGTTTTTGGTAAGAAATTTTCATAGATTACCAGAAGGTTAGTGTGGATTAAAGAAGAAATTTAAAACGCAATAATTTATCCAAACAGTTTGATTTGAATTTGTATTGTACCTATCTGAAAAAAAAAATAGATAAGATAAATATTTTTTCTATTAACCCACGTTTATAAAATTCTGGAAAAATACTCTAAAGTTACTCGAAAGATTGGTAGAAGTTTTTGTATAGGAAGGAAAATTACTGCAGTTATGAATACAATCAAATTGTAGTTTTTTTTTTTAAATAATTCATTCCGTTTACTTTCGCAGAAAACCATATCAAAACAAAGAGATAAGATTATATATTTCAAACAAATTATTCACTCTTACACAACTCGATACGCGATGAATAATCTAATAAAAAGTACACAAATTATTACAAAAAAAAGGATCAAAATGCGAAGGCGGAAAATGGGTTTCTTGTTCGGAATCGAACCAATTAGGTACAAAAAAAGATGGGAAAAAAATTAAACCATCGGTCCCGCTCGAATCGGGCCGCATCAAGGTCGATTTATAAATAGCCCTGGTGGATCCTCCTGATATTATTTCGACGGATCAACGTAAATAAATACAAATTTCGAGCGGCCGCTGTCGATTCGATTTCGCGAAAACGCTCCTCGCTAATTCAATTAGCCCCGTACTCTAATTTCTAACACGAGTAGTTCATTCGAACGGTGTCATGGAAAATATATGGGTCTCCTGTGGGGATTTTTTTTTCGTGCATAAAATGCTGTTATGTCGCAGAAAATTGTGCTACAATTAACTTACTAGCAGACATAAAGGGTGTCTCTATAAAGGTTAGGATATGGGTTAACTACAGGCTTTTATGAGACGAAAATAAGATGATTTAACCTAATTTTAGAGACCTTTTAGAAACCTTTTAGAGACACCCAGTATAAACAAAACAGTAAACGGCAATCATTAGAATTAGAAATAATAATGAAATCCTCGATGTATGTAACGATTAGGTCGCCCTCTATCCAATTTTCTAAACAATTTAATTGTTCAATAAAACCAAGTCCATTGTTCTGAAACGATATCCAACGGAGCGACGATCGATATCATAGACATTTTAGCTGTAGAGAAGTCATTAAAAGCGTTGGAAGTCGTAAAAAAAAACTGGTGTTGTAAAAACGCGAACAAAGTCCGTCCAAATAGGCGATAAATCCCAAATAATTTGAATATAATTCCACAAAATAACATTTTTATTAGAAAACCACAACCTACTAACATATTTCGCGACTATTTTGTAAGTAAAACACATCGGTAGAATATACTATAATAGTTCTAATAAATTTTATTGTAAAGAAATTACCCGAGCCGAACCTGAATTTTATTGATTGTGCTGAAATCTAATCGATAAATTCGGTAAACGTTTCTCTCGGGGTACAGGGCGGATTTATCAATGCATAGATAACATTTTATCTGATGCATTCGAGTGATTTTAGGGTTTTTCTGTTAAGTCACATAAAAAATACGTTATAAAATTCGATCGTTTTAAAATGACAATGACGTCAAAAACTATTCGTAAATTTGAAAAAAAAGAAACAGGACAAAGGCAAAAATTCATTTAGAACTCTCCAGAATAATTTAGAACTGTCTAGAACCATTTATAACTGTCAAGAATCATTTAGAACTGTCTAGAATCATTTATAAGTGTTCTGCAAAGATAACTTTAATTTTAAAAAAATGTACAATACAAATTCGTTCTCTTCTTAGCGTTCCGTGAAATATTCCCATCCTGTCAAAATGTCATAAATTGACGTTTCATTGACATCCACAAAACCAGAAATCAACATGGCCGATACATTTCGAGAAAAATTGTAAATCGTTGAATAACTTTGACATCAGAAACATATTAACCAGTTTAGTTAAATATAAAAAGTGTTATAAGATGTCTGTAAATGTCACAGTGAATATTATTCAATATAAGTGTTCGAGAATCGAGACGAAAAGGCAAGGAAGAAGATGAATAACAAACGTCTTATAGGAGAGAAAAAAAGAAGAAAAGAGGGATTTTTCGAGCGCCTTCGGTAAATATTTATTCGCAAAACTTCCCGTACCATTAAAAATTCTCGCCGAATTCCGTATTCCGTACGAACGTGCGCCCAATTTGGGCCCCCCGATCCGATTCGTATTCTTCTGCTAAATAACCAGTAGCGTACGAAAATTTTCAATTCGCGCTTCCTGCTTCGAAAATCGATGCGAACTGAATACTTACTTGCAACTTATACAAGTCAATCGTCCATCGATCGATCGAAATAGGCCTAGGAAACAATCGCCGTTCAATTCGTTTGTTCGCCTTCCGGGACACGGCCAACTGTTCGAAATATTTTCGATATAAACGAGCGCGGGAGATTCGCTCAGGCGGCCTTGACTTGAGGTTTGAAGAGGTATGTAATTTATGTTTTGGCGAAAAAAATTCGGAGGATAAGTGAAGCATAGATCGTTTTGCGTTTCCTGGATGGTGATGATAAACATCGGCTATAAAGTTAGTTAATTAATTTTGAATTATTACCTACCGCCTAAATACCGAATCTAAAATTAGGCTTACTTCGATTTAAATGACATAATAGAAATTAGGTTGGCTACAATGAAATCCCTATATTTGCCCTATATCTGTCATAGCACTAACGCCTACTAGATAAAATAAGTGAAGCTTCTTAATGACAGATGAAAATTATAAATTTACACATTACATTCAAACACTGTTATTAACACTAACCGAAGGTAATTTCTCTAAACGTTTAAAAGCTCGCCGGTTATTTTTTTTTATTTCTTTCGTAATTACATCGGCAATTAGATGGAAGAAGTTGTAATTATTTTCCGAAACCTTTTCGACACGATCTCGCCGAAGTCCGTATAGATTTATGAATTGTAATAATTTAAATTATGTGCAATAAAACACGAAGGTTACGTTGACATACTATTTGAAATTTATTAAGTGTGTTTTCGTTTTAAATCAATGTTTGAAAGTGTAATTAATAGCTTAATAGGAAAAAAATAATTAACTAAATTTGCAATTTGTATAAGTGTTCACCTACTGTGAATAAAATATTTTTATGTGAGAAATTATAATGTATGGTTTTTTTATCATTGTCTCTCTCTTATCGATATATTATAATAAATCTTCCTTCTTTATTATTTATCTATTATTTGCGGGTTTTATTATAGTATGCCATGATTGTCATTGAAATGTCAATTAGTAACATGAACTGAAAGGCAAGCTGTGACATTTGACATTTCATAAAAGTTCAATATATTTTTTGTATTCATTTTAAATCAATGTTTAAAAAAGTAATTACTAATAACTTAATTGCAAAAAATAATTAAGTATAAAATTGCAATTTGTGTAAGTTATAGTGATTAAAGTATTTATACATACATGACTAATTAAAATGTACAATTTGTTATCCTCGTGCTTCTCTTATCAACAGAGTGTTATAATAATCTTCCTTCTTTTTTATTGAAATGTCAATTAGTTACATGAAGTGAAAAGTCAACTTGTGACATTTGACATTTCATAAAAGTCAATTTTATGAAAATCCACTGGAAAAGTAGGCATAACAATTCAATTTCGGTAACTTCAAAATGTAACCTTAACAATGTATTTGTCGAATTCTCTAATTTATCGACCGCTCAAATCAATTTTATTTACAACTAATTATTCGGAAAAAAGCACCGCTTCGTTTCGAAATAATTATCGCAATTAGCATACCGAACGAATACCTGAATAACCCATCTGCATCGCGACGCCTTGACCTCATAATTAATCGAAACGAATTAAAAAAAAATGATCTAAAGATCCGGCGAGTCGGAAAAATTCGAAAATATTTCATTCTTCGCCGAGTAAAAATATACAGGTAATTAAATTAGCATAATTACTACACCTGTATTTTCTTTGGGAGATTTTATAGCTCTCTCTAATTTGATACAGTGAGATATGTTTATAGGTGTTATCTAATTGGTTTATTAATGTGATGTTTGAGGTAGAGAATTAATTAATTTATTGTTGTTTAATTAAGGAGTATGGAATAAAAAACGTACTGTATATAATGGAAATGTTCGAGAAATAAATCTAAACGGGAAAAAATATTAAATTTCAACATGAATGCGTTCGATTCAGATTTCCTGATGTAATTTTCATTCATAAAAAATAAATATTTATTTAACTATCGTCTGTGTTTATAAATCTTCTATGTTAAAACGTCCTGAGAAATATTATAGGACGTGCTTATTCGATGTTTTGTTTATAATTCGAGCGTTAAATAATTGCAGGTTTTGTTGATAAAATTCGAAATTTTTTACATTTGTTATTTAATCGATTTAAATTCGAAAAATGCTACTTTTTAGGCGTACAGGACTCGATGTTATTGACATTAAAATTTCGAAATTTTTTGTTTACTCGTATTTTTTTGACTAATTTGAAGTTCTCAGATAAAGCGAAATTATTATCTAAATGGATTGGGATTAATGGCGGCGGCTCGTTTTAAAAATATCGCCGCTCCGCCTAATTTTAGTAAAAGGTTCTTTATTATTTTTATTTAAACGAGATAAAAGTTTGCGTAAAATGCGAATTAAAAACCCGATAAACTCCGCTAAAATATTAATCGCTCGATTTGGCAACGAACCCATTAAATAACATTCGAAACGAGCATCATCCAGGACAATTCCTAATAATTAAATAAATCATTATGTAGTTCGAATTATTCTTAGTAGGTATCCAAGCAATGTAAACAAGGAGCCTACGAAGCGCCATTTTTGGATTTTATTTACCTATTTATTACTGTTAGATACCTCTAAAAAACATCCTAACCCACTTTATAAACGTGTGAATTACATACGTTAATCGTGACATCCTGTATAACGAAAAATAGGTGATATACAGGATGTATCACTAAAAAAAATATTTTCATTTTTTGTTGGTATATATTTTTACATTTAAACTTGAACAGAAGAATCGAATTTAATCGAAATATCGAAAGATGTTTGTGTGTGTGTGTGTACGAGCTGTGACTCAAAAAAAATTAGCATAATTCGCGTGGGCGTCCTCTTTATTTACTGATATTTATCGAAAAAGGACGGAACGATGGGGGATTTACAGCGACAGACGGAGACGACGAGGCGCACCCACAAAAATATATATAGGTACATTATATTAGAGAAAGCCCGAGATCGTATGTGATATACAGCGTGGAACTCTTTTTCTTTTTATTATTTTTTTATTTACATTCAAAATAACTAGATACAAGATGATAAAATGTAATTGTTGAAGAGACAATTTTGTAACGAGCGAACGAAAAAAACTATAGCATTAAAAGTTGACAAAACAGGGGCATAATATGTAAATGTAATAAAAATAAATTTAGCTTGAGAAAATAATCCGAAGTTGTTTTCCAATATATTTTATGTTAACATTGTTGGCAACAGATCAAAAGCTGCGTTTTTCGTCTTGCCCGCCTGTATTTCGAACGCGCCGTGCAATTTCGATAATTTTATATAAACACAAAGTTAACCTCGTTTCTTTCGCTCTCTTCATTTCGAAATCCAACCTATTTTTTTGATTCTTCTTCTTTATTTCGAACAAAATTCATCCAACACATGAACTATACACATATAGTTAATTGAGCCACCCTGTACCCACAAAATTCATCCAGAATGACTAATAGAAAAGCAATTACTTGAGCCATACTGTAACTATAAAATTCATCCAGAATGACTAATAGAAAAGCAATTACTTGAGCCACCCTGTACCTATAAAATTCATCCAGCATACTAAATAGAGAAATAATTACTTGGTCAAGCATGGATCAATGGAGAAATAATTAATTGAGCCACTCTGTACCTTCAAAAATCATCCATCGTATGAACTATATTGGGTTTTTGGGTATTTTTTTCAAAAATCTAAAGTTATTATTTTTAATTTGACCGATGCAGACCCTTATAAATTATTTTTTTACTTGGATACCCTTAAAGATATGGAAACGGTTTTTGTAGGAGGGCTACTAGCAAGGTTAAAGGTATTTGAATCTGTGTTAAAAAACTTTTTAATTTATACAGGGTGTGTACGAAAAATGTGAAAAATTGAACTTCAAAAATACCAAATTTCTTCATTTTTTTTTTAATGGAACCACCCATTTTTTCTATTTTGTTACAATCAACAGTAAAAATTAAGGGAAGTTCATGTTTACCTCCCTATACCTAAACCTAATAGTCATTTAATATGTAATTACTTGAGCCACCCTGTACCTACAAAATACAAATAAATAACTACTCGATCCGCCCTGTACATGCGATTTAGCACATCCCGTAGATCAAACAAAGATAAGAGGAAACGCCGAGGAACGTTTATGGAAAAAAAAATAATCTCTCAAACTACAACAAATTTGTTTTTATTTATTCGCGTAATTATCTCGGTAATACGATATTTGCTCTGAAAGCCTGCGAACGCTCGAAAATCGGTTGATGTAAATGTATTAAATATAATTTTCGTTCGTTAGACGCCCGACGAACAAACAGAGTTTTCAATTAGACAATGCGGAAAATTGATGTTATGCTAATAGACGAGAGAGCGAGAGAGAGAAAAAAAAAATAACCGGCGAGGTCGTTTCGTTTTGCTGGTGAACAAAGAAAGCGCAAAAATTCGAAGGATCCAATTTGAATGCGTTAAAATTCGCCAAAATTTACCATATACGAGGGTACGAAGATATTTAGTGCATTAATACACGATATACGAGGGTACGAAGATATTTACGGCTATATTCACCAATGCCTGTTAAATCGCTAACTGAAAGATAAGTTCTTATCCAAAACGCGGTTTTTTTTTACCTCACTTTTTTAACTTTATCGTCCTTCTCTACACGATCGAATTATTATTAATTAAACGCTGTAATTTTCGCGACTTTTTCCCCTGCGAACTGTAACCCTGAACCGCTGCATAAATAAATCTCCAACGCCCAATAATTACCAGCCGAATGCATTCTAATCGATCGCGTGATCGAGTTATCGAAATCGGATCGAATCGAATGCAGAGTTTAACCTCACCGAAGGCGCTCTAACTCTGCCCGTTTGAGGTCAATTAATATTCTTTTCCACGTTCTTACAATTACGCGATGTTCGCAACTTTTAATTGCAAGTAATTAGTGTAGACCTCCCTAGTAGGTTTATTTATTCGACAAATATCTTCGCGCGTAAATACGAAAGATAAAGCGACTGTAAATGTTTAAAAAAAAAAAACAGTGTTTACGAATCGTATTGACCTGCATAAAAATCCTTTATGCTAATTACAAAACCAGTGATTGTTTCAATATGCACGTTTTGTGTTGGAGGCGGTTTGTTTCAAAGAATATAGGCGTGCTGTTCATACAAATAGTAGTCAATTAAATTTGCATATTGAATTCGTACAGATTTGCTAGTACACTACATACAGTATGACTCAATAAAAACGGGTTTAATGTATAAATCAAATCGATCAATCCGCCCGGGGATCGGGCCCCAAGTAGGGTCTACTATCCGTCCAATAGAACGAAGGATTCCCGATTTCCTCCAGCAAACACACCGCCTCATCGACGAACCCCAATTTGGAGAAATACGAGCACAATCTGGGCCCCTTGGTGGGGATCTCCGTGTAATAAGGGGGCGCTAGAATATCCAAAAAAGCCGCCGGTTCGTCGTAGCTCCGGATCTCGTGGATGTTGCATTCCTGCGGCCGCAGGACGCACGGTTTCGACGCCCCATTCACCAAGTCCTTACCCTTAAACTCCGCCGAAATCACCCTCTTCAAAGGCGCACCTGGTGCTCTATTATGGTTGTGATCGGACCCTGTTGAAGACAATGTAGTGGTGGATGTGCTGGCGTCTGCTGATGAAGGTTTTATCTGCAACCCCACGTCTTTGGTGGTGCTAGAGGTGTTTAAGTTTGTGGTTGTGGTTGCATCTCGATTGGTTATTGGAATTTCGCGATGCTCCCGCTTTACATCCACCTCTAAGGTTTTGGATGTGTTCAACGAGTAACTTTCCACGCTCAGTTGTCCTGCTAGTACTTTGATCACCCCGTACATCTCGGGGTGGTTGTGGAGCGGTACGATTTTGTGGGGTTTGAGGACGAAGATCCCCATGGAGAAGATCTTGTCTTCGTAGACTTCGATGTAGGATATAGGAGCGGTGGTATGGTCTTGGGGGATGTACTGGGCGTAGGAGATGTCCAGGTTCAGGTCTTCGGCGGTGATGCTGTCCATGAGGACGCAAAGATTGTGGAGATTTTCCGAGAAATTGGAGGATTGGTCATTGGTGAAGGTCAGTCGGGCTTGCTTGAATATATCTTTGATTATTGCGGACATTTGAGGCGTTTGACAATCGGTACCAACTTTGTTACTAGGGGAGTGGAAATGTTACTAGTGGAAGTGCAATGGACTTTCCCCTAAACCAAGGTTATAGAGGTGTTTCCTCAAATAAATGTCCCGTTAGGAGTCCAGGAACTTCCATTATAGTCTCATATTGTAGAGGAAAGAGTCATATCGTTTTGAACTTTAGAATTTAGAACTCCAGACTCATTTAGAACGCATTAGACTCATTTTGAGCTATCCAGAACAATTTTAGAACGCTCCATCATCATTTTGAACTGTCTAGAACAATTTTAGAACTCTCTAGACTCATTCTTATCATCTTCAAAATCATCTAGAACTGTCTAAAAGAATTAAGAATGGTCGAGAGTCAATTAGAACGGTCCAGAATCATTCAGAACTGTCTGTAACAATTTAGAATGCTCCATCATCATTTAGGACTCTCCAGATTCGTTTAGAATAGACCAAAATTCAAACCTTCACTTATCGAGTTCATAGGTACCTTAATAAATGTATCTGGTTTGAAAATTTGAGTTTGATCTAGCAGGTAATCGCGTCCTGTCATATCAAAAATTTCAAAATTCCCGTCGCACGTCACCCAAAATCCGTGCTACAAGTATAATTTCCGAAAAATTCTGGTGTATGTTGTCCAAACGATAAAAATCGAAGAGAAGGTGGAAATGGCGTCTCTGATTCAAAGCATCCTGCAGCAATCGCTGGTGACGTTCCGCAGCGATCCGGCCTCCTTCTCCGCCCAGATGACCACTTTGGCCGGTCTGGTGGAGAAAATCACCGCCGAAGACCTCAACTTCGACATCGCCTTCGCCAGCGCCCCCGCCGACAGCGACCCCACCATCCCCGTCGCCCCCATCACCTACATCCACATCTTCCAAGACGGCGTCCTCTCCATCGGCATCTTCGTCCTCAAGGCCGACAAGACCATACCGCTGCACAACCACCCGGACATGTACGGCCTGGTGAAGGTCCTCTCCGGCAAGGTGAAGATCGACAGCTACTCCCTCAACACCACCAAAACGCGCGAGATTACAAACCAAGAAACCACGAACGTTCCCGAAGGGGTGGTGCCCAAGAACATCTTCCCGGCGGAGTGCAACAGCAGCGAGGTGTGCGACTCGCTGTCGAAGCCCTGCCTGCTGGAGCCCCACAACAAGAACATCCACGAGATTCGCAGCGTCGACGGGGCGGCGGCCTTTTTGCACGTGCTGGCGCCGCCGTACGCGGAGGCGGCGGCGGCGGCGCCGGAGGCGGCCGCCAAGCGGTGCTCGTTCTACGCGGCGCTGCGCCGGCTGGCGCCCGAGGTGGTGTTGTTGCAGGAGATCGAGTGCCCGTCGTGGTACTGGTCGGATTTCTATCCGTACACGGGGCCCGATCCCGCCGAGGGGATGGATTGCAACGCCAATTGAACGCGATTTCTCGGTATATAGGCCGACCGTTCGCGGAGCGACTGTTTTGAAACGAAAAATCGTAAACCAGTTGACTAGTTGCAAAATGGTTGCAAAACAGTTGCGAAATAGTTGCAAAACAGTTGCGAAATAGTTGCAAAACAGTTGCGAAATAGTTGCAAAACAGTTGCGAAATAGTTGCAAGATCAACTGGTTTGCAACTTTGTTGTTTCAAAACAGTTGCGAAATAGTTGCAAGATCAACTGGTTTGCAACTTTGTTGTTTCAAAACAGTTGCGAAATAGTTGCAAGATCAACTGGTTTGCAACTTTTTGTTTCAAAACAGTTGCACCGCGTGCGGTGGGTCTTATTGGAATGCGGAGCTGGCGATTTGATTTGAGATGGTGGTTTATGATTTGGACATGCAATAAAAGTTTTTTTTTTCAAGAATTTCGCTCGTTTGATTTCGTTTTAAATTGTTCTAATATAATTGTGGGCGTTTTTGAGGCGACCATTATACTTAAAATTTAATTGTCCCCGAAAAAAACTGGGTCGCGCGGTAATATATCTAGCAAATAATTGCTCGGAACAAATTAAATTGCTGTAGTTAATTACGTTTACCAGAAATATTTGAAACTCGAACGTTGAAAAAAAAAACACACGGAGGTAATTACGTTTACTTTATGAGAAGTTTTGCTTATTGTTTGCGTTTCTGATGTTCAACCTTGCTTTGAATAATTGTTAAGTAATGTACGGCATAATTTTCCTCTTCCGAGGTTTTGCCTAAAGTTTGAGCATCCCTCGTAAATTAATTCCATAATAAATATACCTACTGGTGAGTGCAAATTTGTTTGCAATATGAATTCTATAATAGAATTCTTTAGACTCAATTAGAATGCTCCAGAATCATTCAAAACTATTTAGAAGGCTCCAGAATAATGTCTATAACAGAAACTGTCAGAACAGAAACTGTGTAGAACAATTCAGAATGGTCTATCATCATTTAGGACTCTCCAAATTCGTTTCAAACTTTAGAATTTAGAACTCCAAACTCATTTATAACGCGTTAGAATCATTTTGAACTATCCAAAACAATTTTAGAACGCTCTAGAACCATTTAGAACTTTCTAGACTCATACTTATCATCTCCAGAATCATCTACAACTGTCTAGAAGAATTAAGAATGGTCGAGAGTCAATTAGAACGCTCCAGAATCATTCAGAACTGTCTGGAACAGTTTAGAATGATCCATCATCATTTAAAACTCTCCTGACTCGTTTAGAACGGTCCAGAATCATTCATAAGTCTGTTTCGAAGAAGAAGAAGAATGACAAAAAACTAACCTTCTTTTTCCTTCATATGAGACTAATAGAAGTCGTCCTTGTTGCACCTATAGGACCTCGATTCTTGTATACAAATTTGCACCGATCTGTATATTCTCTCTAAATTTGTCAGTATTCGAATTGAAATCCAGTAAGTAATTTTAAAGGCTTGCTCTATGAATAATTCATATGCAAACGACGCATTGTTTGTGTTAAACACGTTTTTTCTGTTTTGTTGCAGGTGAGTAGAATCTGGAAGACGAGCAATTGGCAAGCGTTTGGTAAGAAAAAGTTATCGAAACAATAATAAATTGCGAAACTTGGCAGTTTAAAATTTCGAATTATCGCCGGCCAAATGGCCGATTGATGCGTTTAAATAACCGTTTTCTTCCCGAAATAAAACCGAAAAACGCGAAAAAGTCGCGAAAATTACAGCGTTTAATTAATAATAATTCGATCGTGTAGAGAAGGAAGATGCGGCGATAAAGTTAAAAAAAGTGAGGTAAAAAAACCGCATTTCGGAAAAATCAAAACCTCGTTAAATTTATGTATCTGATTGTTGGATTCACCGCGTTTTCCGTTAGCGAAATGTATATCAATTTCTAAAAATAAAATTTCGAATTTAACAAATAAATAAAGTCCAAAATTACCGTTTTTCGCAGATTTAATCAGTGAACTTTCTTTTAACTACTTAAAGAAGGATGTTTCCAAAGTTCTAGGAATTGCATATGAGTTGAACAAAGAAAGATTATCCATCAAACAACAGTAGTTGGAATGAGAAAGTTGCAACCTGCCAATATAAGTCATCCTTTTCCCTTTACATGAGACATAATGGAAGTTGTCTTTATAGCACGAAAATGAATCAATCTGTATAAGTTCTGCATAATTTAATTAGAGCTTGCAAAATTCCCACAGAACTTTTGAAACATCCCTCGTATTTTCATGTTAAAAATGACATCAAAATCCGCGCGCAGAACTGAATTAATTAATTAATAAACACCTTTAATGTCTGCTAAATGGAACCCGAAGAAAAACGAGAAATCGTGATCGCCGGTAATCCATTCAATCAAGACGATTTGTATCTACAACCTATTTCGATCTGCGACCATGAATCGATGGTTTGAATTGAATAGAAAAAAAAAATCGAAAACTCCTTCGGTGTTCTGAATGCCTGTATACCACCGTCAATCAAGGCCAGCAAATTGTTAACAAAAATGGCAGATAATGAAAGAAATTCTCTTGAATTTCATTAGAGTTGTGAATAAAGGGATCCATTACGAAGGCTCCAGGCAAGGTTCCCAGTAATTCCAGCTATTTTATTAATGCAAAACAATTATCAATGTTTCGGTGTAATGATGGAATTTGTTACTAATCAAAAGATAATTGCAATGTACTGTATGACTCGCGTTATATCTTGGAGGTAAAAGTTTTACTTTTACTTCATTTACTAGTAAAATTTTATCACAATTTTCCTTGTACTTGTTGATCCATTTTAGTATGCAATATGAGTGCGATAAAGACAACTTCTATTTGACTAATATAAAGGAAAAAGAAGGAGTGACGTTATGTCATTACAACTTGTCACTCTAACAACTGTCATTTTATCTGTCAATACTGTCTTTAACTGTCAATCTTTCTTTGTTCAACTCATAGAAATGTTTAATAGGTCAAATTGGCGTTTCGATTTCGCCAACGGAACGCGCGAAATATGAAAACGAGAAAATTAATTAATAACGCCAATAAAAATGTGTTTGTACGAGTGAAAACCGTTCTTTTTATGGCGTTGTTTATTCGAACCCAGCCTTAATGTCTCCATTGTGTCGTTACTCGGTCGTTTTATTAGCATCAGTTTCGCGTACGTGAAAATATCCTCCAGAAAACAATCGATTTATTTGTTTATTTACCGGCGGAAAGTAGACCATTGTTCTGTTCTGACATTTATTAATTTTTATTATAATTCCAACAAAACGAGCTGTCACTTGTCAATTGTCAATACCAGCCAACTCGATTTCATCTTGTTAATGAACGATCCATCCGAGTTGGCGAACAAAATCGACTGGTTATTTAGCGTTAGAGACTATAATCCTATTAGATTTTAATCTCATTAACATAATCTTAATGTTCCCGCTCGGGTAACAATGTGGAGAACATCGTAAATAAATAAAAAAAATTTACAGCTTTATGGATCGGCTAACACATGGGCCATTTCCTTCATTTACAATTCAAATGCAACCTTGAGTTTTCCCGTGCCGCTTTTGTGCTGTTCCGTCTCGAAATTTAGCGGATATTTTAGGATAATAAAGAGCCAGTTTCGCTGATATAATAACTGTCACAACTGTCAGTTCTGTCATTTCGTATAAGCTAGCTAGATTTCTCGAAACTCGACGAGTTTCACGGTCTCCCTGATGTACTAGAGGCACCATTAATTACGCTGTTTCGACCCATTAATAACCCGTTTGGTTAAATTTGATGATGGTTTTTAAGTCGCTCGAATTTATAAATTTATTTTTTATACACGCTCGCCCGCATGGCGTTCGAGCCGTCACAGTTTATTATGATCGAATGATTTTCTGGCTCGACATCGAGTTACCATAGGAATATAAAATAAGTGGCTGGATACACACGAAGCAAAATGGCGTTAATGACGTGGCAAAACGTCATTCTACGACCTTCTAATGTTTAGCGAATCGTTAGTAGGCCGTGTAGCTGTCATTCAATTGTCATATTAAATAGAAATATGGAAATTGGATAATGGTGTAAAAATTTTAAATTAATCCCCCGTTTTAGCGAGGTTAAATTGTGAAGAAAAGATGAAAAATATAAGGTTACTCTTCTCGCTTTTACTGAATAATTAATTTCGTATAATCAATTACTATACATTCCTTTTTACAACCGAATTAATGTAGTGATTAGACGTTTAGCAGAAGATTAATTATGAAATACCTTCAACGATAATTCATCCGTACTTGAGTACGAATTTTTCGAAAAAAACCATCCGATGTAGTTAATTAAAATAATCAACAATAAACGATTATTGTTCGGGATTTATTAAGCGCAGTATAGGCTTGTAAACAAAATTAGAAATAATAGTAAAATCGAGTTTTAATAAATGCGTTTCTGCAAATATCTAGCCCATTCCGCCTTATAGCTAATTTACACCGCCATAAACAGCGACCTTGTTCGTCCATTAAACGTGCATTTATCTATATTTTTCGTGATTATTTTCGTTTTTATTGTTCGAACCGAAGCGAAGGTCTTCGTTACCTTTTTCTCTCGGTAATTAACTAATAGCGGCTACATTGTTTTAAGAATAATCGGAATAATAGACAGATATTATGTACCTACAGAAGAATTCGTTAAATTAAATTTCGTAAGTGATTAAATTAGTAGCAGAAGGATGAAGTGTTGGGGAGATTAATGAGTACCGTGTAAACGATTTTATTTTCTAATATTAATATATCGAATGCGACTGCATGTGCTAAACGTGGGTCGCCTTCGATTTGTAAAAATGTCAGTTAATCTTCGTTTTCAAGGAGAAAAACGAAACGATTCGTAGGTGTGTGTATGTGTACGTTTCAACATGACTATTTGATTGTTATTGTTTGTCGTTCGAACGTTCCTCGGTCGAGTTTTTTTAGCGATAAAAGTAGGGAGAAAATTGGGATAGTTCAAAGGTAGAGAGAATGTTACTATGTTTCAAAAGTAGAGAGAAAATTTGGATATTTTAAAGGTTTTAGAGAAAAAATTTGGTTATTTCAAAGGTAGAGAGAAAGTTGGGTTGTTTCAAAAGTAGGGAGAATATTTAGATATTTCAAAAGTAGAGAGAATGTTGGGATGTTTCAAAGGTAAAGAGAAAATTTGAATATTTCAAGGGTAGAGAGAATGTTGGTATGTTTCAAAAGTAGAAAGAAATATAGGATATTTCAAAGGTAGAGAGAATGTTGGGATGTTTCAAAGGTAAAGAGAAAATTTGAATATTTCAAGGGTAGAGAGAATGTTGGTATGTTTCAAAAGTAGAAAGAAATATAGGATATTTCAAAGGTAGAGAGAATGTTGGTATGTTTCAAAAGTAGAAAGAAATATAGGATATTTCAAAGGTAGAGAGAATGTTGGGATGTTTCAAAGGTAAAGAGAAAATTTGAATATTTCAAAGGTAGAGAGAATGTTGGTATATTTCAAAAGTAGAAAGAAATATAGGATATTTCAAAGGTAGAGAGAATGTTGGGATGTTTCAAAAGTAGAGAGAAAAATTGGACGATTTAAAGGTAGAGAGAATGTTGGGTTGTTTCAAAAGTAGAGAGAAAATTTGGATAATTCAAAGATAGAGAGAATGTTGGGTGTTCCAAAAGTAGAGAGAAAAATTGGATACTTCAAAAGTAGAGAGAATGTTCAGATGTGTCAAAAGTTGAGAGAAAATTTGGATGTTTCAAAGGTAGAGAAAAAGTAGAGAAAATTTGAATATTTTAAAAGTAAATTGAAAATTTGTACGTCACAAAAGTAGAGAGAAAATTATATTTCATATAGGTAGAGAAAATTGGGAAATTTCAAAAAATTAGGGAGAAAATTAGAATGTTTCCAAAGTAGAGAGAAAAAAAAAATAAAAAAATGGATGGGAAAAAAAAAGTTAGTAAAAAAAATTTTTTCCATTTTTTTTTTTCGCAAACCTTAATTTGCTGATTAAATTTTCGCGATAATTAATTTGGACGATTTTTCGTCGGAATCGGCCAAACAGGATGTATTTCGAGAGACTGCTCGACGCCACAGAAACCGCAGAAAGTTTTGCATTAATCAATTTCTAGAATGATGTAATTACACGTTACTGGATATACGAAGAATAGCGTTACTCATTTCGAGATCGTGCACAATTTGTTGCATTTTTCTACTATAACGATTCGTCTATTACTCTTCGGTTTATTTTTAGATCTTGCGCTTTCCTCGACAGGTTTCCGCCAGAAGGTCACCCGATTTTCTTCACTCGATAAAAGTCTATTTTTATTAATATTGTTCCTATTTTTTACCGCAATTACCGTAAATATTAAATTACCGATACAACCTTCGGAATATACGGCTTTAAAGTTGTTTATTTCGAGCAATTATTGCTACAAATAATTACATTAAAATCCCCCTTTTAAAAACGTTTTCTAAATCTATCAGGGGGTCAATCAAACAAAACTGAGTCAACGTTTATTTATAAACAGTTCTTTTTATTCTCGAAAGAATGCTAATCACTGCACCTTTACCGCACACAATGTAAATAACGAATGTATTAGCGAAGTTGATTTAGTGCATTTAGATGAACTGGTGTCGAGTCGAGACCGACTGCATAATTCCATTTTGTTACTTGCACGCGCCGTGAAAAATGAATAAAAAAACAGAATAGAATGCAAGGTAACGGGAACAGTCGACAAAAGTAGAGAGAAAATCCGTTAAAAAATGTTTCTAATTCGCAGGAATTGAGATAAATGAGAAAACTCCGCGGAAAGTAAATCACAAACACAAATAACATCACCGTATTTACCTAAACATGAGCTCGTGTTAGTCGTTAGTAATTTAAATGAAACTCGATTGAATTCACAAAATAATTAGTAATTAAACTTGTTTTTTTTTACCCGTGCATATACTTTTCTTTTACATAACGAGCTGTGTTGTTTATTTAACGAAAGGGAAGGTTAATAATTAGCAATAAATTCATATAAAAGGAATTATTTGTAGCCAAGAATTTGCTATATTTAGCTATATTTAGTGTTTCTAAAGTTTTTTAATCACCATCTAAGATAAGTTTTGTGTAATTTAATAAGAGAACAATTCCGGGGTCTTTAGAAACATCCCTCGTAATTACTGATTTAAATTCGTGTAGTATAAGATATATTGCTCACAAGTGTGGTAAATTTCGCATATTTCTGCGGTTATAGTCTACATAGAATTTCATTGTTTTAAATAAAACCGGACGCGCGAATTTGAATATGTAAATAGATTAATATTTACAACGAAACCTATTAAAATGAATCGAAAAAAAAAATCGCTCAAATTAATCGAATCCGAGCAAGTTTCCGTCGAAGAATAGAGCGAACTCCTCCGCATAACGATTTTCATAGGAATGCCATTCGCAATTGCAATTGAAATTGATTAAATTAATCTGACCCGGGCCTGGCCCATTAGCCACAATTCCATAGGTCGTAAAGAAAATGATTATTTTGTAACAAATCGTGCATTTTTTTTTCTCTTTTACATAAAATACTCGCACAATTCGTGGAAAAATCGACCTTTTGAACCATTTCCACGACCTCTATTAACCTAAATAAAGCCGAAACAAAAAATAATTTCGAACGCGGAGACAAATACACCCGAAATAAATAAATTTATTGCAACACGACACGCACACACATACGAATACATAATTTTATTAGAAGAAGAAAAAACTAAATAAAACGCACATGTATAAAATGTACAAATCGTCCAACATTGATCCGCTGAAAGGACCATTAATTTCTCGGCGAGTTTCAATAACACATTCTCGCATTTAATTATTACCAGCGAGTTAATTTTTGTGTGTCAGAAAATCGTGGCGAATCCATCCTTGGATTAGTTTTTTTTTTTTTTTAATTCCTCTTCATCTTGTTGTTCGTTTCGTTTCGAGGGAATCTTCTGTTTGTGATTTATTTCGGCTGTTGCGTAATTTATCGCCGATAATTGGTAATTTGAATTAAACAATTTAGCGAGCGTTAGGAAAGTAATTTTAATGGATTAATTCGCGGAGGTGTTAATGACTATTTTTAATCAAAAATTGTACTTATTCCTGATAATTAGTAAAAAAAGCAGCGATGCCAAATCGACAAAAAAGTGGTATTTAGATTGTAAACTGTCATATTTTAAGTAATAGCAGATTAAAGAGTAATATTGTGTAGGTCAGTGTAAAACAGTGCAATGTAGTGTAGATCAGTGTACAGTAGAGTTGCAGGATAGTGTAGAATAGTGCAATGTAGTGTAAATCAGTGTAGCGTAATGTACACTAGAGTAGTTCAGTGTAGAGTTACCGGATAGTGTAGAATAGTGCAATTTGGTGTAGATAAGTGTAGAGTAGTTATAAAAATAAAAATAAAAATGTTATAAAATAATAAAAAGTAACATTAATTCAGATGCTATTGCTCGAACAAAAACATGCTTTATATGCCTTTCATACACCTGTGTCGTAAATAAAATGCTAATTAAAGCATCTTCTGTGAATTCGTATTCGAATATTTTTTTCGAGGAACGTAGCAACAGTCGCCCCGTTTGAATATAATTGCAAATTATTCAAAATAATTCGTAAAATAATCGTAAAATTATATAATTTACATACGATGTTATAATAGATCGCTTTTAACGTTCGTTGTATTTAGTAAACAGTAAATAATAAAACGCAGCAGAGTAGATCTCTTTACTGCATAACAAATATTAAATTTATCTAAATTAAAAAAAAACTAGCCGCGTACCGGCTCCTTTAATTAATTAATTAGCACAATTAGCGCCTTAAGCGCGCACATGTCAACACAAACAAAGTAGGCCGAGTAAACAAAACCCCTAAAAAATATATATTTCTGATTGCAACATTTCTATGAGTGGAACGAAGAAAGATTATTAAAATGACAGTTGTCAAAGTGAAAACTTGCAATGACATAAATGTCATTCTTTCCTTTTCTTTTGTAAGTGTCTAATTGAAGTTGTCTTTATCGCACTTATAGCCTATGTTGCGATCAAAAATGGAGCTTAAATTAAAACAAAAAAACTTACCTCAAAAATAACCACCTGCTGCACGGAGAACCGAAACCGCCGGGCGAAGAAAACCAGGAAAACTCGCGAACAAACGACAGTCCACTGTCAGCGCAACAATCGGCATTCAAATTCAAATTCCGCCAACAATCCGGGCCGCGGTAATTGATAAACATTTCATACGCGTATCGGCGTGCGTGTGTGTGTGCGTGTGTGCGTTTGCGGTGTCTCCCGACGCGCTCGCTGCTCGGGCTCTTCGACTCTGGGCCGCCCGACGGCCGGTCGCTATTTCTAGAGCGGCCATGTCACGGCGCGAGCCCCCCATTGGCCAGCGCTGACGCAACGCCGCGGCGCGATTGGCCGGCCGCGATCGGCGCGCTCGGTCGCCATTCGTCCGCCGTCGCCGTCGCGGCTAATCCGATGGGCGAAGAGGGGCGCGTGCCGGCCGCTTTGGAATTTCGCGAACGGAGCGCGCGGGTTCCACCTTCTAATTACACCGACGATGTCTAATAATGCGCTTTTTTTTACGATTTACTATTTGAAACTCTCTATTGGGATATTTCGTACGACTTTAGTGTTAAGTTGGCTAACCTGACGCACCAACTGTCAAATATATGTCAACTTCCGAAATGAATCAAATGAAGAACCGAACAAATTTTTAAACGCGCATCTTTTACGGTAATTATCACTTTTCTTTAAACTTTAAACAACGTACAACTATTAAAAAATTCTCTATGGAATAAAACATTCTATAATAAAGAAAAATAGATTCATCTCTACATCTATTTGACTCGCAAGTAATCAGTAATAATAATCAGACTGCATCTAGTAACCCGTTTTTTTTACTCATCGATTACTACAATATCATTTTATTCGATCAAATGGGTATAAATAAAGAAACGATTTATCATATATTCCAGCATCTTCGAATTTATTATATCATTTACCGGGTACATAAATAGGAAAGAATATTTACAAAAACAGACGCTTACATCAAACAAGGCGATTGTACAAAAAAAAAATGTTTTATTTGATACGGTTCAGTAAAAAGGTGCCTAAATAACAAAATGTAAGTCAAACAAATTGAAATGCGTGTTTAAACTTAATCGAATTAAAAAGAAGCCAGGTTTAATCAATATCTCTTCCTAAAAAATAAAAAGTTTGATTAATTTTAGACAAAACATGGCGGTTTTTGGTGATAGATGTCAAATGTCAATAATTGAACTATTTTAAGGTCGAATAGAATGGTCTCTTCTCGAATTAAGCTGAAAACTATTATATCCTGTAATTACTAATTCAAAAAATGCATTTAGCAGGATTATTTGTATGTTGTATTGCATCCTGTTGATCAAAATTATTTACAATTTCACTAAACTCTAATTGACACATGTCACTAGTCAGTTGTCATTAGTCTACTTGTCACAAATTTTGCACTTATATTTTCCATCAATTCCTCCTTTTCCGTTTTCAACGCCAATTTTCCACATTTTCATGATTACAACCATTCCAGCTACACGTTCTAATAACGTATCTAATCTACGAGAAACCGTCAAATAGAAATCACAGCGCGCTTTCAACACGCCATATCTCAATACAAACGTAACGTACCCACGAATTAATAAAAAAATAAAGAAAAAAAACAAATACTAACATCGCATCTCACTTACTCTCGGCAGCCCTCTCCTCGGCGCGCGCCTTCATTCGCGTTATAAACGCCGCCCCCTTGTTCTTCCTGAAATTCTCGTAGGGATCGTTCAAATTGCAACCCACCCCTTTGAACTGGTCCTGTCTGTCGCGCACGTCGCCCCCCGATATCGGCGTATCTATCCCCTGCTCGTTGGCCCCCAAACCGCTACCGCCCCACCCCATCTTCTTCAACATCTGATGCCCCTTATTCGACGGATCCAACTCCTGTACCGCCGATTGCATCAAACTCAAATGCCTATAAACAACGAAATCCACTTAATTAATCGAGTAAACGACTCAATTATGCATCTACTCACGTAAAGTTAGTAGCAGGAGGCGGCGAAATGGATCGCCTAACGGGCGACCTCGATCTAGATCTGGATCTAGTGCGGCTCCTGCGCCTCCTCTCCCTTCTCGACTCCCTCTCCCTGTCTCTGTCGCTCCTCGACTCCCTGTAGCGCCTTCGCGGGCTCCTCGATCGGCTCCTCGATCGACTCCGCGACCGCTTCGCCCGGTAGACCGGCGGGTGCGGGGGCGGCGTGCGGGATTTGCTGCGGTAGCGTCGCTTCGGCGGCGACGGCTCCTTCTCCGCCGGCAGATCGATCGGGCTGGGGCTCTTCGATTTGCGCCGCAGCCCCGCCTCGATCAGTTCCTCCTTCTCTTTTTTCGCGATATTTTTCGCCTTGTAGTACTCATATAAACCTAGTTTTTCCCAACCTTCGCTGTTTATGCACATACGAGACAATTCGTGAGATGTAAGATAACATAAAAAGTCGTTTTTTAAATCGTATTAAATTAAGTGGTAGTTTTAGGGGGTTTCGGAAATTGTTAGATTTTAGTACGGTTTGTTGTTGGTAATCTAATTGAACTAACGCAAGACAACATCGCTTCGGAAGTTTAACTGCTCGTCGTAAAATTCCCCAAGTCAAATGGGAGAATTAACATTGACACTAGGGACATTTTGAACTGCGCGGGAATTACTAAAAATTACCAAATAATTTCTGAAACCCCTTACGTAAAGTACACATTGATAACAACCTTTGACAACAACCTACTATGTTTTGTTTGTTTTGTTTTTTACCTGTCTCTAGGCCTTTCGTGGCTCGGTAAAGAGTAGAAAGCTTCGACTGCTGCCAGTAGACGTTCGCTCGGAGGAGCCGGCGGGGGCAACCTAATATCTTTAGGATCTAACGGTTTATATGAAGTTTCTTCCAACTAAAAATAAGCATGCCAATACACCATTATCAACAAAAAATAATCGACTTTAATCCGACTACAATCGAACGAAACAACCTACCTTCACTAGGGGCACCATAAGACCGGCTGGTAGATCATAATAAGGCGCTGAGGGCATCAAATCCTCGAGCAACGGCTCGGGTTTAGGGGCGAAGCCCGGCGGCGGCTTCGTAAAATCGGGAAACACGCCGGCGGGGGGCGGCGGAAAATAGCCGGGCGGCGGTTGGGTGAACGCCAGGCCGTCGATGCCGTTGGGCGCGGCGGCGGCGGCCAGCGGAGGCGGCGGTTGCAGCGTCAGATCGGGCGCCACCGGGAACGCGGAGCCGTTGAAATTGCCCAAGGCGGCCGGGGGGGCGGCGGCGGCGCCCAAATTGGGCGGCGGGATCGACGTGTTCGTTTCGATCGAATTGTAGGCGTCGTTCGGCGGGTTTAGGGCGAATGGTTGGGCGTTCGAGCCGACGCCTTGGCTGAGGTTCTGTATGGTTTGTTGTAGGCTCGCTTGGATCGATTCTAATGGTACTATGTTCGAACCGCCTGCAAGATTAATAAACGTAAGTACTAATAACACCTATAGTGTATCTACAGAATAGTCCGTTTTTATAAAAATGAAGCATTTACTTTAATAGAAGAGTGTTCTGATTGATATAGACAGTTCTAAATGATTCTAGGGCGTTCTAAATTGATCTAAACGATTCTAAACCGTTCTGGATTGATTTAGACAGCTCTAAATGATTTTAGACATTTCTAGATGATTCTGGATCGCTCTAATTGGTTCTAGATATAGTTTTAAATTATTCAAAACATTTGTAGATGACTCTGGAGCGTTCTGAATACTTCTTAACAGTTTTAAAAGATTCTAGGGCATTCTAAATTGATCTAAACGATTCTAAAGCGTTCTGGATTGATCTAGACAGTTATAAATGATTCTAGATGATTCTGGAGTGTTCTAAACGGTTCTAGACTTCTGCAAAATGCACAAAAAATTACGTTACAAGCTGTATGGTGGGAATAATTACTGAAAAGATTGTAAAAAGTTGCTATGAACCTAGTTTCAATTTTTACAAGCAAAACCTTCTCTTCTTTTTAAACAAATGCTTCTTTCTATAAAAACGGTCTAATAATTACTTGTTGTATTCGTCGCCGGCGGTTGCGAAACGACTTGTTGTTCCAAATTCTGCTTCTGCTGTTGCAAATCCATGATTTGCTGCATAGCGTGACAGACGAAGGCCTGGTGTTGGGCCTGGTAACCGTCGAAGGTGACTTTCGTCTGTTGCGTCAGAGCCGTAACTTCTTTGGTGTATTTCGACAATTGGCCGGCCTGGTATTGTTGGTAGCTCTGCAACGGATTTCGCATTTTCTCCAACGTGTCGGATTTCAGGTAATTGGTTTTCGATTCCCACAGTTTCAACAGCTTGTCGAGCTTCAATTTCTGATCGGAGGTGGCCGCGATGCTGGCGTTACAGAACATCGGAACAACCACTCGTTCTAGGGCGTCTTTCAAATCGTTCGCGTTCTTTCGGGCGCTACATGAAATTCGCAATTTTTTATTAATTATTACTGAATTATTGTTGTGTCTTACCTGTGGTGCAACAAGTCGTTTACCAAGTAAATAATATGGAGTTTTTGGGAGAAAATTCCGGTTTGTAAAACTCTGAAAGAATTAATTAAAAACGATAATTATAGTAGTTCACAGTTTTATAAAAATGAAGCATTTATTTTGAAGTAAAAGGTAGAAGCAAAGAAGAAGTTGTCTTTGTTGCACTCATACACCATTTTGAGTATAAATTTGCACTTGTCTGTATATTTCCAATTCACTTACTTATACAACAAGCATTCGACTATACAATCCGCTTTTTCTTTAGTCGTAGCATTTTGCAAAAACCAAGACTTTCCGTTACTTATGCTATCTTTTGTACAACTATCGATTATAGGTTGAAGAATACTGTGGATTTCTGATAAGGATATTTCGCATATGTCGGCCTCTTTTTGTAGATCGTTTGCCTCACATTTAACTAAAAAAAAATGTAATAAGCATTTTATCAACTTAGCGTAATTAATACAACTTACCGACGGTTTGTTCGATTTGAGTTTGTTGTTGTTGGAGCAACACAGTGTGCTGTGCGGTCAAATTTAATTCGCTTTGTTTAATTTGTTCCCTTAATACGTCTTGTTGTTTGTTAATCTGATCGATTTCTGCTGTATGAGGTATCACCTGATTAGGCGGAGGCGTATTCCAACTATTTTCCTGATCAACGCTCACTCCCGATTGTAGTTGAAGTTGTTGTTGTTTAAATACTACAACGAATTCATTAGCAACTTGATTGTTGTATAAAACTTGTAGTAGTTGAGATTTTGAGTACAATATTGAGTGATTACACCTACCAGCTTGTTCTGTTGAAACTTTGTATTGATAATAATTAAAGTGTTCGCCACCGTACAAGAACTGAAATTTGGGGTTTCCTTTCTGTTTGTTTTTCGTCATCTGTTCGAATTCCGGGCCATTTCGAGCGACAAATTGCGCTAGTTTATCGATAATAGTTTTAAGTTCAGTATCTAGAAACATAACCTTAAATGAGTGTTTTTTACATAAAAAACGAAATGCTAAACGTACTTACCTTGTGGAGGTTGAGGAATATCCATAGTCAACTAATCCTCTTAATTATTTACGTTATTACAAACAATTGTTTTAGTTTTTTATAACCATTTTCATTCAAAATGCTATTTTCCTGTTGATAAATTCCACATTGACAACTGACACTATTGACATAATCGAATCACGATGACAACAACATGAAGATAGCAACGAAAATGTTTTACTTTGCGGTTATCCGGCTCGAGTTTTAGGGAATTTTTGGTTTTTACGTAGGGCAGTACTGGAAATAAGTGACAGTCATGTGAAGTGAAAGATTCCGCGAAAATTTCACACAAACCGTTAACAATTTTGAAAGTTGGGATCGTCGGTTTAACGGTTTACAGTTCACAATCATTCGATCGAAGTTTCGCGTTTAATTCATTATAAATTACTGTGATAAAGTTATACATTTAGAACAACCCAAGTTAAAGTACTCGAGGTAAATTCGTGAAACATAAAAAAAACCTGTACCCAACGACAAGTCATTCAGAAATTTTTAATGGATTTCAAATGTATTAACGATAAAAACAAAACGCCCCAATCAAAAACGAGCATGTTTTCGAGCACTGCGAAATGCGAACGATTCTTCAACCTGCCCAGCGACGTCTCGACGCCCCCGTCTCGTTTCTCGAAAATAATGAACCCCTTCGAAAATCGACTGGACAGGCTCCATTTACCGATTTACTACAGGTAAACACCACAATTTTCAATCCATACATATTCTACATTTCACACGTTTCCAGCCCCTCTGTATTCACCATCCAATCCACCCCCAAGAGCAACGAGAAATTCAAATGGACCATCGACGAAATATCCGTCCTGAAACCAGCCAACGTAGACGAAGAAACCGTCAGTCAACACGTCGTCGAAGATCCCCACGTGGAGTCGCTGGCTCAACAGAAGGTCCAGGCCTATTTCAGCGAAAAAGTGATAGTTCCCAGTCCCATTACGAACGTCGTTCGGATCCCTTTAGTGCGAAACAGCCCCAGCGAACTGGTCGAATCCCCGAAGCAAACCAAGGAATACTCTGATGGTTCGTACTCGATCAATCTACGATAAATCGAAGGCTACATAAAACATTTTAATTGCCGTAGGTTGTACGCAAACGATGCTATCTCTACCTCCCGTTCTACCCGCTCACGTAGAAGAAATTCTAAGGCCGTACCTGCGACCGCACGAAGACAATGTACCAGGCCAGATGGATATCAACGCTGATATGAAGAATTCCACGTTGTATCGAAACCTGTTCAAGCCTTGCGATAGTGTAGTTTCGATGATAGACGAATCCTACCACGAGAAATCCCTGCCGAACGTCAGTTTATCGCCTTTACAGTCACCGGTCGAATTGAAAGGTAGACATTCGTTGCATATAGCCACCCCGGAGCTGCACGATTGCAGTTTATCCCCTATAGAAGAAGGTAAGACTTCTACGAGCTTACCGAGGGAATCCAAATCGGCCGTACGACTGGATTTCTCATCGAAAATGAACGTGGATGTAAGTATGGCTGTTCCGGATATCAACGAGCTACCTAACAGAAGCGAAATATTCGGTACGTTAGCCACACAACGACCCTCGGACATCCTCTAATATCGTACGATATTCCAGAAACTTCTTGTTACCAACAACCGCTGGAGCAATTGAGCGACGCCTCGATCAATTGGGACATGGAGAACGAGTGCGTGTCGTTGATATCGCCGGATAACAGCATGAACATGGACATGTCGAATTCCAACACGCCCCACTCGAGGCTCTTCACTAGTCAGAGGAAAAGGCTCAGCCGTAGCTTCAAGAACGAAGAGGACGAGACGAAGGAGGGCCAGAATTCGTTCGAGAACGCTCTCAAACAAGGTAAAAAATTGTTTAGGAACGACACCGGATATCACACGGAATGCGCCACGTTTTACAATTCCAACGATTGCGAGCCTAAAGATAATGTGCACGTGTTTGCATCGACTCCGACGAAGCTCGATAGAAATGTGATGTTTAATTGATATAGTCTTATATCTATATTTAATCATACTAATTAGCTGGTAGAAATTATTTTTAGTTATACGTTTTTTTTTTTTGAACTGCCAATAACTTTATAAGAGTCGTATTTAGAGTCGTGCAAATGATACTGTGTATTATAAACAAATAGTAAGACTGGACTCTAATATGAAATCATATTTTTGCATACGTAATTCTATTATAAGGATAATAGTAAGTACGTTTGAATAAAAAGGGACTACGTTTAAAAGGACTGCAGCTCATACTGCGATTGTACTCAAACTTAACTAAAGTTTATTAGAATACCAAAATATTTCGAACGATTTTCGTATATATACGAACTGATTAATACAACATGTGCAATTTGTATAAACAAATAAAATTATTAAGGTATATAAAGGTTTCTTTCTTCTTCTACAACACCATCACTTACCTAAAAACGAAGCGAGGGATAGTACGAACAATAAATATTTAATTTATTAATATGACTTCGGAGATATCTTACAAAATAATGTAACAACTTTATACACAAGTTATTGAACCTACTAACGGATTATTCTTCAGATTTCGGAATTGCTATGCTCGAAGGAGCTACCGATTGCGCGGAAACGGACGCGATCAAGTCGTGGGCCTGCGCATGCGCGTGTGACGTCGACGGCGCGTGCAGGGGCAGCAAAGTCTTCGCGTTTTGCTTGGAAGAAAGCAACGGCTGCTTGTCGCTGCTGTGAGACTTCGATAATCTTTCGCTCAGAGCTTTCAGAGCTATTTGCCTGAAAATTAACGACCACCAAATCGCAATAGGTAAGTTACTTTGGTTATATACCACAGCTCTACATTTCTAAGGTCTGGAAATAGCCTATGCTTGTGCATTAGAGAATGTGTCCGGTTATTTGAAGACTTTTTGAGCTTCACTTTTGCCAAAGACCAACTTATCTCGGCCAATCAGCGTCGCGCTACAAATCGCGGTTGTGTGAAATGACAGTTCGAGCTGTCAAAAACGTCAAAAATTATTTTTTGACATTTCGAGGAGAAAATGGCGAAATATATTACCCGAAGATAGGTGAGGCATGATGTTAACAACAAAATCTAGTTTTAGTTTGAATAAAACCTTTTCTAATGCCAATTCGTATGCAAAAAACCGTGATCCATTACAACATCGCCTCCTAACGGCCATTTTAGGAACACTGAAATCTTCAAATACCGGACACTTTTTCGACCTATGTTTTCAGACCTTAGAAATCTACGACTGTTTTATATACTGAAGAAATGTTAGTACGAAGATGAAGCAAGTAAATGAGAGTTTTGGTTACCTTCTTCGTTCCATATCGTGTTGATCGGCTGCGGGAACAGTTACAGTAACACCCGTAGGGTTAGACATGTCGAATTTCCTTATGACCTTACGACAAATTCCTATCTTCACTAAACCTGTATGCACTACATTACTTAAAACCGCGATCGGTGGTTGAATAACGTTAGGAAAGAAGCTACAAAAAAATGTATAAGTAATATACGTTAAATCATTTTCAGTTAATTATACCTTGCGAATGTGAAATAATCGGCCAAATCGCCTCTCGTCCCGTTCGAATGCTTCTGATAAAACCTCAAGTAAATCCAACTGACGATCAAACCACTCAAGAACATCGTCGGGTAAGTACCATCGACGAGCCCGACGATTTTGAATATAACGGAGAAGAAAAACACTGTCAAAGGTACGTTTCTATTGGTCAACTTCCCCAAAGGCGTCTTGATTATAACCAAATCGGGCATGATCTGTTTAACGGTGACACTCACACCTGCTATGTATCCAGCCAACCCGTGTATGTGTACGCTAAACAAATATTCAGTATTAAACGTGCAACAGTACAAAATAAAGTAAAACGTCGTCGTTATAACGGCAACGCCGAAGTTTACAATCGCGAAGAAAGTCATCATTTCCAACTGGCCCCACAGGGGTTCGATGAGCTTGCCGCACAGCCCCACCGTTACGATGTCCACTAACACCTCCCAGAAATGTATTTCGAGGAAACAAAACGTGAAAGCCGTCCACAGCCAAAAGGACGAGGGCATCAAGTAGCCCGGCGTGACGGATATCACCCGCACGGCCTCGTCGGAGAAGGACAAACCGTAGCTGAAGAGCACCACTCCGCAGATGAATTTCACGCAGGTGCTGGTGTTGCCCAGTAGGGCGCCGAATTGCTGCTGCAAATACGGTATGTTCCTGCTTAATGCCCTGAACGTGGCCATCGTCAAATCATTTAGGCGGATCGGTGTGGCGAGTATTTACTGTTTTTTTCGAACGAAAATTGGTCAAAAGCTAACACAAACATCTGCCATTTTTTGATAAACATGTCAAATTCGAAACGTCAACTTCAAACTTCAAAATCGTTTGTGTGACCGAATAGCCCCGGCAAATGAGACCAATTTATGACGGAAGAAATGTCAATGTCAGTTTCTTGCACTGACCAATCGGGTAACGCGAACCAATAATTTAATAAATGTTATAAAAACGACCTATTTTTTGTTGTGAAAATTTGACACAACAACAATTAAATTGCATTGTAAAATTCTCATGTATGCGTATCAGAAACGATGGCGGAATCTATCGAAATAGTCGAGCAAATAGATAAATGTAAGTCAATAGCAATATTGAACCAATTATCTAACAAACAACCGTTGTATTTTTTTAGGTAACTTCAATAGAGAATGTGCAGTTTGCCTTCAGAAATGCGTACATCCAGTTCAACTGCCCTGCGGCCACGTATTTTGCTTTTTGTGTCTCAAGGGCTTCGCCAATCAGAACAGGAAATGCGCCATGTGCAGACAGGAAATACCGAGGGACTCCATCGATCAACCCCATCTTCTCGAACCTGTACTTATAGATAAATTGGAAACCTTCGACGATGGTTATCAGTGGTTCTACGAAGGCAGAAATGGTAATATTTATTTTGTATAATACAATTGTTATATATTACGTTTAATCAGGTTGGTGGCAATACGATGAAAGAACCAGCAAGGATTTAGAAGTTTCCTACAAGAATAACGAAAAGACTTCGGAATTGCTGATTGCCGGCTGTTTGTACATAATAGATTTAGAAAATATGTTGCAAATTAGACGAAACGATCCATCTAGAAGGCGTAGAATAAAAAGAGATTACTCGACGGTACCTAGAAAGGGTAATATAAACAAATCTTAGTACATTATAATCGATAATTTACACGTTATTTTCTCCTTACAGGCGTTGCCGGTCTACATCAGAGCAGCCAAACATTCCATGTAAATGATAATGTAGCAACAAGTAGCAAAGATTCCACTGTAAATGCTAGCACAGCTAACGCAGATAGCACCGAAGCAGAAGATGGTGATACAGACGATTTGGAACGGCAATTGCGTGGTATTATTTTACACGATCATTAGCAAATTGTCAAGTCTTTCGAATGTAAAAATGTATAAAGTACATTGTAGGACTGATTTTTTCATAACATTTTTTTTTCGATAAGTTATTTTTCTCATCTACACGTTTCTCTTTAAGAGTTATTACTAATACTATACGTTAATATAGCTATAGTGTATACTGGGAATTATGTTTGTTACTTATTTATTTTTTACTAATAAGAGGAAAATATTTTTGTAAGTTAAATTGTTACAAGACATAAGAATATTCTACATTAATTGTACTGTTCATGTTAGTAAGGTTAATAAACCAATTATTACCTAATAATTAATATTTTACACCTAATAACTACTTATTCTAGGATAAGGAGATACGTTTTTGTTTCAATAATTATTATATTATAACTTATAACATAAAATTACCATAAATTCGCGTACAAGAGTAACAGAGTAATTCGTTCTCGTTGTTAGTTTGATCAAATTTATTGCAAATAGTACTAAAACGCTCTTGCCTGGATTTATTACAATCGACTAATTCATTAGAAACAAATCTCGAAAAATTTGTAGACTGTTGAGACGTTACCAAATCGTCAGAAACACTTACAGGTCCCTGAAAATTACCTTTTAAAATCAATTTATTGTCTACGTTATAACACTTACTTTACACAATTTACATTTAACTTCTGCGTTTTTATCCAGGCTCAATTTGTCTCCTGTTTTCACGATCGTCGTGACTGTGGCAGGAAAATCTTTTTGCAGTTCGATCACAAACTTTGCCATTAAATCTTGAACGGAAGAGTAAGGATTGACTGCGCTTTTTCTCACCGATAATGATTCGAGCCTGTTGAAATTGTTGTACAAGGCCAGCTCTTTCATATCGAACTGTCTCAGCGGTTTGAGAATTCTAACTTCGTCGTCTCTGTCGTCGCAAAATCCCTGGAAGTTAGTAATTTTTTTAAAGGATTTCCGTTTGATGTTTTTCACAACCTACTGTATCAATGGAAACGTGAGATCCTCTTCCTAATGATATGTTTGATAATAAATTTGAAGCAATATCGATTGATATTTCTGGTGTAAAAACGAATTTGCATTTCCAATACTTCGCTACATCTATTAACAATTTCTTTCTACGAATAATAAAAACATTAAGGTACATATTTAAAGGTATTTGTAACCATACCTCAGCAAGGATTTTATATCGTTCCTATTAGTTCTTGATGAAGTTTTATGTATTACCAAATTTAATTTTTCTATGTCATTTTCAGCAAACAACGATTCAGAATTAAGTAAATTTGGTACATTTTCCGGATTTGAAACATAATCGGCAAACGAAATGAAATTGCAATCGAATCCAAACGAAGATACAATCCTTTTAGCATTCTCTATAAGTTCCTTTCCCTCTTTATTGTTGAGTTGATACTGGTCTAAAAAATTACAATCAAATTTGTAATTACAGGTACTTATAAAGAAACTAGCAAATTTACCATATACAAATAAAATGATCGGATGGAAACGAAGTTTTTTAGGAGTCGACAAGTCTAATCCCGTTCTCAGGAAATGCAATAATGCAACACTCGGATGGCCAATCTGATACCAAACCAGCACTCGATCGTTCAGGTGAATTAGTCGGGATTTTCCAAGGGATGCTTTAAATTTGTGAACGGTGTTAATCAAGAAACAATTTTTACAATACGTATCTTTTCCCCTGAGAACAATGCAAGGCTTTTCTGCTCTACATTTGTTGCATGTATCAGACCTACAACATGTAAGTGATTATAAATTGTTTGGAGAAAATAGTACAAAACTTACAATTTCGTTAATGTTGCTTTTTGCATCAACTTTTCCGTTTGATTATCGAAATCGTCTCCAACGCTACACATATTGAAATTAAGATCAATTTATTTCAGAAAATAGATGTTTCCCTCGATGTTTTTTAAAAACAATCTAACCTAAAAATAAATGATGACATTTTTGACAGTTAGTTGTCAGTGTTGCCAACTTACTTTCGGATTTTCTTCTTTTCCTTTTTAAGTTCTAAGATGCTAAGGCTATTCGGCGACAAGAAAAGAAAAAATTTCGCTAGTGACTAGTGACACTTCTTGACAGTTGAAGTTTAATAGTTTAGTTCTTCCGTACTCTTTTGTTTGATGAGATAAAAGATAAATGTTTTCATTTTTATTTCACAGTTCTGAGTGCAATGTAGTCATGTATTTGTCTAAAACTAACGATACTAAAGACATAAACTATTAAAAACAACAAATAAATAACAAAGCACTACCTATGTTTCAAGTTAATAAGTTATCGTTCATGTCCAGTTCATCTTAATTCCGGAAATATGGCTACAGCATCATTCGCAGAGAATGATACCTTGGTAATGTACCTTATTAAATTTTAATTAACTCTTTAATTCCAGCAATTAACCACTATCAAGCCGTAACAGTTGAGTCATTTAAATAGCGTATTTTACGTTTGTTCGGTCACTTCCTTGATTAGTAACTAAATAAATTTACTGGTAAAAAGTACACACACAAATAATGCTAAGCAGATTTCTATCCGAGAATTCTGAGGTACACAAATCCCACATAGTCTTACATTCAAATCTTTAGCATGTTTTAACACCTTTCGATTCGATTGTTGTAGCTCAATAACCAGATGGGCCAAGTCAGCATATACAGCCAGGAGCCCAACGACGAGTTGTGGAGAGAATGCGCCGAATGGCTGATCAGATGGGAAGTGTTGCCGGGCAACCACCGAGCCAACGGGCCCTCCGCCTGCATAGCCGATCTGGCCAACATTCTACGCGACGGCGTTTTGCTCTGCAAATTGCTCAATCGAATCGATCCCGGCTGCATCGATATGAAAGACGTCAACTTGAAACCCACCTTGGCCCAAGTAAATCAACGAAAAAGACCTCATTTTAACTCTAACTCCATTCTAAACTTGCTATTCTAACTAGACATTGTTAGTATGAGTTTAGAGTCACGTTAGAGTTAAAGCGAGGCTTTGATTTATTATTAATTTTTCAGTTTCTATGTCTTCGCAATATAAATTTGTTCCTGAAATCGTGCGAGAAGCATTTCTGTTTGAGACAGTCCGATTTGTTCGATGAAACCATGCTGTTCGATCTGTCGAATTTCCATAAAGTCTTGTGTACTCTATCGAAGCTCTCGTTGTGCTCCAAAACGCTCAAATCGAAGATACCGTAAGTTTACCATCGATCAACGCCTTATCTCCTTAATAATATCTTTATTATTCTAACAGGGGATTCACCGCACAGCGATTGAGGCGAGAAGAGGAGGTTATTTATCAGAGTTTAAGAAGCGTGTAAGTGGATTTAATTGTTACGATAACGGTGTAATTATATCGAACTCGAACCTTGTAATTACAGCCTCTTAAAAGATAATTATCGAGATCGATTTCGTTTGAATTATAGAGATATGTACTAAGTGCATATCAAATGGGGGGCAATTAATGGGAAACGTGATATCTCTGTAAGGTTTATTTACTGATCTACAGGGCGTTTGATAATTGTCGGTTGTTATTTAGGAACGTCCTGTTTATTTGGTACAATCGAAACCTGTTTATAGATCCTGTTATCGTCGCGGTATTATTATACAGTGCATATTTTTATTCGAGTGAAGAGATAATGTTTTACGATACTATACAGGGTGTTCCTAAACATCGTGTACATCCGAAAGGGGTATTTGTTTTGCCCCAACTGTATGTTTGTTTTGACCCGACCCCTTTCGAATGTGCACAATGTTTAGGAACACACTGTATTATAACCGCACAAATTGTACACGATAGGACTGATTAGGTCGTTCGTTTAGCTTGTTTTTTGAACGATTTTAGTAATTTGATGAATTTCTTGTCCCGATTTAGAGATATACCGTTAAGAACGGAAACGAATTACGCCCAACCGAGTTGGTTGCAATTTAGGATTCCCTGTCCGCAATCGGGGGAGGATTGGGAGGAGGACGTCTATGGGGATTTGTGTTATGTCACGCTCGCCTCCGCCCTACCGGAGGTAGGACAACACGGGGTTGTTGTTGTTGTTTTAGGTTGTTTGTTATTTGTTTGTTGTCGTTTTCACTTTGCCTAATTTTACTCCGTCATTGTTCTCTACGGATTATTTTAATTCGAGCATGTTTTATTTCTTATAAAGACGTTTTTTTGTTGCACTTTAAAGCACCTAGTGCAAGCCATTTCTAGTACCACTACGTTAGTATGGACTAGTATAATCGGTGTAGATTTTTTTTGTTGTTGTATTTTTATTATTATGCACTTTTGACCTGTTATCTGCATCGTTGGTCGACGATCTTCGATGCAAATATTCGAATTTTCTTTAACGAATACTCCCAAAATTTGCGAATTAATCTCGGGACATCCCGTATAAAATAGCTCGTTTTAAATATTACCCTTGCGAAAGTTTGTTTTTACATTCATGCAGTAATTATTACATTATAGGAAAAGAGCTTTTTTTTTTTAATTCGATTACTCATACGTTTTATTATTTTATTTTATTTTATTTAAATCTTGCATGGCTTTTTTTGCGTTAGAGAGATGCCAGTAAGAGAGCGAAGCCTAGTTGACAACCATTGCCATTTTTCCGTTACTAACGAGGATATTTATCAGGATTTGTTCCTCGACCGAACCGCCGTAGAGGTACAGTTTTTCTTTATGTTCCATAATAAATTCCAATATACAGGGTGTTAATTAATTGAGCGCCGATACTTCATGACGTGAATATTTGATTGATTTTAAGAAGAAAAGTTTATATCAATCTATCTCCTAAATCTCTTAGTTTTCGAGCTACAGGATGTTACAGGTTTAGAAAGAAAAATAACTTTTCTATCATAATTTTCGTATTACTCCAGATATTTTTATGCAATTAATTAACACCCCAGTATTAGTTATTTTATTCGGCATCGAATTTAATCTTTCGGCGGTCGTTTTAGCATCCCCAACCGACTGAAAAAAGGGACTTCGTGATAAAGGAGCTCCTGGAAACCGAAAAGAATTACGTCGATGTACTGGAGAAATTGCGCAAGAATTTCATAATGCCGCTCGCTAATCAAATGCGGTCCGATCATCATTCCTGCATATTTTACAAACTAAAGGTATCTAATCAGTAAATACATTTTCCAATTCTAATAATCACATTTACCTGGTTAACAGGAACTCAAAGAGGTCCATACGGAATTTCTGGACGATTTGCTGCGCGTCAGGAACAACCCGACCGTACGGATCAGCAACATCTTCATGAGGTTCAGGGAGAAGTTTCTCATATACGGCGGTTATTGCGCCAATTTAACGAAAGCCACGACGATATTACAGGAATTGTGCGATACCGATGAAATATTTAATCAAATCATAATCGTAAGTATCGCTCTAAAATGTCCCGTTCGAATTTTATCCGCTCGTATTTATCGCAGAAATACGAGAAAGAAGACAACAACGGAAGGTTCAAGTTGAGAGACGTTCTTTCCGTGCCGATGCAGAGGATTTTGAAATATCACCTGCTTTTAGATAAGCTGATAGAGCACACTAGTGAGGTAAGAATTGGTTAATAAAACGCTTAATAACGTGATTATCCAAAAATAATTAATGTAAAAAAAGCTAGACACTCTCTAAGAGAGTATCTTTAGTACTGGTCTTCGCCTTTATTGCTAGTTCAGTCAATTTAACGAACCTTTCTGAGCCTTATACCACATCGAATACAATTCTAGACACTCCCTAGGATCTCTTTGTACAGAACTTTACCTTTATTGCTAATTCAGCCACTTTAACGAACCTTTCTTAACCTTTTACCGCACTGAATACAATTCTACACCCCTAGAAGGATCTCTCTTAGTACAGGCCTCTGCCTTTATTGCTAATTCAGCCACTTTAACTAGTACTTCCGAGCCTTCTACCGCACATACTACAACGTTATTCGTTATTTTTTTTTGAAGAGTCACGAAGAGTACAACGATCTGAAACGTGCCAAAGAGGCGATGCGGGACGTGGCCGGTTACATAAACGAAGTGGCCAGGGACAGCGAGCATTTGGACGTGATAAACAATTTGCAGGAGACGATCACCGAATGGGATTTGATGCCGACGCGAAAGCTCTCCGATTTCGGTCGATTGGTGATCGACGTCAGTCTCAGGATCAAAGCGCACGACGATCAGAAGACGAGGAATCGATACGTGTTTATATTCGACAAGTGCATTTTGATATGCAAACAGCTCAAGGTGAGATAAATTCGCATCTCCGACCGGTTATTCATGCATTCAAAAAGTTTCATTTTTTTTGGTTGTAAATCAGGCTTCTCAACAAAACGCTCCTCATAGTTTTTAAATAGAGTCTAGTGATTTTCTGATGGCATATTTGGTAATATTGTAAGTTTTTTTTTCCAGTGCAATCAGTTCGCCTATCGCGAATTACTCAACATAGCCGATTACCACGTAGAAGAAATCCACAACAGGGCGGTTTTGAACAAAGAAGCCCGAGCTTTCTTCCAATTTCTTTTGGTCAAAGACGGCAACAAAAACGCCTATACGATTTGCCTGCGAACCGTCGAGCTCAAGCAAAAAGTCATGAAATCCATCAACGATTGTTTGTAAGCGATTCCCTTCTACATAGAGTCGATGCAAAACGAATATCGCGAAGTAGGCAGCGTTGCCGGACTTTCACAGAGTTTACAAAATCTAAGAATCTTGTATTGCATTATCTTGATTTGTCTTGCACCAACTGTACACTTCCACTACCTAAAACCACTAATAAAAAACCCACATTTTTCCAGAGACAACCTGAAACCCAAAGCGCTGAAACACACCACGCACAACTTCGAATTATACACTTCGACGCAGCCGAACCAGTGCTTCTTCTGCTCCAAATACCTCAAAGGTTTGATCTCGCAGGGTTACAAATGCTCGACGTGCGGCATGAGCGTGCACAAGGGTTGCATCCAGAAGTCTGGCAAGTGCGGTCAGACTTTACGCGCAAGCGCAGGAGCTTCGACCGGTAACGGTTTGAACTCGAACGATCCGTTGAGGGACAAATTGTGGTTCGTAGGGGAGATGGATAGGAACAACGCCAGCACGAAATTGGAGAAGCGCGAAAACGGGACGTTTATGGTCAGAATTCGGCCGGCTAGCGACGATGATAACGATAAATACGCTCTCAGTTTGAAGTATGTACATGTGTACATACACATTGCTCTATTTGCGATTGCAACATGGTCTTTTCTATGAGTGGAGAACAAAGAAAGATTATTCAAATGACAGTTGGCAGAGTGAAAAGTTGCAATGACACAATTGTCACTCTTTCCTTTTACTTTGTAAGTGTCTATATAACCTATGTTGCAATCAAAAATGGAGCAACCTGTATAACGAATGTGTATGTAGAAGTTTTAGGAGATCCTGATGAGTTGGAAATATGAAAATTTAGTTCGTTCAATTAGTGAATTGCTATTTTAATTTACGACGTAGTTATGGTGCATTAAGGAAGTCGCATATGGTTGAAAATATTTTAGAAAAACTCGCAACATTGATTATTCTTTACTCCTAAATTTTAAGATTTCTAACTCTTCAGGATCTCATATAACTTCTAATTGGCGGTTTCCTTGAAAAGCACTGTATAAATAGTTAATTATCGAATAACTATTCATCAAATAACTATTTATATATTTATTTTTCGTTGGCGAAACCGGGCATTAGAAGGTTCAACCCTCCTTCCTCGTTCCTTGGTCTTTTGGTGGCCTTTTTGAACACGTTTGAACAAAATTATAAGACATTTTCGACTTGAAATCGACCAATGAATACCCTCCTAAGCTACATCCATCGAATCAAGGAACGCCCTGTGTGATATTTTGCAATATTTTAAATGTTTTTATTTTTTCGGTAGGACTGACACAGTGAAACACATGAAGATATGCTGCAGGCACGAGCAATCGGGCGACGCGAAAAAGTACTACCTGTCCCAATCGAAGTTTTTCAACAGTATTGAAGAATTGGTGCTCAATTATCAGAATTACAGTTTAAAGGAGAACTTCGTCAAGTAATAAATTCATCGCTCGATCTAAACGTTAAAGTTTTCTTTTCTAATAACCGATTTCGCTTTCGTAGATTGGACGAGAATACGAAGCTGTTGTGGCCGTTTCGTCAATTAAAGGCCACGATCATTCGAAATTACGATGCGAAGGATCGATACCAAGTGAGCGTGAGAGAGGACAATAGCGTCATCGTAGTGGGAAAAGAGGGATACAGGGAGGGTTTTTGGAAAATCAGAATCATCCCTAGCGAGGTATTTGTTTATGCGCTGCTCTACGGGGTGTTGATTAATTGCTATTGTAGCTCAAAAACTAAGACATTTATAGGTTTAGGACACATATAGGACATAATTAACACCCTTTATATACTCCGTTCGCTATCAGGTGTGTGATTTAGCATGCCTGATAGCGAACGGAATATAAAATGTATTGTAAATTGAGAATTTTTGTGTAAATTTGCGATTTTTAGACTGGATTCGTTCCCCATAATGTGTTGCGAGTAGATGGCGAAGTTCGATTCGATTGTTAACCATTAAACATCCGTGCGAAAAACGTTATTCTGCTAGTCAAAAAGAAGCGACGAGAGGGAGGAATTTAAAAAAAAACTTATATCGGAACTGCAATAAATTGTGTGCGACAACGCTGGATTTTCTAAATGATTTACGAAATGTTGATTTTATAGAATGTTTTTTTATAGATCTGGAATTATTGATTATATACGTCTATATTTTATATGTATACAAAAAAAATGTATATGTAATTTATCATACATTTTAAGATATAATGAAGAATACGATGTAATGTTCATGGAATAAATGTTGAAATTAATTTGTGTTGCATTCTTGCTACCTTTAAACGTTTTATTGATTCAATAAGATCAAAACCAAAGGGTTTTTGTGCACTAATTTTTTAATTAGGCTATTTTAGCCCTAAATAGTTTAAAATTATTAAGTTCAGTGGCGTCCCTGGGGACACCTTTTAGCGAATATTATTGACAAATAAATATACGCCACTGACTTTTGTAACTTTAATACTTTTTGCTTTATTAAGCATCTAAAAATACACTTTTTTATAATATGTAACAGCAATAGCTAAAGTGTAACAGCTATTTTCTCACTCCCCATATAACCTAATTAATAAACCCCAGAATTTCAACTTTCCTAACTCACCCATAGAAAAATTTCCCCAATATCTTTTACTCACAAATTTACAAAAAAAAAACCAAACCATCAAATCTTATCACCGAAGATTATTACCTACAAACTCGCCATCATCGAAGCGCAGCCCATCGCAAGTTGCACCCGCCATTCCCGAGGCAACTTTCCCCCGTTTCAGGGCCGTCGAAATTTCCCTTTGGACGCGCCAGCGGCGCACGCAAAAGTGAAAATCCTCACACCACAGGTTGCGCATATATTTTCCGAGACGAGGCACGTCCGGCCAGTCACGATTCACGATCAGTGTTCAGTGTTTCGCCGGTCCCCGTGCTGTTCTATCGCTGGTTTCGGAGCTTTCGTTTGGCGCGAATCGGGAGAAAGCTCGAAAGCTCGGAGGCTCGGAAAAGCTCGAGAGGCGGAAAATTCGCGCGGAGAATCGTGCCAGTCGATCGTGATTTAAATAGGTTTTTGGCGCTGAATTATTGACTGAATTATCGGCAACAGGTAGAGTGTGATTTTTGGAAAATTCTTTTGAGTTGTATGCCAAGGTCTTTTTGGTAGTACAGTTGAAATTAGGAGCCTTGATATTCAGGTCATAGTATCGACTGGTGTGTTTACGTTTTGCTTGTGAGAAAATCGAATTTACCGTCGTACAGGGGGAGCGAAAGATGTGTAACTGTTTATATCAACATTCGATTAGATTAGTCTGTTGAATAATCGAATTCATAATCAATTCATTAGCCTATAATGGAATAGATAATTGTGACAAGGCCATTGCATTTGCACCTTTAATATATGGCTATGAAAAAATCCAATAATCAACCTATCAGTCATAAATTCGATAAGATCAAAGCGATAATTAACAACCGGAATAATCAAACTTGCAATTAATTATCCAATTACTAATAGTTGTTAAATATTAACAGAGTCTATATAATATAACATGTAAAGTGCGAGAACTATAAATGATAATGTTTGATAGACGTATTTATTTAGGGGTATTTAAATAATTGTTCATAAAATAGACGAAGATATTTTAGAGGGTTATTCTTTGTTAAAAAATATGAAAAAATTTTCTATAAACATGAGGCCAGAAATGCACAGTTTTCAAGATAAATTAGCCTCTTAATACAACAAATAACATTGTCAAATTTCAACAGAATCAAGTAGATATTTAATAGGAATTTTTAAAGATATTTAGTCATTTTCTTGTTTTAATTTATCCATTTTTAGGGAAACTTTTCTACATAAATATGTAAAGTGCGAGAACTATAAATGATAATGTTTGATAGACGAATTTATTTAGGGGTATTTAAAATGTATACGGGGTGTTCATAAAATAGATGGAGATATTTTAGAGGGTTATTCTTTGTTAAAAAATATGAAGAAAAGTTTCTATAAACATGGAGCCAGAAATGCATAGTTTTCAAGATACATATATGATGTTAAATTAAAACCAAAGTTTGACCACTTATTTCAGAAACACCCTGTATATTACAAAAAAGGCTGGATTTAATGATTTTAATCTATTTAGGGTTAAATTAGCCTCTTAATACAACAAATAACATTGCCAAATTTCAACAGAATCAAGTAGATATTTAATAAGAATTTTTAAAGATATTTGTTTTAATTTATCCATTTTTAGGGTAACTTTTCTCATATTTTTCAACAAGAAATCACCCTCCAAAACACCCCGTACATTTCCCCGTACTTTATAAGTTCATTATTTGATTAACGCGCCAGAAAAAAATCAAAGTCTAATTTTCCAAGTAACTTTTTTCACGATATTAAACCAGTAAATTAACGATCATGAATCAAAGGTTAACAACCCAATCCGTTTTCTCCGAGTTCCTTCGACTAGGAATGAAAAAAAAATCAGCCCCCCGGGGCCAATAAAGGATGAATCAACAGCGAAACAGTAAAAAGAAATACTCCGATATCGGCCGTTTTAAGCAGCAATTTTTCCCGCATAAAAAAATATAACGACTCTTTTTCTCCCATCGTTAAATCGACCCCCCTCGAAATACTTCCACACAAATCCTGCAAAATTTTTCTCTCATTTCTCGCGTTGTTTGCGCTCCGACGAGGTCAAGAATCCTGGAATCCCCGTTTCTTCTTTCTGTATTTCTGTATATAGAAAAAAACAGGCACAACAGGCCCCCCTTAATGGGGTTAATTTCACTTTCTTCTCCCTCGACCCGACACGAACCGGGTTTAATGTTTGTTTGCGAAGGCTTCTGATGCAATTAATGAGGGACGTCCGACGTCGACGGGGATTAACAACTTCTCCTCCGGGGTTTATTTAATTTGGGATATAAAGATACATTCTATATATATATATATCTCGCCTCCTGATCGCTTCGATTGTCGATAAACGATTTATCGAAGCGGGAATAAGACGAGCCAAAATGGGTATATAGAGATTTATTGATTGAAGGTATTTGATGAGGATAATTTCGCGATGAAATTCGACTCGACGAAGCGGAGAAAAATGAAAGATTTTAAGCAGTTTCTCGTGTAAATTTTTTATTGCTGTTGTTTCGCGCTTTCTCCCTTCCTTTGTCGGTTTCCAGTCCTTTTAAGGATTAACGTTTGCCTAAGGGCGAAAAGACATTAAACTTCGCAGACTGTATCATTTCGGATTATTACCCTTACGATTATTTACGATTGGTTCTATTAAAGCGTTATTAAAAGCGTTTTATATAAAGGTCTTGTGTTATGACAAAAGTTTCCAATAAAAAAATTATTTATGCTGTTAATGTACGGTTTAATAAGTAGTAATTACACGTACATACTTGTATATACATGATACAAATTCTTCTAATGTAATCGAAAGCACTCGGTGCATGTTAAGTATGTTTATTGTACGTTTTTTTTACTTGGAATTAATCTGTATTGAATCTTAATATTAGCTAATTAATTTCAAATAAATTTGATACTCTATATGTATATACAAGGTGTCTGCATGGTTTAACATGTCTTAACTGCAGATTTCTGGGACTAAAATAACATGATATAAGATAAAAAACGAGATTTGTTTAGAATAGTTGAAGGTTTTTTTTTCATCAAAATTTCTACAGAATATCTTTGGTTTTTTTTTTTAATTATTTCGTCTTTAATTTAACTGGTGCAACCCCCTTAAAGCCCTATTTATTTATAATGATTTTTTAATCTTTGTAATTTTCTGTAAAACTCACATTTTTTGGAGATAAATCTCGTTTTTTGGACCACCCAGTTAAATCTGATTGATATTTAAAAAAAATTAACACTATAATAGGTCACTAAACAAAAATATTCAGTACAATTTTTCATGAAAAAATCTTCAGGTATTCTGAACCAATATCAAAAAAATCCCTTTTTTATTTTCTCATTGCAACTTTAACACCTTATAACTTTTTCACTATGCACTTTTGGATACAAGTAAGTTAGGTTAAATCATCTTATTTTCATCCCCAAAAGTCTCTATAATTAACCCACGTCCCAACCTATTAGAGACACCCTGTATAGCCTATTCACTGAACTTAATACTCAGTCAGTTTCCCGCAGAAGTCGTGTCAATTGCACTGAATGGGTTGATTAATTTTTCATAACGATTATTCATATTTACCCAAGAAACAGTTAAAATTTGATGGTTTAATTCACTGTAAATTCGCAATCAATTTTAAGCGAACGGACTAAGGGATGATTTTTTTCCTGTTCAACGATCCGTTAATAAACGTCAAAGCGTTGAAATAATTAATAGTGGATTACATTTACAATATTCTGTTGGATCCATTTCGGAATTACACTAATAGGTAAATCGAGCGATCCGCTCGAAAAGGCTTCGCCAATCAATTATAATTATATAGATGTAATCCAGGTGAATTTCATATCCCGGAAAAACGAGTTTCCATCAGATTTTTTATATTCCTAATCAATCCAGAAACTCCACTACTTTCCCTAATTTCCTATACACGCGTATAGCCCGTCTTGCGTTTTCCAATTCAATTTCGCGAAGAAGATTAGGCTGCTTGTTCTTGGTGTTTTTTTTTTGTTCAGGTAAATTGTTTATCGACGGTTTTTCCCCGGTTATTGTTCGTTCGAGGGAGACCCGCGGGACTTCCCCCGGGATTCCCCCAAGGGGAATTCGGGGGCACGAACTGGTTTTTTAATCTTTTACCGATCGCATGGATTTCGGGACGAGCACGCGAGATTAATCGGGCCCCGTGCCTTTTTAAAATTTTAGACTAAATTACCTGTACCGAAATAGAAGTTAATTTGATCGGATGGTATTATGGCAGAGAATTTACTGGGTGTCTTATAGGTTGATACATTTTTTTAACTACGTGTAGAACTTTTAATTGTAAATAAAAAAAATAATTTTTCGATTGTTGAATTGAAAATGGTGATAAAATAAAATAAAATAATAATTACAGGTGTAAAAAGTGGTGTGAAAATGCAATGGAAGTACCTTCAAATGTACCTTATTATTATTGTTACTTATTTCTATTATTAATATTATTTTTGTTAAGTCACTTTGGTTTCTTTTATTATTGTTGTTATTATGCTCTAATAGGGAGATCAAAGTAGTTGTCATTTTTATAATTTTTGTTTAAATTTCGTTAATTGCAATTAAGAAAAATGATTAGATTAGCAGAAATGCATAAAATAACAGTTTTAGTGGAGGAGATTCATATTTTTTTACATTGTGAACCATTAGGTATTACATACTGAGTGTATTATAACGAACTTAAGCCATCAGATGATTTTATTTTTTATGCTAATCATTGAAAAAAACTTTGAAAACAACAGTTTTGGATGGAGAATAAAGATAACTTTCAAACGATATATCTCAAGCCTAAAATTTCGATTAAAACAAAAAATAGGGGTTGTTACTGTCATTTGAAAGGTTTTGAAGATAGGATTTACATTCTGACGTCGAGGAATGTCAAATTATAAATAAAATTTACCGTGTTTCGGGATTTTCTATATAAATATGTACAATAATCGAAATAATGAATTTATTCCGGGATTTTCTATAAATATGCACAGTAATTAACCGAAATAATGAATTTATTCCATTTGGCGTGCCCACCCTGTATAGGCTGGATATACCTCGAGTAAAAGGCCATTTATTGTTACATATAAAGTGTTGGTAATTATTTGGTATATGACGAACAATTTGGTATGTTTTTTTTATTATTATTTTCCGCGTTTTTTTTTATAACGCGACCTGGGATTCATTATTATTCGAGGGATTAGGCTCGGGCTGGATAATGCCTGGAATTGCGTTTCATTTTTCAACCGGATTATATTTTCCGGTGTAATGACATCAAAGCCGGCGGGTTTCCCTCTCTGAATTGCACGCGTTACAAAAAAAAACCGGTTTTTTTTTTCAAATTGTTCATCGAATTGATTCGAAAACGGAATTTTATTCAGTTACCTACAGTTGATGCGAAACAAATATCAAGAGAGCCGAGAGTAGAAGGGTATCAGGAAATTTCGTTTCCTGTAGAGTGAAAGGAGGAGGAATAAAAAAGTGTATTTAAAAGCTAGAACTTTTCTAATTAATCTAGAAGAAGAGAAGAGAATTCTTGGCTGTATTACACCCTGTTAAGAACTAATTTCAGTTGGCTGTATTACCCAAAAATCGTAATCACAAAATACACACCCTGTACGACCATAAAATCGCAAAAAATAAAATATTGAAATTACAATTTCCCAGCATCCCCAATGCCGATTTTCCACTCACGCACTTCCCAGCATACAATCTGCTTTTGCTTTTTTAATTAATTTCGCCCAGCGAGAGAGCAGCGCGTAAACACCAACATTAGCAATTCAAATGCCTTCCGTTTTTATTTCCAGCGTTTCCAGCAGCCCTTCCAGATTTCCAGACGAGTTTTCCCCCCCGTCCATATCGAACATGATCGAATGGCTGGAATGATGCGAACGCCCGGAGGAATGCAACGACCCACCACCATAGAAGATCTTCCTGCCGACGAAGATGTCACGTCCGACGAGTAAGTTTTTTTTTTTTTTTTTTTTTTTTTTTTTTTTTTTTTTTTTTTTTTTTTCTCTCTCTCTCTCTTTGAAATAGTGTTTTTTGAAGCACCCTGGTATATTTCAATCATTATTTCAGTGAAGATAGTTTTGAAACACACTGTATATGGACGTGTTATGGATTAACAGAGTTATACAGGGTGGTTCAAGTTCAAAATAACGCTTGATTTCTTCTGTCATCCATTCCACTCTCTTTGAAATAGTGTTTTTTGAAGCACCCTGGTATATTTCAATCATTATTTTAGAGAGGATAGTTTTGAAACACACTGTATATGGACGTGTTATGGATTAACAGAGTTATACAGGGTGGTTCAAGTTCGAAATAACACTTGATTTGTTCTGTCATAAATTTATCTCTCTTTAAAATAAACTTGTGTATCAAAGTGTTGTGTTTTTTAAATCATCCTGGTATATTTCAATCATTATTTCAGTGAAGATAGTTTTGAAACACACTGTATATGGACGTGTTATGCATTAACAGAGTTATATAGGGTGGTTCAAGTTCGAAATAACACTTGATTTGTTCTGTCATAAATTCCACTCTCTTTAAAATAAACTTGTGTATTAAAGTGTTTTTTAAATCATCCTGGTATATTTCAATCATTATTTCAGTGAAGATAGTTTTGAAACACACTGTATATGGACGTGTGATGCATTAACAGAGTTATATAGGGTGGTTCAAAATAACACTTGATTTCTTTCGTCATCCATACCACTTTTTCTCTCATTAAAATAAACTTCTGTAGATGAAATTTTTGAAACACTCTGCATAAACCTGTATAGTATAAAAGGGTTTTTAAATAGGGCCAACGAACTTCTATTCGACAAACAGTGCCCTACAAGCAAGTATAAACGTGTGTTTATACTTACATAATGAATAAGGGTGTGTTATCTTTACCTTTTGCTCCCATTCAACCCTCGACTTTGTAGGTTTGTTAGATCGTTTACAGGGTGGTTTGTCAATCATCATTTTACCGCTAATTAAATCTGTGACGTTTGACATTTGACATTTGACATTTGACATAAAGATGTCATTAATTTAGTGACAAAATGCCATCAAAAATGGGCCATCAAAAAAGCATTATGTATAAAGATAATGGCGATTTACGCCTGGTTTTTCTCCCCGAGGAAATTTAATTACGTCATTACCGGAGCCGTTTGCACGTGAAAAACGAGGACGCGATGCACTCTAATGAGAAATAAGAGCCCGGGAAAAACCGGTCTCTAAAAAAACCTCGAATTATCGGCGCATCGGCGAAAATTCGAGGCGAATTTTCCTAACATGACTGGAAGCGTCATGAGAGGAACATCCGGTAAAATCCGGAGCACCTTCGGTAAACAACGAAGTTAATTGAAACCAGTTAAGCCCAACTCCCAGTTGGTATTGTGTTTGTTCTTTCGACTACGAGGGCGCATCTACAAGTTCTAATCTACAGTTTCTATATGCAGTGTATTTCAAGTCTAATGAACCGAAGTTTTATCACTTCAAGCGATACTTTACCGGCATTAATTTTACTGAAATTTCATAAAACGTCTGCACTTAAGCACCGGCGATAAATCAAACTCGAGTGATTGAATCCCTCATATTTTTTTTTCTCTTCCGAGTTCTTGTACTTCGCGAGTTCGCTCGACGGGATTTTCTAAAACCGATTCGCGAAAATCCCGCTTTAATAAACGCCTCCCGTTTTTCTTATTCCAGGGGCAAATGCGATCCGGATGGAAAAGAAGAGGCGGAAAAGCCGGACGGACCTTCCGGGCAAATACCGGACGGAATGAGCTCTCAAAGGTAAGACATTTTGCACTGCTCAAATCGGTCTGATAAAATTTAACAGTCGGTTAATAATGGTTGTTAATTCATCACGTTGTTCGAAGGTAATTGGTAATAAACAGACAGTGTTGTTAAAAATAACCAAGATTCAGTTGGTATTATGATAAAGTTCCTAACTTCATGCGAAAATCATAACCACAAATTACTAAATAATGTCAAATTTGCCACAATTAAATAACTGTAACAATTTTATTCCAGCGGTTATTCCATCTAACCGAATCTTTCTTCAATCTGAACCAATTTTTAAATTCCATTTCGGAATGTTTTTATCTATTTAATATCTATTTCTAACACTATCTTTGGAAGATAAAATTGAACAATTTGTGAAACTCTTTTCATATTTAACTGCTCCATTATATTAGATATAAAATTAAAATGTTACTATTAAACAGTCGTAAAAACTTTGAAAACTTCGCAGTTGGATTGAAATGATCAATCTGTTACTTTTTTATTAGTTCTGTTACTTTTATCTGACTGTTAAGTATTAACCGACATTGTTGAATACCAAAAAAAATGACCTTAACAAATTGATAAGAACTTATCTCTCAGTTAGCGAACGTGTAATGGCTAATTCTTTCGATAATTAAATAGAAAACGTCTTCGCCTCTGGAAAAACGGCTGCGAAAAAAAAATTAATTAAAGCCGTGCCAGGAGAGGGAATAATTAATTTAGTAACGAATTCGTCGTTCTCTCGAACACCCTAATTTGGGTACAATAATTACAGGAATCGAATTAGCGATCAATCGAATGCTCCACTTAATACTTAATGCAAATTAAATCATTTCGGAACTTTTTTTCTTTTCGAGAAGTTGGTAGTAACTGTAGAAGAATATGTTGGCAATAGTTTTGTAATTCCGACCTTTTACAGATGGTTCTTTTTAGATTAAAGAAAAGGTAGTAAAGACTTTTTGAATGGAAATTATACATACAGTTGCTATAGTAGGCAGTGTTGCCAAACTTTTATACAGTTTACAAAATCTTAAGAATTTTATAAAATTGTCAAATAAAAAAAAGACGAGAACAAATTGAAAATTGTCTTGTTTGAAAAACATTTTCTATCATCCTTTGTTAATATTAAATTAAATTCTGCAGGTATTAAGCTTAATCTATTTAGTGTATTTATTTTTAAAAGTTGGTCACAATGCTTGGCAACTTTGACGACATTAATGACGTGCATTGATATTTGTTTTGCACCAACTATAAATATTTAAAGTCGGGTTAATCAAAAGTAAAACGATGAATGTTTCTCTTTGAAATTGCAGTGTAAATTTTATACAATTACGCGAGAATGGAATTAAAGCGCATTTTCCTAACACAAATAATACACCAACTAATTGAAATTTTTTTATAGTTTACAAAAGGCAATTAAAATTGCGATTTAATTTCGACTATTTTGTATTTTAAATTCGCTAAGTAATCTCCGAAATAAACTTCCCTAGCCGGGTAGAAAAGAGCAAAAAAAAATATATGCAAAAAGAACGAAAATTCCCTCTTCATGGTTCCACAAAAGAAACGAAAAGATATACATCTCACAAGAGGAAAGAGCGCCGAATTCAATTTCCTAATGGATTTTCCTTTACAAATTCGCAAACTCCACCGGCTAATGCATCAAAATCGATCAATTAGGAAAGTTAACTTGTTGATTTCCTTTCGCCTGCTCCTTTCCTCTACTCCTCTACTAAATATTTTATTTATCCGCCCGAGAAGTTTCCCGATTGCCCCCGGGGGCCTCTTACCTGTCTCCTCGCCGGCCAGGAATTTCCCGAACGCTCTTTGATTAATCGACTCGCCAGGTTTTTCTCGCGGAAAAATTAATCGAATTCGACCGCTCGCCGGCGAAGAAAACTTTTACGAGCCATTCGGAAAACCTTCCGCCCCCCGTTAAAAGCCAGTTTTTCCACATACAAATACTCGAGCGTTTACGAGGAGAATTTTATCGGCCCCCATTCGAACCGAATGAGTTTACTTTGAATTAACAGCTCTGAACAATTACTTTGTATTCGAATGTATACATTATAATATAGGGTGTATCAAAGAGGTTGATGCAAAATTGCTATTTACGAATGTAGTTTTTTTTGGGACAACCTGTATGAGAGGTCAGGTGAAAAGTTCGCGAGAATTAACGATGAAAGGCAGTTGATAAACTATATTATTCCTCTTATTAAGTCAATAATCTGTAGTTCTAGATTGTTTTAAATGGTTCTGGAGCCTTGCAAATAGTTCTAGATAGTTCTAAATGCTTCTAGACAGTTCCAAATGATTCTGGAGCGTTCTAAATGGTTCTGAAGTGTTCTAAATGGTTTTAAACAGTTCTAAAATCATTCTGGAGGGTTCTAAATGGTTTTAGACAGTTTTAAAATAATCTGAAATGTTCTTAGACAGTTCTAAATGATTCTAGAGCGTGCTAAATAACTTTATATCGGTCTAAATGGTTCTGAAGCGTTGTAAATAGTTCTAGACTGCAATTCTAAACGATTCTAAAGCGTTCTAGACAGTTCAAAATGATTCTGGAGCGTTCTAAATAGATCTGAAGTGTTCTAAATGGTTTTATACAGTTCTAAAATCATTCTGGAGGGTTCTAAATGGTTTTAGACAGTTTCAAAATATTCTGAAATGTTCTTAGACAGTTCTAAATGATTCTAGAGCGTGCTAAATAACTTTATATCGGTCTAAATGGTTCTGAAGCGTTCTAAATAGTTCTAGACAGTTCTAAACGATTATGGAGCGTTCTAAATGATTCAGGGGCCGAGAACTTTTCACCTTACCCTCGTATATCCCCCCGGGGGGGTGACGTCACAGCTGTGTTAGCTCGAACGCACTATACTCGGCCTGATATTTGCGTAATGATAAATTGTTTGCTTGGAAAGTAGGTCGAATGGAAATCCTGACGATCGTCGAAACGAAGGAAAAGGGAGATTTCGGGAAGATATCCTGACCCTTTTTACCCAACTCCATTCGGGTCGTTGCATCGGTTTCGAAAGCTAATCAACTCTGCCGAATTCGCGCGGTAAATTATGCAGATTTTCGGGGCTTGTTTTCCGAAATAAGTATCCGGGAAATTGCATTAAATCGCCGGAGTACAGAAGGGTTGGTTAAAAAAAACTGATTGGGTTATATGCAGGATGTTCCATAATTACATGCTAATATTTAAGGGGGTGATTTTTGGATCTATTTTAAGAAGAAAACTTCATATGAATGTATGTCCTAAACGTATTAACTTTTGAGATACATGGTGTGAAAGTTTTAAGTTATTTTGGATCGCCCTGTATATAAATTGCATTCGGAGAATGTTAATTGATTTGTGAATGCATGAATTTAATTATAGCACGAATTAAAGCGTAATTAAAAGTGCTCGACAAATTCGATTAATTATTAGTTTAGAATTTTGTGTTTTTTTTTTCTAAAATGGATATATGCGAATTTGAATAATTGATTACATTTCCAATCGAACTATATGCTATATTAATGAATTTATACGTTTAATTAAAAATATAATTTACGGCAAATAATTAAAATAGCAGGGTGAGTTAAAATATTGATACAGTGCAGAGGTTTATTGAATATTCAATATTGCGAACAAATAGAGGGAGTTTCGAAAGTGTATCGCTTTATTGCGATTTTTTTATTCACTTAACTTGGAGAAACTTTGAATTCGCCTCCCAGTTGAATTGCACTCGCGAGTTTTATATACCTGCAGTTTCTTGAAAGTTTCAATTTATCTCCGGCGAGGCCTTTAAAAGCTCTACACGAGATCCCGAGTTCAGATTTAATAGATTCAATTTCAGTTTCTTTGCGTCGGAATAAATAGATTTCTCCGTTTATTAAAATTAGAAAAAAGGAATCAATTTTTAATACTCAAATCTAAGAATTTAGTAAATAAATAAATATTTTCAATCTATGAATTTAAGGATTAATTTAAGGATGAATTTAAGGATGAATTTAAGGAACTCCGCATTGAAATTACCTCTCTACAATCTATTCTCTATCTCTAATTCTCTAATCTACTCACTACTCTCTACTCTACCCTCTTGAGAACCAATTTTAAATACGCAAATTTAAGAATTAGTAGAGAATATTTTCAATATATTGAAAGATGAAATTATGGAACTCTACTGTGACCTCTCTACTATCTATATTCTCTAATTCTCTAATCTACTCACTATTCTCTACTCTACCCTTTACTCTATCCTCTACACAACCTTCGCTTATATTTCCTAATTTTTTAGTTTGTAGAAATTGAATGACAGTTTTTGGATACTCAATTAGGTATTGTTATTTTTCGGTAGAGAATTCCTGTATAGGATTAAAAGTAAAAGAGGACCCAAAAAAGGTTTAGATATTATTATCCTGCGAAAATCGGGAATTTATAAGTATTATTTATGAATTAAACAACTCATTTGGAAGATTAGAGAATCCTTAAGGATATACATAAATAAAAAATGTCTCGAATCGCAGGAACTACTGCGGGTTTCAATTTAACCGCTCGGTTGTTGCGGAAACGTCTGGAATTCCATTCCAGGAGTCTAATAATCACGTAGGGAATATTGTATGAGGAGAAATCTCGCTCCTAAATATATGGAATAATATTCCACATGCTCGTTATGTACTGTACACGAGCTGTTAACGAGATACAAGTCGGTTAAAACGGGGCATTGTTCGAGTTTCTCCGACGAACAAGGGCGCGGAAAAGCCCTGGAAATTATGTTATGAACACAATAATACCTTCTAGATAGAGGTAATTATATACGGGGTGAGTCTACAAATAATCGTGTACAGTCGGTGCAAAACAAATCTAAGATTGTCGAATTTGTTTTGCACCGATTGTATACAGAAATTACTCAGTCAAATGCAATTATATCGCTTCTTTTGCAATGCAATTAGCGTACAAAATCGATGGATTAAACGTGGAAAAATCCATTCCGAAAGTAAAGTAAATATCCCGCGCTTATTCGTCGTGAAACAAAATAAGATAAATAAGAAAAAACCAATTACTCGCCTAATAATCGGACGGGGTTAATTATTTTCGAACTCGGTAATTCCTCTCCTTTTGAAATGCTCGAAATAAATTGAAATCGACCCCGATCGGATTCCCGTTCGGCAAACATTCCTTTTATAAACATTTAGATGATTATCTCCGAACGTGTTTTTGTGTACAATACATTCGAGATAATCCAGCTATGACGTCATCGACACACTTTCATAAGCTGTCAAAACAATTTTGTTATTACGTCATTTATTAATACTTTCCACAGCCTGCTTGATTCGACTGTGATAATAATTAAGTGTATATGGTAGATGTAGTAAATAAATAGTGTGACGTCACGGGTTATTTAACGTGAGCATAACATAACAGTAGGATTGTTATTCGGTACCTCTAATTATTTTTGGAATTTTCGTGTTTGATTTGGCCGGGTTTTCCAGTCGATAATCGGTTTTCAATCTGCACTGAAAAGCGGCTTTTCACCGCGAGTTTACTTTTATCGGAGTTGCGGCGAAACGCATCGATTTTTCCGCCACAAAGCGTCGGTTTTCCCCATGCAATTTCTCCTTTTTTTCGACCGACGTCGGCGGTTTTTTCTTCGGGAAATTTCGCGGGTTTTTCTCTTTCGTCGTCGGAAAATCGCCCGTCGGAAAACCTAAATTATGTAGTGTTGAATGGATTTTTCGGTTGTTACAATTGCGAATTTTGCGGTTTCTGAAGGTTTTGTTATTTTTAAAATACCTACCGCTTTTCGAAATGGTTTTTAATAAAAAGAAAACTCAATTTTAGGTAAATTGCGTTTTTCCTCAGAGCCGACTGGATTACGAGGGTCACGATCGTAAAACGCGAGAAAAATGTCGGAAAAACCGCGCGGAAAACCTCCCGGATTATCGGCGATTGTTCGAAGTTCTTTAGAAAATTTTCTCGCTTTGTCCGAAACGGGAAAAGTCAATTACCGCTCTAATCAATTTCCACCTAGCACCCGCGATATACAGTTGGTGCAAAACAAATATCAATGCACGTCATCTATAATTTACTACGTCACAAGTAGACAGTGTTGCCGGAATTTTATAGAGTTTACAAAATCTAAGAATTTTCTAAAATTGTCAAATGGCAAAATGACAAGAAGAAATGGAAATTTAGGGGTATCTGTTTCAGGTTTCTAAAATTTGTTTTGAACATTTGTTTTGCATCGACTGTAAACATTTGAAAAAAAATCGAGACCTCCACTACATCGGTTATTCGGCCATTTACATTCTCGGCGATAAATTCCGAACAGACTTCTAATTAGAAAAGTTCGCTTTTAAGTACACTTTTTCATTCCTCCGCCTTCCGCTCTACAGGAAACGAAATTTCCTGATACCCTTCTACTCTCGGCTCTATTTCATCCTCGTTTTTGTTCCAAAGCAAAGCCCCGCTTTGAGTATCAGAGTATCAACGGAGAAGTTTCGACTTTCGCAAATTAAATAGGTATATACCTACATATCGAGTTAGAGTTAATTTCGAGCGAATTCGTGCCTAAATAATCCCATTTAAAACTCAACCGGCTGCAACGCATTCTTTCGACATTACTCGAACCTTTGTTGTATAACTTTCGTTGGCTGTAAGAGCACTCCGAAAGAGGCCGCGATGTAATTACTATTGAAAGAAGATTTTTTTTTTTGTGAATACCACACGTAAAAACACTTCTACAGAGTCCTGTAAATTTAAATGAAGATTTTTCCACGTGAATACTACACTTATTTGATTCATTGGCTCTAATAACACTTCGACAGAGGCCAGTAGAATTAAAAGAAGATGTTTTTTTTGTGAATCCCACACACTTTGATTCGTTGGCTGTAAAAACACTTCTACAGAGTCCTGTAAATTTAAATGAATATTTTTCCACGTGAATACCACACTTATTTAACTCATTGTCTCTAATAACACTTCAATAGAGACCGGTACAATTAAAAGAAGATTTTTACGTGAATCCCACACACTTTGATTCGTTGGCTGTAAAACCACTTCTACAGAGTCCTGTAAATTTAATGAAGATTTTTCCACGTGAATACCACACTTATTTGATTCATTGGCTCTAATAACACTTCGACAGAGGCCAGTAGAATTAAAAGAAGATGTTTTTTTTTTGTGAATACCACGATTTGATTCGTTGGCTGTAAAAACACTTCTACAGAGTCCTGTAAATTTAAAAGAAGATTTTTCCACGTGAATACCACACTTATTTAACTCATTGTCTCTAATAACACTTCAATAGAGACCGGTACAATTAAAAGAAGATTTTTACGTGAATCCCACACACTTTGATTCGTTGGCTGTAAAACCACTTCTACAGAGTCCTGTAAATTTAAAAGAAGATCACTTTTCCAAGTGATTACCCGACTTCAATGCGATTTAATACATTTTATTTTTTTGCAGGGTGTTCAAGAAGGTGTCGCCGAATCAAAAATTGACCCTTTACTTGAGTTCCCGCGACCTCGTCGTTTCTCCCGAAGGAATCGATCGCATAACGGGCGTGCTATTGGTCGATCCGGAGTTCGTGGAAGAGAGAAAGGTCTACGGACAGGTCACTCTAACTTTCAGGTATGTCTGCGTAAACGGCTAATAATTACGTTAAAGGCCGGTTCTTCTTTTACTTTATATGTATATAAAAGGACGATTGCACGGGAAGCAATCGAATAATCTACTAGATCGATTCTATACGAGGGGGAGTTTCGATATTGGTTGTTTTTATACAGTAAAACTCTCGTATTTGGAAGTTTTTTGTTATAACCAATTGGTTTTGTAACCAACGATTATACTTGGGTGTTTTTGAAATAAGTGAGAAAGAAATAATAATATGACACTTAGTTCAGATACACCTTGTATATATTCGAATTTTAAACGTGGCAACGTTGCTTATTTGAATCTTAAACAAGATGAAAACGAGGTTATTTGTTCGTCATTCTTCTTCTTCTACGATATTTTAAACAGGTTAAAATGGTTCTGAACAGCTTTAAATGGTTCTGGAGCGTTCTGAATGAGTCTACAAGAGTTTTAAATGATGGTACTGGAGCGTTCTAGGTTGTTTTAGTCAGTTCGAAATGATTCTGGATTGTTTTAAATGGTTCTAGATAGTTCTAAATGATTTTTGGAGCGTTCTAAATGAGTCTGTAGAGTTCTCGATTTATCGTTATTAATATTATCGTTGGATATCGTTGGTTACAAAACCATTTGATTATAAAAAAACCTCTGAATACTGGTGAAAGGCTTGGAGAGTTGGGTGTATAAAATTTGTAGAGAAGTAATTTCACATCAAAAAAATTCCACCGTAATTACGGGAAAAGTCGCATTTTTTTCATACAAGCAAAGTTCATTATCCGCCCATCAAAAAACAATAAACTTCAACCGGGTATACATGTGGAAAAACTCGTTCAAAATTCATAACGCCGGAGTCTCCGCCATTCAACCGACGTTTTCCCCATTGTCATTCCGGTCCTTTTCGGTAGGGTTTTTCCTCTTAATAAAAATGTATCTCTTGTTATATATTTCCACGTAGCGCGTAAAACAAACTGACAAAGAGCGCGCTGCCATGTACAAAAAAAAAAAAAAAAACCTGTTGGCCCGGAATGGACCAAAAAGCCGATTCAGTTGCTCCGAAAAATCCCATCTCGCGAATAACAAAGAAATTATTCCGCGACGATAAATGCTCCAATCATGCCCGATCAATCAGCGACGCACGCTGATTTATTGTTGTTTGATTAAACCGGCCGACTTTGAATGAAATACAGGATGTCCCAAAATAATTGGAAAATATGTGCAAAAGTGCTTCGTTTGCCTGCGAGGGAGCCTCGAAGTTAAAAGAAACTTTTCAAATTTTTCTATTAATAACTCAAAAACGCTTCATTCGATTTTCCTAAAATTTGGTATGTAGCTATTTTAATCGAAGAACCATTGTTCAAAGCAAAAACTATACCCAGTAAAATTCTATAAGGGTAAAAACCACCCCAACATTGGTAGGTCTCAAATGGGAATTATCAATTTCATCAATAGGAAACTGAAAAATATCAATTCAAAGAGAAGGATTTTTCTTTACAATTAATCTTCGATATGGCCACCCTCTTTGTTATTATTTTTCGAGGGTTGATAACCGTCAAATTAGTTTTATTGAAAAATTTAAATTACCAACCATCAGTGAATAATTTTGTTTTACTCAAATACAATGAGAGATTGCAAGAGACAAAAAATGTTCCAGCTTTTCGTACAAAAAAACGACAAACGAAGCACTTTTGTATTTGTTTGCTCTATGTACACCGAATTTTAGGACACCCTATACACATAACTAGATTTTGTAATGAGCGATGGCATCCACAAATCGCTTTTATACTCGAATTTTCCATTGTATTCGAACGGTATTTAATCCCCCGGTGCAATCGGTTGGGCTTCCCGGTCTCCGTTTATACATCATCCTCGACGTGATCGTCCCGTTTCCACGGAACGTGCCTCAGTTATCCGGCCATTATTTTATTTTCCTTCGCTCGGGCGAGAATACTTATCGATCACCCCGCGTATATGCACTCCGGGAAAAAGGAGCTCTCGCTTGTTATGCGGAGGAACGAGTAAATAAAGGATCATTCTAAAGGATATATACAAAGCACTAAGATTGGTAGTTGTTTAGTTTGATGTATACAGGGTGTACAAACAGGTGGTGATTCTGCATGAAAAATTAATGATATGGGGGTGTTAAAAAGTGTCTTCTTAAAAACCGAATATTTATTTATTTCTCTGAAACCAGATGAGATATTTAAATGAAATTTGGTGGGTTTTGAGAGGTGACTATTACGCATTTTTTGATATAAAATTGAAAATTTTATGTTCATCATTGACGCGCATACGGGTAATAATAAAAAATGTTTAAAGAAAAAAATTATATTGGTACGCCACTGGTGCATTTTTATTGAAAATTCAATTATAAATAAATTCCTCGTTCAATTTGTGACAAAAAAACTCTCTTGTGTTTTTTTCGTACGGGCCGCTGTTTTCGAGTAAAAAAATAAAATATCTTGACTTGTATTTTTCATTTCCTCCACGTTATCTAGTAGTGAAGAAAGTTTAATAAGTCTGGAGAGTTCCAAATGATTCTGGAGCATTCTAAATGATTCTAGGTAGATCTAAATGGTTCTAGACAGTTTCAAATGGTTCTAGAGCGTTCTAAATGATTCTGAAGCGCTCTAAAGGATTCTACACAGTTCAAAAATGATTCTGAAACTTTCTAAACGATTCTATACAGCTCTAAACGGTTTTGGAGCGTTCTAAATGATTCTGAAGCGTTCTAAAGGATTCTAGACAGTTCCAAAATGATTCTGAAGCTTTCTAAACGATTCTAAACAGCTCTAAACGGTTTTGGAGCGTTCTAAATGATTCTGGAACGTTCTAAAGGATTCTACACAGTTCAAAAATGATTCTGAAACTTTCTAAACGATTCTATACAGCTCTAAACGGTTTTGGAGCGTTCTAAATGATTCTGAAGCGTTCTAAAGGATTCTACACAGTTCAAAAATGATTCTGAAACTTTCTAAACGATTCTATACAGCTCTAAACGGTTTTGGAGCGTTCTAAATGATTCTGAAGCGTTCTAAAGGATTCTAGACAGTTCCAAATTGATTCTAAAGCATTCTTAACGATTCTAAACAGCTCTGAACGGTTTTGGAGCGTTCTAAATGATTCTCGATAAAGTTTACCCCGTATCTCGAAAACGAATCATTCGCAACGAATCAGAATCACCCCCTGAAGTTTGCCACACTCATTAATAAACACCCTGTACACAAAACAATCTCTATAATAAGAAAGAAAATTTTATTCGAGCCGATATATTAATCGATATAAGCGTATGGGTGATATAAGGGAAAAATAAATTACTCATTAAGGGAGCCGAAGGCGAAAGTTTAGCACCCTTCCATTTTCACCCATTATCCCGTTTCTACGTTATTTCGCCGAAAACGGAATTATACAAGTAGTGTCCGATTAAAAAATATCTGTATATTAATCCGATTCGGTCGAGGGGGAGGATGGGCTCCGCCCTTGCGACAATTTAGGGGTTGGAAGATGCTCTTATGTGTTCGCTGCTTTCGGTTAATTAACGGGGGCCCTTCCAATTCAGGGGGATGTTTGACTAATGACACAACTATAAGGGAGATTCCCGCTTATTATACCTAAATATATAGAGGTATAGTAAAAGCGACGCGCCCTTCTCTAACATGCTAAATTGCATTAAATATCTAATATATCTGATTTGTTGTGTAAAGTTCGTACGTTTTAAAATGACGATGACGTCACGAACCTGCCGGTTGCAACGTTGCCGGGTTGTAATTGAAATCCTTTATATTACTCATGAATTATGGACATCCTGTATAGTATATACACGAGATATCAAGCGAAACGTGGGCCGTATATGTAGAAGGCTCTCGTAAATGGAAATCCATTTCGGTGGAAATTCCATTTGGCAATTTAAGATTGGACTTTTCAACAAAAGCGATCCCGAACAAACAGTGATGGTAGCATTGAATAGGAGAATGCTTAATTAGTACAACTCCTTGTGGGCGTACACTCAATTTGAATTTCGATTCGACTGCTATCGGTGTTAGATTTAATTGATTTTCCATTTTCTAGTTATCATTACTATTATTATGAATATATCATTCTGTTTACGCCAGTCATATCATGTTAATTCCTTTTTTTATCTTGTTTTCACAAGTCACATGTCACATGTCATATGTCACAACTTCTCACACTCGTAACTTTTTTAATTAATCTCACTATCTCAGTTTAACTTCCTCTTAAATTGTCAATTTTGCAGTTTCTATTTTTTAGGTTTAACAAACTTTTATTTTCGTTTTATTCAAATTACTTTTTTGTCACTGCGTACATCCCTGTGTTAATTAAGATTAAATCAAATTACACGTTTAATTAACATTTCTCCTGCATACAGAATCTCCCGCGAGATGGAAACGCGAATGTAAATAAAATCCAAACCGACGGGAACAAATGGATGAAAATTCCTCGAGGCAAAAGAAGAACGCAATAATACAAATTCGATAGTAAATAATAAATCACGTAAAAGCGTACGTTTTACATTACGAAAACTCCCTACCTGCCATTTTTTTTCTTCCTCCTGCGAGATAATACATCCGGATGGTGACATTTGCAGCAGATGCGGTCGTTTATTGCCTCCTCCTGGTATTTCTCGTCCGGAAAAGCCGAAGGAAAACTCGTTCGAACGTAAAAGAAAACTCCCGACGTTCACGACACGCTTAATTACGACGTTTTATAGAAGGAAAATAACACGGGAAACGCGAAAAAATTATATCGAGTGGGCGATTTCATTATAACCTTTGACGTTTCACCATCTTTGATGTAAATTCGCGTTTCGCTTTCGAATAAAAGTAGTTGGCTTTGTACGTCAAAAGTGTCAATAAGTAGATAAATTTTGTACACCGTGCGGGATAGAACAGGACGGGAAGCGAGGAAAGAGGATAGTAAGAGTAACTGTCACCTGTCAAAAGAGTTTTTTTGCAGAATTTCATTTAAAAAAATCTATTGTGTTTATTTGTTACAATTGTGCTATATTTTGAGTAAAGAATTAAAACTATTTCGTCCTTTTTTATCAAGAAGTACATAGGTAAGGAATTTGGGTATTTTAAATCAACATAGAAGTGGCCATGTATGTCAAAACTGTCAATTTGATGACATAAATTTATACTTTGATGGAATTTTCAGTCGAATAGAATTGTACATACCATTTTTTATGCTGTATGAAAATAAATTTGAGTTAAAATGGAATTGCAAAGCCCGAAATCGCAATCTGTCAATTTTCCTTAAAATAAGTTCCAATTAGAAAAAGTACATGCAAGAATATGTATAGTTGGCCGTGTATACGTCATACTTGTCAACGTCAATTTTTGTTTATTCAAATTTCAGATATGGCAGAGAAGACGAAGAAGTGATGGGTTTGAAATTTTGCAACGAGGCCATCATGTGCCTGGCCCAATTGTATCCCCCGAATCCTGCCATGCAGGAAACAGTCACGCCGCTGCAGGTAAGCGAATTTTCCGCGATAATGAGCCCCGTTTGTTCGGAAAAATCATCTCCGCAAGGTTTAGTAGAACACTCGACAATTCCGCCGAGCTTCTTAATTAAAACTTAACTTAACGTCGGGTTAGTTTCGCATTTTGATCACGTTCGAAACTCGGAGTGTATCCGAAATTTCCATTCGGAAAATCCGAATTACTTTATTAGTATTAGAGAAAGGCAAATATGCAGATGAAATCACGAGAAACATGCGTATAAATGTGAAAAATATTCAAAAGGTTTAGAAATTAAAAATGTGCAGTTAAAATAACGCATTTTTTTCCATTTTTTTTTTCATGTTTATCCATATTTTCCATGTTTTTCCACTTTTTTCATGATTTTTTCCATGTTTTTCCACTTTTTTTTCCACTTTTGCCATGTTGTCTCATATTTTCCATGTTTTTCCAATTTTTTCATGATTTTTTCAGGTGTTTCCATGTTTTTCCACTTTTTCCCTTTTTTGCACTTTTTCTCTTTATTCCACTTTTGACGTGTTTTCTCACTTTTTCCACGTTTTTTCACTTTTTGTCATGTTTTTCCACTTCTTTCACGTTTTTTGACTTTTGACATGTTTTTTCAACTTTTTTCTTTGTTTTTCCGCGAGAGAATTCTCAAATTCGATTCCTTTACGGTGAAACCCTTAAATATTTCAATCAACATCTCCAGCCACTAAATAGAATTTCCCAGGCCTAATTAAAGTTCTCCGTTTCACCCCACAAAAAGGAACATTTTCATCACCGGAATCGCTTAATTAAAATCCCGACTTTTTCTTCCTTTTACCGGATTATCGGCGACTTCGACAGTTTTCCTCTTACAGGAGGCCCTAATGAGACGATTGGGCGCCAACGCTTACCCTTTCAGCATGGAAATCACCCCATTAGCGCCCCCTAGCGTTCAACTAGTACCTGCTAAAGAATACAATGGAGCTCCCATCGGTACTAGCTACGACATACGGACTTACGTAGGTGAGTAAATTACCCGTTTGGTTACTTCTTTTTAATTTTTTTTTGGCCTCCACCTTTTCGGTGAGTTGTAACCGAAAGGGTTGTGTAGCAAAAGGCCTTTGTTTGGTAAAGAAGAAGGAAGAAAATCAACTAGTACTGGATGTTATGTTTATATTCACTAATTTCGGGTTATCAACTTGATAAATTAAACAGTCGGTTAACAATATTTGTTATTCACCACGAGATTTGAGTAAACTAACAGTTTTCTTAAAAATAACCAAGTTTAAGTTGGTATTATGATAGTTCCTAACTTAATCGAATCTTTCTTCCATCTGAACCAATTTTTAAATTCCATTTCGGAATGTTTTTTCCTATTTCCAATTCGTGAAACTCCATTCTATTTAACTGCTCCATTATATTAGATATAAAATTATAATGTTATATGTCACTATTAAACAGTCGTAAAAACTTTGAAAACTTCGCCATTTGGATTGAAATGATCAATCTGTTACTTTTTTATTAGTTCTGTTACTTTTATCTGACTGTTAAGTATTAACCGACATTGTTGAATGCCAAGATATGAAGTTAACAGATTGATAAGAACTTATCTCTCTGTTAGCGATTTAACAGACATTGTTGAATGTAGCCGATAAAATTAAACTGTTAAATAGTCGTAAAAACTTCGACATTTGGATTGAAATTATTAACCTTTTACTTCTTTTATTAGTTCTGTTACCTAGATAACAGATTGATAAGAACTTATCTTCCAGTTAGCGATTTAACAGACGCTTAATATGACCGTGTAATTATTGTATTGTTAACAGATATGCAATACAGAAGGAAATTGTAGTGTATATACCGCTTAATTGAGTTAATTGAGCATAAACCGTAATCGCGGGGCTTTTCCGCTAAATTTCCGGCATGTTTAGCGTAAACCCTGCGATTTTAATTAACTCGAATTACGTTCGAAATTCGAAGAGCATTCTCGTTTCGAACCTTCCTAAAATCTATTATTATCATCATCATCGAGGGACTCTATTCGAGTTATCTCCTCCTATAATATGCCGTATAAAAGTAGATAAAGTATTAGAAATGGCTTCGGCGGATCGGGAGAGAGTATAAAAAATATCGTATAAGGGAGTTCTTTCACCCCTGTTGAATTGCTTTCGAATGAATAAAAAAAAAGTTTCCCCGTTGCTTCGCGAAGGCGAGTTTTTCGTGGAAATTTCCTGGTTTTTTAATGTTTGAAAGACCTTTCGAGAGGCTCATAATGAGCAAAAAAATCGTCATGTAATTTACTAAATCAGTGTTGCCAATGTTTCCGCTAAGTCTACAGTCGGTGCAAAACAAATATCAATGAATAGATTTTTTTTGGTAAAGTGCTTTGACTATTAGATGAGGTCAAAGCGATTAAATGATTTTTTATTTATTATTAATTAGCCTTTAAATGGATGTTAATGGCGATTATAGAGTAGTGTATTGTATTACTGCTGTACTGGAGTTATTCAAGTGGTAATAGAATATGTCGAGTGTTTGTTTACCTATTCATATTATTATTAGTGTGGTATTTTTTAGACTAAATTCGCAGGTGTTGTTTTATATAGAATTTTAGTATGAAATTCTTCAAATAAAACTTTAAAAATGTGTTGAATTTAACCTTAATTTGTCTCGCGAATAAATCTATAATAACACAAAACTTATCAAGTTATACATCAAATCATTAGCCCTCGCTCAAATTGTCTACATCTTTTTTAGTTCAACACATTTATCAGACAGTTTGGCATCCATTTTATCCCCCTAAAGGATCCCTCGGCCTTTGTTCGTACGAGGAATATTAATGATTGTATATGTAAACAGCTTATTTACTAAACCGTTTTCGGGCTAAATATTTATACATCAGACACTACCCGTCAGGGAAATATTTCAGCAACATGACGTCCACACGTTTATTCTACCCTCGACTCGCCCCTGATATCCAATTAAATATTCATTTTCACGAGAAACGGGTGAAGGGATTAATGCGCAGTAGGCTACTCGAAATTTTTGGAATTTTTTTTTTATTTATACCTACCCAATTCCGATAAATCAAACTCTTGATAATTGCCCTATTCGTTCGAAGTTTCCTCGATTTACTAAATCTTTTGAGCGTCGTTGAATTTTCCGGATTTTCTTCCCAACTTTTCTATTACCGTTATTAGGACTCGGCGATTTTTAATTAGGAAAAAAGTTTACCAAAAAAACCTCCAACAAATCGAGTAGGTTACTCAAACAATTGACTCAATTTGAGCTCTAAATAATTCAGATTCAGAAATTTCACTATGCACTCTTTTAAGCTCAATTGTACACTAAATTTTTTACTTATATTGTTAAATATTTTTCAGATGATAAAGGAATTTGTTTAAAAACTAAAGGAATTCAAGTTTAAAAACGTGAAATAGGTGCCCCCTTATCATTTGAGAAAATTCTTAGAATTTCTAAACTCTATAAAAGTCCGGCAACACTGCCTACTTATGACGTACTAAATCATAGATGGCGTGCATTGATATTCGTTTTGCACCGACTGTACAAGCGAAAATCTGGCTTTCTCGAGCGGGGGAGGGAAAATAATAATGATCGAGTGGCTCGATATTGAAGTACTCGAGAAAATAGGCGACAGTCGACTGGGAAAACTCCGGGGCATCCATTACGTTAGACACGAAAGGACTTTGCATGTGTACCAACCTACCATTTCTAAATTGAAATTCAATTAAACCCTCTCGAAAATCTGCTTTAATAGAATTCGCCGAGCCGACTACTTTAAAAGGGGGCTGGTGGTGCATTTCTATTGTTCTTAGAATGTTCCGGAAAATATAAGGGAGAACTATATTGTAGAGATCTCGAAATAATGTGGCGAAATGTTTGTGTAAGCGGTTCCTTGGAGTTTTCCTAACGCTAAATAAACGTTAGAACTAATCAAAACTTGCTTTACAAGACGCAATTCCACTATAACAACTACAGACCGACAAATGTCCTCTAAATAAACGTTAGAACCAATCAAAACTTGTTACAAAACGCAATTTCACTCTAACAACTACACACAGACCGACGCCTATAACTAGATACCTACGTCACCTGCGCGACTTTCTTCATTTTTCGATTATTTTTCAGCTAATGTATTTTTCTCAATTTCCTGAAACAAAGCTAAATAAACGTTAGAACTATATAAATCAAAACTTGTTATACAAGACGCAATTCCACTATAACAACTACAGACCGACAAATGTCCTCTAAATAAACGTTAGAACCAATCGAAACTTCATCATACAGACCGACGCCTATAACTAGAGATACCTCCACGTCACCTGCGCGACTATCTTCATTTTTCGATACTTTTTCAGATAAGATCTTTTCCTTAATTTCCTGCAACAACCCTAAATTAACGAACTAGAACTAGAAATCAAAACTTGCTATTCAAGACACAATTTCACTACAAAAACTACACACAGACCGACGCCTATAACTAGAGATACCTCCACGTCACCAGCGCGACTTCCATTCATCATATTTTCTCACCCTGTTTCTCCAGATAGGGTCGATGAAAAATTACACCGAAGGTCCACCATCCGCATGGGCATCAGGGTGGTGCAGCGGGCGTTCGCGCCCCCCTCGCCCCACATGTACGTCCCTGGGGGCGCCAGCAGGACCTGCAGGGACAGGGCGAAGCAGCACCGAAAGGCCCTTTTGTTCGGCATCAAAAGCGCCCCGTTGGACACCAGATGTCCCAAAAGCGAAAAGGGTAGGTAAACAAAACGCTGTTTTTTTAGTTTTTTTACACATGTAGTTCTTAAATTAATCGCGGCGTGACGTCATCGAGGTGTTACAGCGAATGAACTATACATGGTGTTTTTGTAGGGTGTATACAAATGAATGGATTTGATTTTTTTTAAGCGAAACGGTGAGGAGTACGAAAAAAAGTCGAGATATAAAATTTGTTGTAAATTGAACGGGGCATCTAAAAATAATTTTTATTTTAAGAGAAAACAGTGGCGTACCACTTTTACCCTCAAAAATAGTTCGCCTGAGTCCAGTACGGACGCCACTGGTGGAAATAAAAAAATGTTTTACAGCCCAAAAAATGCTTTTTCATGCATAAATGTCGTACACCAAATTTCATAAAAATATTTAAAATGACATAGAAATAATGACAGTAAAAAATTCTCAAAACTTTAACACCCTATATCTCAAAATTTAAGACGTTTAGAACAAATTTTTTTCTTAAAATAACCCCAATAATCACCCCCTTCAGTATATTAGCACGTTATTTAAAAAACCGCCCTGTATTTAGGCGCTATTTGTGATGATATTAAATCTCGAGGCGTTAATTCAACCGGCGGTTCGGCGGTTGGGGGGCGGTTTAATTTAAAATACGAATGCGGTTTAATTTAAAGTTTGTTGAACCGACGGCGGCGTCGCGGCGCCCCGTGGGCGGAATCCGTCGTAGGATTAATCCGGGGAGTTTCTGAAGAAGTCCGAAATTATCGCGTTTGAAGGGAGAAAAAAATGATTAAAAAAAATTTTTTTTCGAGACGAGTAAAGGCGATTGACACGTGTCAAGTTTCGCTGTACAAATTAGGGTAAATACAGGGTGTTGATTAATTAATTGGCGATGTTTGAAATATGCAGTTTATACCGTGAAATAAACTGCTCCACAAAAGTTGAATATTTGAAGAATTAAATAACTGTAATAATTGTATTGCAGCGGTTATTCCATCTAATAGAATCTTTCTTCAATCTGTACCTAGTTTTCAATTCTATTTCAGAATATTTCTATCTATTTAATATTTATTTCTATCAGTATCTTCGCAAGATGATCAAAAAACCTGCAACTTTTAAATTAATCTCAATATTTGTAAACTTTTGTGGACCAGTATATTATCTACCCAGTTTTCGCTATTTAGTAATCTCGTGCTTCACCGCGAACGGACTATATACAGCGATTTACTCGATTACGAAGGGACTATAAGCGGTTACTTCGATTCGAATAAATTATAAGTGGCTGTTTTTTTTCTTGCCTAAATTAGATTCTAAACGTAAGGGTATCGAATTTAATATTCACATTGTGTACGTTTCCAAGATGGTTTTATTCGAAAACCATTTGTGCTCGAGAATATACTGCTCGAGATTGATCAAAAATTCATGGATCAGTTACGCAAGAAAATGGCGTATATACCGGCTTACGCTCGAAGCGATATTTTTATTAGGAACATTTCATATACAGGATGGCCCAATTTCACTCCCACCTTCACAAGAATACACCGAGTTTGGGTATTAGTTTGAAATGTCACTGGTGATTTATAAATTGAAATTTCTTTTGGTAATTTGTTTTTTATTGTTGAATGATTTTTATGCCTTTTGGTAAATGATTTTTCGTTATATTAAATATTCATTCTTTTAAGCAAAATATTTTTGAGTTTGGGTAGGTTCAGTAATTCTAGTAAGATTACAAATTTGGCTTTATCAATCGATTTGAATGTTTCTTTTATCTAATATAGAGATTCCAAGCAATGATATCATCTATTTCGAATCTCTCCTACTTCATTATATACAGGGTATTAATTAATTGAGTGCCTATACATCAGGATGTGAATATTATGGTTGAATTTAAGAAGAAACGTTTCTATCGTTGTTAAAATTTTAGAAAAAAAAACTTTTCTATCATAATTTTCGTATTACTTCAGGTAATTTTAACACCCTGTACTCCTCAACTCTGCGGAATGTAATTGGAACACCCTGTATAAAAATGTCGAGAAAAAAAACCAAACAGTAGACAGCATCATAGTATATTAATAGAAACCCCTCTGTATAGTATCTGCTGTAAAATTGATGAAAACGGGGGTTGTCGATGTACGGAAAATGTATCGATTATTTAGGAGATGGGAAAAATCGTTGAGGGAAAATTCGGGAAAATTACGAAAATTTGCTTTGTTAGCAGAATCGACGAATTTGCACATATTGGGGACGATGCAGAACAGAGAGATGCAGGTGGAGGTGGAAAAGCCAGCCGGAAAAGCCGCCGAAGACTTGGGAAAAGGCGATTTCCACGGCATGGAAATCGACAAGACTCCTGAGGAAAGCTTCGCGAAGGAAAAGGAGAACGTGGAAACCCGAGAATTGCCTGATGTAAGTATGAGAATTTTCCAGCTAATCCTGTGTTATTTCTTTTCCGCATTTCCACCCTGTTTTATTCGCCCGTCCAATCTGTTAAAACTCATCAATTAGCCCCCCCCTCTAACGAGCTAAAAATCCCTATAGCAGGAAAACTTTTAACATCGCAGGAGCCGAAGCTTCGCAATCATCCCGTCAATACCTCTTATGATACGCCCGAAATTCGAACGAGAGTATCCAATTATTAAAAACGGCGTACCGGAAAAGCGGGTATATACAGGGTGTCTCAAAATTAACGCCCGTCCTTTCGCATTATGAATACAGATACCAAAATAAATGTCTCTGTCTTTGGTTTCGGAGTTATCGGTAAAAACAAACATCTAAAATTCGATCGAAAAAAACGTTATTGAAAACGAAGTAAGCTTAAAACGAATGATCATTTGGAAAATTTGTAATTCGAGCGTTTTGGACACCCTGTATGTGGGATAAATTTAGCGAGAAAACTCCGTTTTCCGCGCTCGAGAGTTCCGCAAATGTTTCCCGATGGAGTTTCCCGATGGAGACTTTAAAACCGCCTAATCAACTCCGCAAAATCGAGGAAATAGAGGAGGTAAAATAGTATTTTCTAGTTTAATAAACTCATACGAGGATAGAAGGGAAGAGTTCTCGGCCTGAATCATTTAGAACTGTCTATAGAACTGTTTAGAACGCTCCATAATCATTTAAAATCGCCTAAAATAATCACTAAAAACGCTTCAGAACAATTTAGAATGTTCCAGAATTATTTAGATCTGTCTAGAATCATTTAGGAAGCTCCAGAATCATTTAGAACTGTCTATAATCACTAAGTATGCTCCAGAACCATTAAGGAGTATTCAGAATCATTTAGAATGTTCCAGAATCACTTAGAACTGTCTAGAACCATTTAGAACGCCCCGGAATCATTTAGAACCGTCTAGAACTAAAATTTTTGACTTAACAAGAAGAAAAATGTAATTTTTTTTTTGGAAATTTCCGATTCTTTTTCGGCCGCATCGCTTCTACGAAGTTTTCCCATTTGATTTTAGAGGAAAATGTCGGAATTTTACATCTCGTGCAGCGGCAAACGTCCCAGTTTGGCGGCGTATTTGGCGGGCGTGCCCGCCCCCAAGGCTTGCACCGAGAAACTCTATCTACTCAGCGAAGGGAAAATATGCCTTACAGCCTCGTTGAACAAGGCCATTTATTCCCACGGCGAAAATGTCAACGTCACCATCAACATCCAGAACAACAGCAACAAAACCGTCAAGAGACTGAAGGTATGAATGAATCTATTAAACATTATTAAAAGGGAATTATACAGGGTGAATATTTAGATGGTTTTAAGAAGAATAGGTTGTATCAATATAGTTCATTAATCTCTTAGTTTTCGAGCTATTTGTCTCTAATTTAGAACGTTTCTGAGCTATTTAGAACTGTCTAAAACCATTTAGAACGCTTTAGTACTTCTTATAACGCTCCACAGTTATTTAGAACTGTCTACAACAATCTATAACGCTTCAGAACCAATAAAAGAAAGCTCCAGAATCATTCAGAACGTACCAGAATCATTTAAAACGCTCCATAGGACGTTCCAGGACCATTTAGAACTCTCTAGAACCGTTTAGAGTGCTCCATAGTCTTTTAGTATGCTCCAGAATCATTTAGAACTGTCTAGAACTATTAAGAACCCTCCAGAATCATTTAGAACGCGGCTGAATCATTTAGAATTGTTTAGAACCATTTAGAATGCTCCTGAATCATTTAGAACTCCCTAAAATCATTAACAACTGTATCCCGAACAATTTAGAACGCTCCAGAACCATTTAGAACTGTCTATAATCATTTAGAATGCCTTTTATGAAACAATGGATGAATTTTCTCAGGTATTCATCGTGCAATACGTGGACGTTTGCATGTTTTCCAACGGGAAATTCAAAAACGTCGTGGCCTCTTTGAATTCGAAAGACGATTGTCCGATCTACGGAGGCGCCGATTTCGAGAAAACCTACGCCTTAATGCCCATGAAGAGCTCCACCAAAAACTGGATAGCCTTGGAGGAGTCCTACGACAAAACCGGCACCAGTTTAGCCTCTACCGTTACCTCTTCAGTAAGTATATAATATTCCTCCTATACAGGGCGTTATTAACGAGATTGAAGTCTCGAGGAGCTTGAAGATTTGCTGGATATAATGGACCTAGTGAACCTGGTGGATTTAGTAGAACTAAAGTACCTAGTGTACTGAGATTGAAGTCTTGAGGAGCCTGGAGATTTGCTGGATATAATGGACCTAGTGAGGATCTAGTGGAGCATTTAAAGATGACTTTTTTTTCAACATTTCTAGGAATTAACAGAGCTCTAATATTTCCACTTTTTCTTACACTGTTCATATTTCGAATTTGGAATAAGGAACCTAGCGGACTTAGTGGAACTAAAGCACCTGGTGGACTGAGATTGAAGTCTTTAGGAGCCTGGAGGTTTACTGGATATAATGGACCTAGTGAACCTGGTGGATTTAGTGGAACTAAAGTACCTAGTGGAGCCTTTAAAGATGACTTTTTTTCAACATTTCTAGGAATTAACAGAGCTCTATTATTTCCACTTTTTCTTACACTGTTCATATTTCGGATTGGGTTAAGGAACCTAGTGGACTTAGTAGAACTAAAGCACCTGGTGGACTTAGAAAACCTATTAAACATAGGACCTGGTGGACCTTTTGAAGACGACTTCAAGCTCTACCAGTTCCACCATTTCTCACTCTCTTAACACATCGATTTGTAGACCTTTTAGAGCCTCTTTTAGAGCCTCCTTTAGAGCCTCTTTTAGAGCCTTATAACTTCCACAAATCGAAATATTCCAGCTGACCAACCCGGACGATCGCAACGTCTTCGCCATCTACGTCTCCTACTACGTCAAAGTCAAGTTGCTGGCCAACCGGATGGGCGGAGACCTCAGCTTAAAATTACCCTTCACCCTGATGCACACCTGCTGCGACTTCGACCAAACCGAGGCCCTCTCCAAAGTCCGGCCCTGCACTATCCTCGATCCACAATCGCCGGAGACGGCGGACGTCGCGACGCGCTCCCCCGACGACGTCGAACCCGAGAAGGACGGCACGTGAGACGCGGAGAACAAGGTACTTGGTCTTTTACCTCTTAAGCTTTCGGTTATAGAGTGAGTAAATTCGAAAAAAAGAAGAATATACGAAATAAATGATAATGGTAATGATCTAGAACTGGCCGGATGCGACACAACGCAAGAGGCCATGTAACAGAGAAGAAGAAAGATCTAGAACTCCAGAAATCTAGTTAGAAAATAAATGGAAGAAACTAAGCGATCGATTATTTGTTTAAATATTTCTCGACTTTTAACAGTTTTAAATCTGTCCATCTTTTTTTTTAATTTCTCGAAGAATTTGGAAGTTCTTGTTTGGAAAATTTAAAAGTTTAAATTCGAGCAGGTGGTTGTGGAAATCAACAAACCCAGCGGGAGGGGGGCGGCGCCGCCGCGGCGGGTGAGGCGAGCCGGGGGCGGCGAGCGCCGCGACGCCGGCGACGATCTGGACGCCATCAGGACGCTGAAGGGGGTCGAGGAGGAGGCGCCGGCGGAGGTGAACGGGAGAAGAGGGGGAGGCGGCGGCGGCGGCGGCGGCGGCGAGGAGGAGGAGGAGGAGTGCCACCACAAGGGGTTCAGTTTCCAAAGGGCCTGGTGCTGCTTGAGGAACAGGCGTACTTCATAACGTTTGGCGGACGATGTGGTGTATACAGGGTGTTGATTGGTGCAATGTGTTTGGTTTAATTGGTGGTTTTTGAGGTAATTTTGAGTCGAGAAGCTCATGTAAAGGTTGGTTTTACGAATAGAGATCCTAGAATTCAATGTAATATATTAATTTTGAGTCGAAAAGCTCATATAAAGGTAGTTCCTACAAAGAGAGATCCTAGAATTCAATGTAATATATTAATTTTGAGTCGAAATTCAATGTAATATATTAATTTTGAGTCGAAATTCAATGTAATATGTTAATTTTTGAGTCGAAAAGCTCATATAAAGAAAGATCCTAAAATTCAATGTAATATATTAATTTTGAGTCGAAATTCAATGTAATATATTAATTTTGAGTCGAAATTCAATGTAATATATTAATTTTGAGTCAAAATTCAATGTAATATATTAATTTTGAGTCGAAATTCAATGTAATATATTAATTTTGAGTCGAAATTCAATGTAATATATTAATTTTGAGTCAAAATTCAATGTAATATATTAATTTTGAGTCGAAATTCAATGTAATATATTAATTTTGAGTCGAAATTCAATGTAATATGTTATTTTTTGAGTCGAAAAGCTCATATAAAGAAAGATCCTAGAATTCAATGTAATATATTAATTTTGAGTCGAAAAGCTCATATAAAGAAAGATCCTAGAATTCAATGTAATATATTAATTTTGAGTCGAAATTCAATGTAATATATTAATTTTGAGTCGAAATTCAATGTAATATATTAATTTTGAGTCGAAATTCAATGTAATATATTAATTTTGAGTCGAAATTCAATGTAATATATTAATTTTGAGTCGAAATTCAATGTAATATGTTAATTTTGAGTCGAAAAGCTCATATAAAGAAAGATCCTAGAATTCAATGTAATATCGCAAACAATTATCCAAATTTATCAAAAAAAAACCCTAAATAAAACTAAAACTTTACAACACCTGTGGAGGACATACCTTTATATGAACTTGGGCTCATAATTACCCCAAAAATCACTTATTAAAATAAGTACATTGCATTAATTAACACCCTGTATTTGTCGTTGGGTTTGTGTATATTCGTTTGGTGTTCGCAAGTGTCGCGGGCTGGACCTCGGACTTGTCGAATATAATTTTTACTTGTTTGTTGTAACAAATTCGGGGCGGATTTGATGGAAGTTCTACCCTCACATTATTCGTATTAGAACAAAAAAAAAAGCGCACGAGTCGATTTTTTTTTAATCGTAAGGATCGGGAATTTCGAGATTTATTCAAAATTGAACGCGGCTGGGATCTAATTATGGAATCTCGAAGTTTTCGCCGAGAAAAAAACTGGATTTTTTTCTCTTTTATTGTAGTTTGATACTGTCAAAAGAATCTGATCAAAAAATTAAACGTGTACCTATACAGGGTGTATCGAAATAATAGCGAAGAAAGTGTAAGGGGTGATTTTGTGGTGAAAATTGAGGTGGGTTGTTGGTATACAATTTTTTGAACAAACCCTCAACGAAAAAGTTGAGAGAAAAAAGTTTGAAGATTGAAAAAATTGTTTCTCTTCTTTATTTTCCCTGTATATCAAGCTAAAGAAACGAAACACAAGGAATATTATATGCCTGAAAAGCCTAATTCATTTACTAACTTTTCTATATCTACAAGTTTTTTCAAAACCTTAAGCATTTATAAGCAAAAAAAGATTTTTTCCAACAACAATTTACCTTAATATTCCTCACAGAATCACCCCTTAAATTTTTTCGATATTATTCAATTACACCCCGCATAAATAAAAAAAATACCGTCTTTTATTCCAACCTCTCCAAAACCAAACTCAACGCGAATTGTACTGGTAAAACTTTTATTAACAAAAAAAATAAAAAAAAAATTAAATACTCATGGCGGACCCTCAATTAGGTGCCAATTGCGGCCTGTAATGGAACTGCCCCTGCTTCCCACCCTGACTAGGCTGCGGCCTTTTAGGCTGCTGCGCTTTCTCCAAAGCCTCCTCTTCCTCCTCGTCCAGCTCCGCCTGCCTGGGATCGCACTTATTACCAGCCTCATACTCGAATTCCCTACAAAACAAACCAAAAAACCCCATCAATCAAGCCTCTACCTCATCAACCCCAACCCACCTCTTCACCCCATCGGGATCCACGTAACCGTATTTCCCTTTGATAGTACAATCGATCCCCAACGTTTCCTCCTTGAAGGTCCCATCCTCGTTCTCGAAGCCCCAGGTGATGCTCCCGTCCGGATTGTCCGTCCGGTACTTCCTCAATATCTGCACCACCGGCTTGCGCTTCTTCCCCGACTCGTCCTCCTGGTACTGCGAAGGCCTCGAAGGCCTCGCAGGCGCCTGCTTGAACACCTGCTGTTGCTGAGGTCTCACCTAAACACTCGAAATTCTAAGCTCCATTTCCACTAGGTGCATCGTAGTGAGTTTACCTTTTGTCTGATGGGTTGTCGAGGGATGTTCTCTTCTTCATCATCGTCCAATTCCTGCCTCACGACTGGTCGAATCGGTCTAGGTGCAGGACGATTCGTCCTCAGTTGTACTGGTCTGGTTGAGGATATTTCGATGGGGCGTTCTCTTGGTATAGGAATCGGCCTTTCAGGTCTAAAAGGCAACGGTGAAGGTCTCAACGTTGGTTCATCTTCTTGCTCAGCAGCTTGTCTACCAATCACCAATCATCAAGTATATGAATAAGAGATTTAAAAGCCTCACCTAACAGCAGTTGATAAGGCTGGTATGCTGAGCTTGTTGACCTCGTCGTCGAAGGAGCTGAGCGAGTGCGCCTGGGGGTAGTTTTCGAGTTCCTCTTCCACCACGGGGCGGATTTCCCTGGGGGGTGCCACGGGGATGGGGCGCCTCGGTCTGGGCACGAAGTCTTGGGCGTTGAGGCGCTGCTGGCGCAGCTGGGCTGATCTGGGGCTCTCCACCAGGACGGCGCCGGGGATTTGGAGCCGGGGCGGTTGCTGGGCCAGCGATACCTGCAGGATCTGGAATCGAGGTTGATTGATAGAATTGTAATGATTAGGGCGATCTGGGGTTGATTGATAGAATTGTAATGATTAGGGCGATCTGGAATTGAGGTTGATTGATTGATGGAATTGTAATCATTAGGGCGATCTGGAATTGAGGTTGATTGATTGATAGAAGTGTACTGATTAGGGCGATCTGGAATTGAGGTTGATTGATTGACAGAATTGTAATGATTAGGGCGATCTGGAATTGAAGTTGATTGATAGAATTGTAATGATTAGGGCGATCTGGAATTGAGGTTGATTGATTGATAGAATTGTAATGATTAGGGCGATCTGGAATTGAGGTTGATTGATTGATGGAATTGTAATGATTAGGGCGATCTGGAATTGAGGTTGATTGATTGATAGAATTGTACTGATTAGGGCGATCTGGAATTGAGGTTGATTGATTGACAGAATTGTAATGATTAGGGCGATCTGGAATTGAAGTTGATTGATAGAAGTGTAATGATTAGGGCGATCTGGAATTGAGGTTGATTGATTGATAGAATTGTAATGATTAGGGCGATCTGGAATTGAGGTTGATTGATTGATGGAATTGTAATCATTAGGGCGATCTGGAATTGAGGTTGATTGATTGATAGAAGTGTACTGATTAGGGCGATCTGGAATTGAGGTTGATTGATTGACAGAATTGTAATGATTAGGGCGATCTGGAATTGAAGTTGATTGATAGAAGTGTAATGATTAGGGCGATCTGGAATTGAGGTTGATTGATTGATAGAATTGTAATGATTAGGGCGATCTGGAATTGAAGTTGATTGATAGAAGTGTAATGATTAGGGCGATCTGGAATTGAGGTTGATTGATTGATAGAATTGTACTGATTAGGGCGATCTGGAATTGAGGTTGATTGCTAGAATTGTAATGATTAGGGGCGCGCCTGAAATTTCGTCATACAGTAAGTAGTTATTAATTAGTTGAGACCTTGTCGGTTGGTTTTTTAAGGAGAATTGGAAGTGAACTAGTTTATTGATATGGTTATAATATTTTATTGGACTGGCCTTGGGCGTTGAGTTGCATTCAATGCAAGAATCTTTGAGAAACTAGCGAGTAATTTATCGAGGTGTATAAAAAGAAATAATTCACACAGCCGGTAAATTTGAAGCGAAAAGAAACCCAATTAATTTAGTTTCTATTTTTGTGAGAAGGAAATTTGTGGACTGTGACAAGTAATTTTGATTCGGAGAGCGTGAGAGCGGAGAAATTCGTTCATCGCCCATACAAAGTTTCGCTCGGCATTTCACTATTTTAAGAAAGCAATCGTGCAATCCATTAAACGATTTTCTACATTTTATAAATTCATTATATGCATATGCAATATGCAATCACTTTCATAAACCACGTAACATGAATTTTACTCGAAAAATCTCGATTGTATCATAACACAACTATTACCTAAATAACTTAAAGGCGCAAATCGATATTATATTAACGAGAAAGTTGATCGGAAAGTGAATTAATATTACACAACACACCCAAAAAATTCCTCAAAACTTACCGCAAACAACAAGAGAATTACACCGGACCTCATCGCTTATAAACTACTCTAATAACACTAATCTTTCGCTGGACCGTTCCCGTTCAAAACTGAGCGACTGCGATGATATTTCTTCGTTATCGCCGCGATCTCATAACGCTTTAAAAACGACCACAGTGGAATTCGAGCGATTGAAAAATCCGCATTTATAGCCGCACCCCACTTCGCAGGAATTCTCTTCACAGCCGATTTGCAAAACCCCAAGGCGGATCCGAACGGTTACTTTCACACTTGCCAGCGGACCAGCGTCGTTCGGAGATTGAATTGTTGCCTACATAATCGAATTTGATCGGTAAAAAAATCGATAAAAGTCGGGAGAAAATGACGGCGCAAAAGAATCCTTAAAGGTAGGGAGAAAAAGTTAGGGAAAAGAATAGTGTAAGGAATCTAAAAGTAGAGAGAAAAGCAATAGCCCAATGAATCCATAAAGGTAGAGAGAAAAAGAATAGTGCAAAGAATCTATAAAAGTAGAGAGAAAAAGAATAATACAATAAATCTATAAAAGTAGAGAGAAAAAGAATAATACAATGAATCTTTAAAAGTAGAGAGAACAAAAATAATACAATGAATCTATAAAAGTAGAGAGAACAAAAATAATACAATGAATCTTTAAAAGTAGAGAGAACAAGAATAATACAATGAATCTATAAAAGTAGAGAGAAAAAGAATAATACAATGAATCTATAAAAATAAAGAGAAAAAAGCCATTAGCCCAATGAATCTATTCAAGTAGAGAGAAAAGCAATAACCCAAAGAATCCGTAAATGTAGAGAGAACAACAAATAGCGCATTGAATCCACAATAGTAGAGGAAAAATTCTGCATTTATAATGGCACACCCTGTATTGTATCAGCAATAAATATCTCTTATAGCCGCCTCGTAATAATTCGAAGCTTTGGAAATCCAAGTGTATTCGCGAACACCCCGTATAATTGCACCGCCTCCTCGAAAACCTATCGAGATTCGTTCGGCGTCCCGACGCCCCCTGAATATTCATATTCGAAAGGACGGATCGTGATTAGTACCAGCGGCGGAGCCCTTATTAAACCACCCTCGAGAATTTACAAAAAAAATTTACATTTTTTCAGCTTCTGCGAACGAAATTTCGTATTATATATAAAGCCGCACAAGTCGTTTAATCACTCACCGATTGGATGCTTTTTAGAGCCAAATTCGACTGGAATTTATCGAATTTAGAGAAGCTTTGAATAGTTCCCTCGTCCGCCCTTGCTCTTATTTATTTTTGCATGGATTTTTTTTCCCCACAACCCTCCATTATTTCCCCCGAACCGATCGAAGTTCATTCCTAATTGAACCATAATCATACTGCAGTTTATTGGTGAAATAATCGATGGGGAATCCAGGAGATGATCCACCCCTCATTAACCTCGCAGTTTTGGAGAAAGAAACCCCGAGAAAATGGACCTGGTGTATCCGAAACCCGGCCAACAGCAAATAACCAGTAAGGAATCGAATGGTCCTGAATATTAAGTCCTGCAGTGTAAACGAGGAATGTTTCAGACGATCCGCTGAGCAGGATGAAGTCCTTCTTGGTCCTGCACGGGTTCGACGGTAGAAAGAAGTATTTCTGGCACATGGCGGGCCTGTTGAAAGCCTTAATACTTCTTTGCAGGACGACTTACGCCTGCCAGACGCTGGACCAGCCGAGGAAACTCGCTGAATTGGTCGCCACTTATCCTATCAGATTTTTGGTATAGCTTCTGGCGAAAAAGTAGCAGGAAATTCTGGTTTATAATTGCTTGCAATTGATTTTTTTAACTGTTTCATGTTGGTAATACTGTTTGTAATTAGCATGCAAAAAATTAGAGAGTTATCTCAATCGGTTTGGTTGTAGCAGCTGATTGAATCAGTTCATGTCAAAAGTTGCAATGGACAAAAATGTTGAACAAAGAGTTTGTCTTATATTTTGGGTTTTGAGAGGAATTTCTTGGGACGAATCGGTGCAAATGGTTAAGGTGACTCTATTTTATCAAACACTCAAGTTTACGAATGGTACAAAACTTTTAAAGACAGTCAGATCACTAAAAACTTGTTTTGTTCTGTACTGTCTTCGACCACTTCAAACAATGATAATGGTAAGAAAATGAAGGAAATTGAGTTCGAAAATCATCATGCTAGTATTAGAGAAGTAGTAATTGACTTCCTCAACTTGACTTGCTTGACTTGCTCAAGAGTTTCCTTCCAAAGCTGGTTCAACTGGTCGCTATATACAAGCTGATTCTTGTAAAGTACCATCAACCAGCCACTTTACTCACCAGAAATAACCTCGTGCGACATTTTGATGTTTCCCAAACTCAAAATAGGTCTCTCCAGGAATCTCATTTTGACTCCATAAATGCCATCGAAGAAAATTCGCAGAAGGAGCCAAAAAGGGCCTATAAAAATGTTTCGCGTTTTAATCCAATTTTCCAGATACTTTTTTGCCACTGTATATTCCAATCGAAACCAAAATGGAGTAGGTATTTGCAGTATTTTGTATATCCTTTTAGGCAGTAGTGAAAATCATTGTACTGTTCACCGACAGAAAACGCGTTCGATATTTCTACGAAACCATATCGAAGGAATTCTGGAATTCCGGCATAGCCGGTGAGAAAATCCAGAACCAAATCCAGCGAAGGTTCAATTTCATCAGCTGGGCTGTACTCTCCCATTTCAGCACCGCCAATTTCGTGCTCATCATCTTCGTAGCATTCCCGCTGGGTAAGCACCAACATTTGAACATCAAACACCTAAATTATATCCTCCATTACCGAACAGTGGAAATGCCCGAAGGGAAGAGAACCCTTCCGAACATCATCTGGACCCCTTTCGACACCAACCCCAGCCCAGTGTACGAAATAATGTACCTGGTGCTGCTGTGGAACCTCTTCATGTCTGTGCTGGGCAACGCTTTCTACGACATCCTCTTCGTCTACTGCATCCAGCACCTCTTCGTGCAGTACACGTTGCTGAAGGAGCTCGTGAGGAACATTAGCTCGGGGATAATGAGCGAGTCCAGCGATCTGGAGAAGTTCGATTCGGAGCACTTCCAGAAGGTGGTGAACGAGAGGTTGAAGATTTGCATCGAGCACCACGTGAAACTTTTGAAGTATGATGGTGGTGTTGTTGGGTTGGATTTTGAGGAAATTTGGGGTTTTTAGAAATTTTTGATTGTTTGAAATTTGTAGCGGATTGTTTTGTTGACAAAATGGTGAAAGTTTGGTGTTTCTATCTTAATTAGTTTTCGAGATATTTTGACTTGATTGGCATGAATAAAAAAATGAAATATCTATTCTTCAATTCTTTAATAAACCTCATGTATCTCATAATCCACTGGAGACAAAAAAACGAAACTTTCATCATTTTATAGAACAAACAATTCTCTACAACTTTCAACGAATCAAAAATTTTCAAAAATCCCCAATTTTCCGAGTTATTTCGACTTTCTCGCCAAGACACTACTATTCCAGGTTTGGTAAAAACATCGAAGAATTCTCTTCTGCAGTGCTAGTCCCTCAATTGATAATGAGCTACGCAGCCGTGGTAATCAACGGTTACATAATCAGCGTGGTTAGTGCTTAAATACCACTTCTAATTCCTCATTTAAATCCTATTTTACCACAGGATCACGCCGATGTGGCCAAAACAATGGGATTAATAAACCTAACTACCGGTAGCGTGGTACAACTGGCCTTCTTCTCCTTTCTAGCTTCTGAAATAAAAGCTCAGGTTCGTGATGATCGCTCTAGATAATCATCACAATCAACTCAAATTATTTTAGAGCCTTTCATTTATCGATGAAATCATCAAATCGGACTGGTACTTGTTCAAGGCGCCCATAAAGCGAGCTCTAACTTTCATGATGATGAATACTAAGGATGGTATTATCATCACGGCTGGTGGAATGGCCAACGTTGATAACGAAGTGTTCGTTGCTGTAATAATGAAAATCATCTCGAAATTGTATGGATTTATTCGAGTTGTTTTAGGTGATTACTAAAGCTGTATCGGCCATTACACTATTAAGAGCTTTGATTGCCGATGAAGAAGCTAAAAATTAGCAGATTTAGCAGATGCTTTATTCTTTAGTTGCCTTTAGAATCTCCTAGTTATTTAAACTACCAGTTAATAGCCTTTACATGCTACTAATTCATAATCATCCAACATTTTCCTGATGTGCAATCATATACAAATTGATTGTAAATTGGTCCGAAATCACACAGCAATTTTTCAACGCAAATAAGCCATCGGAAAACTACCCTTTTTCTCTACATATCAACCGACCAGTTTGCAGTAAACAACCCTCTAGTAATGGACTTGGTTTATCCGCAACCCGACCAACATCGAGTAACCGGTAAGTTTCCATCGATGAAATTAACGCAAGAACTAGCGCAAGTAAGGAAATTCCAGACGATCCGCTCGGCAGGATGAGATCCTGCTTGACTTTGCACGGTTTCCAGGGCAAAAGGAAGTATTTCTGGCACTTGGCGGGCATCTTGAAGGCCGCCATTCTCTTCGGCAGGACCATTTACGCCTGCCAAACGCTGAACCAGCCCAAGAAACTCGCCGAATTGGTCGCCACTTACCCCATAAGATTCCTGGTAACTTTCAAAAATACTTATAAACATCTATAGGTTTAAAACAGTTTGCGATTGCAGGCCGTGGTGAAGATTTCGGTGCTCTTCATAGACCGAAAGCGCGTTAAATATTTCTACGATTCGGTATCCAGAGATTTCTGGAATTTCGATGTAGCCGGTCCAGAAATCGAGAAGCAAGTCAAACGAAGGTTCCATTGGGTTAATTTGACAGCCCTCTGTCAATTCTCCATAGCCATCGTAGCTCTCATCATATTCATCATGTTCCCACTAGGTACTATACAATTGAACAATCCACCAACAAAATTCCTGCTACCTCTAATTCCTCTTTGTAGTGGAAATGCCCGAAGGGAAGAGAACCCTTCCGAACATCATCTGGACCCCTTTCGACACCAACCCCAGCCCAGTGTATGAAATAATGTACGTGGTACTCCTGTGGAACCTCTTCATGTCTGTGCTGGGCAACGGCTTCTACGACGCCACCTTCATCTACAGCACCCAGCACCTCTTCGTGCAGTTCACCTTGCTGAAGGAGCTGATCAGGAACATAAGCTCGGGGATAATGAGCGAGTCCAGCGATCTGGAGAGGTTCGATTCTCAGCACTTCCAGAAGGCTGTGAACGAGAGATTGAAGATTTGCATCGAGCACCACGTGAAACTTTTGAAGTATTATGATGGTGAGAGATCCTCTCTTCATCTAAATCCTTCGCTGGTTGCAGGTACGGTAAAAACATCGAAGAATTCTCCACCACAGTGATGGTACCACAATTGATAATGAGCTACGCGGCTTTGGTGATCAACGGTTACATAATCAGCGTGGTTAGTGCTTAAATACCACTTCTAATTCCTCGTTTAAATCCTATTTTTACCGCAGGATCACGCCGATGTGGCCAAAACGATGGGACTGATAAACCTCACGTGCGGTAGTGTGGTTCAATTGGTACTCTATTCTCTTCTGGCCTCTGATATAAAAGCTCAGGTTGATGGGTACTACTTCTAGACACCGATTTTAAACTTACAGTTAAATTGTTTTAGAGCATTTCGGTGATAGACGAGATCATCAAGACCGATTGGTACTTGTTCAAAGCGCCGATAAAGCGAGCTCTGATATTCATGATGATGAATGTGAAGGATGGAATTGTCATCACGGCTGGCGGAATGGCCAACGTTGATAACGAAGTTTTTGTAGCTGTATTGATTAATAATCTAGATGTATACGAATTTATTGCAGTAGAGTTTTCCAGGTGGTTTCTAAAGCAGTATCGGCCATTACTTTATTGAGGGCTCTCATCGCCGAAGAGGAAGACAAAATGAATTAGTTACACCACGCTCTAACTTGTAGAAACACTTGTAGTATTTAGAAATAAATGCAGATGAAAAAAAATGCCTTAAACTTTTAATTGATTACTAGATATAACGTTTCATCATCGACTTGTGGAATTGATTAGACGCAATTGCAACTCCTTGCAACTCGACTGCAGTACCCGGATCGGTTGTTATTGACCACGCATTCCATCCTGCACAGCTGGTTATCGCAGGGTATCTTAAAACCGTATCTACTTTCAATAGTAGCTGCAACATAATTGAATAATTACAACAACATCTCGCTGGATTCTCATCTTACTTACCGATAACTCGTTTCCTGATCTCGATTTGCTTCTTCAAATTCTCCAACCACTTCCTGCGAGCTATTTCCCAAGGGCTCAATGGACCTTGGTTGTCGCCTTTTTCGGACGAATCTTCTTTGTTCTCGTCTTCGTTGCTGTCGTTGTTCGGTTTATCTGCATCAGCGTTATCCTCTCCTGATTTGTTATCATCTTGGTCATCGTTGTTGTTGTCTTGGTCATTATCATTATCTACATCGTTGTTATTATCATCGTTGTCTTGATCGTTGGAGTTATCGTTAGCGTCTCCTGCGTTGTTTTCGTCGGGGTTCGCTTGGTCGTTGCCGTTGTTTCCTGCATCAGCGTTGTTTCCGGTTCCAGCATCAGCATTGTTGTTTCCTGCATCAGCATTGCCGGTACCTGCATCAGCATTGTTGTTTCCTGCATCAGCATTGCCGGTACCTGCATCAGCATTGTTGTTTCCTGCATCAGCATTGCCGGTACCTGCATCAGCATTGTTGTTTCCTGCATCAGCATTGCCGGTACCTGCATCAGCATTGTTGTTTCCTGCATCAGCATTGCCGGTTCCAGCATCGGCATTGTTGTTTCCTGCATCAGCATTGCCAGTACCTGCCTCAGCATTGCCAGTACCTGCATCAGCGTTGTTGTTACTTCCTGCATCAGCGTTATTTTCGGTTCCAGCATCAGCATTGTTGTTTCCTGCATCAGCATTGCCGGTTCCAGCATCGGCATTGTTGTTTCCTGCATCAGCATTGCCGGTTCCAGCATCAGCATTGTTGTTTCCTGCATCAGCATTGCCAGTACCTGCATCAGCATTGTTGTTACTTCCTGCATCAGCGTTATTTTCGGTTCCAGCATCAGCATTGCCTGTTCCAGCATCAGTATTTCCGGTTCCAGCATCGGCATTGTTATTTCCTGCATCAGCATTGCCGGTTCCAGCATCAGCATTGTTGTTTCCTGCATCAGCATTGCCAGTACCTGCATCAGCATTGCTGGTACCTGTATCAGCATTGTTGTTACTTCCTGCATCAGCGTTATTTTCGGTTCCAGCATCAGCATTGTTGTTTCCTGCATCAGCATTGCCAGTACCTGCATCAGCATTGCTGGTACCTGCATCAGCATTGTTGTTACTTCCTGCATCAGCGTTATTTTCGGTTCCAGCATCAGCATTGTTGTTTCCTGCATCAGCATTGCCGGTTCCAGCATCAGCATTGCCAGTACCTGCATCAGCATTGTTGTTACTTCCTGCATCAGCGTTATTTTCGGTTCCAGCATCGGCATTGTTGTTTCCTGCATCAGCATTGCCGGTTCCAGCATCAGCATTGTTGTTTCCTGCATCAGCATTGCCAGTACCTGCATCAGCATTGCTGGTACCTGCATCAGCATTGTTGTTACTTCCTGCATCAGCGTTATTTTCGGTTCCAGCATCAGCATTGCCTGTTCCAGCATCAGTATTTCCGGTTCCAGCATCGGCATTGTTATTTCCTGCATCAGCATTGCCGGTTCCAGCATCAGCATTGTTGTTTCCTGCATCAGCATTGCCAGTACCTGCATCAGCATTGCTGGTACCTGTATCAGCATTGTTGTTACTTCCTGCATCAGCGTTATTTTCGGTTCCAGCATCAGCATTGTTGTTTCCTGCATCAGCATTGCCAGTACCTGCCTCAGCATTGCCAGTACCTGCATCAGCATTGTTGTTACTTCCTGCATCAGCGTTATTTTCGGTTCCAGCATCAGCATTGTTGTTTCCTGCATCAGCATTGCCAGTACCTGCCTCAGCATTGCCAGTACCTGCATCAGCATTGTTGTTACTTCCTGCATCAGCGTTATTTTCGGTTCCAGCATCAGCATTGTTGTTTCCTGCATCAGCATTGCCAGTACCTGCCTCAGCATTGCCAGTACCTGCATCAGCATTGTTGTTACTTCCTGCATCAGCGTTATTTTCGGTTCCAGCATCAGCATTGTTGTTTCCTGCATCAGCATTGCCAGTACCTGCCTCAGCATTGCCAGTACCTGCATCAGCATTGTTGTTACTTCCTGCATCAGCGTTATTTTCGGTTCCAGCATCAGCATTGTTGTTTCCTGCATCAGCATTGCCAGTACCTGCCTCAGCATTGCCAGTACCTGCATCAGCATTGTTGTTACTTCCTGCATCAGCGTTATTTTCGGTTCCAGCATCAGCATTGCCTGTTCCAGCATCAGTATTTCCGGTTCCAGCATCGGCATTGTTATTTCCTGCATCAGCATTGCCGGTTCCAGCATCAGCATTGTTGTTTCCTGCATCAGCATTGCCAGTACCTGCATCAGCATTGCCAGTACCTGCATCAGCATTGTTGTTACTTCCTGCATCAGCGTTATTTTCGGTTCCAGCATCAGCATTGTTGTTTCCTGCATCAGCATTACCGGTTCCTGCATCAGCATTACCGGTTCCTGCATCAGCATTACCGGTTTCTGCTTCAGCATTGTTACCATTGCCGGATCCTGCATCAGCATTACCGCTTCCTGCATCAGCTATTCCACTTCCTGCATCAGCATTATTGTTGGCATCGCCTGAACCTTCTGTGGTCGGGTTTTCCTGGCCATTGCCGGATCCTTCATCGTTGTTTGGGGCTCCTGTTTGGTCTTCTTGATTACCTTCCGGGCCGATCGTCGTGACTTCAGCAGTGGGATCCGCGTCTGTGACGGAATCCAAAACTCCTGCGTCGACTGTAAAATAAATTATGATGAATGATGATGAGTGATGAGTTACTTCGAACTGTATGGAGTTAATTTCTTTACCTTGTTGCGCTGAAGCCGCAGCGACGAGGGCGAAGAAAAATAATAGAATTACACTGGAGCGCATTTTGTCGTTAAATTTCGTTCGTTTTTTTGGATTTTTTTCGGCTACTCCGCCGGTTTTTATAGAGATTTTCTCAACAATGGGGCGCTTATCTTTGGTAAATAGTCGAGAAAATTCTCGCTACTTTTTACGCAGTTTTTGGCGAATTCTTTTCAAGTCGTATTTGATGAATTTACAGGCGATTTTGACTAAATTGTTTCAACAAATTATTTATTGTTCTATTATTTGCTCGTAGAAGATTACGAGAGAGAGAAAATGCTGTTGTTTCATGGAAATTTTTTGGTGCAATACAGGATGTCCCACGACTAGTTATGATATCTTAAAATTTGGACGATAAAACATGATTGATTTCCATGATCTGGTGCAAACTTCGTTCCAGTAATTGAAGTACGGTCTGAGTTATTAAAAAAAATAAAAATAGTCTACATTTTAACAGAATGTTAATTATTTACGAAAACATTTAGGTAAGTTCTATTGAAAATAACCTTTATTTTAAACGAAGAATCCAAAAATGTAAAAATATACGGGATGTTCCATTTAAAAACATTACTTTTTTGTTACTTTTGTCGAGACATTCTCTATACTCATCACCATATTGCAAATAAATTTTCGCTCATCTGTATAATAATAATCACAGCGAAACAATAACTAATTACAGGGATTTTCGGGGAATTTACTAGAAATTCGGCAACGCTGTACAGATGTTCCATTAAAATTTCCATTTGAACAATTAAATTCCGCCTACGCGATAAATCGAGTTATTTGCTCGACGCTCTTTTAATAAAATTACATTTTATCAACAGTTCTCATTTTTTTATTGGAAATAAAATACCATAATTCGACTTATGTTTTATTTAACAAAATACTACATTTCCTCCAACTCCCAATAAATTAGTAAAAATCTACTCGAGATCACATTAGAGAATAATTAAACTTAATAGTTTCGTTTGCTAGTTTATTAATCTTCTATACAATTTAATATTTTTATTAATTTTTTACAATGGATTTTTTTTGAATTTTCTAAACACATCTACATTGGCTTCTTCTTTGACAATAACCAGAATGTTTTCCATCGATAACACACCCTAATCTGCAAACCTCCCCATCACAAGGGATGTCCATTCCATATTTCTTCTTGATTTGCTCTGGAAATAATTATAAAACGATATAAAAAATATTTCTTCGATGATATTAATTTCTTTTTAACTTACCTATGTAAGCTTTTCTAGCTTCGAGTTTTCGTTTTAGAATTTTAATCCACTCGGGTGCATCATCATCATCGTTTTCATCGCTGTCTTCATCGCTGTTTTCTTTCTGTTTTCTCTCCTCTTCTTCTTTACGTCGTTTTTCTTCCTCCTCTCGTTTCTTTTCTAATTCTTTTTGCCTCTTTTCGGCCTCCTTTTCTCTCCTCTCCTCCTCCTTCTTGCGCTTCTCCTCTTCCTTCTTTAACCGCTTTTCTAATTCCTCCTGTTGCTTCTTCCTTCGCTCCTCTTCCCGTTTCTTTTCCTTTTCGATTCGTTCTTGTTCCTTCTGTTGTTGCTTTTCTAATTCTTCCTGTTGTTTCTTACGTCTCTCCTCTTCCCTTTTCTTTTCCTTTTCGAGTCTTTCTTGCGCCTTCTTTCTTTGTTCCTCTTGTTTTTTGATTATCTCCGCGATTTGTTTCTTCCAATTCTCTTCGGCGCTGTTCGTTTCCTTAGAATCCTTGTCGTTATCGTTATCTTCTTCTTTGGTGTTATTATCTTTATCTTCTTTAGTATCATTATCTTCTTTGGTGTTGTTATCTGTTTCTTCCTTTGTATTATTATCATCCTCTTTGGTGTTGTTGTCTGTATCTTCTTTTGTATCATTCTCTTCCTTGGTATTGTTATCTGTTTCTTCTTTAGTATTATTTTCATCCTCTTTGGTGTTGTTATCTACATCTTCTTTTGTGTTGTTATCATCCTCTTTGGTGTTGTTATCTGTATCTTCTTTTGTATCATTCTCTTCTTTGGTGTTGTTATCTGTATCTTCTTTTGTATCATTCTCTTCCTTGGTATTGTTATCTGTTTCTTCTTTTGTATTATTATCATCCTCTTTGGTGTTGTTGTCTGTATCTTCTTTTGTATCATTCTCTTCTTTGGTGTTGTTATCTGTTTCTTCCTTTGTATTATTATCATCTTCTTTGGTGTTGTTATCTGTATCTTCTTTGGTATTATTATCATCCTCTTTGGTGTTGTTGTCTTCTATTGAGTTTTGATTGTTGTCGGGATTGGATGGGTTTTCATTGTTGTTTTGGTTCTGGGAATTATCTGGGTTGTTGTCTAAGCTACCATCATTTTGAGAGTTTTCTCCAGCGTTGCCGTTTTGTGCATCATTATTTTGAGCGTTGCTGTCGGTACCATCATTGTTTGAGTTATTTGCATCATTTTGGGCGTTATCTGCACCATTGTTTTCCTCGTTTTGATTGTTGGTACCATCTTGGTTTCCACCGTCTTGAGTGTTGTTGGATGTTTCGCCATTTTGGGCGTCATTTTGTTGATTATTTTCGTTATCTGTACCTTGTGCATCGTTATTTTCTGCGTTGTTAGTATTATCTTGAGTACCATCACCTTGTGTATTATCAGCAGAACCTGCATTGCTTCCATCATTTGCTGCATTGTTACCATTTTCAGCATTGTTTGCATTATCCTGAGTACCATCAGCTTGTGCATTATCAGCGGAACCTGCATTGTTTGCATCATTTGCAGCATTGTTGCCATTTTCAGCGTTGTTTGCATTATCCTGAGTACCATCTCCTTGTGTATTATCTGAAGCACCAGCATTGTTTGCATCATTTGCAGCATTGTTTCCATTATCAGCATTGTTTGCATTATCCTGAGTACCATCAGCTTGTGTATTATCAGCGGAACCTGCATTGTTTGCATCATTTGCAGCATTGTTGCCATTTTCTGCATTGTTTCCATTGTCAGCGTTGTTTGCATTATCCTGAGCACCATCAGCTTGTGCATTATCAGTGGAACCTGCATTGTTTGCATCATTTGCAGCATTGTTGCCATTTTCAGCGTTGTTTGCATTATCCTGAGTACCATCAGCTTGTGCATTATCAGCGGAACCTGCATTGTTTGCATCATTTGCAGCATTGTTGCCATTTTCAGCGTTGTTTGCATTATCCTGAGTACCATCTCCTTGTGTATTATCTGAAGCACCTGCATTGTTTGCATCATTTGCAGCATTGTTTCCATTATCAGCATTGTTTGCATTGTCCTGAGTACCATCAGCTTGTGCATTATCAGTGGAACCTGCATTGTTTGCATCATTTGCAGCATTGTTGCCATTTTCAGCGTTGTTTGCATTATCCTGAGTACCATCAGCTTGTGCATTATCAGCGGAACCTGCATTGTTTGCATCATTTGCAGCATTGTTGCCATTTTCAGCGTTGTTTGCATTATCCTGAGTACCATCTCCTTGTGTATTATCTGAAGCACCTGCATTGTTTGCATCATTTGCAGCATTGTTTCCATTATCAGCATTGTTTGCATTATCCTGAGTACCATCAGCTTGTGTATTATCAGCGGAACCTGCATTGTTTGCATCATTTGCAGCATTGTTGCCATTTTCTGCATTGTTTCCATTGTCAGCGTTGTTTGCATTATCCTGAGCACCATCAGCTTGTGCATTATCAGTGGAACCTCCATCATTTGCAGGATTGTTGCCATTTTCTGCATTGTTTGTATTGTCCTGAGCACCATCAGCTTGTGCATTATCAGTGGAACCTCCATCATTTGCAGGATTGTTGCCATTTTCTGCATTGTTTGTATTGTCCTGAGTACCATCAGCTTGTGCATTGTCAGGAGAACCTGTATTATCAGTAGAACCTGCATTATTTCCATCATTTGCCGTATTATCTTGAGTACCATCAGCTTGTGCATCAGCACCTGCATTGTTTGCATCATTTGCAGCATTATTACAATTTTCTGCATTGTTTGCGTTACCTTGCGCACTATCAGCTTGTGTATTATCAGTAGTACCAGGCTTTTTGGCACCACACTGACCACCAGCTGGTGCATTATTAGCGTTATTAGTGCTATCTTGTGTACCATCACCTTGTGCAGTATCTGCAGCTGCATTATTTGCATCATTTTGTGCGTTGTTACCATTTTCAGCATTGTTAGTGTTGTCTTGAGTACCATCAGCTTGAGCATTATCAGTGGAACCTGCATTGCTTGCATCATTTGCAGCATTGTTTCCATTATCAGCATTGTTAGCATTATCCTGAGAACCATCTCCTTGTGTATTGTCTGTAGCACCAGCATTGCTTGCATCATTTGCAGCATTATTACCATTTTCAGCATTGTTAGTGTTGTCTTGAGTACCATCAGCTTGAGCATTATCAGTGGAACCTGCATTGCTTGCATCATTTGCTGCATTGTTAGCGTTATCTTGAGTACCATCACCTTGTGTATTATCAGCAGCACCTGCATTGCTTCCATCATTTGCAGCATTATTACCATTTTCAGCATCATTAGCATTACCTTGAGCACCATCAGCCGGTGTATCAGTTGTAACAGCAGCATTAGCATCACCTTGAGCATCAGCTGGTGCATTTCCATCAATATTAGTATTATCTTGAGTACCATCACTTCCTGCATTGTCCGCACCTGCATCATTTCCAGCATTATTACCATTCTCTGCATTATCTTGAGCACCATCAGCCGGTGTATCAGTTGTAACAGCAGCATTAGCATCACCTTGAGCATCAGCTGGTGCATTTCCTGCGTTATTTGCATCATTTCCAGCATTATTACCATTTTCTGCATTATCTTGAGCCCCATCAGCCGATGTATCAGTTGTAACAGCAGCATCAGCATCACCTTGAGATGCATTTCCTGCATTATTTGCATCATTTGCACCATTATTACTATTTCCTGCATTATCTTGAGCACCATCAGCCGGTGTATCAGTTGTTACAGCAGCACCAGCATCACTTTGAGGTGCATTTCCTGCATTATTCGCATCATTATTTCCATCGCTTTGAGCACCATCAGCATTGCGGCTGCTCTCCGGAATTTCGGTGCTAAGTTGAGCATCGTTTCGGTTGTTATTACCATCATCAATGCTTGTATCAGTGGTAACATCTATTGAGTCTTCGGTAGTGCTCTCGTTCTCATCTAGAGCTCCATTAGAGTCGGTAACTGCTTCGGTTTGCTCATCAATGGGGGCTTCGGTGGAATTTTCTACTTCTTTGTTCGGGTCTAACGCTGCTGAAGCAGCTGCATCTGTAATAATTAAATCGTGTAAATTTGTATATTGTAATAATTAATTTTTGTATATGATTTACCTTGGATTAAAGGGTCGGATTGAGCGATAGAGGCTCCGATAAAGCCGGCTAGAACCAGCAGTAGTATTAATGTCGTTCGCATGATTACTGTTTTAAACAAAATCGTTCGTTCGTTTGGATTCCCATCGAATCTCATTCTTTTTTATATTCATGCTTTTCCAACAATAGACGTTTATCTGAATGTACACACACGCAACTGGATAGCATTTAATTTTTTTAGTGATCCGTTTATGGCCCGATCGCAGCGGCGTCGAATCGAATTAAATTCGCGTTTTGAGAATTTTTTTTTTTATGTTTATTGTGCTAAATTTTGCCCCACTCTCTCCTAAAATCTGTTACTTTTCACCCCTAAATCGACATAATTCGGTAGTTTTTTTTAGGGGAAAGTTGCGCAAAACTCTTATATTCAAACCAGAGAATGCATAAACATTACGAGGGGAGGTCGAAAAAATGCTACAAACACTACGAGGGTTAATTGAAAAGTATCGATGAAGTGTCAATGGGAAAATTTGCAAAATACTGTCCGATTTAAATATTCTCAGTGCATAATTAAATATGCATTTGCAATTTTTTATTGTGCTAAATTTTGTCCCACTCTCTCCTAAAATCTGTTACTTTTCACCCCTAAATCGACATAATTCGGTAGTTTTTTTAGGGGAAAGTTGCGCAAAACTCTTATATTCAAACAACAGGAAGCATTAGCGTTACGAGGGGAGGTCGAAAAAATGCTACAAACACTACGAGGGTTAATTGAAAAGTATCGATGAAGTGTCAATGGGAAAATTTGCAAAATACTGTCCGATTTAAATATTCTCAGTGCATAATTAAATGTGCATTTGCAATTTTTTATTGTGCTAAATTTTGTCCCACTCTCTCCTAAAATCTGTTACTTTTCACCCCTAAATTGACATAATTCGGTAGTTTTTTTAGGGGAAAGTAGCGCAAAACTATTACATTCAAACAATAGGATGCATAAACGTTACGAGGGGAGGTCGAAAAAATGCTACAAACACTACGAGGGTTAATTAAAAAGTATCGATGATGTGCCAATGGGGAAATTTGCAAAATACTGTCCGATTTAAATGTTCTCAGTGCATAATTAAATATGCATTTGCAATTTTTTATTGTGCTAAATTTTGTCCCACTCTCTCCTAAAATCTGTTACTTTTCACCCCTAAATTGACATAATTCGATAGTTTTTTTAGGGGAAAGTTGCGCAAAACTCTTATATTCAAACAACAGGAAGCATTAGCGTTACGAGGGGAGGTCGAAAAAATGCTACGAACACTACGAGGGTTAATTGAAAAGTATCGATGAAGTGTCAATGGGAAAATTTGCAAAATACTGTCCGATTTAAATATTCTCAGTGCATAATTAAATGTGCATTTGCAATTTTTTATTGTGCTAAATTTTGTCCCACTCTCTCCTAAAATCTGTTACTTTTCACCCCTAAATTGACATAATTCGGTAGTTTTTTTAGGGGAAAGTTGCGCAAAACTCTTACATTCAAACAATAGGATGCATAAGCGTTACGAGGGGAGGTCGAAAAAATGCTACAAACACTACGAGGGTTAATTGAAAAGTATCGATGAAGTGTCAATGGGAAAATTTGCAAAATACTGTCCGATTTAAATATTCTCAGTGCATAATTAAATATGCATTTGCAATTTTTTATTGTGCTAAATTTTGTCCCACTCTCTCCTAAAATCTGTTACTTTTCACCCCTAAATTGACATAATTCGGTAGTTTTTTTAGGGGAAAGTTGCGCAAAACTCTTATATTCAAACAACAGGAAGCATTAACGTTACGAGGGGAGGTCGAAAAAATGCTACAAACACTACGAGGGTTAATTGAAAAGTATCGATGAAGTGTCAATGGGAATATTTGCAAAATACTGTCCGATTTAAATATTCTCAGTGCATAATTAAATATGCATTTGCAATTTTTTATTGTGCTAAATTTTGCCCCACTCTCTCCTAAAATCTGTAAGTTTTCACCCCTAAATTGACATAATTCGGTAGTTTTTTTTAGGGGAAAGTTGCGCAAAACTCTTATATTCAAACAACAGGAAGCATTAGCGTTACGAGGGGAGGTCGAAAAAATGCTACAAACACTACGAGGGTTAATTGAAAAGTATCGATGAAGTGTCAATGGGAAAATTTCCAAAATACTGTCCGATTTAAATATTCTCAGTGCATAATTAAATGTGCATTTGCAATTTTTTATTGTGCTAAATTTTGTCCCACTCTCTCCTAAAATCTGTAAGTTTTCACCCCTACATTGACATAATTTGGTAGTTTTTTTAGGGGAAAGTAGCGCAAAACTATTACATTCAAACAATAGGATGCATAAACGTTACGAGGGGAGGTCGAAAAAATGCTACAAACACTACGAGGGTTAATTGAAAAGTATCGATGAAGTGTCAATGGGAATATTTGCAAAATACTGTCCGATTTAAATATTCTCCAGTGCATAATTAAATATGCATTTGCAATTTTTTATTGTGCTAAATTTTGTCCCACTCTCTCCTAAAATCTGTAAGTTTTCACCCCTAAATTGACATAATTTTGTAGTTTTTTTAGGGGAAAGTAGCGCAAAACTATTACATTCAAACAACAGGAAGCATTAACGTTACGAGGGGAGGTCGAAAATATGCTACAAACACTACGAGGGTTAATTGAAAAGTATCGATGATGTGTCAATGGGAAAATTTGCAAAATACTGTCCGATTTAAATATTCTCCAGTGCATAATTAAATATGCATTTGCAATTTTTTATTGTGCTAAATTTTGTCCCACTCTCTCCTAAAATCTGTTACTTTTCACCCCTAAATTGACATAATTCGGTAGTTTTTTTAGGGGAAAGTTGCGCAAAACTCTTATATTCAAACCAGAGAATGCATAAACATTACGAGGGGAGGTCGAAAAAATGCTACAAACACTACGAGGGTTAATTGAAAAGTATCGATGAAGTGCCAATGGGGAAATTTGCAAAATACTGTCCGATTTAAATGTTCTCAGTGCATAATTAAATGTGCATTTGCAATTTTTTATTGTGCTAAATTTTGTCCCACTCTCTCCTAAAATCTGTAAGTTTTCACCCCTAAATTGACATAATTTGGTAGTTTTTTTAGGGGAAAGTAGCGCAAAACTATTACATTCAAACAATAGGATGCATAAACGTTACGAGGGTAGATCGAAATGTACAAACACTATACGAGGGCTGGTTTGTAAATAATCAAAGTAGCGCCAATGGGGTAATTTGCAAAAACTAATATGATCGCATCGAAATAAACCGCTCTAAGAATCCGAGCAATATAATAATTGTAATTATTATTCACTCATTCAATATTTGCCTATACCAATCAAGAGAGATAATGCAATATGTATAGTTCGTTATTCATCGAAGTAAATATTTTTTACTCGACTTTTATAATATCTGTTATGTAAAACATATTTGGAAAGCAACAGGTGGTATTAATTGGGTATTATTCAGGTTGATTTAAAGATTACGGGGCGAGAAATTTTTGAATGAATTTCGAAAACTAGTAGAAAAATAATAACACGTTTAATGTTTGATCTAACGAATCACCTCATTATCAAATATCGTGATTTGTTCAAAAACAAAAGGATCATAATAATTAATCGCAATGCAAATGAACGTTACATACAAGAGAGTTTAAAATAAACCATTAAATAAAAAATTATACTTTAATACTTGCCTATAAAAGGCATATTTTAAATCCCCCACATCCTGTTTACTCCGAATAAAAATTAAATTCCTTTAATATTAATTGAAAAGCTCCTACCAGTTGCTCTAAATTGTAATTATAATTATTCGCAATTATAAATTATATTGATTATACTTTAATGATTATAATGGAGTTTTGAAACTCTCTAAACTAAATGCAATTAGGGAGATATTTAGGTAAAATTTCCATCAAATAAGTTAAGTTTGCTTTCGTAGTAAATGCTGAATTTATGGGGATAATAGGGGATTTTCGACTTAGGGAATTATCCAAATTTCTTCGAAAAAGAGCAAATAACAGAATCTACCTTCAACGTGCATTGTAAAATTAAATTCGCATTAAACAAACCACAAGGCTAATTTTAAATCTGGTTTGTAACACAATTTCCTCTACCACCAATTACTGAGAAATTTTCTAAAAGCCTTTCGAACGAAATATTTTCTTCCCAAACCAAATCAAATTCGCCTCATATCCTTTTTGCGGAATTTATTCTCCGCCGAGAAATAACTAATCATAGCCAATCGAAAACCAATAGAGGTGTATTCCCATCAAAAACCCGAATCAAATCCAATTTGCATAGCGAATATGCAATTCATTTCCAATTGAATTGCTTATCTAAACCTTCGGTCAGCTAATTTAGGGTTAATTATTTATACAATTCGATTTCTGTATAGGCTTTTTATTTATTTATTTATTAATGAGGTACATTGGAAAATAAATTATACTAGAGGTGCATTTTAGGCTGCAATTAGAGGTCCTGCGCAATTGCAATCTCCTGCTGTCGTGCAAAATCCCGTCCTGAATCCTTCCTGATGGCAATTAAACCTGCATTCCAAGTTGATGCATTGGATGTCGGGGTTATTTAGCTTGATTAAATCCAAAATATCGTCTAAAAAATCGTAAAAAATATTGTAAAATACTCGCCAAAATATGTTAGAATTTAATAATTAAATTTGGTATATTTCTACATACCTTTGGTTAATGGAGCTCCATTTCCATTATCCTGACATTGAGCTACAGCGAATAGAGCGATACACAAAGCGATAGCGAAGAATTTCATCTTGGAATAAATTGTTAAATTAACTATCTTAAATAAATTAATCTTCAATGGAGTACTGGCTTGTGGTTTGATGGACCGTTTCGTTGTATTATTTATACCTCTTTGTTATCGCGAAAAAGCGCGTGGAAACCTTCACTTAATGCTTGTTTAAATAGTTTTTTTTATAATAGTGTTGATTGTTTTATGCCGTTTCGTTGCTGGGTTGCTTGTTTTTTTGTTTTCGATTTCCTCGTAATCTTCGTTTGTGGAGGATTTGAAATTTATGGGCTTGTTTTTTTGGCGTAATTCGAGCTCTCGTTACGCAACCGAAGCGTTCTACGATTAATATTCGAGAAACTAATTATTGGTCATGCAAATCATCGATGTAATTAATTAATCGATGTTAATTTTTAATGCTAAGGAGCCATCTTTAACGTAAACAATGTCCTTAGTTACTCCATAACAACAATGTAAATCTGTCAATTGAAAGAATCTCCTTAGTTACTCCATAACAACCAATGTAAAACTGTCAAAAGTGAAAGAATCTTCTTAGTTACTCCATAACAACAATGTAAATCTGTCAATTTAAAAGAATCGCCTTAGTTACTCCATAACAACAATGTAAAACTGTCAAATGAAGGAAACTCTGTAGTCTTTTCTTTATAACTACAAGGAAAAAGAATTTCTCCGAGAGCAGAAAACTTTCCTATTCAATAATATTCTTCCATAAAACATTACTATTTAAATTCACCTCTTTTAATTTGTTTGCAATTTGCAACCTATTTGTGTTAATTTTGCGTAATTTTTACCAGGAAATGCTAGAAGTATTTTGTGGTATTTTCCAAACTTAAAAGTTTCATAGTAACAAAATCTCCAAAATACGATTATAAAACCTAATTCTACAACAAACAAAAAATAGATTTTTCGAGAAAACAAAACCAACTAGCACGCGTCAAATCTTTTGCGCAAATAGTGGAATAATTTCGAAAATAGGATTAATTCATAGGCATAATAAATTTGCATCAGGTAATAGTTTTAGTATATAAAGCAGGCGGCGATTGCTTCGAGATCACTTGGTATTTTAGCGAAACTATTAGCTAGATATATTATTCAACATGAAATTCATCCTAGCAGTTGTTCTTTTGGGACTCGCCGTCTGCGCCTGCGCCCAGGACGATTCCGAAACGTTGGCGAACACCGGATTGACTTACGGTAATATTTTTGTTTCGTTAATTATTAATATTCTATAAATTTAAATTGCGATTTTATAGAGCAAGTGTTGGAAGTAATCAGACAAAGGAACCCGGGCATCAGCTGCATCAATTTGGAATGCAGGACTAACTGCAGGCTTCAAGGATTCCCCGCAGGATTCTGTACTAACGTGGAGCCATCTGATTGTCAATGCGTAGGACCTCTTGCTCCTGCACAGTAAACAATCAAGTCCACATAATATGTCCAATAAAATTTTAGCTGAACTTGTCTTGTAAATGCCTACTAATGAAATATAGCAAATAATTATAAATATTCGTATTTTTCGTACCTTCTATTCGTATTGCAAAAGTTGTACTCAATGGGCCAGTCCGGTCGTGGCTTGTATATGAAATTTCCTGCGTATATGCAACCATTATTACACACATATGACCAATAAAATTTAAATGAACTTGCCTGTAGGTTTCTACTAATGAAACATAGCAATTAATTGTATTTTTTTGTAACTCTCGAATTGCAAAATTGGCTAAATTACACTCAATAGGCCAGTCCGGTCGTGGTTTGTATAGGAAATTTCCTGCATATATGCAACAACCATTACACACAACATATTTTTAAAAATAACCACTTTTATGTTACATTTTTGGGCTTATTTACAAAACAACACAAATATAACTAGTATCCACCAAACAATTAGTATAATATGAGTAATATAAGTATTATAAAAACGAAAATTTAATAAAAACACATCGCTAAAAATTGCCTAAAATTCCACATTTGCAGTTGGCAGCCCTGACGAAACGTCAACTGTCATCGCTGTCCTCGGCGTGGCATCGCTCGCAGTGGTTCGTTCTCTTTCTTTTACGTGAATGCGCCGTAGTTGGCGTATCGTATTTTTTGGTTGTTCGTGAAAAAAATCATCAAACATCCAAAATGGTACGTATGAAATTCCCGTTTCGATATAACCGCAACGACGCGGCACCGACGCCCGTCCGTTTCGCGTACGAATTTTCCATTTCGCCGCCACCGAACCCTCCGAATTTTCGCGTTTATTTGGGTGTTGCACAACAGTATGAAAGATGTCGAAAATATCCCTTGTTTGCGAGTTTGTTCGGAACGTTCGCGTGTTTACACATACAAGTCGATTCCGGCGAATTTCTACAAAGCGTATCGGTGGTGCTGAATTAATAAAATCGCTAAATAATTAGAGAAAATATGGTAAGGTAGCACCGATACGTGTTGGATTTACGATACATATGCTAGAGATTTTGCTGAATTTATTTATCGAACGATTGTGTTGCAGGTGAACTTCACGGTTGACGAAATTAGGGTCATGATGGACAAGAAGAAGAACATCCGTAACATGTCTGTAATCGCCCATGTAGATCATGGTAAATCGACCCTTACAGACTCCCTCGTATCCAAAGCCGGTATCATCGCCGGCGCGAAAGCCGGTGAAACCCGATTCACCGATACCAGGAAAGACGAACAGGAACGTTGCATTACCATCAAATCAACGTGAGTGTTGAAATTCCACAGCGAATTTATTTCGGAATGCTTATCGTATTTTGTTTTCCACGTTTTTCAGTGCCATATCCATGTACTTTGAATTAGACGACAAAGATCTGGTGTTCATCACGAATCCCGATCAAAGGGAAAAGGACGAAAAAGGTTTCTTGATCAATTTGATCGATTCGCCCGGGCACGTGGACTTCTCCTCTGAAGTAACAGCAGCGCTTCGCGTCACCGATGGGGCTTTGGTGGTAGTCGATTGCGTTTCCGGTAAGCCTGTTATTGAATTATTTGTTTGGGCTCCTTTTTGACCTGCTCACTCGGATCTTTATGTCTGTAAAGAGGGATGAAAGAAGGAGCAGATTGAATTCCACATATGGTCGAACAAATGTAAATCTTGTTTGTTTGGTGGTCCACTGTGGATACAATGTTGACAACAATCGGTTCTAGTAATTTTAAACTTTTTTTTTTCTCTAAAAAATGCAGAGGGTTAATTAATGCAATGTAGTTGTTTTAACGAGTGATTCTTGGGCTTATTTTGAGTCGAAAAGTTCATCATTTATACTTAATAAGGTAATTCAGTAATACAACCCTGTAGGTAAATTGAAAACCAAGCTTCGGAGGACAACTCTTTGTAAGAACTTTACGACTCGAAAATTAACTCTTGAATCACCTGTTAAAACAAGCACATTTAATTAGTTATCACCCTTTATATTTCCGATGATGATTAAGCATTAATTTAAACTGTTCTTTCTCATAGGTGTATGCGTACAAACGGAGACCGTACTCCGTCAGGCCATCGCAGAACGTATCAAGCCTATTTTATTCATGAACAAAATGGACAGAGCCTTGCTCGAGTTGCAATTGGACGCCGAAGAATTGTACCAAACGTTCCAACGTATCGTTGAAAACGTCAACGTTATCATCGCCACCTACAACGACGACAGCGGTCCCATGGGAGAAGTCAGAGTGAGTTTCGTTTTCGCCTAATATACAGGGTGTTTATATGCATCATGCAAGTCCGAAAGAGGGTGATTCTTTGGGTTATTTTATGAGTTAAAGTTGGTATTAATATTGGTCCACAAAACGCTTCGGTAACGATCTACAGGATGTTGCAGTTTTTGAGTTTTTAGCTTAAATTTGTCATATTTAGAAGCTCTATTTGCTCCCAAAGTTTGACGACATATTTCAGGAACTTCCTGTAGAATTCGGTACAGGGTGGCTCTGTTATAGTACACATTTCGAAGTAAATTACTTAAAATTGCGCATTATAGATCTCTAAATTGAGTCCCTTTATACACCGAGTCGCAACTAAAAGATTAGTTTCATAACTAGCTAATATTAACATTCGACTCGAATATAATTAGTCATATTTTGCCCTGTTGTAAGTCTCTTCGTACTTACTACAGTTTCCTACAATGAAACAACGTTTTATTTCACGATTTAAAATAGTATTCATCACCTCTGTTTAACTTCCGAGTGACTCTAAAGTCGCTTATCGAGTCACTAGTTACTCCATAACCACAATGTAAATCTGTCAAGTTAATAACCTGACTTTAGAGTCACTCTAAAGTTAAACAGAGTCGCCGAATATGGGCTAATGTATTTAATTAAAACAGAAAAAATAACTAACGAGTTTGTGTTTGATAGGTCGACCCGAGCAAAGGTTCGGTGGGTTTCGGTTCGGGCCTGCACGGTTGGGCGTTCACCCTCAAACAATTCGCCGAAATGTACGCCGAGAAATTCAAGATCGACGTCGTCAAGCTGATGAACCGCCTGTGGGGCGAGAACTTCTTCAATCCGAAAACCAAGAAATGGGCGAAGCAAAAGGACGAGGAGAACAAACGTTCGTTTTGCATGTACATCTTGGATCCCATCTACAAGGTGTTCCAGTCCGTCATGAACTACAAGTGAGTTATACACGTTTACACGTTTGTTTATTTACTAACGCTTCGTTTTTTCTTATTAGAAAAGAAGAATACGAAGCGCTGTTGCCCAAATTGGGAATCGTCTTGAAACACGAAGACAAGGACAAGGACGGCAAGCAATTGCTCAAAGTCATAATGAGAACTTGGTTACCGGCCGGCGAAGCTTTGCTTCAGATGATCGCCATCCATCTTCCATCGCCGGTGGTAGCGCAAAAATACAGAATGGAAATGTTGTACGAAGGTCCCTTAGACGATGAAGCCGCTGTAGGTGAGTACTATACAGGGCGTCTCGCTCCCACGACGAGTTGTATGTGGGAAAATTACTTGGTTTCTCCTACGCCACGCTCATTCAGATTTTTCATATCCGTTTAGAGTGCCAGTATTGTAAATACATAAAGGAGAATATTGAATTTCCCGCTAGGAAACAGGTAAAACGTTTATAACCAAGTTTTATCTGTGCCGAAAGTTGAGGATACATTTTCGATAATACAGGGTGTCCCAATGAAAAGTAGTCCCTTTAGTAGATGAACGTTAGTTCAACATTGAACCGAGTTCATTTTATCTTACATTCCTTCATCTAACGAATTTCTTCTTGCGAACAGGCATCAAGAATTGCGACGCCAGCGCCCCCTTGATGATGTACGTATCGAAGATGGTACCGACCTCGGACAAAGGTCGTTTCTACGCGTTCGGTCGCGTCTTCTCCGGTAAAGTAGCCACCGGTCAGAAGGCCCGTATCATGGGACCCAATTACACTCCCGGCAAAAAGGAGGATCTTTATGAAAAAGCCATCCAACGTACCATTTTGATGATGGGCCGTTACGTCGAGGCCATCGAGGACGTACCGTCTGGTAACATTTGCGGTTTGGTGGGCGTCGATCAATTTTTGGTCAAGACCGGTACGATCAGTACCTTCAAGGATGCTCACAATTTGAAGGTGATGAAGTTCAGCGTATCGCCGGTAGTGAGAGTGGCTGTCGAACCGAAAAATCCCGCCGATTTGCCCAAGCTCGTTGAAGGTAAAGTTGCTACGAAAACACCCATCGATTGTATAATTACGATGGTTTTGTAGGTTTGAAACGTTTGACGAAATCCGATCCTATGGTGCAATGTATCATCGAGGAATCCGGCGAGCACATCATCGCCGGTGCCGGTGAATTGCATCTCGAAATTTGCCTGAAAGATCTCGAAGAGGATCACGCTTGCATTCCGATTAAGAAATCCGATCCGGTCGTGTCCTACCGTGAAACCGTCAGCGAGGAATCCGATCAGATGTGTCTCTCTAAATCGCCCAACAAGCACAACAGGTACTTTCTAATGTACTTTTTTTTTTTAACCTACCACCTTTAGACAATATTAATTGGTACACGAGCTAATTGATATTCGCAAAGCGTGGAATAGGAATTTGTCTTTTAAGTTTCGGTCTTGGTGGTTTTTAACCTCGACTAGAATAGGGGGACAGACAGATTTTTTTTTTAACTGTATTAAGTATTTTAACTTAAATTTTGCAAATTTTAGTTGTGAAACACGTCAACTTTTATCTTATTTAATAAGTCAAAACACCACAAATGTTGTTTTGAAATATTTTAACAAAGAACTTAAATCAGTTATAAATTAGTAATGCACCAACAGAAGAATGTATTTTCTACGGTAATACACAAAAATAAATGGAATAATTTAAAATCTAGTTGGCTTTCAGAAAGTCAGTCTAGTAAAAGCTTTTGAGAAATAAATAATGCATTCCATCTAGTTAGTGTGCATTGAAATGTAATTGTAATTAACCAAAATTGAAAAAGTCAGTAAATTTACTTCAAGAAGTATCAAAAAATAGCATATTAAAACATACTTTTCTATATCGAACAACTTTTCACAATTGAAATGATAGAAAAGTTAATTTATTGTTTAACTGTAAGTCTTTAAAGATGTAGCTCGAAAACTAAGATATTTAGAACTCACATTGACATAAACTTATCTTCCTAAAATCACCCAAACATCCACCTCGCGAAGCATCACCACTCAATTACAATCAACACCCTCTAACCCTTATAACACAATAACCGATCCGATTTCTAAATTCCCTCCAGGTTATTCATGAAAGCCTGCCCGATGCCCGACGGTTTGGCCGAAGACATCGACGACGGGCACGTGAACCCCCGCGACGATTTCAAAGTCCGAGCCCGCTACCTCACGGAAAAATACGACTACGACGTGACCGAGGCCCGTAAGATCTGGTGCTTCGGCCCCGACGGCACCGGCCCCAACATCCTCGTCGATTGCACCAAGGGTGTGCAATACCTCAACGAGATCAAGGACTCGGTCGTCGCCGGTTTCCAATGGGCTACCAAAGAGGGTGTGTTGTCTGAGGAGAATTGCCGTGGAGTGAGGTTTAATATCTACGATGTGACGTTACACGCTGATGCTATTCATAGAGGAGGCGGTCAGATTATTCCGACCGCCCGTCGGTGTTTGTACGCTTGTTTGTTGACGGCGGCGCCCAGGCTGATGGAGCCCATTTACAAGTGCGAGATTATGGTAGGTGTAATTGCTGGTTTTTGTATAGTTTTAATGGTTCTTCCAGTACAATTAGAGCCACTAAATTATGGTAGGCGAATTGCTGGTTTTTGTATAGTTTTAATGGTTCTTCCAGTACAATTAGAGCCACTAAATTATGGTAGGCGAATTGCTTGTTGTATATTTTTAATTGTTCTTCCAGTACAATTAGAGCCACTAAACAGTTTGTGCGATGGCATGAATTTGTTGTTGTATAAACGAGGATTTTGTTGGCAGTGCAATGGAAGTAGATTAATAATCGGTATTTGCATTTAAACGCTATCGCAGGACCTCTATCTTTATGTCCGTTTGCGATAATGCTACGGTGCGAATTCTACACGATTTACTTTACACCTTTTAATAACTCGTTTGCAGTTAATTAAGTGAAGTCTAGTCTAGTTTAAGTTTAGTCAGTTTACTTTTAATTTTATGCAAATGAAAGATATGTATTCAAATTTGCCGCCTTACAAATTTTCTGGTGAAAGTGTTGAAACGGCTGAATAATCCTGAAAAATAGAACAAAAAATTATTAAAAAAAGGTTCATTTTCATAGAAAATTTAATTCTTACCTTTTCAGTATTTATCTTGAAGGTAGAGTAGTCTTGAAAACAGAAGAAAACTGTCGAAATTCCAAAGAAACTCTTCAAATTGTCCAAATTAGCTTTATGGATAATCTTTTCACGTTCTAATACTCTCTCGAAAGTGTTGAAACAGCTGAATAATCCTGAAAAATAGAACAAAAAATTATTAAAAAAGGTTCATTTTCGTAGAAAATTTAATTCTTACCTTTTCAGTATTTATCTTGAAGGTAGAGTAGTCTTGAAAACAGAAGAAAACTGTCGAAATTCCAAAGAAACTCTTCAAATTGTCCAAATTAGCTTTATGGATAATCTTTTCACGTTCTAATACTCTCTCGAAAGTGTTGAAACAGCTGAATAATCCTGAAAAATAGAACAAAAATTTATTAAAAAAAGGTTCATTTTCATAGAAAATTTAATTCTTACCTTTTCAGTATTCATCTTGAAGGTAGAGTAGTCTTGAAAACAGAACAAAACGGTCAAAATAGCTTTAGAATCCTGAAAAATAGAAAAAGAATCATAAAAATGGGTTCATTCTTAAAGAAAATTTAATTCTTACCTTATCAGTATTCATTTTAAAGGTAAAAGCATTCTGATAAAAGGTAGAAAACGGTAAATAATACAATGAACTTTTTTTGGATGTAACTCTAACTTCCCAAATCGCTTCTCCTAGTTTTTAAACAGATCATATCATCGACATATACTTGATTATTGCAAATTAAATTTCAGTGTCCCGAAGTGGCCGTCGGTGGTATCTACGGCGTGTTGAACAGAAGACGTGGTCACGTATTCGAAGAGGCCCAAATCGCCGGTACTCCGATGTTCTGCGTTAAAGCCTATTTGCCTGTAAACGAATCGTTCGGTTTCACCGCCGATTTGCGTTCCAACACCGGAGGTCAGGCGTTCCCGCAATCGGTCTTCGATCATTGGCAAATCCTGCCCGGTAATCCGTTGGATGCCGGTACTAAACCGTACGGTATTGTACAGGTAAGATTATGGAAAAATTATTGTTTTTGTGGTGGTATTTACGAAATGATGTTTGCAGGACACGCGTAAGAGGAAGGGTCTGAAAGAAGGACTTCCGGACCTCGCCCAATATTTGGATAAATTATAAGCAACTGATGAAATCCTAACTTATGTACAGATTATTTAATAAAAATGAAAAATTCATACATTTTACTCAAAAAAAACAACATCTATAGTTAATTATATTGATTGTATTTTTTTATCTGGAAGTTTCCTTAGGTTCAAATGGTCCAAAATACAAATTAAATAATCTGCAAAATAAAGTTTTTATTTGTTATATTTTATATTTTTTTTTTGTTGATACTCCCGTTTGATTTGTATATTTATTATCGATTTAACAGCAATAGCAACTTGAATAAATGATTTTTGTTTTTCGAGTAAACGCATTCTTCGAAAAATCTGAATCCTTATCGCTTTAATTTAATTGTAATTTTTGGATTTGTAGGAAATAAAATTCGGTTTTTTTAAATGCTTTGTCAACTAATTAAATAATCTGTATATAACAAAATCTTTTCAGCAAGGATTCCGGACATGTTTCATACGATGTAAGTAATAGTTTTGATTGTTTCTTATTTGTTTATTTTAAATGATGACTGGTAATACCGCCCCAGTCTGAAATTTATGATTGATTGGTTTTATTTAACTGACATAATATGTATTTAAAGTAATTATTTTATAATTCGTTCATAATATAATAAGTTTTTTTTTATTTACAGGACCCACAATGTTTTTTGAGACTATGAAACGCAATCGTTGGAACAAGAAGTACGTAATTTATAATAATTTAATTTAGTGCATTTTTTTATGATGAAAAACACGCCCTATATTTGAGATTTATTTCCAATGATAATATTACGATTAGGTCTTTCTGAGTTATTAATCACATTTATATATTTTTATTGATTTAATTATAAATATTTTCAAATTTGCCTTATTTTACTTGCAGATTCGATAGCAAATGTCTCGTTTGATCTACTGGAATCGTTTGGAAATTAAATTGGTGAGTTTATTTTAAAGTAATATTTTTTTAGAACAGTTTCTCCTACGCCACGCTCATTCAGATTTTTAATATCCGTTTAGAGTGCCAGTATTGTAAATACAAAAAGGAGAATATTGAATTTCCCGCTAGGAAACAGATAGAACGTTTTTAACCAAGTTTTATCTGTGCCGAAAGTTGAGGATACATTTTCGATAATACAGGGTGTCCCAATGAAAAGTAGCTCCTTTAGTGAGCTAATAATTAAACACCCTGTACTACGATTAGGTCTTTCTGAGTTATTGTTCACATTCAAAGCGTTTTTTGATTGAAATATAAATAATCTAAAAGGTGCCTTTATTGTTTACAGATTCAATCGTAGATATCGTGTGATCTAATGGAGGAGCAGTTTGAAAATTGAATTGGTGAGTGATTTATTATTGAAAATTATTTTGATTGTTTCTTAATGATGACAGGTATTACCGCCCCAGTCTGAAATTTATGATTGATTGGTTTTACTTAACTGACACGATACTTGTTAAAAACAATTTTTTCATAATTCGTTCGATTCTAATGGAAATATTTTATTTTTAGGTCCGTATGGAGATTTTTGTATTGCAAATGGACATGTTTTAGAGGTGAGTTTAACACTTTTGCTTGATTTTGGTAGTTTTTTACAAAGTGATGATTTTGTTTACCGCCCCAGTCTGATAATAATGACTGATTGGTTTTGCTGATACATTAAATAAATTGTAATGTGAAACATTTGATGAGTTTTGTTGCTAATATAAACATTTTCTTTACAGATACATGTTTTGAAGGCATTCCAATCATTCAATTTGCAAGATATCGAAAACACGATTCTGTTGTGTAAGTTTACTTTTTTTTTTCGAAATTTTATTTGCAAAAAAACCTTGTAATGATGTTAATTTAAGTTTTAGAAGTAATTTGTAATCTGAAAATGCATTTTACAATGTTTGACTAGCCAAAAGGATACTGATTTTAGAATATAAATATTACTAATTTATTTTTTTCGAAAAAACGGAAAATATAAAAATTGTTTTTGTTCTAGGTTAACCCCGTTACGAGACTTCTATTCAATAGCAATTGTGAAATAAATGGTAAGAATTTTATTTATTTAGAACGAGATGAAATATATTTTATTATGATGAATTAAACTTAGGACACCTAAGAAAAATCCGTGGTTATATTTAAAATTTATTCTGACAATTTGTTGCATTAAATTTTTGTTTTTATATTTTTGATTAAATTTAATAAGTTCTTTTTACTCTTTCCAGAATCCACAATGTTTTTCTGAAGCTCTAAAACAATCCTTGGAACAACATACTATCAAAAACCAAGTAAGTACTTTATATACAGGGTGTCGCTATGAAAAGTAGCCCCTTTTGTATTTCTATTAACGTTTAGTGCATTTTTATGATGAAAAACACGCCCTATATTTGAGATTTATCCAATGATATTATTACGATTAGGTCTTTCTGATTTATTTTTCACATTAATGCAACTTTTTTATGATTAAAATAAGCGTTTTTAAACTTGCCTTTTTTATTTACAGATTCAATCACGCGTATGTCGTTATTTAATCCAGAAGACCCGTTTGAAATTGACTTGGTGAGTTACAATAATTTTCTAATTCTTGCATTGATTTTTGTTTTAAATTAAAATTTTAATGATGTTAATGAATGTTGCCATCTGAATATTCATGAGGACTTAACTTCCTTGGATGTCTGATTATTTATAATTAATCATATTATATGTTTATTTATTTTTGCTTTGAATTGATTGGATTTTTTCCTATTACAGGTAATTGTGAAATTTTGAACTATCTACACACCAGTGCGTGGATTTATTTAGAAGTGAGTATTTAATAAGTTTTATTATTTCGAATAAAATTAATTGTTGTGATGATTTATTTATTCTTTCGCGGTTTCCACCAAAAAGATTCGTCTTTATGATGGTTTTAGAATTCTGATTATTAAATGAATATATAAATCCTCATTCTTAATACCTTTTTATATTTATCTAACTTAAATGTTTGGTTACAGATTGTCATCTCGTGATTTTAATGGAAAATTTCATCCAATGAAACATTTCAAGGTGAGTTATTATTATCAATAGAGATAATTTAAACTAATAGTTGTATGATGAATAGTTTTTTTCTTTCGCGGTTTCCACCAGAGGGATTTATCTCAATGATGGCCTAAGATTTCTGATTTTTTTATTGGTTAATCAATTTGAAACTATAATAATTGGGTATTTATTAAATGTTTCTTTTATTTCAGAATGCTCTTTGAGGAATGGATGTCTACAGAAAGGCGATTTCACTGAAGGTATGTTGTAATATTTAAATATTACACCCTGTATAATATTTCGTCTTTTTGTGATGAATAAAATTTTACACTTTCGCGGTTTCCACCAGAAAGATTCGTCTTTATGATGGCCTAAGTGATCTGATTTTTCCAAGATGTTCATTTTATATAAGACAAATTTGAATGCATTTTTGTTAATTTTCAATTTTTTATTTCAGATTATGTAACAGTGGACAGAGTTTGGTACTGGATTGATTATTCAACTGATTTAGGTGAGATTTTGTTATTATATATTTTTAAATTCATAAAATCACGAATTTTATGATGAATATTTTTTTTCTTTCGCGGTTTCCACCAGAGAGCTTGTCTCAGTGATGGCCAGAATTAACTGATTTTTTATAATTTTAAAAATTATGAACTTTCCAATGTAACTGTAGTTTTAAAATTGTTTGTTTTTTGTTGTAGGATCGCTCTAGTCGAGAAGAACTATCATTAATCCGAGTAATAATCAATTTTAACTATTGGTAAGTATTTGCAATATATTTGTTAATTTTCCAAAAATTAAGTATTTTTATATGATGATTGTTCAAGCAATCCACCAACCTTTCTGAATTAATTGATGTCAACAGAACGGCCATCTGAAATTTGTTGTATTAAAAATTATTACATTTTTCATTATATTTCAATTTCTTATCTTTTATTTATTTGTTGCAGATTTCAATTACCGAGCGAGCTGCTGTTTTCAACGTTGAAATAAAGAGGTAAGATTCTTATTCTAATTTTCAAAAATAATTGCTGGTAATATGGAAATGATGATAACTTTTCTTCACCAGACTAAAATGTGGTGGTTTTAATATTATGCTCAACAGGTCTGAAGTATTTTAAACGTAGAAATAAATACTTTATTTAGTAAAATAGGTATTAATGTTTATGTTTATTTGCAGGAATACTTGGCGAATTTGAAGGAACGAGTCGACAAATAGCAGAAAAAATCGAAAACTGCAACTTTTGGTAAGTTTTCAAAATTATATTTCAATTATAACATTCATAGAGTAGTTTTCATGATGAATAAAATCATTGACCTGTTCTGATTTGAACTTTGAGGATAAAAAGAATCTCAACCTGATGGAAAACTATTAACAATTCTATATATCAAATTCTATATTTCCCATTTCTACTATTTGTATTTTTGTTACAGATTCCCTGAAGAACTAGGTGCGAAAAAGGAAGGGGGGTTTAATATAAAACTCGACCGAGTTTTATTTTAAACCCAAATTTTATTGCCGCCTTTCCAAATCCAAAACTCCGACGGATCGTTTCAGAATTAACGCCAAAATGGACAACGCGATAATGTCTTATAAAGATTTCGTAACTTACATCGAAGCAATTCTGGCCATATCCAACTCCACCTCTGATTATTGGAAATTAAACGTAGTAAACGATAATAAATTTTTAACAAAAAAACAAAGCGTCCTATTGGAAAATCCCGAAGATATCAACGAGCGATTAATCGCCACTTTCGAATACCACGTCGTTTACAACATAAGCTATGCGGTACCAGTTTTGTGCTTCGACGTTTGGAACCAAAACGGCTCGAGAATCTCGCTCGAAGATTATTGGAAATACAACAAACACCTGCGAGATTTCAACATGCACGACACCCTCACGCAAACCGACCATCCTGCTCTAAACCGACCGATCTTCGCCTTCCACCCCTGCAAAACCCACGAGATATTGAAAGGATTCGCGAGGACCAGCAAAAATCCGATAGTTTCTTGGCTGAGCGTCGTCCGGCATTTCGTGCATTTGGAACTGTTAGAAACTTATATAAAAAACTGTTGAATTTACTTGTAATTTTTTTATTTCTTCTCCGTTAATTGCCCGACTATATCCCTGTACCTTTGCACCATTGGGGTGTAGATGTCTGCGACGTCAGCGTAGGGTTCGCAGGCCAAATGGGGTTCTGGGATCGTCGCTGTGATGTCGAGATAGGTTTTTGTATCGTGCATGAGGCCGTGTTTGGCTTGGAAAGCCGCCCCCAACATGGCCGAATTGGCGGCGTCCTGTACATAAACTGGAGCGTTGAACACGTCGGCTAAAACTTGTAGAATCGCGGTGTTCTTGGAAGCCCCTCCTGTCGCTAGGATTTTGGTGTTTTCATCTGAAATTAAAGAATTATGATAGAGAAAAAAGGTGTTTTCCTGGCTGTATGTCATTAGACAAGAGGCCAAAGGAGGAGAAGAATATTCGGATGATTTTAACTCTTCTTCTCCTACTTTGGCCTCTTGTCTAATGACATACAAAAGGTTGTTTTTCCTGGCTGTATTTCATTAGACAAGAGGCCAAAGTAGGAGAAGAATATTCGGATGATTTTAACTCTTCTTCTCCTACTTTGGCCTCTTGTCTAATGACATACAGCCAGGAAAAAACCTCCTTTTTTCTATCATAATCGCCCACCCTGTTTATAACGTTATTCTTACTCAGTACAAATCCGAAATCTTCCGCGTAGACTCTGATCCTGATGAATTGCCCTTCGACGGCGGCGCGAATTTCGTTCTCGGGACTGTTAAATTTACTCACACATCCGGTTTTCGTGAACCTGTAATCGCCGATCAGGAACGGAATGATCTCCTGTTTGTCGTAGTACAAGCCGATGTTTCCGAAATTCCCTCTCGGGGTGCTCTCGAGCAGCTTGTTGAACGTGTCCCAAGAACCGTCCGCGCACGTGTCACGAATCCGTTCGCGCGTCAGCGAACCATTCTTGAAACTACAAAAAAAACTCAATTTAACTAACAAGCACCGATGCTAGCAAAACTCTTATAGTAGTACCAGTAAATACATGATAGGACTTTTAGTACTTAAATCCCTAAACTACAATCTCCAATAGACTCGTCTCGATGCTTTAGTACCGTTCCTGCTCACAGCTGGGTACTTAATGGTACTCTAAAGATTATTTTACCGAATTATGAAGAGCTAGAGACATTTAACAAAGTCCTATCGTTTATTTCTAGTACTAATATACCATAACAACGCCATCCAAGCGTTCTCGTCGATCGGATTGCACAGCACGTGCCCATCGAGTACTATCTGCGGTTGAGATAACCACAAAAACGCCGTATCGCTGGTACCCAAACTCACAGCGATCCAACCTTCGCCCAACCTCATCCCTAAAACCAAACCACAAATAACCAACTCGGTACTACCAATCGCTACAAAAAGTACCAATCAACGAAGCCGGGTTATCACCAGTACACGCCACCACTTTGCACTCATTATTAAAGTGGTACCGTTCGACGAAATAAGAAGAAACCGGCCCGACGATGTTATAAGAAGGTACCGGATCTCCAAGTTTCTCTTTGAGCTGGGGTCCACAAGCGTTTAGAAGTGCCTCGTTCCATTTCTTCGATTTGATGTCGAGCAGGTTCATCCCGGAACCGTCTGAGATGTCGATGGGGGCTACAGCACCGGCGAACAACGAGCAAAGGAAGCTGCTCACCAGGGATATTCTCTGCGAGAGAAATGGTACCCGTTAGAGCGTTTTTACACTGCAATTATCGATTAACTTACCTCGGTGTTGTTGTAAGCTTCTTGTTTGGTCTCGCGGACTTTGGCTATCTGGGAACCGGTGAACCTGGTGTAGGCTCGAGAGCCTGTTATTTCAGCCAATTTCTACGAAAAAAGTGAAAAATTCGTTGTTTTACAATGCTATTAACTCACTAGAGGTCCTCCGACGGCTTTCTCCAATTCATCGCATTGCTTCTTCGTGCTGGAGTCCATCCAAATTGGACTATCGGTTACAGAAAACGATTTGGCCAGTTGCTCGTGCAGAAACTTATCGGGCTTGAGGCTCTTCAGGGTGTTCTCTGCGCCTTTTTGCCAGTAAACTGACCCGTGTTGCTGGTAAAAGAAACCTTATTGGTACCAAAAAAACTGCTTAATTAAACTATTTACCTGTCCGCTTCCTGATATCGCGACTATTTGAGAAAAATCCACTCCAGCTACTGTGAGTTTGTCCAAAACGATGTCCAACGCTTTCACCCACATCAACGTCGGGGACGTTATCTGGGCGTTGTTTTTTTTATCAATGTGGGCCCCGCCGGTTGTTCTAAACTCCGGAAGATCCGTGTCATATTGGACTATAGCTTCGGCTATTAATGATAGATTATCGTCTACTACGCAGGCTTTTAGCTGAAATTGTGCTCTACTGTTAGCTTAATTATGCCAAAATAAAGCGAAAATAAAGAATAAAGTTTTTTGATATCTCGCTTCGTTTTCGAGATATAAATACTTAAAGTTGTTACCAAAAGTTTGTTCAAGATTCGCTTAGTATAGTATAGTGTAGTTTAGTGTAGTGTGGTGTAATGTAGTATAGTATAGTGTAGTTTAGTGTAGTGTGGTGTAATGTAGTGTAGTATAGTGTAGTTTACTGTAGTGTGGTGGGTTTCACAAAAATATCTAGAGTAATAAGAAAATTATGATATAGAAAATTATTTTTTTCCAAAACTCTAACACCCTGTAGCTCGAAAACTAAGAGGTTTAGGACATACATTGATATAAACTTTTCTTCTTAAAATCATCCAAATATTCACATCCCGAAGTATAGGTACTCAATTAATTAACACCCTGTATAAAGCAAAAAAAAAAATGCAACTTCAAATATCGATACATATCTCAAAAACGAAGCAAGATATCAATAAATTGTATTCTTCATTTTCGCTTTATTTTGGCTTAATTAAGGTAGAAAAATATCAAATCGCCACGGATATCGTACCCTTGCCCTATTATTTGTATATTTTAAGTACCTACCAGTTAATTATTTACTACGACATGCATGTAAAAGGCAAGATTAGGCATAAAAAATGTGTTATCGATTTCCACAAGCGTGTTTAATCAACGCGCTATTTTTAGATCTAATACATATGTAATATGTATACAAAACTCATGAATGAAAAGTGCGGAGTAAAATAATATTACGAATTTAATAAAAAAAAAACCATTAGTGTGATGTATTATTATTATTGTATGATCCAACTGCTATAGAAATTCGCCAAATTAATTTTTAAGTAATAAAATAATACAGCTTTATCACAAAAACGCAATTAGCTGTACACCGCAATAAAAACTTTTCGAATATTATTGCTCCACAGTATAATTTCATTACGATAAACCGTTTCGAAAACCAGATAAGAAACATTACTCGATACAAATAAATTTAAAACTCACTCGAATTTACTAAAAAAAAGCAAAAATAAAACCCACCTGCTGTGTACTAAGATCCAATCCCAAATAAGTAGGCCCTTCAGCCTTCTTCCCCCCGCCTTTATTCAAACAATCGCATTCACTCATCTTCGCTTATTCCTCGAATCCCGGGCATTACTCTCCCTTCGATTCCTCCACCAGGTGATTCTCTCTGTGGTGGAAAATCCGCTGAATCGAGACTCTCTCGTACCTCGGCGTTCCGATCGCTGAAAGTGACTGTGCATTCACCGTTTATTCCGTAATAAACTGGATGGAAGTTTAGTGGTTTTGATACGGCGTGTTTCGCCGTGTTTTCGCTTCGAATTGTTATGTATTCGAGGTCAAGGCACCGAGATCTCCGGCTCGTTCGCTCGCCGGAATAATTTACATCGTAACCGATTCGTTTCTTATTCGCGTGATAGTGGAGTTGGGAGTTATTGGCGATTCGAAATTTTGATGGAAATGTCAAAAAATTAAAGGGATGGAACACAGAACACAGGGAGATTCACCTACTTGGATTTCATCTACTGTTGTTGTACTTGTCAAGCATTGTGACCAACTTTAAAAAAATAAATACACTAAATGAATTAAGCTTGCTTGTAGAAAATACCTGCAGAATTTGATTTGATATTAACAAGGGATTATAGATAATGTTAGAATGATGTTAGATGATGGAAAAAGCAGAATTAAATCATCCCCTTTTCGCTCCATGCTCCATTTTCGATTGCAACATGTTCATTTCTATGAGTAGAACAAAGAAAGATTATTAAAATGACAGTTGACAGAGTAAAAAGTTGCAATGACACAAATGTCACTTTCTTTTTCCTTTGTAAGTGGTCTTTATCGCACTTATAGCCTATATAACCTATGTTGCAATCAAAAATTGAGCAACCTGTATATATGAAATTAATAAATTTATTTTCTCTGACCTGCATTAATATTTGTTTCACACCTACAGTATGTGGCAATTGAAAAAAAACTCGGGACAATTAACAACATTTTAATTGTACTTTTGAGCTAGGTAACTCAAGCGTTAAGTACCATTTATTTACAACTATAAAAATATTAAAACCTCAATATTTCTATCGAATATATAAAAAATTAACAACGTCCTAAAACTCCAACATTCTTACTAAAACTAGTAACAAAATATCGGAATTTTAATTACAAATACACACAATATTCAAGTCCAATTTAACAAATTTAAAACCAATTAAAACCTATCAAGTATTTCGGCAAGTTACTGTACATACAATTGACACCCATCACAACGCGCATACCAACTTCAAGTCACCACATAAAAAATCCCTAACACATTTAAAAATCACTAAATATAATTACTATGCGGCAAATTCCCAGCGCTACTCTTGCTCTTCTTCAACTTAATAATACTACTCAACTTCCCCGTCGAAGACTCCCTATGCACCTGGGGCACGGCCTCCCTCCTGCGCCCCTTCTCGCTCTCGAGCATCCGCTCGATCTGCACCACCGACTTCAAATCGTAGCAGAACCCGTCCCCGCATATCCTGGGGCTCTGCAGCGACGTCAGCGGCGCCCGCACCAGCGACGACTCCGCCTGCAAGGCGTCCGGCGTGTCGAGGAAGAACTTGGGCACGGAGCTCTGCCGGATGATGGGCACCTCCTTGGGCTGGTCGATGCGCAGGTGGAGGCTGCGCGATTGCCGGCGTTCGCTCAGAGATTTCCTGCGGAGTTCCACGTTCGATGGGGGCGATAGGACGTCGCTGGTGGAGGTCGATGTGATTTCGGCGATGGGTTTGGGGGTGGTGGATTTGTCGGCGGTGATGTCGCCGAAGCTGACGGTTTTTTTGATCGGCGACGGGCGGTTCTGTGGATTAAACAGATTTAAAGATGTGTTTTTGGAATGAATTGGGCGCAAAAAACAGTGTAATAAACAAACACTGCAGTAAAAAGTAGAGTAGAAGAGAGTAGAGCAATCAGGAGAGCGATATATGAAAAATAACGCTTATTTAGTAACAGTCGTTACGGTACCTCTATACCAAAAAATTGATTACCACCTCTATTAAACTTTTGTCGCGAAATGTCATTAATGTCAATTTTGATTAATGGTTGCGTTATGACATTTCGTGACAGAAGTTTGCGCGGTTTTTTTAAAAAAACTTCCAATTTCATGCAAACTCAAACGATTCTCTTTGCTAGGATTACGAGATTACGATAACCTTTTAAATTCTCACCTAATAAATACATTTCTGCGCCCAATTTACCATTTTTTTTACGTTAGATTAAAACTATACTCGACAAGATAAGATAACACTGACGGTTTATAATTAATGTTGCGCAAATATTTGTCTCTTTCAATAGAGTCAACGTACTAAAAAAATTACCATAGATATATAACTAAAATGCATAAAACGCAGTACATGATGATGCTTCAAGTATATACTATATTTCCGAAGTTTATACTGCCCTAATGAACCATTTACTATCCTCCATTTTACAATTCACAAGATACATAGAAGAAGGTAACTACATTTTAGAAGTATCTACTAGCTGAGGAGTATTTACACCATATGTATGAACAACTTTAGCAACTGCAAAATCGATTTTTCTTGCATATAAAAATGGCAGTTCAAAATGATTCTGGAGCGTATAACTAAATGGTTTTAGACAGTTCTAAATGATTCTAGGCAGTTCTAAAAGAGTGTTTAAAAAAAGTGTTCTTTCTCTTTCTTTAAAAGTGTTCTTAATGGTTCTAGATAGTTCTAAATGGACTACATTAAGAAGTATCTACTAGTTGAGGAGTATTTACACCAGGTGTATGAACAACTTTAGCAACTGCAAAATCGCATTTTTCTTGCATATAAAAACGGCACTATTCACAACAAAATGGCGGTTCTACTTCAGTAGTAGCTACTTCGATTACCCCACCTTAATCGCCGGGCAATCGTCCTCCTTCCACTTGCACGAAAGCCCGATGTCGTCCTCGTCGGTGACGAGCACCAGGTCGGGCGCTCCCGCTACGGAGCTCTGGCTCTTGCTCTTGGCGAGAGCCCTCTGTCGGGGGAGCCCCGATTGATAATCGGGGGGCTGTTTCTTCTTCTTTTCGGGCAGGGGCTCGATGGTGACGATGGCCCGTCCGGCGATCACCGACACGCTGTCGTAGAAGGCCATGTTCTCGCAGAAATTGTTGTTTTTCTCGGCGTCTTTCACGATGGGTTCCTCGTAGTTGGCGATGGTCTCGTCGAAGCAGAAGCGCTCTTCGACGAGGTTCCACCAGCAGGACTCCCAGCACCTGATATGGGGGATGAGAAAAAAATCCAAAAATTATTTCCTGCATTTTTTTGTGAGATATGGTCGAGCGATATAGCCTTATTTGGCCACCCTGTATATACAATCAAGATAATTTGGTTCCAGACAGTTCTAAATGATTTTGGAACGTTTTAAATTACTATGGAATGGTTCTAATTGGTTATAGACAGTTCAAAATGATTCTGGAACGTTCTAAATGACTATAGATCGTTAAAAATGGTTCCAAAGCGTTCTAAATGATTCTACACAGTTCTAAATAATTCTAGAGCGTTCTAAATTACTATGGAATGGTTCTAATTGGTTCTGAAGCGTTCTAAATGGTTATAGACAGTTCAAAATGATTCTGGGCGTATAACTAAATGGTTTTAGACAGTTCTAAAAGATTGTTTTAAAAAAAAAGTGTTCTTTCTCTTTCTTTAAAAGTGTTCTTAATGGTTCTAGATAGTTCTAAATGGTTCTAAACCGTTCTAAATGATTCTGGAACGTTCTAAATGACTATAGATCGTTAAAAATGGTTCCAAAGCGTTCTAAATGATTCTACACAGTTCTAAATAATTCTAGAGCGTTCTAAATTACTATGGAATGGTTCTAATTGGTTCTGAAGCGTTCTAAATGGTTATAGACAGTTCAAAATGATTCTGGGCGTATAACTAAATGGTTTTAGACAGTTCTAAAAGAGTGTTTAAAAAAAAGTGTTCTTTCTCTTTCTTTAAAAGTGTTCTTAATGGTTCTAGATAGTTCTAAATGGTTCTAAACCGTTCTAAATGATTCTGGAACGTTCTAAATGACTATAGATCGTTAAAAATGATTCCAAAGCGTTCTAAATGATTCTAGAGCGTTCTAAATTATTATGGAATGGTTCTAATTGGTTCTGAAGTGTTCTAAATAGTTGTAGACAGTTCAAAATGATTCTGGGCGTATAACTAAATGGTTTTAGACAGTTCTAAATGATTCTAGGCAGTTCTAAATGATTCTGGAGCGTTCTAGATTGTTCTATACAGTTCTAAATGATTCAGGCCGAAAACTTTCCAACTTACCCTCATATAGAAGCACTTAAGGGTAACTCCATTTATTATTTATCCATCACCGAGTGCCATTTTTATTTGGCCACCCTGTACAATCACCGTAAACTCCCGAATATCACTCGCTCTTTTTCCTTTATATCTTTATATGGGACTACTGGAAGTTGTCTTTGTTGCACCAATTGTGTGCAAATTTGTACATTTCATGTATAGATGGGTTTTATGGAACATGTTTGTTTAAAAATTTTATTACTCCACGGCGAGTTAACATGATTTATTGGGGCTTTGTTATATCGTTTATCGTTTGGGAAATGTTTCATTTTTAACGTAAAAAATTCGATCAATTTCAATCAATATTTTTGGATATATTCGGTATTGTAGCTTTGCGAAAACGAATAATATTTTGCACGTGAAATTCGTTAGTTTAATTGAACGTGAATCAGTGAACAAACTGTTGGAAAACGTGATGTACAAACAGAAGATTAAAACATTAAATTCAACTCTTATGTAAAATTAATTAAAGCACGTGGATTGTTTTACTAAAACAACGAATATATAATTTCGAAGTTGTGTTTAAAAATTCGTATTACCTTGAAAACACAGGAAATTATGCTTCGAATTCGAAAAATAAAAACGAAATAAATTCTCACTTACCTCTGGCAACATTTGCACATAATCGAGCAGATAAATTCTCACAATTCCGTCGGAATCACTTCCATTGTTATCCCCGAGGTGTTTCCATTTGATAAGGTTCAGTCATTATCTCAATCTCGAGCGAAATTCGAAATCCCCGAACCGCAGGTGAAGTAAAATAAACAATCGTCGGGTACTCCTCGATGGTACTCGATGGATCTCTGTCGAGCTACTAAATCCATTTTCTCGCATAAACTCGCTGCATCTCCGGCGAATTTATAATTATTTTTAGCTGGAAATTGCCGGTTTTTTCGATCGATGATAAGGCGATTTCGAAGCGATAATATCGATCGAAATTTGGGGGAGTTCTGTAAAAAAAATTTAAATTAAATTAAAGTAAATTTTGTTATCTAAAGCGAAACGTCCTTGTAGAATTGGAATTATTTTCGTGCATCGTTGCGTAAGGATTTTCGTGTGATCTTTCATCAATTAGAATTAGTTTATTTTATTAGTTATTAATTATTGCGTCTCGTTTTCGAATGGCAATTTTCGTATATTTTCGCTGCGATTTTTCGTTTATATTAAATCATTTTATTTTATTTTTTTTTCTTTTAGAATTTTCGTTTATTTATGTTTACTTAGGAGTTTCGAATGGCCTAAAATTAGCCGGCCGAACAGGTGAAATTGTTTGCAAAATTATAATTAGTATTTTTAATTTTCCCGACGAACGACTGATGGGCTATTAAGCGCGTAAATTGCACGATGAAAACAGGAAAATGCGCGCGAAAAGGGAATTTTTTAAAATTTTTTTTTTAATAAACCATTTCCGTTTAAATAAATTGTTGTTTAACGTTTAACGACTATTCATTGAAAAAATATACAGGGTGAGGCATATGGAGGAACTGTACACACTTTATTTTAGTCCACTAGTACAAGGGTAAGGTGAAAAGTTCTCGGTCTGACAATGAAAGAACGCGATTTACAATTAAGAAATTAAATTACAGTATACCAAAAAAGTATTCGTACACTCGTATTATAATCATTATACGTGTAATTACCCGTTTAATAAATATACAAATGAAAAAACAATTAACAGGCAGATTTGGCTCCATCCGATCCAAAAATGTTATACTTACTCTCATCTGACAATATAACCTGGTTCCAGAACTCCGTTTATTAATGTAACGCTTAGCAAACTCCACTCTTAGCTTTCGATTTTTCTTATTTATCCTTGGCTTTTAGCAGGTCTTCTTCCTCTATATTCTAATCGCTTAATGTGGTATCGAAGAGTTTCCGGATGGATCTTATGCCCTGTACTGGATTCCAGTTCAGAAACGATGTATGGAGCACTTACAAAAGGAATTTTTTTAACTTTTTGATAAATGAAATTCTGATCTCGTTGAGTTAACTTGGCAGTACCTCCCGATCTTGACTTATTTTCCACGGAACCAGTAGATTTATATTTTTTCACAATGTACTGAACTGTAATATGTGTTTTTTGAACAATTTTACCTATCTCCTTATATTATTTTCCTTCTATAAAATGATGGATGATGACTTTTTTAAGTCACCATCTATTTCTTCAGTTTTTCTAGGCATTTTAAGGTAAACTTGAATTATTTTGAAAACAGAACTAGGAGCTCAACCTAATACTAATATACCGGCGAAAACAATAAACAATTTAATATCTACAGAGTGAAGAAATTGATAAAACGTTGCTGTACGAATACTTATTTTGGGGATAAAGCAAACATTTTTCGTTTTTTTTTTTATTTTACATTTTTAATAACAATGTTAATTAATGATTGCAAGAATAGTCTTGAAATGTAGATTTTAATTTGCTAGTTACTTCTTGTTTCTGTTTACTGAACGCGGACTTCCAGAACATAATGCAACTGTACGAATACTTTTTTGGTCTACTGTATTCTTCTTATTAAGTCGAAATCTTTAGTTCGAGACAATTCTAAATGGTTCTGGAGCGTTCTAAATGGTTCTAGATTGTCCTAAATGATTCTGGAGAGTTCTAAATTGTTGTGGAGCGTCATTTTTAAGAGATCCTGGAGCGTTCTTAATGATTATAGACTGTTCTAGATGATTCTGGAGTGGTCTAAATGTTTCTAGACCGCTCTAAATTATTCTAGAGTGTTCTTAATGGTTCTGAAGCATTGTAAGTAGTCCTGGACAGTTATGAATGATTCTGGAGCGTTCTAAACGAGTCTGGAGAGTTCTAAATGGTTCCAGACCGTTCTAAATGATCCTAGACCGTTCTAAATGATTCTGGTGCGTTCTAAATAAGCCTGGAGAATTCTAAATTGTTCTAAACAGTTTCAAATGATTCTGGAACTTTCTATAACTTTCTATAATGATTCTGGAGCATTCTCAATGGTTCTAAACGACTATATATCGTTATAAATAATTCTGAAGCGTTCTAAATGATTCTACACAGTTCTAAATAATTCTAGAGCGTTCTAAATGGTTCTGAAGCGTTCTAAATGTTTTTTGACAGTTCTAAATAATTCTTGAGCGTTCTATAAATGGTTTTAGATAGTTCTAAATGATTATAAACAGTTCTAAATGATTCTGGAGCGTTCTAGATTATTCTACACGAATCTATTAAATGATTCAATCCTAGAACTTTTTACCCTATCCTCGTATAGAACCACTTAAAGATGAACTCACCTTGTATAATACAATATTCTTAATGTATTTTTAACAATTACCTACTACAATAAATCATTGTGATTTACAAACAAAATAAATACTCACATTACTCACAAATACCGAGAATCCAAAAACACAAATAGGTAAATACATACAGAATTTATTTGGTCGAGTACTCTTTCTTGGTTCGATTAATATGATATTCTAGAATCGGTTTCGGTCGAGCGAGATCCAGTTATACCTCTCTCTACCTTTTAGCGAGCGAAGGGCGTTCGAGATTATATTCAACATTCAATATTCAATGGCCAGTTTATTCTTTTTTCTCTCGTTCGTTCCGGCTTCCTTTCCACCAGGTATAAATCCTCCATGGGGTCGACGGGAGAAATAAAAATGAATAAAAAGAATTATTCTCATCGACCTTGCGTTATTCCAATCAAGGACGATTTATTTATTAATTTAGCGTGATGTCATTTCATGAAATTCTCTCTACTTTTACTGATTTTTTTGTGTGCAAATATGCTTGCAATTCTATGAGTTATACAGGGTGTTACAATTAATTGAGTGCCGATATTTCAGGATGTGAATATTTGGATGATTTTATGAAGATAAGTTTATAACAATGTGTGTCATAAACCTCTTAGTTTTCGAGCTACAAGGTGTTACAATTTTAGAAAAAAATAACTTTTCTATATATCATAGTTTTTTTATTTCTCCGGATATTTTTATGAAACTTTCTGTATAAATGTATTGAAGAGATCTACAACTTTTGTAATGAAGTTTTCTTCTACAATAACAGCTTTTTTAACTAATATTCCACCCTGTATATTAATTTAAACTTATCTTCTTAAAATCATTCAAATATTCACATCCTGAAGTATCGACACTCAATTATAATAAACACCCTGTTAAACACAACTCATTTGCATCTACCTGTATATCACAACTATTTTTTTTATTAGAAATTGATTAATTTGAGAATTGATTTTAATTCGATTAAAGAACCATCTGATTATCTACAAACACAATAAAGAATTTAATCAAGAGGTTATTTAATTAACCATAGATTTACTTGGATAAGCTTGGAGTTATCCAGAAGCATGTCAAACGCGCGAGTGGATAATTCGTTTTTGGGGAAAATCCAGAAATGGGGGAACCTCCTGGGGGTGGTTTCGAACGACATCGATGGAAAATTCGAGTGGGCGCGGAAAATCTACAGCGTTTTACTGGGAATATCGTTGAGTTTATTGGGATTTTCCGGGCGTTGGAGGACGAATTGGTTCGATTTTTTAGTGTACGATTTATCGAGGATTTTCTTCGCGCTTTTCGCCGTTTCCTTGGTAATCCTGCCGCTGTTTTTCCGGGAAAAACTGCGATTGTTCGCGAGTACTTTGCGCGAAATGGAAAATATATCTGATGGAAACTGCGGAGGGAATTGGGTGGTGTTTTTCGCGATTTGCGGCTGTTATGTATCCTCTTATTTGCTGGTTTTCGCTCGATTATCGATCGAAATTGATGTAAATTTACCGATAGTGGTTTTGAAAATCCTATTCGCTATGTATTTGTGCACTTTCGCCGCCATTTTTTGGTCTATAGTGAGTTTTTTGCGTCGAAAATACGAGAGAATATCCGCCATTTTGAAGAGAACTGAACACAAAAGAGAAAATTCCTCGATGATTTTCCACATGGATCAAATAAAGCGCTCCTTAAAAAACGGCCATATTGTCGTTTCCTGCTTCAATGAGATATTCGGAATGCCTTTATTCATGCTAAACGTCGCTCTTACATTGAACTTAATCAGCTCGATTTTATTTATCAACACCAAATTGGAATTTGTCGATGTTTATTTTATAATTATCTTCTTTTTACCGACATTTAATTCAACGGTAAGTTACGCTAATTGCTACACCATAGGCGTCACCATAGTTTATTCTAGAGGGGTACACAAATGAAATCCTGAAGAGTTAGAAATCTGAAAATTTAGGAGTAAAGGATAATCAATGTTGTGAGTTTTTTAAATGGAAAGTACCATTTTTGACTTCATTTTTGGATTCTGTGGCTCTTTTTAACTAGACTTTGATAATAACACCATAAGCCAAAAATGCATCATTTTTGAGTTATTTAATTTTTTTCGAATTTTTTTTTGGAAAAACGGTCGAATGAATTTTCTATGATATCTCTGGTAATAATGCACCTACAACTTTGAAATTTGGTATTGATAATGTCCAAACACAGTACTAAAAGAAACTAAACTGAGTTTTCATGGTCTATTTACAGGGCGTTTAAAATTACCTGACAAACTTGGCTAACTTAAAGTGGCTATATCTTTGTTATTTCAAATGAACCACCCTGTATTTTTAGGTATTTCTAACTCTTCTAACAGTTTTCTATCTCTTCAGAATCTCCTATAACTTCCAATGGACGGTTTAATTGAAAACCCTTCTAGAAAAACCGCAAATTTACACGAATTTCCCTTTAGATGGTGCTGATTTTCATCGCCGCGAATTGCCAATCGCTGGAGAAAATCGCCGAGGAAATTTCCCGAACGTCTCATCGGCTTCGTCGGAGGGAAAACGATTCGGAAATCGACCTCCATCTTGCCGAAATAATACGATATGTACGCCACTGGAAACCGAAATTTTCCGCCGCCGGCTTCTTCGATTTCAACCAGAAAAGCCTCAACACGCTTTTCACGGCCATCATCAATTACTTGGTCATCGTGTTGCAAATGCACATAATCCTAGCCAAATGGTGAAAATTGTGCAAAAATAGAATCGTTTTATTAATCTTCTGCATGTAAACAATCTCCCTAGTTACTCCATAACAACCAATGTAAAACTGTCAAAAGTGAAAGAATCTCCTTAGTTACTCCATAACAACCATGTAAAACTGTCAATTCAAAATAATCTCCTTAGTTACTCCATAACAACCATGTAAAACTGTCAAATCGAACAATTTTTGCATACAGTCTGTTTAATGTAACTCCGTTGTGACGTCACGTGTCAAATAAAATGTACACTAAAAACTAGTCGTTTAATTCTTGTTGAAATTAAGTGGACAATAAATTTCAACGTGCCCACTTCACCTATGCAATTAACAACCTACTTATTGACCCGATTTTACGGGAAAATGGCGTAATTCGAGCGAAATATGCTGTCGATTGCGAAGTTTTTTGCGAATATTTAACGATCGAATTCTCCCAAATTCAAAACGATTAGGTAACAACGAAACCTACGCGAGTACTCTCACTTTTTAGATTATATTAAACATTTTCGGCCAGTTGTTCGCGTGAAATTTGTGCCGATAGGTCGAAATATGTCTAACAAGGTACGATGAATTATTAAATTTTTTATTAAAATGAAAACTTGTGAGTGTTTTTAGGCTGTAATCTACTTCGCGATAATTCTCCAATCGCACTTAACATTATCGGTTAGAGTCAATGTGAACGATAAATACTTGAATCCTGATGAAGATGATGATGATGATATAAGAAAACGACCTCATTCAGGTTGCAATCCACACAGAAGTGATCCTGCAGGTCGCACTTTTTTCGATTTATTTTTCCTCAATAACGAGTACAATATTAATTACGGGGGCGGTGGTTGTGGTGGAGGCGGCGGAGGTGGATATTATCCCACCAATCAGTACCACAAACCACCATTCGGCGGGCACAATAAACCTGTTTATAATAAACCCCATCACCACAAACCCGGTGGAGCTCATCACAAACCACCAGGTGATCCAATTAGCTACAAAATAATCAGAATTTGTTTAATATTGATATGTTTCAGGTTTTGGTGGTTTATTTGGTGGTCAAAATACTCCGTTCCAGTTCCAATCCAACCAAAACCAACCCAGTAAGTCGAGTTAAACAAACCAAAATTAGCTCATAATTTCACCAACGAATAAATTTAACTGTCTTAACACCCTGTATAATAACTTTTCCTGCTAGATTTCATCAACAACATCGCCACCAGCATAAGCGGAATATTCCCCAAGCCCCAGGAGTTCGGGCAATCCTTCGGCGATGGCGTTTCCTCGTTCGTCCAGACGATTCCCCAAATCGCCCAGAGTTTCCAGTCGATATTGCCCAATTTCCAGTTGCCCCAGTTCGGTTTCCAATCGCCTGGTTTAGGTAATTGTACAGGGTGGTCCACAACTCACGCCCAAACCGGGAAATGCCCCGTATGGAAACGATAATGGAGATGGCGAAAGTGCAGAAGAAGACATGAAAAGGTTGTTACTGGTGTTTCTTTGGTCGATTTTGAACCTCTTTATTTACCAAAGGAATAACTTTTTGAAGTTTTTGGATTCAGTTTTGGCATCTTCATTGTAGTTTTAATGAGGCATTTTCCAGTATTCCTTGGTCGATTTTGAACCTCTTTATTTACCAAAGGAATAACTTTTTGAAGTTTTTGGATTCAGTTTTGGCATCTTCATTGTAGTTTTAATGAGGCATTTCCAGTATTCCTTGGTCGATTTTGAACCTCTTTATTTACCAAAGGAAAAACTTTTTTTATGTTTTTGGATTCAGTTTTGGCATCTTCATTGTCGTTTTAATGAAGCATTTCTAGTATTCTTTGGTCGATTTTTAACCTCTTTATTTACCAAAGGAAAAACTTTTTTATGTTTTTGGATTCAGTTTTGGCATCTTCATTGTCGTTTTCATAAGGCATTTCCAGTATTCCTTGGTTGATTTTCAACCTCTTTATTTACCAAAGAAAGAACTTTTTCATGTTTTTGGATTCAGTTTTGGCATCTTCATTGTCGTTTTAATGAGGCATTTCCAGTATTCCTTGGTCGATTTTCAACCTCTTTATTTACCAAAGAAAGAACTTTTTTATGTTTTTGGATTCAGTTTTGGCATCTTCATTGTCGTTTTCATAAGGCATTTCCAGTATTCCTTGGTTGATTTTCAACCTCTTTATTTACCAAAGAAAGAACTTTTTCATGTTTTTGGATTCAGTTTTGGCATCTTCATTGTCGTTTTCATAAGGCATTTCCAGTATTCCTTGGTTGATTTTCAACCTCTTTATTTACCAAAGAAAGAACTTTTTTATGTTTTTGGATTCAGTTTTGGCATCTTCATTGTCGTTTTAATGAGGCATTTCCAGTATTCCTTGGTCGATTTTGAACCTCTTTATTTACCAAAGGAATAACTTTTTCATGTTTTTGGCATCTTCATTGTCGTTTTAATGAGGCATTTCCAGTATTCCTTGGTCGATTTTCAACCTCTTTATTTACCAAAGAAAGAACTTTTTCATGTTTTTGGATTCAGTTTTGGCATCTTCATTGTAGTTTTAATGAGGCATTTTCCAGTATTCCTTGGTCGATTTTCAACCTCTTTATTTACTAAAGGAAAAACTTCTTCATGTTTTTGGCATCTTCATTGTCGTTTTAATGAGGCATTTCCAGTATTCCTTGGTCGATTTTCAACCTCTTTATTTACCAAAGAAAGAACTTTTTCATGTTTTTGGCTTCAGTTTTGGCATCTTCATTGTCGTTTTAATGAGGCATTTCCTGGTTGGGAGTGAGCTCTGGGCCACCCTGTATAGCAGTGTGTTTAAATTGCATTCAAATAGCAATTAACAGGGTAATTTATGAAACTATTTAGGGCAAAATGCGCCGATAGTACCGCCTCCGGTACTCGCCAATCCGGGCTATCCGAGCGAAGAAATTAAACCGGTACACGAAGATTACGATTACGATCCCATTACGGATCCGTACAAATTGAGGTCGAAAGGTAAATTTAAACAAAAAAAAAAATGGCTTAATTTCTGAAGAATTAATGATTTATCTTCTTTATATATCTTCTTTTAGGCGCGAGAATCCCTTATGAGCGAAGGAATGTCGCTAAAAAGAACTCCGAAGATCAGAAGAATAATGTTAGATTCACATAATTCCTTTTTTATTCTATTTTTTATTAATTATTTGTACATACATATTTGCTATTTCTTCTCAATTGCTAAAGTTCGTACGTTTTAAAATGACAATATGACGTCATATTTAGTAATTTCCGCGCAGTTCAAAATTTCCCTAGTGTTAATGTTAATTCTACCATTTGACTAGGGGAATTTTTATCTAGAGCATTTGAATTGCCGTTGGTTGAATTGTTTTGAACGATTCTGAAGCGTTCTAAAGGATTCTAGACAGTTCTAAACAGTTTTGAAGCGTTCCAAATGGTTCTAAACAGTTCTAAATGATGAGTTTACGAGTAGTTATTGTGTTTTAGATTTCTTCCGCCTTTTTCTATTTGTTTTCGTGAGTTTTTGGTGTAATTTTCATGTTTAAATTCTACTATTTGTGACTTTTTTAATCTATAAACATCGACATTAAATTAACTTAAATTAAATGTATCTGCCATATAAAGGATTTCAATTTACAACCCGTCATTGTTATTTTAAAATGTACAAACTTTATTTCCTTTATTCCAATTATTCCTAATAATTGTTATGTAAATTGTTCTTCAATAAATAACATAATTATTACTAACATTATTTAATAAACATACCTACAACATAATTTACAGAATGTACAAGATAAAAAACGAATTTAATCGAAACATCACATTCAATCAGCGGTTAAAATACTCGTGCTCTTAAATTAAAAAAAAAAATATAAAAAAAAACGAGAGTTACAAAAAACTCCAACTTTTGAAACTTGCCGCAATATACTCATAAACAGTCTTTTTCTCATCCGAATTTATCGATTTTCCAGCACTCGAGAAAACCCGATAAATTCGAAAACATAACCTCCGGGGTGGCCTCTTACTATCCCAACAACCGGCTACGTGGTGATTGTGTAAGGAGGCGGCGGAGTCGAATGGGGAATCGGTACTTCCTGACGAAGATTCCCACCAGGTACCACCAAGACATTATTCCCTTCGGATTTCACGATATCCTCGTACTTCGGCGGATCGTCCGGCTCTGGAATAAATCCAAAATTGTTAGACTTTATTTGATATATAAATATCTTTGTTCAGAATTTCCAAATTACAACTCGTTAAACTGCAACGACAGAAAGAAACAAATCAACAAAACGAAAACTAAACAAAAACAAGAAGTTGCCAGACACATCATCTGTCAACTGTCATACACAAAATGGTCTTTTACTGATCGGTAAACAAATAAATGTATTAGTTGAAGTTGAATATCCAATAAAAATAAATTGAAGAGCTTCACTTCAAAAGGGCGAATCGCCCTGCATACAGGATGTCCCACGTCTTATTGTCTAACAAATAGGCTAAGTAATAGGATAAGTAATTTCCTACATATAAAGCCAGTTTTAACTAGTCTTGGGACACCCTGTATAGCATTGTACATACGAGTATAGGGAGGTGGGGCTTCGGGGAAGATTCCGGAGCCGGTGTCGAAGTCCTCGACGAAGGTGCTGTTGATGTAGGCGTCGGATTGGGCGTCGCGACGGCCCGTCTGCCTTCTGGCCATTCTGTCTGCGTAAAATCGGGCTTTAAACGAGCTTTAATCGAGCTTTAAACGAGCTTTAAACGAGCTTTGATTGAGTATATTTGATCGACTCACCTGCTATGATCCGCTCGCGCTGATAGGACTGCTTGATCTTCTGCAGGAGGCCGCAGAAGGAGACGATGAAGATGAAGATTAGCGAGCACAACAGGAGCAATTCAAGCGTCATTCTGGGTGAGAAAAATGTGTTGGAAAATGCGAAAAATGAGAAAATGTGAGGAAAATACTTTTTGGTTTACCTACATGGCGAAACCTGGCTGGTGTCTTCATACTTGGACGGATATTGATTTTTTTCGAGATTAGATAAGCGCTGATAAGCTGGTTGTTTATCTATAAAAAAACGGTGAGATAGATGAAGGAAAATAACAAAGCGAGATCGCTTTGTATTAGAAATTATCGATTAATTGTTTTTAATTGTTTAATGCACATATTCACCTTGTTAACCGACATGCTGTCTGATAAAATTTAACAGTCGGTTAACGATGTTTGTTATTCAGCACGATATTTGGTGTAACTGATAGTTAAGAGACGTTTTTCTTAGAAATAACTAAGATTAAGTTGGTACTATGATATAGGTTACTAAATTAGGTAGTATAAATGTCAAATTTGTATATTTGAAGAATTAAATAACTGTAATAATTGTATTCCAGCGGTTATTTCATCTAAAAGAATCTTTCTTTAATCTGAAGTAATTATTAAATTCTATTCTGGAATATTTTTATCGATTTAATATCTATTTCTATCACTATCTTCGCAAGATGAATTGAACAAATCGTGAAACTTTATTCACTGTTTAGTCACTGTTAAATACTCGTAAAAATCTTGACAATTTCAACATTTGTATTAAAATTATCAGTCAGTTACTTCTTTCATCAGTTCTGTTACTTTCATCTGACTGTTAAATATTAACCGGCATTGTTAAATGCCAAAACACGAAGTTAACAGATTAACAAGAACTTATCTCTCTGTTAACGATTTAACAGACATTAGTAAATATGGCCTTAAAAGATATTTCTACTACTCAACTATTAAAATAAATTCAAACCATCTCTACTTCTTTAATAACTCAACATGATGTATATAAACTGCTCCACAAAAGTTAAGAAAGTTCGCAAATTTTTCGATTATTTTAAAAATTACAGACTTTTCAAATAGGCGAAATTAAATGTTTTCTCTCATATTTAAATGAAATTTTTGTCCCTACCTCTACAATTTATACAAAATTCGGCGATCAAAAAACCTGCAACTATTAAATTAATCGCAATATTTGCGAACTTTTGTAGAGCAGTATATTTTGCACCAAATTAAGAAACGATTGTAGAAAACTTACCAGCGGTGATAATCACATAATTATCGTGAAAATTCGCGAAATAAAACAGGTAGATTCGAACGAATTCGCTTTATTATCCCATGCCGAATGGAGCGGAATAAATATAATAATGTTTGAACGGTTCGAAACGGCGATAAGAATGCCAGCTATCTGGCTAAAACTAAACACAATACCACCTGATGGTACCTAGAATGAATAACAAGCCTGTAAGTAGTTTAGATAACGGCTGGTGCAAATAAATACTTTAAAGCGATAGAGCTGGTGTTTTTCGGAAAAATATATTTTTTTGATACTTTCGTTAGAATTTTCTTGGTAATTATCTTTACTTAAAATCGTTTTTAATTGGAAACGAAACGAACAAATTGCCGTCCTTGACCTTAATTTTACGATTTAAAAGTCTATTAGTTTCTAGCCGGTGTATCTCGACTCCAATTTAATTTTTAACAAATTTTAATTCGTTAAATTGCGACTTTACTTTAATTTAAATACATTTTGCATTTCACACTGATAACAAGTGTTTAATCTCCGCGAAATAATGTATTTTTTTACACACTTGGCAACCCCGCCGATTATTATCAATTTATTTTCGTGTAGAATACTTTTAAAGGTCATTTTCGAGTACCATGAATAATTGGCTGATTAAATATTTTCCATCTGAATCTTTTACGATTGTTTCCCGAAGGATTCCGGCGGGTAAATAACAAAAAAAAAACAACCTTGGATATCATTCTAACTAGTTTATTGTAAGATAATATCAGTCGAAGTAAATACTATTTTTAATTTGTTTTGAGTAGAAATTTCAACGCAATGATATTCTAGAGTTCGAAACAACTAAGATAAACAAATTCGGCGATATCGCCGATTTTTTTCCAATTATTTTGTAATGACACCGGTGGAAAATAAAACCCCCAAGCAATTCGAATAAAACCAATCATTACATCGTTTTATAACAATCAATTTCCGTAAAAAAAAGGGGTTTAATGCTCTATTCGCTTACAATCTAATTGACAAAATCACAGTTTTGATGAAAGTACAGACCGACAGAAATAGCTGTATACGTGACGTCACGTCTACGGTTATTCCTATGGCTCTGTAGGTATGTATGTACAATAAATATCTACATTTCTCGACGAAATGAGTGAAATGTTCAAGTCGATTAATATGAGATTTACAGTATTACAGAATATTAAAAAATTTACTTCAAAAACGTTGCTTAGAATTAAAAGATCTATACGCGGTTAATCAACTTCTAAGACACCCTGTATTTGGCTCGACTTGAACACCTCCACCGCCTCGTTCGATCCCGCGCCGTTAGGAGAGTGGCGGCGTCGCGACGTCCGGCGTCGCCGTCGCTTTGGGCGCCTCCACCACCACCTGGATGGGCGTCGAACCTTCCCCTCCGCTCTGCGCCTGCTCGAGCGTCTTCATCACTTCGTCGTAAGATGGCGGTGCTAAACAAAAGACGGGAAGGTGTCAAAAAAAAATCTGTCAAATCTGTCAAAAAATCCTACTAAGGTTATATTTTTAATCTTCGCTTGAGATTAGATGGTACATTTTGATGGTTTGTGAACAGTTTAAACGAAAATAGACTTTACTGTTGTATGCTGACAATTAGCACGGAACTTAGAACCTAAAGTGTGTGTTCTGTCGTTTTTTTCGGTTGGTAATCCTGTTAGACCTAGTGACTTTTTTCGTGTAACTATAAATGTCAAAAAAAAAACTGGATATTTTTCTGGACTTACCATCGTCGTACATTGGTTTGTTCATGTGATCCATGATGTTAAAATGATCGATGGAAATGTGGGCGTCGTGTGGGGGCCACGGGTGGTCCTGGTTCTGTGTCACCCGGCTGCTTATGTTGAATATATCGTCGTTTTGATGAGCTGAAATTAGAACATGAATTTAATCGATTCATCGGGAAAAATTTCGAAATGTCTAGAACCGTTTTAGAACGCTCCAGAACCATTTAGAACTGTCTAGAACCGTTTAGAACGCTCCAGAACCATTTAGAACTGCCTAGAACCGTTTAGAACGCTCCAGAACCATTTAGAACTGTCTAGAACCGTTTAGAACGCTCCAGAACCATTTAGAACTGTCTAGAACCGTTTAGAACGCTCCAAAACCATTTAGAACTGTCTAGAACCGTTTTAGAACCCTACAGAATCATTTAGAACGTTCCAGAATCATTTAGATCCCCACAGAATCATTTAGAGCTGTCTAGAACCATTTAGAACGCTCCAAAACCATTTAGAACTGTCTAGAACCGTTTTAGAACCCTACAGAATCATTTAGAACGTTCCAGAATCATTTAGATCCCCACAGAATTATTTAGAACTGTCTAGAACCGTTTTAGAACCCTACAGAATCATTTAGAACGTTCCAGAATCATTTAGATCCCCACAGAATCATTTAGAGCTGTCTAGAACCATTTAGAACGCTCCAAAACCATTTAGAACTGTCTAGAACCGTTTTAGAACCCTACAGAATCATTTAGAACGTTCCAGAATCATTTAGATCCCCACAGAATTATTTAGAACTGTCTAGAACCGTTTTAGAACCCTACAGAATCATTTAGAACGTTCCAGAATCATTTAGATCCCCACAGAATCATTTAGAGCTGTCTAGAACCATTTAGAACGCTCCAAAACCATTTAGAACTGTCTAGAACCGTTTTAGAACCCTACAGAATCATTTAGAACGTTCCAGAATCATTTTCATCCCCACAGAATCATTTAGAACTGTCTAGAACCATTTAGAACGCTCCAAAACCATTTAGAACTGTCTAGAATCATTTAGATCCCCACAGAATCATTTAGAACTGTCTGAAATCATTTAGAACTGTCTGAAATCATTTAGAACTGTCTAGAACCTTTTTATTTTAATTTTTTATCAAATATTCCAAAATATAGAATTTAAAAATTGGTTCAGATGGAAGAAAGATTCAATTAGATGGAATAACCTCTGGAATACAATTATTACAGTTATTTAATTCTTCAAATACACAAATTTGACATTTATACTACCTCATAAAGTTAGGAACTATATCATAATACCAACTTAATTTTGGTTATATTTAAGAAAACTGTCTCTTAACTGTCAGTTACTTCAAATATCGTGGTGAATATAACAAACATGGATTGTTAACCGACTGTTAAATTTTATCAGATCGGCAGTTATCAAGTTGATAAGGCGAAATTAGTGAATAATGAAGCATTTTACAGGTGAATTTGACGCGTTGTGTTGACGTAAATAAACAATAAAAATGGAATCTTCTATAATTAATTTTAATGCGTTTAATTCGTTATCTCCTTATTCAAATATTTGTCATGTGAAATGTTATTTATTATTTCGCGATCGCTACGCATTAATTAAAGCGAATGAACAATTCAATTTATTAATATCTAAAAATACTCTTCCCAATAATTTCGCTTATACAGAGCGTTGTTATTAAACGTTTCACCAAAATAACGATTGTGAAAAAAACTTCCTCTATGTTTATTTGAATAAAAATCGATTATTTTCCTCGAATTTTTACCACTTACAAGCCACTATGGCGGATTTTCTGATACGCCACTGGACGTAGACGTTGAACAAGAAGAAACCAATGAACAGGACGATCACGAAAACGACTGACAGAAACATTTTCGCGGCTACATCTCTTACAAACAATATCGTTGAACTGAATGAACTGAATGAACTGAATACAGAATAATATTGCGAAAAAAAAAAACATTTCGAAAACGTTCGTTGCGCCATAAAACTTTATCTGAAGGTTTGCCCGCGGATTAATTTTGTATTTGAAATTCCCCGAAATAACTGATAAAGGTGTTAGTTAGTTGAACGAAAAAACAGCGTGATTTTACGTAAAACCCTCATAAAAAATAATACCCGGATAGTCGAAGAAAAACATAGCGAAACGGCAACGTCGCTTCGAATTACGCAGCGAAAAATTTAATTGACATTATAACTAAAAGACTTATAGCCTTATTCATAGTTGAATTTAGTGTTTACTAAAACACTACTAACATCCCACTAAAATAAATTGAATTTATAGTTTCATTTAGTGGCTACTAAGATGTTATTTTTGTTAGTAGACACTAAATTTGTTAGTGGAGTTAGAAGGGGTGTTTAAGTTAAGGTAGATTGGGTTGTAAATTTTGAATAGTTTAAATTAAATCCTAAAATGTGGCTTTATTTTTTCTCTTATTAGAAATGATGATATTAAATGGTATTAAATTCACAACTTCCTAAACTAAAGAATTGAGGTATTAAAAAGTTTTTTTTTTTTGAAAAAGGAAGAAAACGATTTTACATATTTTTTAAAATGTTGACAAACGGTTTTAAAGTGCAATATAATTATATAGAAAAACATATGGGGCAATTGTAAATACATATTTGGTTCCTCTAAAATTTGATATGCTGTTTATTTATTTATTTCAAAAAATAACATAGCTACAAAATAATAAAGAAAAAATAAAAAAACAAACCCTGTCTAATGCACAAAAGAACTATAAAAATAATAAAAACATTAACATAATAGGTAAAAATATTACATTTACCCAATTTTTACATTTGCCCCAGTCTACTTTATTTCAAAAACTGGTAGTCCCATTACTTCAAAAAGACTGGCAAAGATGTTGAAAAAAAAAAAAAACATTTTTTAGTTTTTTTTAACTATTCTTTGCATTTTGAGAGGATAAAGGATAAAATTGTTGTACTTTCAAACACCAATAACTAGTTACCAAAAAGGTATAAACCATTCAAACTTTGATATCAAACATACTTGGTGAAAGTGTATAATTGGCTAATAATCATGATTTTTCCTAAATAATGGTTTTCGTCGTAAACTTTTTTTGTTTTCCCAAAAGTAAAATTCACTGGAATTTTATCCCTTTTCCCATCACCCATTCAATTGATCAAATCACGTGAATCTGACACAATAACATCAATAACATAACCAGAATCTCCAATAACTTTAAGTTATTTCCGCTGTTGCCACATTCATTTTTCTCCTACCATTATATTAACTAGTGATCAAGAAATATGCAACATTAGTGGCTTGTTACTAAGATGTTAATGGCCACTAACTAGTGATATTTGAACATCATTTTAAAGAGGCTACTATGAACAATCCTGCAAGTCTCTTAGATGTAATTTAAATTGATTTCGCTTGATAATTTACCTGGTTCTAAATTATCCCTGCACAATTGCACACACTTTCCGCAAAATATGCAACCGATGTAAGTTATACCGGCACACAAACCGGCAGCGACAGCCAATGACATGGTTTTATTTTATTATAAAGGCGATTAATAAAATTTTTCTCGATATACTAAGTATACTAAAAATAAATTCGCCGAAGCGAGAGCACCTAATTAAGCGGCCTTATCATTATCTTATCGACGCTATTTTCAATTAAATATATATATATTGTCAATTTTTATAATATGCGTATAATATGCGCGTGATGATGCGTGATGATATAGCGGAATTATTAATTAATGTGATGAAAAATAAAATTTGTATAATTTCCTACCTAAATTGTGCGTCCTAGATTCCCTAGATTCCCATTGCATGCAATTACAACATACAAAAAATAAGAAAATTAGTAACAAAACAAGCGGAAAAACTACTACACCGAACGAATCCATATTATTCAATTAAAGTAATATAAAGTAATAAAATTATTAATTGCATGTAAGTACATTTAAACCATATAATCTGATCAAAACGATTTATCTTTTATCAACACTCAAAATTCCTTTAAAAATAAAATGACGACAAATCAATATAATGTACTTTATTCGTCGGATATCCATATTAACCAATATCTGTTAAATTGCTAACAGACAGATAAGTCATTTCGAAATGTCTAGAACCATTTAGAATGCTCCAGAATTATTCAGAACTGTCTAGAACCATGTCATTCAAAACGCTCCAGAATCATTTAAAACAGTCTAGAATCATTTAGAACTGTTTGGAATCATTTAGAACGTTCCAGTATCATTTAGAACTGTCTAGAACCTTTTACTGCCATATTCATTAATGTCTGTTAAATCGTTAACAGAGAGATAAGTTTTTACGACTATTTAACAGTCACATATTTTAATTTTATACCTAAAGTAACGGAGCAGTTAAATAGAATAGAGTTTCACGAATTGTTCAATTCATCTTCCGAAGATAGTGATATAGAAATAGATATTAAATAGATAGAAATATTCCGAAATAGAATTTACAAATTGGTTCAGATTGAAGAAATATTCTATTAGATAGAATAACCGCTGGAATACAATTATTACAGTTATTTAATTCTTCAAATTTACAAATTTGACATTTATACTACCTAATTTAGTAATTTGTGGTCATGAATCCCTCATAAAGTTAGTAACTAAATCATAATACCAACCTAATCTTGGTTATTTTCAAGAAAACTGTTCGTTTACCATCAAATAACATGGTGAATAACAAACATTTTTAACCGACTGTTAAATTTTATTACACTGACAGTCATTGGTGAAATTGGTGAATACTGGTATAAGGCCTTTTACCCATCAGTTATCCAACCAGATACTCACAAATCACGTCCAATCCATATGCAGTATACAACAAATCCACATAAGAAAATTCCCCATATCGCTCCCTTATCTTTATCCTCCTTTGCACGAACGAATAGAAAATCAACAACGCCACGAACAACGTCAAAAACAACACCAAACTCTCCCCCGACAACGCCATCGAAGCAATTCCAAAAATCCAAATCGAAAGGGTATATTTCAAATCACATCTTCCAATTTACTCGAAAGTGTAAACGTGTAACAACTCGAGTACTTCAAACAAACCTTGGTTTACAATTAACTCGAAAAATATGCTAATAAAATGGTAAACGAAGCATATTTTTCTACTAAATCTACACTCCAACGAAACGCCACAACAACTAAACTCAATAACCAAGTGTAATTGTTAAATTGCTTATTCCAATTACTGTTTGTATATCCGAAATAGGGGATAAAATTAGATGCACTTACGTCGATCGTCCTGCTTCCTGCTGTTACCGAATCGGGCGCGAATCAACCCGCCTGTTATCATCAAAATGCCGATAACTACTGCTAAATATACCAGCAAATTCTCGTCCATTACTTTTACACCCACTCGGGTAAATTCCTAAACCAGCAGGAATCGATAAAATACTGTTAATGATCCGCTAATAACCCCGCTGAACTATTCTTAGGAAAATAACGCCTCGATGATAAGATAAAAATCGTAAATCATCGCATAATAAGGATCAATAAATTGTTTAATTCCCCGTTTACTTCTTGGTAAATACCTCTTAATGATCAATCCACTGGAGTTAGATGATTGGAAGAATCAAGTTAATAAATTAAAGTGAGTTAAAGAAGATAGTTAAAACTTACTCCGTTTCTTCTTGCATTGTCTTCTCAAAAAAAACGTAATCAAAATAATGAACATAAGAAACGACCACAAAGACCAATTGTAGGAAATGAACATTTTTCACAGAGTGTAAACGTCAGAGGAAATTTGCTTAATACAAAATCTACGTTAAGCTGGTTTTTAATATAAAAAAAAATAATTCGATTCGATCGCCTTATCGCTTATCTTAATTGCTAATTTAATTTTCGAATTGTATCCACACAAAGCGAATTTGTTGGAATAGTAGCGAAAACATCTCAACGAAATGAACAATAATTTAAGTGGAGTTTTCCATCAATTTAGACTTAACCAAACTCACATTCTTCTTCTTCTCTCCTTTGCATCTGCCTCTTGAATTGCTCCTGTTTCACTTTGATGAATTTCCGGATCAACAGCACGAGGAATATGATCAAACCGAGCAAAATCATGAACCCGATTTGATCCCTGATGTCCATCATATCCACCGGACCCGTGTAATAAAACATTTTCGAGGAAAATCCGGCAAAAAAAATTTTCTTCCACCACTCGACACTCCACTTAACGAATCACCCGAAGAAACTGCTTTACATATCGATGACGGGAGATTAGATAAAAATTTTAACGCAAAAATAAATATATACGTAAGGTTCTGGAGGATAATTATAAATAATAACGAAGATAACGGAATTTTATGATGTTTATAAAGCCATTTCCAACTCTCGTTGATATACAGGGTTATTAACATTAGCGCCTTTTAACACTTAGGTTAACGACATACTAACAACGAAAGCGATTAGATGTCCAGACCCGCTTATTCACACAACGCCCCGTCCTTGTTTATCTTCCCCCACCCGCGAACTCCCCGGCCTGCTAGATAAAAATACTTACAGTCAGCTCGAGATGGAGAATTCTCCATCAGTCTTCTGTCATACACAGAACGCTTTCTCAGCGCATAAAACAACAAAACGATCATGATCAACAGAAACGACAGCCCGACGGCGTCCAACACGTCGATCATCATGATCGAATTCGAATTGTTAACTTGTCTGTTTGCAAATTAACAATTCTCCTGCGATACCTCGTGTGATGTTTGAACAAGAAACACCGTCGATAAACAAGATTAGATAAAATGTTAAACAACACTATTTCGAAGATCTTCCAACGATCTACTGAAAGTGTTATTTTGTGTATGGATAGGTAATAATAAAACCATTTGTGTGGCTGGTAAATTGGATTTTAAACGGTTGTTTCTAATGTTTGTTTGATTATACCAAAACTGGTTATCGAAATGTTGAGTTTGGACCACACTGTAGTAGAAAAATAACACTTTTAAACGACTAATACTCACGATCTCTTCCTAAACATCTGACTCCCTGCATCTGGAATTGGACGTACTTCAACAGGAACAGTATCAGCATCATCACCAGCGATACACCCAGCAGGAAAATCGGCTCAATCCAATCATCTAGCATGCTCATCGCGATCAGATCGGGTTGCAGATTTTATCTAATGACTTGCTGGGTTTATCAGATGGCATTCTTTCCACTTAGATTAGATAAAAAGATCCGACGAAACGTTTTAGTACGAAGACAAACAAAACGCTAAAGCTTATTGTTACAATTCAAGTTTAATTTAACCGATCGTTAACTACTGGATAAAGATAAAATTTACAAATAAACACTCCTCGGTTCAATCGGAGTAGATCGATTCGTGTGGTGGTCTTCCTCTGACGCCTAAATTGGTGATGGTGAAGAGACAACCAGCGGTGGTTTCCCGTTGGTGTTGGAGCTTCAAACGGGACGTGGTGACGTAGAGTACATCCAGATTTTCACCGCCGAATTCCGCGGAAGTCACGTAGGTGGCTGGTATCTGGATCTTGCGAATCATCCGCCTCGTTTTGGTATCCAAATGGATGACCTGGAAGTAATAATTGAGCCGGTTTTATGGAGAGAATTGGATCGCTTACGTGGCCTCCACCGAATAGGGCTATCCATAAATTATCATCATCATCGATGGTCATGCCGTCGGGGAATCCCTCGATGTCTGGATGGTGGGATAGGTCGAGTATCACCGTTTCGTCGGCTGGAAATTCTGGATTAATTTGGTGTTGGGAGGTGTTGGTGTGGACTTACATAAATCTCCAGTGTCTTGGTTATGAGAAAACTCTCTGACTTGCCTTGTATAACTATCTATGAAGTAGAATTTTTGGTGGTTTTTGGACCAGGCCAGGCCGTTGCTGATGCTGGTTTGGGGTATTTTCGATTGGCAGGTTTGGAGGTTGTCGTGGAACAAGTACAATGAACCACCGTTTGATGCTACTGATAAATCGCTGTTTCTAGTCAATGTTCCTGGAAATTTTCAAATTTTTGGCTACTCCTGGCTCTTTAAAAGGTTCACTTACCGGCCCATATTCTTCCTTTTCCATCGGCTTTACCATCGTTGAATTGGTTGAGGGGTTTGTGGTCTTCGATTTCCTTTAATTGGTTGAATTTTAAAGGTTGTTGTTGATCAATCGGCCAGTTTAATTCATATACAACACGATCGGCGAATACCAGAAATAAATCATCTTTGTGCTTCACCGGTATAATGAATCCCACCGAATCTCTACCTTCTATTAATAAACACATTACAATTACATAATTACTTCTATTCATAATAACTGTTAGTACCGATTTTGTAGGATTGTATTTGCTCGTCGGGGAGTAATCGGTAGATGGTAGCTTGAAAAGTGTCCACCCAGTATATAATGTTCCTTCTTGTGTACCACAGTGGGGCTTCACCGTGTTGTATTGATGGAGAAATTGGCGTTATTGTGTAACTATATATGAGGAATATAATTATTCAAATTTAATTCGATGATAAGAGAAAAAAATTACGAAACGTACCTTCTGTTATCTGGGTCCATTTTCGAGGATTAACTTCGATGTCGCTAATTAACTGTATAATTTAAATCGGCTGTTATTCTTTTTATACGCTTAAATTTTATTATTTAATGACTTAATTGTACGATATGAAAATTGATGATAGAATAAACGGTTTATCATTGTATTAATCAACCTATCATTTCGTTACAAATCACTATAATAACAGGCTGATAAGAAAAGAAATTATTTCTAACTAATCGATAGAGATAATATTGTAGTTGGCTATTACAACAATTATGTATATTACTCAATTTTATTAATGATTATAAAAAATTGGGGTAATACGAGAATGTAGAAACTTGGGAGTTTCCAGTTTCGAATATACAGAGTTACCAAATTTATTAAATAAAATATACACTTTGCATCATTTCAGTTCGCCAAATTAGGCCATTTCTTTGAGTTAGACAAAGAAAGATAACTAAAATGACAGTTGTCAGAGTGAAAAGTTGCAATGACTTTGTTCAACTCATAGAATTATTGCAAGTTATATTGCAAACTAGATTGAATCAACCTGTATATACGGAAAAATTTAAATATTTGTGTAATAAGTTTTTTTCGCTTATCAGTATTAATTTGAAACGAAAGTGTTTAAGTATATCTGATAAAGTTTTCAAAAGTCATTTTATCCAATCAAAAGATGACATTGACTAAATAAATAATGAACTTTGATATATTTAGCTGACTTAACAGCACAAGTAGAAAAAGGCCACGAAAGAAATCTAAGAAGTGACAAGTGACAGTGACAACTTGATGAAAACAACATAACCTCAAAAAATACCTCAAGTAAGCTACTTTTATAACTTATTTACAGTGTTAAAGTTAATTAACAGCCCTTCTAGATAACCTTCTACTATTACACACATACAAATGGAGTGAGTGCTTTCATGGAAGCCCCAAATAGCAAATCATATTCCACCGATTGTGACTCTCCTCCACCGAACTATTACAACATCCTGGAATGCTCGCGAGATTCCACAATCGACGAAATCAAAACCAACTACCGAAAATTGATCAGAAAGTTCCATCCGGACAAGCTGCAATCGGACAGTCCGTTGTGCTCAAACGAACAATTTATACTCATCGATAAAGCCTTTAAGACTTTAAACGACGAACAATTAAGAAAAGAATACGACGCTTGCTTGTTAAACGCCCAATTAAGCGATAGTGCTCTAGTATATGCAGAAATCGCAAAGGAAAAGCTAGAATTCGGTGCGGATGAACTAGCTGCGTACCCGTGTAGGTGCGGGCAGGTTTTCGAAATAACCAAAGACGTGCTAGATGAAGAGGAGTGTTTAGTGGAATGCTCTGAATGCACTAATTGTATATTAATCAAATAATATTTCTTACATTTCTTACATTTCTCGGTAGAAAGGGTTATTACATGTGTCAGCTTTGAATACTGTTGTCCTTTTCCTATTCGTCACTTAAATTTGACAGGTGCTATGTTTTGACGTTTGAAGTGTCAATGTTAATAGACCTATTCAGTTTACGAAAGAGAGTGATGGAGTTATTTGATCAACATAAGAGAATAAAAGAAACAAATATGTTTCACGCGCAATCTGTGGAACCATTTAAAATCTGCGCAAACATAAGTGCAAGAGAGATGAGATATTTGGCCTATTTCTTTGCTGATTGACAGACACATTGAATGATTCTTAGATGAAAACTGTTTTAAATATAAAAAAGAAGAGACCAACTTCAATCTTAACCCTATTTTGTTTCCGTTTGATGTTTGTTTATGTTCAGTGTGTATTATTTTTTAACAGTATTTCTTTGTATTATTTAGTATATTTATTTATAAAGGTAATAATTTTTTGTATAGGTCAATGGGATTATTTTTTTGAAATATATATTATAGCAAACCGATCAAAAAGCATTTTCGGAAACTTTGTACTAACCCTCTTACTCTTTCTTAGACTTGACCTGTATGTAATTATTAAGCCTAATCACCTTTCTGGACAGTAAAAACAAATTTATATCGAGTTATCGAGTCCATTACATATCCGACAGATTATTGGATAATGACAAATGACGTCTGAAGTATGTCTTAAGTTGTCGTTGTCTAGTTGTCAGAACCGTATTTTACCTGAGGTGCGTTCGTTTGTTCGTTTAGATGTCGAGTTAATTATCCACAGTATGCGCGCGCAGCACAGGTTAAACTGAATAGGTCTATAATGCAAATCTAACCTTAATTTTAAATCAATATGACGATAAGAAAATCGTTAATTTCGAATTGTGAATATAAGTTTTTAATAAAGAATCTATTAGAATGGATAGTAAGTAATAATATTAAATAATAAAACGATGTATATTTTTTAATTAGAAAGTTTCCTTAAATTTGACGTTTGAAGTGTCAACACTGTCAAATTGTCAATTTCAATAATGCAAACCTAACCTCAATTTTAAATCAACATGTCTGTAAGAAAAACGTTAATTTCAAATTGTGAAAAAAAGTTTTTAATCAAGAATCTATCAGAATGGACAGTAAGTAATAATATGAAATAATTAAAGGATGTATTTTTATTCAGTAAATAACTCGTAGAGATTGGATGGAAGGGCTTTCGATGAATTCCGAGAGATTCAAATCAGCTTCGGCAAAGACTGGGGTTCTTGTCACGTTTCACTAGGCAAAACGAGGTAAACGAATTGAACTCTATAATTCTAAAATACTTAGGTATTTATAGTGTTTTAGCTCAAGTATCGTGCGAAATCCAACAGCCGAAAACCTCCCGGCCGAGCGAAGGCGTCCTAAACCTCAACATCGAACTCAACCCCCTCGCAGCGCCCCATTTCGACACCGGCAGGCAATCCGACGTCGGCGTACAGCTAAACAGGCTCCTAGAAAAATGCCTGAAAGACTCCAAAGCCCTCGACCTCGAGTCGTTGTGCATCAAAATGAACGAGAAAGTGTGGTCGATCAGAGTAGACCTAAACGTGTTGAACTACGAAGGGAACATCCTAGATTGCGCTTCCATAGCCGCCTTATCGGCCCTCGCCCACTTCAAAAGACCTGATGTAACTTCAGACGGGGAGGAATTCGTTATACATTCTATCGAGCAGAGGGATCCGATACCCCTCGTGTTACATCATTATCCCGTTTGTGTGACCTACGCGGTGTTTAACGGGGGGTAATGTATTGGGAAATTTATTGTTTGGTGGAGTAATTTGGTGTTGTTTTAGGGAGTTTATTTTGGCCGATCCGAGTTTGGTGGAAGAAGAAGTGTCCGATGCTTTTCTTTCTGTTGGTTTGAATGCTTATAAAGAATTGTGTGGGTTGCATTTAGGCGGTAAAGCTGAGTTGAGTACCGATTTAATTTTGAGTACTACTACAAAAGCTGCTAATAGGGCTGTGTTGGTCGTTCGGGAGATTAAAGAGGCGATCGAGAAGGATGCGGAGAAGAGGTATTGTAGATAACTTACAGGGTGTTGATTGAATTGATTGAATGTCGAATATTTTGGTGGTTAAAAGAAGAAGAGTTTATATCAATACGTGTCCTAAACCGAGGTATTGGCATTCGATTAATTAACATCCTATATAGGGTATGTAAATGGATAATTTTGGAGGTTTAATTTCAGGTTGAAATCGAAGGAATGTTTCAATATGGAGCATCTCTTCAACGATTTAGCGGCGATGAATTTAGAGAAATATATCGATCCGTGGGCGGGTGATGGTAAACGGAAGAAGAAGAAATCGAAGGAGAAGAAACAGGAGGAGGTTACAACGAAGATGGATGTCGAGGAGGTCGTACAAGTGGCGAATATAGAAAATTTAGGTTGTTATTTGTTTAGATTTAAACGAATTTGTTTGTTAAATACGCGAATTTGTAGGTGAAGGTACGGCCGCTTTAATTCCGATCAACGAAAAAGACGGTAGTAAAATATGGGAAATAAGCGATGAAGACGATGATGATGTCGATGATGAAATCGTTGTTGTAGAAGTGCCTAAACCTGTCGGTATGTAATCGAAGGAATTTAAAAATTTTTATATTAAAATAATCTTCGTTTTTTTTTAGTGGATTTAAGAGATGTCGCCACCGATAGCGAAGAAGAAGCAGTTATAATCCTGAACGCCGATAAAAAAACGAACAAAAAGAAAAAATACAAAACCAAGAAATAAAATCTAAGAAATCTATTTTATTAAAAAAAAAAAGAAAAACTAATGTTGTAGTTTACAGGCTTTCTTGAAGCGATTTTGAACCATATCTACCGCGGTGTTGCCGAGTAATGATTGTTATATTTGATTTAAGGATAATAATGAAGAATGTAAACATTCATTTGGCAACAGCGCGTTTAAAATCGTTCAAAACCACTCGATTACGTGGGTGTTGCGTACAGTACGTGTGTAAACAACAAAATTACAAAAAAAAAGAAAACATGAAAAACTCCAAAATATATTATAATAAACAAATCGCACAAAATACAAGATTCGTTTTCGACATCCCACAATTCGATTGCACTCCTAAAATACTAATTTGTGTCATTGTTAATGCCGTTCTTCTGGTCCAATTTATTGGCGTTCGTCTTTACGGTGTAAATGAAGAACGTCACCACTTCCTTCTCCTTCACGGGAATCGATTTAAAATGCTTCATTAACGTCTGGAACATAATAAATACAATAGAGAAAAGTTAGATTTATTATTTTAATTTTCTTCATTTCACCGTATATTAACGCTTTCTCCGTTATCTTAGTATTAAAAGATCTCTATACACAGTTAAAAAACAAAGTATCAACTTATGAGACACCCTGTAGAATATTTTCAACAACTGAAAACTTCTTCGAGTTCTAATGACCTTTTACTATTCAGATATCCAGTTAAAAATCTCACATCGTACTCCTCTCGATTATTTTCTAAAGGGTATCGAAAAAGAGTTTCTTGTGTACTTACGTCAGCTAGCTGGGCTTTATTAAGCCCCTGCCTCATGGGGACTTTGTAATGTCTTTTGTACCGCCTGAGGGTGTTGACTTGCAACTGGTAGAGATCCACCTCGGGTACGTCGGTGTCCGTTTCGTTGGAATCCTCCTCGGAGTCTTTCCTTCGCCGTTTCGTCCTCGCGCATTGGATGATCATCTTGTGGAAATCGCAAATGTAATTGTGCCTGGCCTGCGAACCACCCACAAAACGCCTGATTAAAACGAATTATATAGGTAATAATGAAAGACTTACGTTGTTGTCGATGCCCAAATTCAATCGCCTTTGGATCACAGTCTTCTGTATTCGTTTGCTGTAGGAAGCGTTCCCGGCCGGTTTGGAGCAGCGCTCGCCGTTGTCGATCAAACAGCAGACTTGGTCAGTGGGGCCCCTCGAATCCTCTTCGCCTGTACTGAAACCGTTCATTTGGTGGACTTTTTTAACTGGACGGCGGATCGGCTGATTGGTGCATCTTCGAACTGGCACGATCGCAATTCGCGTTTGTCAATGTTTATACACAACTCGCACTGTTTTCCCCACCGTTCGCATCGAAATCTCGAAATCGGGCCGAATTTTTTTGTCAATAAAATAATACGCGGTGCGTCCCGTTCGTAAATCCGCTCCGGTGCAACCGAATGTTTGACGTATGACAGTTGACGGGGTGCGTTCGTTTGTCGACGACTCGTCGCTTTCTACGCGTCGTGTTTTGACAGTTCTCTTACGTCGCGGGTATTCGGTCACTTGTAAAATTAATTTCTGTGCACTTTTGCGATGAATTATTGTTATTTTATATAAAGTACGTGTGTTTTAAACATATACAATGTATATGGCGAAATATTAGGTGATGATGTGACATATGACGTGACCGTTATTGTTCTAGAAAAATAAACCGTGGTCTCTTTCTTGTGAAACAATCAGTTCAACTAATTATATAGAAATAGTGACTTTATTGTAATAAACGTAAGTATTAGTAAGTTTTAAAATAGGATTAAGTGTTTTTTATAATATAATAGTTGTTTTTGTACGATATGATCTGCTATCTAGCAGCGAGTCGAGAAACTTCTGGAAAACAAACCGGTAATGTAACCTTCATTTTATGGATTGGTTTAGAAAGAGGCAACACGATTTTCTAAACTTTAATACGCAGTGAAAATTTATTTGTGCATGTGCATCGTCATTTAAAAATTTCCTCTACCAAAAGTTCTCTTTTACTGCGACAAAGGTAATATTTCACGAAAATTTACAGCTAACGTTGCCTCGTCCGATGCGAACAGCCGGTTAAACAAAATTTCAAAAGCCTACTGGATGGTTAAAAATATGACTTTTCAAATTCGTCAAACGTACGTTTAAACTCCCAAAAAAAAACACCAAATTGGTTCGAAAAAAATCGAAATTTCCGAGTACCAGTAAAAAATTCCCCTTTTTTCGGTAGCCAAATTTCCAGTTAAACAAAATGGTTCTGGGCCAGTTCCTCACCACCTACAGAAAAGATTTCCTCTGGCCTTACGTGACCACATTGGGCTTCAAGTAAACACCCCCATCAATTCTCACGATAATCCCATTAATCCCCCGTAAAATTCCAGACCCAAAATGGACGACGGCCAATACAGGAAGTGCATCTGCGACGATGAAGGCCAACAGCACGTCACCGGCCCCGACGCCTTCAAATCGGGCGAATGGAGCCGATTGGGCCCGATGGGGCCCCTCCTCGAGCCCCGCATCATCGGCGCCAAAACCGGCGCCGCCCCAGAATCAGAAGTCAGCAAATACAACCAACCCAACGTATTCATGAGAAAAGTACACATTAAACACCCCCATACACGCAATAAATTACTAATTACCTTTCATACAGCTGCAAGAAAAGTACCCGTACATTTACGAATGCTTGAAAACAGCGCCACCTGACGACATCATCAGCAAAATCAACATGGACCGATTATCCACCACCTATCAAATCGACTATTGCCATAAAGGTACAGTAGAACTATTCCGAACCCGTTCTACGCCTGCGCAAACTCCTCTTACAGTCTTCGCGCAGGCGCAGAACTCACTCCGCGCGCGCGTCTCATCTAGTGTGCCTAGTTTATCCCGCGATAATTCGAATATAACAAGGGTAAGAGCGATGGAGTAATCGTTTGGTTTCGATTTGATTTTCGATTGCAGAGGAGTACCCGCCGTCGCCGTACGATTTGATGGTGGCAGCGGCGGCGGTGGAGGCGCTGCCGCCGTGCCCGGAGCCGGTGAAGATACCGGGGGACGTGTGCAGGCCCGGCGGTAAGGTGAGCGCCAGGAAAGACAGCTCGTTTACGGCGAACGTGTCGTTCGAGAAGAAGGGGACCACCGATCAGCCGCGTGAGTTTTTTGGGGATAACTCGGTGATGGGTTGAGATGGGAGGGTGTGGTTTGGATGGTTTGGTAGAGGAAAGGTTGCTTTACAATTTTTGAAGAGTCGAAAATTTTCGAAAATGGCTTAGTTTTTGAGTTATTTTGGGTTTTTTTTGGTTGTTTGAGAAGAAGGGGGCCACCGATCAGCCGCGTGAGTTTTTTGGGGATAACTCGGTGGTGGGTTGAGATGGGAGGGTGGGGTTTGGTTGGTTTTGAAGAGGAAAGGTTGCTTTACAATTTTTGAAGAGTCGAAAATTTTCGAAAATTGCTTAGTTTTTGAGATATTTTGGGGTTTTTTTGGTCGTTTGAGAAGAAGGGGACCACCGATCAGCCGCGTGAGTTTTGGGGGGATAACTCGGTGATGGGTCGAGATGGGAGGGTGTGGTTTGGTTTATTGTGTAGAGAAAACCTTTTGCTACAATTTTCGAAGAGTCGAAAATTTTCGAAAATTGCTTAATTTTCGAGATATTTTGAGTTTTTTAATGGCTAGTAATTTTAGTGCAATTTACTAAAAAATCGCAATTATCTCACTCACTAATTAAGATAGAAACACCCAGTTTACTCTATTCTAAAGAAAAATCATTCTACTACAATCTTTGAAGAATGAAAAATGTTCGAAAATGGCTTAATTTTTGAGATATTTTGAGTTTTTTTACGGCGAATGTGTCGTTTGAAAAAAAAAGGCACCACCGAACAGCCGCATGATTTTTTTAGATTATCTCGGAGAGGGATTGAGATAGGAGTTTCTGGTTTGGCTTATTTTGTAGAAGAAAGATTGATTTGTAATTTGCGGAGAATGAAAGTTTTTCGAAAATCGCTTAATTTTCGAGATATTTCGTGTTTTTGATCGACTAGTAATTTTAGTACAATTTACTCAAAAATCGCAATTATCTCAAAAACCAATTAAGATATCAACACCCCGTTTATTCTATTCTATCGAAAAAACTCTTAACTACAATCTTCAAAGAATCAAAAATTGCCCAAAATCGCCTAATTTTCGAGATATTTCGAGTTTTTCAACCCACACCATTTTCATTCATATACAGCACGTCCCTCGGACGAAAATCATTAATAAATGTAACTTTTTCAGTGGGAAGTTGTAAAGGTGGAGTGTTTTCGGTGACGCCGAACAACACGGAATACCAGGACACTTATTCGCGCGCCGGGAATTTGATCATTAGGGATGGAATTCACGATCCCGAAAGGAGAAATGTTTTGAAATAGCCAAATTCTCATTTCACCAATTAAGAAGACCGATTCGATTGCATCGTCATTAGAAGCTTTTTGAGAAAAGGCGATTTTACAAATAAAATTTGCTTATGTCCTGTCTAATTGTATCTAAGGATAATAATTGTCTAGTGGGCAGGATGAATCTCATCGTTTGTGTTTTGTATTGTTTTTATTAGTGCTTGTCAATAAATCGAGGTCTTTTAATTCTGTTTGTTTTATTAATACAGTGAATAATTTGTTTCGAAATACTAGATTTCTCTACTGGAAATAATATTTTTTGCAACAATTCAAATTTTTTGCCCGATAATCGCGTAATTTTTGAGATATCTTGATTTTTTTAAGGACTAGTAATTTGAGTGCAATTAACTTGCAATTATCTCAAAAACTAATTAAGATAAAAACACTCAGTTTACTCTATTTTGTAGAAAATACTTTTTACTACAATCTTTAAAGAATCAAAAATTTTCCAAAATCGCTTAATATTTGAGATATTTCTAGTTTTTTGTAGACTAGGAATTTTAGTGCAATTTACTAAAAAAATGCAATTAACTCAAAAACTAATTAAGATAAAAACACTCAGTTTATTCTATTTTGTAGAAAATACTTTTTACTACAATCTTTAAAGAATGAAAAATTTTCCGAAAACCGCTTAAAATTCGAGATATTTCGAGTTTTTCATCAAACATTTTTCCCCGTTTAGAAAAGCCCCACATTTTCCCAAAGCGAGTCGACTACAAAGTCCCCAAAACCCCCCCTGGTCCCTACTACACCCCCTACCACATCCACTCCTGCCTGACCACCACCAAACAAAATTATACCAGGTGTTGCAAAAAATTCGACGAAAGAAAATGTGAGTAAATGCACTTTATCTTCTATAAACCACACACCATTGGTTCCAAAAATTCCTTCCAGGCGCGAAAAATTACATCAGAGAAATGGGCGCTTGGAACCCCCACGACAAATCGCGACCTCCCGGTTCCCACGTGGTGGAAAAATGGAGCAAAATCAGCTATTTAAGCGACCCAATACACCGCCACAGAGGCCACTTCGAGCTCAAAAAAATCAACTAATAACCCAATAAAATAATACCCCAATTAATCCCAATAAAATAGAGTTTAAACGAGATGTTTTTGCGTATTTTTTACCACACAGTCACCCCGAATTTCCAATTTGTTCTCGTCATTTCACCAAAAAAATCCCTAGATTTCCTAAACTCTATAAACGTCCGGCAACACCGCCTACTTCTGACGTACCAAATCACAAATCGAGCAGGCTCCCAATCGATTTGACGCTACACACACGTCACCGAGACAAAAAAAAACAAACCAAACATGGAGTATTTGGACATCCTCTCGAGGTTGACGCAAAATTTTTTCGTCTACGCCGTCCTGAGAGCGGCGCTGAAAATTCTCGGGCCCCCCGTGCGCAGACTCGGCGCCCGGCTGATGATCAGAACCCCCACGCCAGATTAGAACCCCCCCAAGTCTCAGCCAAATCGCCAAATTCGCGATGCTGGACAAGGACGCCTTCTTGACCAGCCACCGCAGGGACTTCAAGAAGTTCCTGCGGGTTCCTCTGCAGCCCATGTAAGTGAAACTACCCCCTCGAGGGGTTCTACGAGGACTGATTTCGAGGTTTCTTCCAGCCCCTCTCAACCCCCGAGACGCACCAAGCCCAACAACGCCTACGTGGCCAGGCTGGTGGAGCCTTACTGTCACTGCGACTTTCATTTGTACGAGCCCGAAATGGGCAGGTACATGAAATTGGTGAGAAAGGAGACCCAGCTGTTGAAGGTCCTTGACCAGATGTCCAGAAAAGTATGTATTAACGATTATTTCCTAGGCTCTGTTCCTTCCAGGAAGCTTCTTTCAGCTTAAATCAAGCTTCTTTTGTATCTCAGGCTTCCTTGGTAATTTATATACTTCTTTAGTAAGTCAGGCTTCTTTGGTAGTACGGGATTCTTTAGTAAATCATGTTCCTTTGGTAGCTTGTACATCTTTAGTAGCTCATTCTTTATTGGTAGAATAGTTTTCTTTAGTATCTCAGGCTTTTGGTATTTCAGGATTCTCTAGTAAATCATTTAGAACCCTCCAGATTCATTTAGAACTGCCTAGAATCATCAAAAACGCTCCAGATTCGTTTGGAACTGTCTAGAACAAGTTATAACACTCCAGAACAGTTCACAACACTCCAGAATGCTCCAGATTCATTTAGAACTGTCTCAAACCATTTAGAATCATTTAGAATTGTCAGGACCATTTAGAACCGGCTCAGCCTTCTTTGGTATCTCAGCCTTCCTCGGTCATTCATGCTTCTTTGGCAGCTCATTCATCTTTGGTAGCTTAGGCCTCTTCTCAACTAGAACCAAAACTAGAGCCAATTTTCCATCATAATCGGAACCTTTGGATTCCAGATGGCAATATTGAAGAGCAGCATTTTGGACCATCCCTGCGACACGGACGACGATAAAATGCAAACGTTGCACCAAATGAGCTACGTTAAGAAAAGTAGGTCGAATGTACCATCTAAAAATCTCCTTGTTTTGAGCCTTTTTGAGCCTTTTTGAGCCGTTTTGAGCCGTTTTGATCCCTTTCTCAGGTCTTCCGGTACCCAAATATCGCAAGTTAATGGCCGACATCGATTCGCCCTTCGGTATACCGGTGAAGGGCGAGATATTGGGCTTGAAGAGGGCCTACAGGGATCCGTTTAAGTTCAGATTGAGCTGTTTTCCCAAGCCGGAGGTGCAGCCCGTTCCGTGCGTTACATTCCAAGCTAGTAAGTACCACTATTTGCTAACAGTTTCGGTTGGTACGACCATCATCAGGCATTCGGTAAGGCGAAGAGTTTGTTACATCGGTTCTCTGGTACCAGTTTCTGAAGATGATTGATACTCTGGGTACTATTAAGTGATTATCTCAGTGGTACCGGTGGTACTAGTAGTTGCTGAAGATATGGTTGTGTGGTAACAATTAGTATAATTAATGTTAATGTTTCTCGTCAGCTCCCAGTCCGGTCGATGAATGGTTCAAATTGCAAACGGGCACCAGCGAGTACCACGATACAGTGAACCATATGGGGTACGATTTGATTAAGAACAGGCAACAATATAGGGAACCATTGATGACGTCGAGGAGAACGGAGGACGAGCCCTGTCATTAGAAAAATTCAAATTTTTTCAATATAATTTTTCGGTTAAAAATCAAATCGAAATTGCGATAAGTGGTCAATCAATAAATTTTACAAAACTTGCGGATTTTTTTTTGTAGCTGACATCGCCTTTATTTTGCTTAATCGAAGATTTTTATACAAGTAATGTTTTAAATAGCATTTTTTTTGTTATTGCTACATTCGTTAATTCCTGCAAGTATTATAGTGTGGTGAAAATAATTTTTCTATAACATGAAATTATCTCTTTACTTCGTATTAATCACAGCGAGTTGTGTTTGCGGGTTATTCGATAACGGTAAGTAAAAACGACAAAAAAAATATAATAATACTTTATTATGAGTGTAAATTTTTAGAAATAACGCTAAAATGCAAAGGAAAAACCTTCCGAAATGTAACACTAACAGCCTATTACCCCGATTACTCCGATCAGGACCACGAATTCGGCTACCAGGATAAGAAAGGACAAAAATTACGAACCCTCCAGGTAAACTTGAAAATCGCTTGAAAATTGCTTGAAAAACGCTTGAAAATCGCTTGAAAATCGCTTGAAAATGACTTGAAAAACGCTTGAAAAATGATTTGAAAATTACTTGAAAATAACTTGAAAATTACTTGAAAATTACTTGAAAATTGTTTGAAAATTACTTGAAAATCGCTTGAAAATCGCTTGAAAATCGCTTGAAAATGACTTGAAAAACGCTTGAAAAATGATTTGAAAATTACTTGAAAATTACTTGAAAATTACTTGAAAATCGCTTGAAAATTACTTGAAAATCGCTTGAAAATTACTTGAAAATCGCTTGAAAATTACTTGAAAATTACTTGAAAATTACTTGAAAATCGCTCGATAATCTCTTGAACATTCCTCGAAAATCGCTCGAAAATCGCTTGACAACTACTTGAAAATTCCATCAAAATCGCTCAAAAACGGCTCAAAAAATCCGCAGGACTACATAGACAACAGAGCCGAATACGTGACCCTATCGATGGACGACTCCCTGGGCATCCCCTACGCCACCAAGGTCTGCATCCCGGAGCTCAACAGCCACTTCGGTCACAGGATCCTGCTGGAGGTGCGCGACTCATCGCCGGACACCGCAGGAACCGGCTACACCAGAGCAGAAATATGCGCGCGCACCGAAGTCGATAGCTACGACAGAACCGTCAACAGAATCGTCACTTTGGTGTTCGTTTGAACCTCCAGAACCCGGTACTACTTTGGAGTAATTTGCGTATAACGTTAATAAATAAATTGTACTATCTAGACTAAGTGCGATTGTGTGTTGTTTAATTTATCGATCAATCAATCAATCACCAAGTATCGGTGGTGATTTTGTTGATGTAGAGCAAGTACTTGATGGGTTTAGTACCGCTTCTTCTTTCAGCTTTGTAGTACTTTTCTTTCTCTAAAGGTTTCAGGGTGGTGAAATAGACGTTGTCGATGTTGCTCGACGATTTCCGAAGCTCCGGAGGTGAAACCTGTCGGTTCCTGCCTTTATCGCAGGGTTTCTGCTCGAGGAAATTCCTCTCCTGCGGTGCTTTCGCTTTGGGTAAAGTCACCATGGTGGTACCGGGTTGTATGGTGATGCTGATATCGTCTGGATTGATAGTTTTCTCCCTTGTATCGTACGAAAACGTTCGCTTGTCGATAAATGGTACTCTACTCGTGAGTGTCGTGTATACAGGATGTTGCTGAACAGGCGGGTAGTACGGTACGTATTCGGGTTTGTAGTAGTTCTGATGGTTCATCGGGTACGGGGTGTTTTTCTTCCGGCGTTGTACTTTCCTGGGCGCCGGTCGTTGGTACTTGTTAGTACCGTAAACTACGTTGTTTTCGACGATTGGTTTGGAAGGTTTTTGGTGCTTTTGGTTCGTCTGGTGCTTCTCCAAGTGGATCTCGTAGACGGCCGGTACTTTCACCACTTGGACGATCTTGGAGTACCCGCTGTTGTCGACGTTGCGCAGGATCTGCTGGATGTCGTTCATGCCCATCAGTACGGGGTTCTCGGCGGGGAATTCCTGCTGCTTGGGGTACTTGCCGATGACGACGTGCTCGCCTCTCAGCAGGGATTTTAAGGGGTTGGTGGAGTTGATTTGGGTGGTACTGTGTGGGAGGCGGGTGGAGGAATCCTGGTCGATTCCCACCCCGTATCCTGCGCTTATGTTTACATTGAAGGAGTCGTTGGTGTTGCGCTTCGTCCTGCTTGGAGCTGCTGATGCGCTTTTGGAAGGCAGCAGGAGTACCAACTGGAAGGAGATTGAAAGGGGGTTGTTTTATTTGATTTTATTTTGTTACAATACAGGGTGTTAATTAATTGAGTGCTGGTACTTCAGGATGTTGATGTTTGGGTGATTTTAAGAAGAGAGGTTAGTATCGATATACAGGGTGTCTATACCGCGTATAGATATTTGAATTCTAAGCAACTTTTTCAAGTAAATTTTTGTCATATTCTGGAATATAAAAAAGATGGAAATTTTTTAAATTTCACTCAATTAATTAACGCCCTGTATGATTTTTGTGCGTAGAAAACGTTTCGATTAATTCATTTTTCCAGTCTGAATAAGACGATGAGATTTAATTATTCATAAGAGAATATTGAATTTAATCTGGTACTTGCATCTAATCAAATAATCTGGTACTCTTCACTTTCATTTTATTTATTATTAAAACTTTCATATGGTAGGTACATTTGATTAAGGGGAATCTCGTAAAAAAATAATTTATAGGGGTCTGCATTGGTCAAATTTTTCAAAAAAAATAATTAATTACTCAAAAAGTGTGTTTTTTGGAAAGACTATTTTAGACAAAAATACCTCAATATAGGGTGTTCAATTTGAAAAAAACAAAGTTGACGCCTTCTTCCGGTACAACCGGAAGTGGTACGACTGTCAAAATATATAAAAAAAATTCGTCTTATTGCGTAATATATTTCATTAAAATCGGATAAGTAATTTCCAATAAACAGATAATTTAACCTCGTAAATAATAATAATTTAATAATAAATAATTTACAATGCAATTAAAGAATCAACAAATCGAAGAAATTTCTAAAATCTTACCAGCAGAAACACCTCCATATCTCGAATTATTTACCAAAAAACCAACAAACTCATCATTCATTCACTACAAACAGTAATACACTAAATAATAACCACTCGGTATATAATAATAACTATACAACGCCTATCTCATATCTTAATTAAACGAAAGTCGAAGAACAAATGAAGGTAGATCATAAGCGCTCAACTGTTTATAATATATTTTTTTTAATTTGCGGAATACCTAATTATTTCAACTTTCGTGACGGCTCTAATTAATTGAAAACGATCCCGTTAACCATCCGTAATTACTTTTTTTTAAGCAATTACTCTGCTTTTTATTGCGTTATGGTCGAAGATATCGTCTAAGGACTCTAATGAAATTATTAAAAACAACAAAAAAAAATATAGTACCCGATCGCTCCGGTTCTCGAGTCCCAGTACTTCCAATCCAGCATCGTTCTCTAATTCTTTTTCTGTACTATCTTCTTCATCTGTAACATTTCCTCCATCTGCAACGTTTTCTTCATCTTCAGGACTGATCACCTCGTAAATATTCTTCGGCGAGGTAGCGTTAGAAGTACTAGAAAAGTAGTACCGATTGGTGTGTTTTTCCTCGCTTTTCGTCTCGACTTCGGCGAGAATTTCCTCGTTTTCGCGCTGCTCTCCTGTTAGAAGATCACCAGGGTGGCTGGCTGAAGAATCGGACGAGGCCGTGTCCAGGAGGTACTCCTTGGCGTAGGTAACCGGATGGTTGAAGGTTATTTCGCTCGGTAAAGCGTAACCAATGGTTTCGAGAATCTCCACGTTGGAATGATCCGGTGGTTCCCTCGGGGTGAGTTCGGTTTGGTACTGCATTAGATTCGCTCGGGGTGGTTCCCCTAATAAGTTGAGGAAATCCAGGTAATTAGGGTAAGGGGGATCGTGTAGTTTTGGTACCTCTAGGGTTAGTATTATGTGGGGTAGGGGTTGGTAAAATGGCGGTGGTTTGAAGAAGAAATTGTTTTGTTTGCATGCTGATTGATCGAGGGAAATTGATAAACCGAATAAAAGGTAAAGTACCTAAAAAGTTTACAGGTACAAATTAATTTTTTAGCTTCACAAATACAGGGTGTTTCGATAAAAAGTAGCCCCTTCTCTAACCTCAAATCTTCTTCATCATCTTTAACATCATCTAATGAAGATTTTCGTTATAGAAGACCTCGAATTGTTTTTATAGAAAATAGAAATTAAAAGTTATCGCTACATTTTAATCGAAACATCCTATAAATTGGCAACACTGATTTAAATAAAAGTACCACTCACCTCATGAGACATGTTCACCAAAGCACACTCGAATGGAATAGCGCGATAAAAATGGCTGGAAATTTCGCCGTTCGAACGGTTTTGTTCGCGATATATTTAATCTTTCCTTCGTCCCGAGTTAATTAAACGCGACTAATTCATTAGAATAAGTATAATATAATTTCTTTTGTATAATGTCAGTGATTACTGATGATCGGGCATCAGAAATAGAAATTTCGATGGGGCTCATCTCGATGCGAAATGCCAGAAATGCGTAATTTTATTCGTCTAACGTTGTTATTTAAATGCTCTTCCATGCGGTTTTGTTATTTTTTTATTATGATAATGATGTTTAATACTCGTACTTTCGAAGAAAGAGACAGTTATTATGCGCGTTTACCAATGGCGTAGAATTGGAGATTTTTTCGAGAAGTTGGCCGTGCATGTCAAATGTCAAAGTAACGGTTGTAATTCGTATTTACAGATGGCGTAGAATTGAATAGAATTGGCGGTTTTTTTAGAGAAGTTGGCTGTGAATGTCAAATGGCAAAGTTTTTTTAAATGGCGGTTAATAAATAGCTTTTATAGAAAGAAAAATATTGTTTTAAAGATTAAAATAGTTAGTAAATTATACAGTAAAGTGTGATAAACATTATAGGTAATTTTAGCATTGCTAATAAACTTCTAAAGAATAATTATAGGCACACCAATGGCGACAAAAGTAATTTAAGTGGAATAGAAATTTAACTATTATTATGATAACATTCTTCATGTATAGAGTATTGTTCAGAGTTTAATTTTCATGTCCAATTGTGAGAAGTTTTTGAAGTACTTCTAATTGCCCAATTCCGCTTTAAATACATCCAAATGATGTGACATTGTAAATTCGATATCAAAAATAATTTGTAGAGTTTCTAGTTGTTTTTACATCCCACGTAAAATTCGCCGGTCTAATTTCGCGCAGGTCATTCCGAACGAATGAATCATAAAATTATTACGGATCATTTTTGAACCCGTAATACGTTATTAAAACGCTAAAATCATTCCAGAAGTTTTACTTTTTTCCCAATAATGTTCCATTTTTTAAATGGAACTCTCCAAAATCTAGTGAAAAAAAAATCTACTTAGATTTTTTTAAGTATTTCACCTGACTTTTTTTTCACTTCTTATTTGAGACAATCTTATTTATAGCGCACGAAAACACGTGTGCTGCAAACTGTGAAATATTTCTGTCTGATATAAATGACGCTTACCTTATACTTAAAAATAATGGCGTCCCGTTCGAGATTAGCCCAGTCTTAGCAGGTGATTTGATTGAAGCTTTTTTATATCAGTTTCAGAATCAATAAGGACGGTCTAGAATCATTTTAAAACGCTCCAGAATCATTTATAACTGTCTAGAACCATTTTAAAACGCTCCAGAATCATTTCGAACGCTTCGGAACCATTTGGAACTGTCTTGAGCTATTTTAGAACGCTCCCGAATCATTTAGAGCTGTCTAGAACCATTTTAGAGTGCTCCAGAATCATTTAGAACTGTCTAAAACCATTTTAAAACGCTCCAGAATCATTTCGAACGCTTCAGAACCATTTGGAAGTGTCTCTAGCCATTTTAGAACGCTCCAGAATCATTTAGAGCTGTCTAGAACCGTTTTAAAATGCTCTAGAATCAATCAGAACTGTCTTGAATCATTTTTGAACGCTCCAGAATCAATTAGAAATGTCTAGAACCATTTTAGAACGCTCCAGAATCATTTAGAACTATCTAGAACCATTTTAAAACGCTCCAGAATCATTTCGAACGCTTCGGAACCATTTGGAACTGTCTCGAGCTATTTTAGAACGCTCCAGAATCATTTAGAGCTGTCTAGAACCGTTTTAAAATGCTCTAGAATTAATCAGAACTGTCTTGAACCATTTTTGAACGCTCCAGAATCATTTAGAACTGTCTAGAACCATTTTAAAACGCTCCAGAATCATTTCGAACGTTTCGGAACCATTTAGAACTGTCTCGAGCCATTTTAGAACGCTCCAGAATCATTTAGAGCTGTCTAGAACCGTTTTAAAATGCTCTAGAATCAATCAGATCTGTCTTGAACCATTTTTGAAGGCTCCAGAATCAATTAGAAATGTCTAGAACCATTTTAGAACGCTCAATAATCATTTCGAACACTTCAGAACCATTTAGAACTGCCTCGAGCCATTTTAGAACGCTCCAGAATCATTTAAAACTGTCCAGAACTGTGGAAGAAGAAGAATGACAAAAAAACTATAACCTCATTTTCATCTTCTTCATGATCCAAACAATTAGGCAACGTTGCCATGTTTAAAATTCGGAAATATATAATCGTTGGTTACGAAACCAGTTGGTTATAAACAAAACTTGTGATTGCAAACAATTTTGCATCTATTTGTATACAAAAAAACAATAATTTGGTACTCTTTTTAGGTGTAAGAGTATAATAGAAGGTTTAATATAGAGATGGGTTAAATAAGGCGTTACAAATTAACTGTTATCTAAGTACCTACAATAATATTTCTGGCAATAATAAAACGCTTGTGTTTATAATTCGTTAGGCACGTCGTAATATCGAATTTTATTTATCCATTTAAAATTTTACGACGCTTTCGAGCGCCAAAAACACCGTTTTTTCATTTTCGATCTGATAAAATGTAATTTCAAAATTCGATGTAAAAGAAATTTTTACACCGATTTCATTATATTCGAAAAATCGCAGTCGTTGTCTAAATTTAACCGGCTTGTAGGTGGAAAATCCGCGGCATATAAACAGATTTTCCGTCTCGGTTTCGATAACGGACATAAAGTATACACTGTTAAAATTAAATAAATAATTTATCGGTGCGATTTATTATTACCTCGAAATCGGTTTAAAAATTCGCGAGATTTACAGAAAAAAAATCGAAAAAAAAAACGCCGATAATAAGCGATTTAAAAATTACATGAATAATTAAAATCAAGTTCGAATAACATCTAATTTTAGTTCGGAAAGGATCGTTTCGGTTGCCAATAAGTAGTTAGTCAGTGTTGCGTGGGAATCCGTGTGTCATCCAGATTTTTTTTTTTCGCCAAATTCGTTTCGTCTAGAAAAGGATCCTAATTGGCTACATTTCAACACAGCCTTTTAAACCTAAAATATTCCAGAAATTTACAACTCTTTCTAATCCCCACGAAATGAACTATAAGGTACTTTTTGGGACAGCCTGTATGCCAGGAAAACTAGATTAAAGTACCTATTTCGTTTTTTTACTAAATTCGTTTCGTCTAGAAAAGGATCCTAATTGGCTACACTTCAAAACAGCATTTTAAACCTAAAGTGCTCCAGAAAATTACAACTTTTTCACCATGTTCAACCATGTTAAGGTGCTTATTTGAGACACCCTGTATACATAAAAAATAGATTTCGTACTGAACCTAAACTGGTTATATCTAAATAGAGAAAGCAAAGAATCTCATTTTGAAAATATTTACGGAAAAACCCGAAATAACCGGCCGACTAGAATCGTTCCAAGGAAAACACGAAAGGAAAAACCACCGCGCCCAATTGGCTTCAAATAGCCGGAAAATTTTCCGAACTTAGAATGAAAATTCCTCTTAGTTATTTTGGCAAAGTCGATTTGAAAAGTCAACACGATTTTCAATCGACTATACACATAAAGCGTACGCGAATACGAGGGGTATACGAAAACTTACAAATTTACCAGACTATATTTTTCGACCTCACCCTGTATACGTTTTAAATTTCGTCGGGTTTCCGACGATTTTCCGCGTATTTTCGTGCACACGACTTAATACTTCGGGTAATTATTAGGTGAACGTCTTTCTGTTTCTTCTATTTCCGGATATATCTATTTCCAGTCGAGATCCAGAAATACACCGAGGGATTCGAGTGGAATATTGTCAAGAAAAACCCGCATTTCCGCGTACCTAACCAAACCGAAGACTCGTCTACGACTCGTCAAGCAAACTTTCTCCTCGAAAAATTTCTAAAAATCGCGTTGGCCAGAAAAATAAACGTTTTTCTTTATTTTTTCGTCAAGTTCGAATTCCCGAATTTGAAACATCTGTCGCTGACGAGAATAATTTTATCTCGGATAATTTTATTTTCATACGCCGAGATTTCGAGTTAAAAAAAGCCTGTAGAGGTTTTTTTCTGTGATTCATCTCAATAGAATACAATCATTACGTGCGTAATCAAAACATTGGGAAATGTAAAGTTCGAACGTTTTAAAATGATTATGACGTCATTTTTAGTGATTTCCACGTAGTTCGAAATGTCCCTAGTGACAATGTTCATTCTGACATTTGACTAGGGGAATTTTACTTAGAACGGTTGAAATGCTGATTCAAGATTTGAAGTTCTGAATGATTCTAGACAATTCTAAATGATTATGGAGCGTTCTAAATGATTTTAGACAGTTCAAAACGATTCTAGACAGTTCTAAATGATTCTAGATATTTCAAAATGATTCTGGAGCGATTTTGGTCTTTACTGGAGCGTTCTAAACAGTTCTAGATACTTTTATGTGTTTCTGGAACGTTCTAAATGGTTCTAAATAGTTTTGGAGTGTTTTAAATGATTCATTAGATACTTCCAAATGATTCTAAAACGTTCCTAATGATTTTGGGTTGTTCTAAATTGTTCCAGACAGTTCTAAATGCTTTTGGAGTGTTTTAAATGATTCTTTAGATACTTCCAAATGATTCTACAGCGCTCTTAATGATTCTGGGTTATTCTAAATTGTTCCAAACAGTTCTAAATGCTTTTGGAGTGTTTTAAATGATTCTTTAGATACTTCCAAATGATTCTACAGCGCTCTTAATGATTCTGGGTTATTCTAAATTGTTCCAGACAGTTCTAAATGCTTTTGGAGTGTTTTAAATGATTCTTTAGATCCTTCCAAATGATTCTAAAGCGTTCTTAATGATTTTGGGTTGTTCTAAATTGTTCCAGACAATTCTAAATGGTTTTGGAGTGTTCTAAATGATTCTAAATGGTTTTGGAGCGTTCTAAAGGATTCTAGACAGTTCTAAATGATTCTGGAGCAGTCTAAATATGATTCTGGAGCGTTCTAAATGGTTTCATACAGTTCTAAATGGTTTTGGGGTGTTCTAAAGGATTCTAGATAGTTCTAAATGCTTTTGGAGTGTTTTAAATGATTCATTAAATACTTCCAAATGATTCTACAGCGTTCTTATAAATGATTCTGGGGAGTTTTTTTACTAATTATAGACATTTGTAAATAATTCTGGAGCATTTTAAATGGTTTTAAACAGTTCGAAGCGATTCTGGAGCGTTCTAAATAGTTCTAGTTACTTTTAAATGAATCTGAAACGTTCTAAATGTTTCTAAATGATTATAGACATTTCTAAATGATCCTACAGCAGTTTTAACGATTGCGGCACGTTGTAAATAGTTCTGGACAGTTCTAAATGATTCCCATCCATTTTTACCATGTTTTTTCATCAGTTCCATCAGTTACATCAAACATCGTTAACCGACTGTTAAATTTATCGCATTGTTAACCCCAAATTGGTGAACATGGAGTAAAAAATAAAAAAAAATAGCAAAGGAGCATTTCAACGCACAGAAACGCATATCAAATTTCTGAAAAAGGTCCGCATTTTAAACGAATAAGTAGATATAATACGGCGTTCCATCGGCATAGGCGCGTCCACACGAAAATAGAACGCTCCTTCCCCCCTTTCGTACCCCCCCAAAAACACGAAAATGCTTCCAGGGTGTCGTGTGCAAACCGAGTTTATAGACAAACACCGCGATTGCTCGGGCTCCACATTCGATTTGGTGGTTGTACAGTGAGGACAACTCTGGGCCTTAATACACAAATCCGCCACGTTCTAAAAACGATTCCGATCAAGGTATATTCTCATTTGCATATTATAACAAATAATATTTAATGTTGTGGCTTTTGTTAACGCAATAAAAGAGGCGCGAGTGGATTGGTAGATGTATAGTGTGCGAATTTGGGTTAAATTAGTGAGATTGTAGTGGTTTTTGGTTGGTATCTGCAGCCATATTTGGCGACCGTTGATGGTTTGGAATTGGGCCAGATATCTGGCTAAATTTAGCCTGTAGGTGTTTGTGTAATACTACGCCAGTGACCTACTACTATCGCTTAGTAACCGCGTAATTAATTTTTTTTCGTCGATTTCGTTTTCGTCTTTTTTATTTCTGGTTGTTTTTTTTTTTGTAGACCGATTTTTATCGAACCAAACAAAATGCCTTTCAAACCCGCCGACCATCCGAAATGTCCCAAATGCGGCAAGTCCGTCTACGCCGCTGAAGAGAAAGTAGCCGGTGGCTACAAATTCCACAAGACCTGCTTCAAATGTGGTGAGTACCCTTCAAAACTACCCTCGAAGAGACCGGGAAAGTGTCTTGATGATCTGAAATGTGGATTCTACCAGAGTGCAATCGAATGCTGATGATAAAATTGATCATTCTAGACTCATTCTTGGTAGATCCCTTGGTAGATCCGCTTGGTCAACCCTTAAAATTTACCCCAACGTTAAACTACCCTCGGCATATTCACTCGATGAGATTGGAAAGTGTCTTAAAGATCTGAAATGTGGATTCTTCCGGATTGCATTCGAATGCTGATGATAAAATTGATCATTCTAGACTCATTCTTGGTAGATCCCTTGGTAGATCCGCTTGGTCAACCCTTAAAATTTACCCCAACATTAAACTACCCTCGGCATATTCACTCGACGAGATTGGAAAGTGTCTTAAAGATCTGAAATGTGGATTCTTCCGGATTGCATTCGAATGCTGATGATAAAATTGATCATTCTAGACTCATTCTTGGTAGATCTCTTGGTAGATCCGCTTGTTCAACCCTTAAAATTTACCCCAACATTAAACTACCCTTGGCATATTCACTCGATGAGATTGGAAAGTGTCTTAAAGATCTGAAATGTGGATTCTTTCAGAGTGCAATCGAATGCTGATGATAAAATTGACAATTCTAGACTCATTCTTGGTAGATCCCTTGGTAGATCCGCTTGGTCAACCCTTAAAATTTACCCCAACGTTAAACTACCCTCGGCATATTCACTCGATGAGATTGGAAAGTGTCTTAAAGATCTGAAATGTGGATTCTTTCAGAGTGCATTCGAATGCTGATGATAAAATTGATCATTCTAGACTCATTCTTGGTAGATCCCTTGGTAGATCCGCTTGGTCAACCCTTAAAATTTACCCCAACGTTAAACTACCCTCGGCATATTCACTCGACGAGATTGGAAAGTGTCTTAAAGATCTGAAATGTGGATTCTTTCAGAGTGCATTCGAATGCTGATGATAAAATTGACAATTCGATTAACACAGTCTTTAAACAAATTCACAACTTTAGTGGTAAAAATGTGGAAACTCCAAAAACAAATTAATAACTATACACAAACCAAATACTTCTTGCACTCTTGAAAGTCCATGCTTGGTAGATTTCAATTCTTAAAATTTACTCCAAAATTAAACTACCCTTAATATTCCACTTTAAGAAGCAACAGCAGAGAGTTCTAGTTCACACTTTGGATCATTAGAAATATGGACTCTAAAAGCAAATAAACTGGATAAACAAATATTGGAAGAGTAGTTCAATAGAATCGATAAATTCTACTAATTGAAGTCCATCTCTCGATTCCACTCACAAGTGTCCATGAATCCTTCAAGGTTCATGGACACTTCATGGACCTTGGAGGTTCATTCAAACACCTCTTCTCCTCTTCACCTCTTCACCTCTTCACCTCTTCACCTCTTCACCTCTTCACCTCTTCACCTCTTCACCTCTTCACCTCTTCACCTCTTCACCTCTTCACCTCTTCACCTCTTCACCTCTTCACCTCTTCACCTCTTCACCTCTTCACCTCTTCACCTCTTCACCTCTTCACCTCTTCACCTCTTCACCTCTTCACCTCTTCACCTCTTCACCTCTTCACCTCTTCACCTCTTCAGCTCTTCTCCTCTTCACCTCTTCACCTCTTCACCTCTTCACCTCTTCACCTCTTCACCTCTTCAGCTCTTCTCCTCTTCACCTCTTCACCTCTTCACCTCTTCACCTCTTCACCTCTTCACCTCTTCACCTCTTCACCTCTTCACCTCTTCACCTCTTCACCTCTTCACCTCTTCACCTCTTCACCTCTTCACCTCTTCACCTCTTCACCTCTTCACCTCTTCACCTCTTCACCTCTTCACCTCTTCACCTCTTCACCTCTTCACCTCTTCACCTCTTCACCTCTTCACCTCTTCACCTCTTCACCTCTTCACCTCTTCACCTCTTCACCTCTTCACCTCTTCACCTCTTCACCTCTTCACCTCTTCACCTCTTCACCTCTTCACCTCTTCTCACGAGTATCCATGAACCTTTAAGATTGCTTTGAACCAAACACTCCAGAGATGAGCTCTGGTGAGCACTCCACAAGACCATCCGTGGATCTTTCACAAGAAGTTTGGAGTGAACTTTGACCGTTTTTATCGTTTGGAATGTTCCGCAGGAATGTGCAACAAAATGCTCGATTCGACCAACGTCACCGAACACGAGTCGGAGCTCTACTGCAAAAACTGCCACGCCCGCAAATACGGCCCCAAAGGATACGGTTTCGGAGGCGGCGCCGGTTGCTTGAGCATGGACGACGGTGCCCAGTTCAAAGCGTAAGTCCAACACTTTTCTATTTTCCCCCGTAATTTTCTGTTTTTTTTTTGTTCCACCGCACCTACTGTTTCGTTTATACCATGTGTCCAAGATCGAGCGCTGCATTCGATTCATCACGCCTCTGCACAGTTCGATTGATTCTCTCTTTCTATCGATTGCAGCGCTCGGATTTGGACGCTTGGTACACGGTTTTCGACAAATACAAAAAGGGCGGGTTTGTTTGTTATCACGCTGTGGAGTTTGGGGGTTCCCCCTGAGGCGATTTAAACAAACATCCCTCTATCTAGAGAGAGAGATTTTTAGCGCGAATGTACTATACTTATAATACATATCTACATTTCCACCCTTTGTTTGTTTTCTAATAAATTAGAGGCGTTTTTGAAGAAGAAGAGTAGGTGCTGGTCGATGAAATTAATGATGATTAATATATAGATAAAAATTGATATGAAATAATTATTGTCTTCAAAATGGCGGACTGAGGGCTTTCCTTATCTCTCAATTCCTGAATTTGTACTGAGTTTACGTGCTTTGGCCGTTCAGTGTATACAACACACTATTAAGATACATTTTTTTTTTGTTTTTGAAAAAAAAAAAAACAATTAGAATGTTGGGACTTTGAATTTTGATTTGTCTATTTTTTGCCAACATCTAGGGGAAACTAATAAGGAATCAGACGAAGATGGCGGCCCGAAAAATGACAACAACAGTCGAGCTGTCGTCCGTTCAAAAAATAACCTTATAAAAAAAAACAAACAAACAAACTTCCATCCCCCCCTTTACACTAATGTAATCCAAACTTTAGACCTTAAAAATTACATAGTTAGATGTTAATAATTTAATTTTCATATTAATTGTTTAAAAACCAAAGGAATCGATTCGGTTATTTTGTAATAATTGAATAAATAAATTTTGTTTAAGATCGAATTTTACCATGATATGTTTTCGAGAGGCGCAATAGTCAAAAAACGCGTTGTTTTCGAAAACAAAAAAACGCCGCATTTATCTCACTAAGGTAATCGACTCGTTAAAACTACCCCCAAAAAAACGAATCGACTACCCCTTTGGAAATTTCACACAAACAAAACCCAAAATCTCCCTCGAGCACCCTCAAAACATTATTTGTATAACACCCCCTGGAGGTAAATGTGGTGATTGTCGTACCGTTTTTTGAGTATTGCACACCCCGCACCCCATCCAAAAAAAAACCAAAAAAAAAAAAACCAAACACCCTGTGTATAGTGAAGACGTCCGAATCATCCCCCGAACTATCCCGACTTAGCCCGAACGATAAAACGGTGAGAAAACAAATTTTTGAAACACACACACATTTACCAGCATGGCTGAGCGAAATGCTGCACTATCTGCTATTAACACGTAGTCTCCCTCTCATCCTTTAACCAGATGATTTCCTAACCAGATGGTTACCTAACCAGATGGTTACTTAACCGGATGGTTCCCTAACCAACCCCCTCCGGTCGTAGTGGGATAAGGAGAGTTCCCTCGATTTGTCGAAATACTTTGAAGGGCGCAAACGGAAACATTTTGATCGAAATTCACCTTCTCCTGTTACATTTTGATTTGTTTCTTTTTAATTTTTTTTTAGTTATTTCGTAGATTTCTCTTTCAGCACCGCTGCTTTGAGCATATCGCACTGTATACAAAACACTTTACGCTTCTGTTTTATTTTGTTATTTTTACGCCCATATTCACCAATTTCGTTATTCCAAGTTTGTTATTCACACTATTAACTTTGACAATTTCGACAATTGTATTGAAGTTATCAGTTTGTTAGTTCTTTCATCAGTTCTGTTACTTTTATCTGACTGTTAAGTATTAACTGTCATTGGTGAATTGATAAGAACTTATCTCTATGTTAGCGATTTAATTGGTGAATGTAGGCGTTTTAGTTTCATTAATTTTTTCTTCTAATTTATTAGGGACAACGAAAGCAAGAATTATTTACATTTTAAAACTCAAACAAAATAATTGCTACCAACTTTTTGCAATTGGCACTATTGATTTCACTGCACACTATATTTTTTTTGTAAATATTTATAGTGTATCAGAGAATTGTTCCAGATATAAAATTCACCAAATTCGGCATAAACTTGACAGCCTCATTTTCGGGTAAATATAATCCAGCATTTTTGGAAAGCAACTCTTCCTGTTTTTTTGCTTTTGAAAAGTCTCCAAAAAAATCATACGAGGACTATAAACTTTTTTTTCTTTCTATCTATACACTCCAACTCTTATTATATTAAAATTGATACGAAACTTCAATCGCTCGTACTGTAAATATTCTTCCTTTCACACACCTGATTAACCAAAAAAAAAAAAATAAATAATAACAAAACTCCCTAAAACCGCCCGGAACCGTCCGGAACCACCAACACGACCGGTTCCGAACGATCCGAGCGCTTTTACTCGAACTAAACAAAATTTCTCACCTCTCGCCTACTATGATCTGATTTCAGCGACCCCGACTCCGTCACCAGTCGCGCCCCCCTGCTCGCCAAAGCCATCGCCAAGGCCCCCGAGGGCGAGGGATGTCCCCGATGTGGAGGCTACGTCTACGCCGCCGAGCAAATGCTCGCCCGCGGAAGGGTAAGTCATCGAATTAGACGGGAAATGGTGGGGTAGGGAGGGGTTGCAGAAGGGTAGGGAAGGGTAGGGAAGAGCGGGAAGACGCTAGGAAGGGGAAATGGTGGGTAGATAAAGGTTGTGGAAGGGTAGGGAAGGGTTGTGGAAGGGTAGGGAAGAGTGGGAATACGCTAGGAAGCCGAAATGGTGGGTAGGTAAAGGTTGTGGAAGGGTAGGGAAGGGTTGTGGAAGGGTAGGGAAGGGTAGGGAAGGGTAGGGAAGAGTGGGAAGACGCTATGAAGGGGAAATGGTGGGTAGGTAAAGGTTGTGGAAGGGTAGGGAAGGGTTGTGGAAGGGTAGGTAAGAGTAGGGAAGGGTAGGGAAGAGTGGGAATACGCTAGGAAGGCGAAATGATGGGTAGGTAAAGGTTGTGGAAGGGTAGGGAAGGGTTGTGGAAGGGTAGGTAAGAGTAGGGAAGGGTAGGGAAGAGTGGGAATACGCTAGGAAGGCGAAATGATGGGTAGGTAAAGGTTGTGGAAGGGTAGGGAAGGGTTGTGGAAGGGTAGGTAAGAGTAGGGAAGGGTAGGGAAGAGTGGGAATACGCTAGGAAGGCGAAATGGTGGGTAGTAAGGGTTGTGGAAAGGTAGGAAGGGTTGTGGAAGGGTAGGGAAGGGTTGTGGAAGGATAGGGAAGGGTGGTAAGGCGCTAGGAAGGAGAAATGGTGGGTAGGTAAGGGTTGTGGAAGGGTAGGGAGGGGTGAGAATGCTCTAGGAAAGGCTTGTGGAAAGGAATAAGAGCGTAAAAGCGTGCCTAGGTGGAGGGGAATGGGTTTGAAAAGTGGTAAAATATAGTAAAATTGATACTAAATTTAAAGCACCCAATAAAAATCCAAACAAAAGTGAATCTGGAATAAAATTACGTCCAATATATTAATCCAGTGTCTCCAAAATTGGAGAGTAACTAAAAGAATCCTGTATAAACCAGAGATGTAACAATCTGGATCATCAGTTTCTGGCTAGATTGCTAAATAACTAACCAATAAAACAGCAAGAGAAGTACTTCGAACTCTTGGATCATTTAGGAAAGTTACCAAATTACCAAGTCCCCACAGACCCAGGACCTTACCCAATAGATCAGAGAGCGTTGATCAAAGGATTAAATTCCGCAGGGCTGGCACAGGATTTGCTTCCGCTGTTACAACTGCGAACGATGGCTGGATTCGACGTCGCATTGCGACGGCCAGGACGCCATGGTGTATTGTCCAGGTACTATTTAACAGGTTCAATGTGACTGGCATGCAAAAAACGGTGGACTCGTCTTGTTACTTGTGGTGGATTTCTTTTTTTCGATTCGTCGATTTCGTTCATTCCCGTGCATTTTTTTCTCTTTTCTTATTTAAGGCCTTCCACAAAACTTGCTTCAAATGCGCCGACTGTAACAAGGGACTGGATTCCTATAACGTAACCGAAGGTCCTGACAAGGATATTTACTGTAAAGGTGATTATGATTATACAAGAAACATACAAATTTTGTCGAACGACCTTAAATATCTAACCATATGATCGTTTGTGTTGTTGTCTTTAGTTTGTTACGGAAAACGGTTCGGACCTAAAGGATACGGATACGGTCAAGGTGGCGGGACCCTCCAGAGCGACTGTTTCGCCGTCAGGTATACACCAAAATATTCCTCTAAACATCGCGCTTCTCTAAAACAATCCAATCGAGCCAGCTTCGTTCAATCCACTAATAATATTTTCTTTTCTTTTGTATTAATACGCAGCTTGCTATGCCCAGCGCTACGGCCCACGCGGCATCGGACACGGCGGGGGCAATTTCCTGGGGCTTATGTGTGATGCTTTGGACATTGAATGGCAGAGGTACAGTCTCCTCCCCAGTAATCGCTCAACCCCTCAAAACTAACCCCACCATCGCAACTAACACATCTTCACCAACTCCACCAAACATCTCCACCAGCTGGTTTCATTCTTAATTCAATCAATCAGCGATCAAGCGCCGAAGACGACGGTCATCGACACCGCCACCATCAAAGCGAAACCGGGCCAGGGCTGCCCCAGATGCGGCGGCGTCGTCTTCGCCGCCGAAGAGGTCCTCGCCAAGGGCCGCCCGTGGCATCGTAAATGCTTCAAGTGCAAGGATTGCACCAAGACGTTGGACTCGATCAACGCCTGCGACGGGCCCGATCGCGACGTCTACTGCAAGACCTGCTACGGCAAGAAGTGGGGCCCTCACGGGTACGGCTTCGCCTGCGGATCCGGCTTCCTCCAGACCGACGGACTGACGTGAGTTGTGGTAGATGTTGATTGGATGGTGAATGGTGATTATGGAGCGATTTTTGATTGTAGGGAGGATGAAATATCAGCAAGTAGACCCTTCTATAATCCCGATACGACCTCCATCAAAGCCCCGCCTGGTCAAGGTTGCCCCAGGTGCGGTGGAATGGTCTTCGCCGCTGAACAACAACTAGCCAAAGGAACGGTAAGCTTCCAAAACAATCCTCCAACTATTTGTATTTACTGGTGGTTTTGTTTGATGAAGATGTGGCACAAGAAATGCTTCAACTGCGCCGAATGCCACCGACCGTTGGACTCGGTGCTGGCCTGCGACGGCCCCGACAAGGAGATCCACTGTCGCGCCTGCTACGGCAAACTCTTCGGCCCCAAAGGCTTCGGTTTCGGGCACGCCCCGACGCTGGTGTGCGCCGACGGCGCCGCGGCGCCCGCCGTCCACGATTCGCAGCCCAACAGCCTCCCCAAAGCAGCCCCAGGCAGAGGTATTTGTACACGAGGTTCCATCATCACCTGGGGTTTATCGATGGGGTTCGTTCGGTTGCAGGTTGCAGGAGATGCGGCTACGCGGTGTTCGCTGCCGAGCAGATGATCAGCAAGCACGGGATGTGGCACAAGAGGTGCTTCAGCTGCGCGGATTGCAACCGCTCGTTGGACTCGACCATCCTCAACGACGGGCCCAACGGGGAGATCTACTGCAGAGGTGCTGAGTCTTGCAAGTTTGCAATGTAGGTTTTGAATGTGGGATTGTTGCAGGTTGCTACGGCAGGAATTTCGGGCCGAAGGGCGTCGGTTTCGGCATGGGCGCCGGGACGCTGACGATGGCTTGAGGCGAAGCCTCTTAAAGATTCTTAATCAATGCGAGGTATGGGGCGAGCGGATTTTTGGGGATCTTGCAGAAGATGTCGATGGTTTTAATTGTAAGATTCTTGGTGTATGATGATATGGGAATTGGTTAAGTGGGTTTATTTTGCGTTGTATTAATATTTATGCTTTGGAGCGCATTTTTCGACTTAATATTTTTGTTTTTTTTTTGAGATATATATCGATTTTTATTCCATTTTTTTTTTGTGTTGTTTCGATGGGAGAACGTTGGTTGGGTTCCAGTTGGTGAGTGGGCTGGATTGGAGGTTTCGTCGGTTACCCAAATTTTTTCTAGATAAAATTTTTAACCATCGATAAAAAAAATAAAAAAATACGGGGCTGGGTAACCGGTTTGGGAAACGTCCGATTTAGTCGAGTTCGATGACGAATTTAACGACAGGGAGACCTGATGATTTTTTTATATATATCTACATCGGCCATTTTGCTGGTCTATCGATTTTTAGCTTACATACAATTAGCGCTTTTGGCCTAAATTAATGCTAGATAGTTTCGCTCATGTATATTGATTATACAAACAATTTTTTTTTGTCTAGTTGTACATTAATAAAGTTACAAATAAACACGTTGAATTACCGAAGGAATTGTTATTTACACCCCTCTCGTGAAGTAAAACAATTATATTTTTTTTATTATGTATTTTAATAATGAATTGGCACACATTTTTTACAACAGAAAGTTATGGCGATATTTTGTACAATAAAATATTCATAAATAAATAAATAAAAAGTAGTTCGAAATGTACATAAATTGACGGGAACCTAATTTACAAACAGAACCAATTGGAGAAAATGGTGTCGATTTCATTTTTTTTTTTTTGATTAAATTGCTTCGTTTTTCTCTATATATTTCTCAAAATCCCGTGTAAAAGATTTTCTACGTGTCATCGAAATTGCAATCAACAAACGAACGAAAAAAAAAATTAAAATACACCATGTGTGACAATATTTTTACTGTTATGTGCTCTATTTAAAATTTGAATTAGCTCTTTGTCGGTCGTCTCGTAGAGATTTTGAATTCGTAAATAGGCGCAATTGATGTTTTCCCGCAATTTTCTTTGATCGACCTAAAGCCTAAAACAGCCTAATTTTCTAAAACAAGATTCAACTGCTCTGCGATACGACCTGTAATTTTTTTTATTGTATTCTCAACTACTGTATTTTTCTAACAGATTTACTCTCAGCAATCGTATATTTACATTTACAACAGTGACCTCTTTGGTAAAAAAAATAAAGTAAATCAGGCACTGCGCCGTACAATATGAGCAATAAATTAACATATATATTTTATATATATATTATATAGAGGGTGGTTCGTGATTTTTCCGGGAAAAAATCGCTAAAATACCGGCGATTTTCGGCGGGAAAAATTACGGAGCATCCTTATTTCGAAAAAAAAAAACAAATTTACAAATATTTACCTACCTACGGCTACAAAATTGAAAATAGGAAACCGAGTTATTCGTTGTTCAGATATTTACAGGCCTGTTATCGCATTTTATCGTGAAAAATAACGTGTATGGCCACCTTTAAATATCAATTAATTCGTTGTTTAAATCAGCCGAGATTTCGAGATTAAAACGCGACAAACCGGTGCAATTTATTCGCGTTTAAACTACATTTTTATTAAGCTAAAGGTGACCATACACGGTGATTTTTTCTTACAGTGAATTTCGTATAACGGGCCCCCGTAATTACCGTTCAAAATGTCAATTACGTTAAACTTAGCCTACTGTCAATACATATATTTTGTGCTAAGTAGTTTCGAATGGACGAATAATGTCCTTTTAAATTCCTCGAAAAATCCTTTGACGCCTCGATAGTGTAATTGCAAAATGTTATTGTTTGTTTGTTTTTGGAAAACTGGCTGGTTTTCGCTAAAATCGAACTGGATTTTATAAAATTAAATGTACCACGGAAGACCTGATGAAGCGATAAGTAATAAAATATATTGGTTGATCCCGGTATAAGTATCTTATAATGGGATAAAATATAACGGTTGATCCCGGTATTTTGTATTTGTATTGGAATTTTAATATGTATTCGATGTTTAGGAAAATTCGCCAGTTTTTCCGCGTTGGAAACAAATTCAAAAATCGAGTTTTCATCGTACAAAAAAAACATGAAAAAAAAATTATATTTAATAGTCTTATTTTAACAATATCACAATTCGAATATTGCAATAATTTTAAGTATAACTAGATATGCTTCCATTACTATAAATTTTTTTGTTAAATTTCATCTTTTCCTAATTTACTTTTTAAAAATTATTCAGAAGATATTTAGTTCTTTTGAATCTCGTCGAATGCCGAATTGAAATTTTACCCGAGCGAAGGCGAATAAAACCGAAACGAATTCGGAATTTTCTATCACCAAAAACCTCTGCTAATCATTCGATCAGATATTTATAGAATCCTAAAAAAAATATATCGTCATACGAATGACCTACATAGTAGTTATACGGATGAGGAAATAAGCAAGCAAATGATACAAAATGAATTTTTTACAAAGTACAAAGTACTCAATACGCTTAGAAGAAAGTAATTTTTCGATAAATCCACGTTGAAAACTAACGGGGTTCGTTCCGAACTGGTTCGGAACCGTTCCGGATTTTTTTTACCTCCTGGTTCGGAACTGTTTGGGAATAAACCCCGATTCTATTACGAATTGATATGTGAATTTAACCGGAAAATGTTTTGATTTGATTATCGAAAAATTTCAAAATTTCGCAAATTCAACCGTCTTTTAGAAAAGTACAAATTTTCTTCTTTGACTAGATTTTTATAATTATAATTCATCTAGAAACAGAAACATATTATTTATATTCCCTATCGCCCTAAACTATATATTAAAATTTAAATAAAAAAATTAATTTAACCACTTTCAACACCTAAATTACGAAATAAATACCACGATAATTAAAAAAAATATAATATATTATTATTATTATTATTATGTAAAAACTACTGCACACTTATTTAATTTGTAAATGCTATTTTTTTCTTTTATCACCAAGTGGCTAGATTAATTTCGTATAAGAAATTCGTTATTGTATGGACTACTAAAATGAAAATATATCATGTTATTTAATTTATTTATTTATTTATTTATTTATTTATTAGTTAACTATCGAACAGGGTCAATTAGATTTATAACGTTCGTGTAGCAATCGAATCTTTTTATTTCATTCCATCAATTTCCTAGTCGATAAAATCTTATTTAAAAAATATCATCAGCTTTCAAAAATTTTCATTCACAAATTCATTTTTTTGTTTTCATCATCGAAATTTTTAAAATCGTTAATTCGCAATTACAAAGTCGATTTACAATACGGGGAGGAATCGAAAAGTTTACAGTCATCTCGCCTCGTATATGTATTGTAAACCTCTATATTATATATATATACCGGGTGATCGATTTGTTGAAGTACATTTACTAATTTAATTCGGAAATAAATTAATAAATTTCGATCACCGTTAAAATTGGCTAATAAAATTATTATTAACTCCAAGCGGTAATGTTTTAGTTTATACTCGTGAAGAGTGCGCAATTCTTCTCTAAACTATTTATTTGGTTTAAGAGAAAGTTAATTATTTGATTGAAAGTAATTGCAATTTACTTCTAAGTACAATATATCAATTAATAACGAATGAATATATAAATTAAATATTATAGTTTAATAAATTGATAGTGGTGAGTTTGCTCGAAAATCTCAAAATATCTCGAAAATTTGGAATTTTTCGAAAATTTTGCAAATGAAAAAGTTGTAGAGGACACTTTTCTCCACAAAATGGTAAAAATTTGGTTATTCTACCTCGTTTAGTTTTCGAGATAAATGGAATAATTTCTGATGGAATTTAAGTTGTATTTGCGCACTCTTACGAGGGTAAATCAAAACGTTTCCCTCCAAGCAAACGAGCGCGTTCATTCGACGTCGAACTGTTGTAAAATTTTTTAAAATTTTATATTTTTCAAAATGTCTGCAAAAGCGACGAACGGTCGAGAAAAACCGGCGTAAAAAATTTCAGCTAAAATCTACGAAACCAAGTCCACTTACTTATTCGTATTTATTGTCTATTAGTTATTACAATACGCTTAAAATTTTATTTTTTTTGATCAGTTTCTGCCTTAAGAATTTCCCAAGTAAGGCCAAAAAAGAGCGATTTACGCCCGACAGGGGGGTTTAAAAATACCGATTATAATTATTTTTTTTGTTTTTTTTTTTGGTTTTTCGAGCCGTCTCTAAAACGAGACCGATAGAGTAAGGGGATGAGTGATTAACCCCCGTATTCAGAAGTTTTTTTAATAACCAACTGGTTTAGTAACCAACGATTATAATATTTCCGAATAAGAGTCTGGAGAGTTTTAAATGATGATCCTGGAGTGTTCTAAATGGTTCTATACATTTCTGAATGATTCTGGAGGGTTCTAAATTAGTCTGGAGAGTTCTGCAACGTTCTAAATGGTTCTAGAATTGTTCCGGAGCGTTCTTATTAATTGTTCTAGAGAGTTCCAGATGATTCTGGCGCGTTCTGAATGGCAAAAGATGGACAAAAAACTTTCATCTTATGTAAGGTTGAAATAAGCAACGTTGTCATGTTTAAAATTCGGAAATATTATAATCGTTGGTTACAAAACCAGTTGGTTATAAAAAAAAAATCGGTGATTATTCGCGAGAAACGGAGACTCGCCGGCAATCACCCTGTATAATCGGTATAAAACAACATTTTGTAAACGCTTTCCTAACAAATATTCGTTGAAAAGGAATCGATTATGCAATAATTATACATAATTTTCGTTAGTTCATTATATATACCGGTTGTCCCGAGAAAATAATGCAATATGTGTATCGAGCTCGGGTAGTTTTCAATTAGTTTACGCGGAGTTAGCGACGTTGCCGGTTGTACATTTTTTGTTACAAATCTACGATAAAACGAAAGCATTATTTTCCGGGCCACTCCTCTAATTCAATATATTTATAATACGCTGATATAGATAGATATCTCCATTAAATCTATAACAATTAATAGTTTTTACCTTGTGGAAAATCACGATAATTCGATTACATTATATTTTATACGCATCTCATCCGACTAATTAAACCGTTAATTACGGTTAATTACACCTTGCTGGATCGATAATTGACGTTCTTGTCTAGCAGTAGGTCCGCTGATAAATCGATTTTCTTCGCGGTTTTTTTATTTATTTATTTTTTTCGATTGATATGCGCGATTAATGCGGATAGATGCGAAATGTTCGCGCTAAATACACTCGAATTATTGTCGTATAATCGAAAAATGCCATCAGAGTTGGCCGGAAAATTGACGTTTGACAGATGCGTCGAATGACGTTTGTAAGCCAACTCGATGGTTTGAGGTTTAAAACGATAAAGAGGTGACATCTCAAAAGTTTTTGTATAGGAATTATTTTTTTTCAGTGTAACCGTAATTAGAATGTTGTAGGTACACTAAGAAAACGGTTTCGTTAATGGAGATGTCACTTTCGTTTGAATGAATTCTAGTAATTTCAACTATTGGTTTACTTTATACCTACTACTAGTCAAAAGATGTAGACGAGAAAAAAAAATTCGTAATATTGCGAGGTATGCTCGGAATAATCGAAAAATTCGTTAAATAGACAACTTTTTATATTATTTATCCTATGATATCGTCATCTCGCGTTTTAAAATCTATCGGAATAGTCGTTAAACATTTTTCAACGTACAGTCGGTGCAAAACAAACATCAATGCACGTCACAAAGTAGGCAGTGTTGCCGAACTTTTATAGAGTTTACTAAATCTAGGAATTTTTTATCCATTTTGCACCGACTGTACGTTCGATATTTCGAAATGTACGGGGAGCATTCGAAAAGTACAACAACAACAACAACAAAACGAAGAGCTGATGCAAAAAGATGAGTATCTAATTTACAACTTGCCCGTTTATATAAACATTCGAAATAAAAACCAAAAAGACATTGTAGTAGCCCATAATCAAAAAAAAAAATGTATACAATTACGAACATATATTATTATTATTAATTTTTTTGAGTAGTTCATTTAGCTATTAGCATAGCGAAATACATACAACATCGTAACGAATTTAGAGGGTAATAAAAGCCTTCGAAAGCGGAAAAAATCTACCATAAATACACCTAGGAAGACACTTGAGATTAGGCAAGCCGGTTGTAGAAAATATTGGTAAAATAACCACGATTTAATCCCTTGTATTATTCCCGATTTATCGGCCGAATCGTCATCTATAATCCCATCATCGTAGATCAAACGAAAAAAGTAAAAGAAGAACAAAAAAATAGTAAGAAGATTAAACGAAAGAGGGCGCTATTGAACGCAAGTGTCGAGGAATGTAAGACCGGCTTCGGGTTGTACAGGACCGGTTTCAACCGGCTCCCTTTTCGATCGCCCTTTTCGACCGCCCTTTTCTTTCAGTCTCGACCCTGTAGGGTCCAACACTGTGAGCAGCCAATTGACGATGATTAGATTGTTTAACATTGTCACTGTCACTTGTCGAATGTACATTTTTAGCCGCCACCACGCCGCCGTATCCCACTGGTTCTGGATAACCGCCGCAAAGGTTATTATAATGGCAGCATAACGTCCCGTCCTATAAAAATTTAACCATCATTATTAATATTATTTTTATTTTTTTTTGTTTTATACAGATTGCTCCATTTTTCGTTGCAACATAGGCTACGAGTGCGACAAAGACAACTTCGATTCTAAGTGACATTTGTCATTGCAACTTTTCACACTGACAGCTGTCATTTCTAGCAATCTTTCTTTGTTCAACTCATAGAAATGCCCATGTTGCAATCGCGAATGAAGCACAGTATATATCTTCTCGTTGTATACCGAGAATCGATCGATTATATCGATATTTATTTGCAAAACTCCGGCAATTTAAAAATCATTAAAATAAAACATTTGCCCATGTATTCGTAAGTTTTTTTATAACCAATTGGTTTTGTAACCAACGATTACAATATTTCTAAATTTTAAACGTTGCAACGTTGCATAATTGATGAAAATGTGGTTAGATTTTTTGGTTCTAGACAGTTTTAAATGGTTCTGAGGCTTTCTAACTGGTTCTAGACAGTTCTAAATGAGTCTGGAGAGTTCTAAGTGGCTCTGGAGCATTCTATATCGTTCTAGACAGTTTTTAAAGATTCTGGAGCGTTCTAAATGAGTCTGGAGAGTTCTGAATATGGTTCTAAACAGTTTTTAATGAATCTGGAGAGTTCTTAATGATTGTGGAGGATTCCGAATTGTTCTAGACAGTTTTTAATGATTCTGAAGCGTTCTAAATGAATCTGGAGAGTTCTGAATATGGTTCTAAACAGTTTTTAATGAATCTGGAGAGTTCTTAATGATTGTGGAGGATTCCGAATTGTTCTAGACAGTTTTTAATGATTCTGGAGCGTTCTAAATGAGTCTGGAAAGTTCTGAATATGGTTCTAGACTGTTTCAAATAAGTCTGGAGGATTCTTAATGGTTTTGGAGCATTCTAAATTGATTCTAGACAGTTTAAAATCATTCTGGAACGTTCTTAATAAGTATGGAGCTTTCTTAATGGTTCTAAACAGTTCTGAATGATTTTGGAGCGTTATAAATGGTTCTGGAGCGTCCATAATGGTTCTAGATAGATTTGGAGAGTTCTTAATGATTCTGGAGCATTCCAAATTGTTCTAGGCAATTTTAAACGATTCTAGAAGGTTGTAAATGAGTCTGGAGAGTATTAAATTGTTCCAGACAGTTTTGAATGATTCTGGAAGCTTTCTAAACGGCAGAAAAACGACAAAAAACTGACCTTACTTTCATCTTGTTGAAGATACAAGTAAGCAATGTTGCCATGCTTAAAATTCGGAAATATATGTATAATCGTTCGTATATAATAATGGCGAACGGAGTATAATAATTATAAAATATAGAAAACAGTAACAACATAATAAATATCGATATTTGCATTGAGATAATCGCATAATACAATTTATTACCGCATAAAATAGTATCAAAATTGTATTAGTACAAATGCACCTCGTTATTGGACTAATAAATTCAAAAATTTTCAGTGCTGATAGAAGACGAGAGGTGCTCGAAATTTCGAAAAAAAAGTGATGTAAAAATTCCAAAATTTTTCGAAGGAAAGAACTAAACGAAAACGATCGATGATTAAACTCGTTGTTAAATTTAAAAATCATCGTTCGATGTGCGAGAGAGAAATCTTTCCATGCTCATTCAACAAAGAAAAAAATTACAAGAAGGTCCGTGGGATAGTTTTCAATCTAAAATCTAAAAGAAACCAATCGGAAATTTATTTATATACAGGGCGTTTCGTTATAATAAATATAACGCCTCGTATAAAAATAATTTAGCCGCTACACCGAATTAATTAGTAACTAATTTATTAGTAATAAAATGATTCGAAAAGCATGCATTAAAATTTCGAATAGAAAAATACCATGCCATATAGCATACAATACACATCTAGAGTGCTCGGTACATTCTTAACTGTATCACCGATATTTCTTCATATATAGATAAATAAATCTCTATCACAAATAACACATCATCACACTTTTAAAAATTGAATACAATATCTCCTTATAATTGATATTTTTATGTCCAGTAATTTGTGCTAGAGATTTTTATTTTGCTAATTTTCTACTATAATCAGGCACAACAGGCACTACTAGAGGTGTGTGTATCATGTTGTATAGTGTAAAGAGCTGGTTAAACATCGTCAGTTCGAATATAATAATTTATTGGGAATATACAGGGTGTCCCACGATGAGTTAAAACTGTGTGTATATGTAGGAAAGTACTTAGTCGATTTAAATAAAATTTGGTATGAATATGTTTTGAAAAATATGTGTGGTTCCATTAAAAAAAAAATAAGATAATTGGTATTTTTGAAGTTCAACTTTCAACATTTTTTTACACACCCTGTATAAAATTTAAAATTTTTTTCAACGCAGATTCAAATACCTTCGACCTTGCTTGTAGACCCTCTACAGAAACCATTTCCATATCTTTAAAGGGATCCCCGTAAAAAAATCATTTATAAGGGTCTGCCTCGATCAAATTTTTCCAAATAAAAATTAATAACTCAAAAAATAAGCATTTTTTAAAAAAATGTTTTAGACAAAAGTACCCTTAATTTTTACGTAGATTTCGAAAAAAATATTAACATACAGGGTGTTCCATTTAAAATACTGTACTACAGTCAAAATATTCTACACCTCGTTTTATTCCTAAACATATTCACACCAAATATAATTCAAATCGACCAAGTACTTTCCTCCATTATACAAAGCTATAATAGTTTTAAATTCGTTTTGGGACACCCTATATATATACAGGGTGATTCGCTCTACGAAAAAAACCGACGATATCCGACCGAAAAGCGCGCTCGAACGCCATCGAAAACATTCGAGAGTCTCGATAAATCGATAAAATAAATCGATAAATCGAGAGAAAAAATGTGTTAAAAAAGTAAAGGAGTGTGAGAGAGTGATTACCGATGCACACAACACGCGACATTGCTCACCAGTTCTGCGCAGTACGGCACCTGCAAGGGAATCCAGTGTTAATTGTTAGTAATGCCTAGCATTTTCTGTTTTTTAGTTGGTTTTTGTGGATACGTTTTTGGTTATTTTATTTTTTATTTTTTTGGTTTTTTTAGAGGTTTTCTGATTGGACTAGCGCAACAAGCCAGCGCGAATGGGCCAGCCATGCCTACCAATCGTAGTCCAAAAGGGTCCAGGTATTTACAAAATCTAGTCTAAAGTATACAATTTGGTAGTAGATTACTACATTTTTGATGGTTCAAAAAGTCTTTGGTGTTACACCAAAAGGACCCTTGTCCTTAGTTTCATCTGGTCCAGCATTTTAAAATTACTTCTGAAACTCTTCTACAGCAGTCTGGATAAACCTTCTTTACTATTAATACTATCAATGTGTGGTTAATACTGCTACAAAGTTAGCCTTCCAAAGAGACCTTTTTCCTTGGTTTCATCTGATCCAGCATTTTAAAATTACTTCTAGAACTCTTCTATTTTAATCTGAATAAACCTTCTTTACTATTTACATCATTAAATGTACCAGTTTTTTCTCGATACTTCTACTGAACTATCAATACTATCCTGTAGCAGTAAATTCTTTAATACAAAAATTCTTTGGGCCCTGTTGGACTTGCGATGGAACTCGTTAGGAGGAAAAAACAAAACGATCGAATTATAATGGATAATGGAAAGTAAAACGTTAATAATGTGATATGAACGAATGATGTAGTAGAAACTAAAGAAAAGTAAAAAATAGGTAAGTATAAACAACACAAAGGCGCTATTAATCTGCTTCTAATGCAATCAAGCGACATCTTAAATACCACTGTACCTTCCTGTTGGATAACAAAAAAAAAACAAGGCAAAAAACGAATACACGATCAATCAGTTCAGTCGCATATAAGATAATGTTATATCTACGAAAAACATGTAATTCAACCGACGAAAAATAAAATGTTAATTTGTCCCAAAAAAAAAGTCTAGATACAAGGCGTTTCGTAGGCAAATGGAAGATTCCAAATCAAACAAAAATGTGCTATTTGTTGGTTTATTCAGAATCCTCCAGATCATGGAGGAAGTTACCTAGAATCAGAGTTTGTAGGTTGAATTTTATTCAGAATAATCCAGGTCTTAGAGGAAGACCTAAAGACCTAGATTCTAGGTATCTTGGTTCAGGTCCAGGTCTTAGAGGAAGGCCTCAAGGAAGACCTACAAGCTTAGATTCTAGGTATGTAAATTGTATTTTATTCAAACTCCTCATGGTCCTGGAGAAACACCAAGAGGAAGATCTAAAGACATACTCTAGGTCCAGAATTTTATTCAAAATCCACCAGGTCCTAGAGGAGATTATCTAAAACTCTCTAGATTGGTCCTCCAATTCCCAGAGGATCTCCTACAAACCTCCAGCACACCTAAAACCCTACGAAACACCTCTTACCTCATCTCCAACATCCCGCAAATCAACCCCATCAAACCCCCAAACAAAAACTTACACCAACCTTACAATTACACGTGGTACACCTATCGTTCGGATCGTTGAACTGCGATCCCGACGGCACCACCCTGTTGGCGTAGGTGCACGATTGCCCGTCGCCTTGGGTGAAATTCCCCGCCCCGAACGAGCACGGATCCCCCTCGCAATGGCCGCAACAATCCTCCGGATTCTTCACCGGATCGTCGCACACCAGCGGCGGACACGCCATCGCCGAGCAATCGATCTCGCCCCTCTGGCATTCGCACGTCCTGCACTGGAACGTCCAATGGTCGCCGTGGTTGAACACCACGTGCCGGAGCTCCTGGTGGCGGCAGCTGTACAGCGGGTTGCACTGCGGACAGCACTCGTCGTTGGACATCTTCGGCTGGCTGCAATTGCACCTAAACCCCACCAGGTTGGAAGAGGAGAAGAAGAGAAGCAAGTTAGAAGAGTAGAAGATTGGTTTGGAAAGGCTTTTACTTGATTTCCTCGCAGGTGAGCACGCCCCGATCGCAGCTACATTCCTGGCAGGGTTTGTCGAACAAGTTGCCGCGCCAACCGTCGGGCCATTCCTGCTCTTCGAACTTGCAGCTGAGCTTGCAGTCCGGCCTGTTCGGTGGACATTCGCATTCGTAGCTACCCTCGGTGTTCCTGCATTGGGCCGACGGATGGCAGGTGTGAAGGCTGCTGTTGCATTCGTTGATATCTACACATCAAGCATATATGAAGTAGTGGATGGTGGTAGAGGTGGAGATAGTAGGTAGATACCTTCGCAGACTAGTCCTAGATTATTGTCTTTGTAGTCGTTCTTGTAGCCGGGCTTGCATTCGCAGTAGTACCAGCCGATTTTGTTGACGCACGTCGAGGAGTTGGAGCATCGATGGGCGTCGGTGGCGCATTCGTCGAGGTCCAATTCGCAGCTCCTGCCCGTGTAGCCCTGCAGGCAGCTGCATTTGCCCGGGCTGGTGCACACGCCGCCGTTGATGCACTTGTACTCGCACACGGCTGCACAACAACGTTGTTTAGAATGAAGATGGAGATGGAGATTGTGATGGAGATGGAGATGGAGATGGAGATGGAGGTAGAGGTGGGGATGGAGGTAGAGGTAGAGGTAGAGGTAGAGGTAGAGGTAGAGGTAGAGGTAGAGGTAGAGGTAGAGGTAGAGGTAGAGGTAGAGGTAGAGGTAGAGGTAGAGGTAGAGGTAGAGGTAGAGGTAGAGGTAGAGGTAGAGGTAGAGGTAGAGGTAGAGGTAGAGGTAGAGGTAGAGGTAGAGGTAGAGGTAGAGGTAGAGGTAGAGGTAGAGGTAGAGGTAGAGGTAGAGGTAGAGGTAGAGGTAGAGGTAGAGGTAGAGGTAGAGGTAGAGGTAGAGGTGGAGATGGAGATGGAGATGAAGATGAAGATGAAGATGAAGATGAAGATGAAGATGAAGACGAAGATGAAGATTTTAGAATTTACTTACGTTGGCAGGTGTAACCGTCGCCGGTGTATCCCTCCTTGCAGGAGCAATGATAGCTGCCTCTGGTGTTGATGCAGCGCGCGTTGACGTCGCAATTGTGCTCGCCGGTGCTGCACTCGTCCAATTCGGCGCAATTGAAGCGATCGATGCGCCTGTAGCCCGGTAGACATTCGCACACGTACGAACCGGGCGTGTTCACGCAGACGGTGTTTTGGTGACAATGATGGCCGTCGAGGCCGCCCTCTCGCTTGCACTCGTTCGTATCTAAACCGCACCAAAACCCGACATTTTTCTCTCTTTCTCACTCTCTAGCATGATCTTTAGGTGGTAGGTATGTAGTACCTCATCGAAGGTAGCTTGGTGATTGGTTAATTGGTATTGTTTGAGCGATTGGATGGGGGTAAAGATGGAGTGTTTCACCACAGGATGGTGTTGATATGAATACATCAGCTAGATCAGTATAAATCTTACTTCAATCGATGAATATCAATTGAATCTCGATCCAGCTCCTTAGAAATACCAATTGCCCGAGCTACATTTGATGAGGTACATGGGTGAGAGCAAATTCGTTTGCAATATGGTTGTTTCAATGAGTTAACAAAGGGTGAGGTAATATCTTCGGTTGCACCGATTGCATACAAATTTGCTCTAATCGAGTATATAGTGTTAGAAGGTTGTGAAGAATTACCGATGCAGAGTTTGCCGTCCCCTTGAAAACCTTGGTCGCATTGACAAGCGTAAGTAGTTTGTAAATTAAGGCAGGAAGCGTTAGCATGACAAAAGTTCCCTTTGGCGCAGTGATCGACACCTGTTAGAACGAAGAAAAAAATGGACAAAACGCCGGTGGTTAGAGTTAGAGTACCGTTTTGTTGGTTAGTAAACAGATCAAACATGTTATTACAATCGTTACAACATACATAAAACATACAAGATGCGATTAATTTAGGAAGCAACACAAGAGATGATGATTTTAATGATTTTAATGAAATGTATAAAAGTGCTTGCCTGGACACATTCTACAGCATTGCTCCGGAACGCTGTATTGGTCCTTTTCGGGGCAATTCAATTTGGGACAGTTGCTTTCGTCCATTTTGGCGCATTTCATCGAACCATCGATGCATCTGCATTCCGAGCATTTCTTCACCGTCACCACTTCACCGTGATCGTACAATTTACCTTGCAACGAACATTCTCCTGCGAATGGAAACCAAACGATTTTACTACTTACTGATAAATTTTAATGTGATTTTCGAATCGAAAAGTTCATATAAAGATATCAGAAAGGTTGAAGGTGAAGATGAAGATCCTGAAAGGTTTGCATGAAGAGAAAGATACAGTAAATTAAGAAGCCTGTAGATGAAGAGCAAAAGAATGAGGATGAATATGAAGAGACTGTAGATGAAGGGGAATAGCATGAGGATGAAGATGATGAGGATAAACTTAAAGATGAAGTTGATAAAGAATCAAAGATGAAGAGCATGAAGTTGAAGAGGAAGAGGAAGAGACTAAAAGAGCTTGAAGATGAATAGCCTAAAGGTAAAGATGAACTTTTATAGGTTCATCTAAAACCATACTTTTATACAAACTTTTCGATTCAAAATTACCCCAAGAATCACCCATTAAAACACCCTGTATATGTGGGTTTAGTTCGAAAACTTACTCAAACAAACGGGACAACACATCCCAGTAATATTCACTGGATGTTTGCAGGGCAATTTGGGACATTCTGGAAGTATCGGACGACACTTTACTTCACCACGCTGTAAAAAAAATACACTGTTGAGAAATAAATGTTGCTTCCAATGGAAGCCATTTTGGAAGTAGAAAGTTAAAAGTGTTGCATACATTTCAAACACCAACGTTAAATGGGTTGCATATTACAATTCTACTACCAATATGGCGTCTGTGAAAGATGATTTTTTCGACTTGTACACATTCCAGTATTATTATATTTGATTTCTACGGAGATTTGGTATAAATAATACTCACCACACACGAACATACATCACAGCCGGTTTGCCATTTGGCGCCATCTTCGTGTACGGTGTCATTAAAATGGCACGCTATTCGACAATCGCATTCTTCTAATTTACTCACACGAGATTCAGCTTCCACTAGCTACAAATAAAATCGATAAATCAGCGAATAATTCTCGTTAATCGAATCGTTATTGTCGTGATTATAATGAATATTACCACGGTTCAAATAAAATTCGCCCGGTTACCGGGGATTACCCGCGAACTACTGTTGGTGCAAAACGAATATCGATGCACGTCAGTACTGTCATTTTACTTGTCAAGCATTGTGGCCAACTTTTAATTAATACCTGGTGCAGAATTTAATTTAATATTAAGAAGGGGTGATAGGAAATGTTAAAAAGGGGAATTTTAATCATCCGAAAAAATATTTATTGGCAAAATTCAACGTTTGTGTAGAAAATTGTTATTATTTACTTATAGTAGACTAGTTAATTTATAACTTTTTGGGGTTTTTATTTGGAATATTTAATGTTGGTTACACTTAGTTGTCATTTGAGAAGAAAAAGACCACAGAACACAGAATTTAGATTCTGTATTGTCAGTATTCTGTGAAAAAGACATTTTTAAGGTTTATTGTTTATTTTTTGTTTATTGTATATTATCAATCATCAGATATTATTTACTTGTGATAGATTATGAAGATACTTTTGATGATGATTTGGAAATGTTGGAGATCCTGAACTCCTGATTATAAGTAAATCATAGATGGCGTGCATCGATATTCGTTTTGCACCGACTGTACCTGACTTTATAAAATTTACAAAACGCATACTAAAAAAAAAAAAAATCATTTCTAGTATGGCGATAGAACAAAAAAAAACCAAAACATGTCAACGGGCAAATAAGTGAGTACAGTACGCATTATTATGTGAGAATTACATGTTAGTCCATATACCCTTTTGGAAAGTTCCTTAAGATGTCGCGACAGCTCTTTGACGGTCTCTTCCAGGTTCTGGAATTGTCCGCAAGTCGGACAAACGGAATCGGCGTGTGGACACAACGCCAAATAACCGTGAGGACCTCGGATCACCTTCAATTCCTCCAGGATACCCTGAAATAATAAAAAAAAACCAAACGAAATTCGCTAAAAATAATTTACATTTTTTTTATTAAGGGTATTTAATTGTAGTTATATTCAGGGTGTCCCAAAATTACATAGAGCTTCTGTGTGTTGGTGGGATATCAAAATACTGATGCCTATTGATGATTTTTTTAATGTAATAACGCTCAAAAATCATTTAAAACTCTTTAGAACTATTTAGAAACATTTACAGCGCTTTAGAATCATTTAGAATTGTCTAGAATCATTTAGAAGGTTCCGGAATCATTAAGAATACTCCAGAAACATCTGGAACGCTTTAGAATCATTTAGAATTGTCTAAAATCATTTAGAACGCTCTAGAATCATTCAAAACTGTCTAGAATCAATTAGAATTCTAGATATAGAATCATTTAAAACTCTCTAGAACTATTTAGAAGGTTCCAGAATCATTTAGAACTGATTAGAATCATTTAGAATGCTTTAGAAACATTTAGAATTGTCTAGAATCATTTAGAACGCTCCAGAATCGTTTAGAACTATTTAGAATGATTAAGAACGCTCCAGAATCATTTAGAACTATCTAGAATTATTTCTAGAATCTTTTTTAAATTCATAAACAAATTAATCAATCCATTCAGTGCAATTGAACCGAATTCTGGGAGATCCTGACCCTTTATAGAGTACAAAATTCGTGTAAATATGGTGAATACACCCTATAAATATACCCTCGAATCGCCCTGTATAAATTCTTTTAAGGATTATTGCAGGTCGTGGACATTTTCGTTTAGGGATCGTTTTATAGGCGAGGAATTTTATCGTGGAAATTAACGAAGGAATAAATAGGAATTTTCTAGATTATTATCATCGGGTCGAATGTTTGTATTTTCGTGCGGTATATACAATGGCCATTTTATTCAGGAATTCATTATTTTACTGCTCGAAATTCGCCTTATCTCTATACGAAAAATTCAATTCGCTACAGTAATAAACCCAATTTTTTTTAACCGCAACTACGAAGGTCTAAAAAGGTCTACTAAAGTCTCCATTTTCCAACTGCAGTCCACCTTAAAAAACCTCCAGTTTTCAAATACTTTTCATCTTAAAAAAGCTTCATTTTTCAACTAAAACCCACCTTAAAAAACCTCCAGTTTTCAAATACTTTTCATCTTAAAAAAGCTTAATTTTTCAACTAAAACCCACCTTAAAAAACCTCCAGTTTTCAAATACTTTTCATCTTAAAAAAGCTTAATTTTTCAACTAAAACCCACCTTAAAAAACCTCTATTTTTCAAATACATTTCACCTTAAAAAAGCTTCATTTTTCAACTAAAACCCACCTTAAAAAAACATTCATTTTTCAAATAAAACCCACCTTAAAAAAGCTCCATTTTTCAAATACATTTCACCTTAAAAAAACCTTCATTTTTCAAATAAAACCCACCTTAAAAAAGCTCCATTTTTCAAATACATTTCACCTTAAAAAAGCTTCATTTTTCAACTAAAACCCACCTTAAAAAACCTCTATTTTTCAAATACATTTCACCTTAAAAAAGCTTCATTTTTCAACTAAAACCCACCTTAAAAAAACCTCTATTTTTCAAATACATTTCACCTTAAAAAAGCTTCATTTTTCAACTAAAACCCACCTTAAAAAACCTCTATTTTTCAAATACATTTCACCTTAAAAAAGCTTCATTTTTCAACTAAAACCCACCTTAAAAAACCTCTATTTTTCAAATACATTTCACCTTAAAAAAGCTTCATTTTTCAACTAAAACCCACCTTAAAAAAACCTTCATTTTTCAAATAAAACCCACCTTAAAAAAGCTCCATTTTTCAAATACATTTCACCTTAAAAAAACCTCCATTTTTCAACTTAAACTCACCTTAAAAAACCTCCATTTTTCAAATAAAACCCACCTTAAGAAACCTCCAATTTTCTACTACATTTCACCTTAAAAACCTCCATCATTCAACCACAACCCACCTTAAAAAAAACCTCTATTTTTCAACTACAACCCACTTGAAAAACCTCCATTTTTCTACTACAAATTACTTTAAAACCCCTCCATTTTCCAACCACAACCCACCTTAAAAAACCTCCCTCTTTTAATCACAACCCACCTCAAAAAACCCCTCAATCATTCAACCACAAACCCACCTTAAAAAAGCTCCGGCTGACGCCCTGCCCGATCCACAAATGAGGCTGCTTGGGGAAATTATTGTCCGGCACGGCGATCTTCAACATCCGCTTGAACAGCGACCTGCAATCGACGAAGACCTCCACCTGCAGGCCGCTGATCGTCACCGCCAATTTGTGCCAATTATCATCGGCCAAATAGTAAGGAAAGGTCTCCGAATAGGCGGTGGCTCCGCTCGTGTAGTACAACCTCAATTCGTTCAGTCTACCGCTCGATTGGATCTCCAATGATCTTCCAAAAACCAGGTTAAATTAGTACAGTTGGTAGATTAGGGTGGTCCAGAACTGGTGCAGGACTGGACCAGAACAAACGCCCCACCAGGAAATGCCTTATGGAAGCGATAATGGAGATGCCAAAACTGCAGAGGAAGATATGAAAAAGTTGTTTCTTTGATCAATAAAGAGGTTTAAAATTGACCAATAATGGTAGCAGTTTACAATTCCTACACCAATTGGACAATATTAAAAGATTTTATGTCATTTTTTCATGTTCAAGGTTAACAAAACCTACCAAAATCAGCTGTAACTTATAATTAAAGATTTGCTTCCAAATGGATCATTCAGGATTGATACCAAACCTACAGAATTTTTGATTGCTTCAAAAGTATTTCGATTTTTGATCAATTTGGAATCATATTTTGGTCAACAGTCACAGCTGGTTTTGGCAGCTTTTGTTAACCTTGAAAGTAAAAAGAAGAATCTTTCAATAATGTCAAATTGTCGACTGCAGTTTTGGCATCACCATCGTTGTTTTAATGAGGCATTTCCCGCGGTGGGGCGAGTTTTCTGGGCCACCCTGTATATGTAGGTATAATTTGACCGGGCTATATTATTGAATGGATTTCATAATTTACCTGTTAGCGCCGTGCGAGAAAGAGACGATCGTCCCGGGATTTCTAGGGAACTGCTTCAACATGGCGACGATAGTGAATTCTGTAGATGATAATAAAAAATCTGACACTTGCCTGAATGCGGAATGGGGCAACCTTAAATCTCGATCATCCCCTGTAAAAAATGAATTCATTAAAAACTATATAGCATTAGTTTTAGACCTCAAATTCTCGCTCCTTTACTATCCACTTAACTGGAGGGTTGTACTAGAAAAGGAGCAAGAATTTAAAGTGAGCGATTATACAACTTTCTCACTCTAACCACCGTTATTTGCAATAATCCTTCTTCGTTCAACTCATAGAATTGATCATAGTGCATATGCAGGATGTCATAAAACAGCAGGAAATTGTGCATTTTCCTCAAGTTCACGCGTTAATGACCTTTCGCGAAAGTTCAAAATCGATTTTTTTATATATCAAGTAGACTGTGTGTCTGGCCTTTGATCGAATTCGATTCTAGCCAAGTTGGGCGCGATCCAACGATGCCTGTAATACCGGATTAGAGGGTAGAAAAAGGCCGCGAAATAGGCGCAATTTTCGCGTGTCCCTCTTTAATAAGACCCTAAAATCGATAATGATATCCGTAATTCTCGAAAGGGGGGTTTAGAGTCACCTCACTGTGACTAATAAACTCGAACAATTCAGTTAGAAATCTTCTTTTTTTTTTTGGGAAAATTTGAATTCTAAAGGTTGGTACTAAGATAAGATTAACTAAAGATTAAAAAGTGTTGGTTAAACGTCAAAATATTTAACTGGAGTTTAAAGTTATTCATGAAATAACTATTTTGATGAAGTATTTATAACTATTCTTTGGTGCTTGGGGATTCCCCTAAGAGGGCATTAAAAAAACTATAGTGTGTTTTTTAACCCGTTATATGTAAAAATGAATAGTTTATGAAAGCGGTCACGCTATTTTCGAATAGAAGGGGGAATTTCTTATTAAACTTGGCCGCGACCGGTTCGAAAATAGATCGGAAAATTATCGCTAGATGAATTATCGATAAATGTTTATTCGAATAGTTCCGAGAAACGGCGATCTGTGTGTGTGTTTATTCGATCGGTTTGTTATTGACCGGTTAAGTGCGTTAAATTAAATTCACCTCTGCTAGCGCGAAAAAAAAAAAAACACGAAAATCGATGGAATTTTCCGATCAGAAAGGTGTTTTATAATTGATTATAATGACCTTATTCGATGAATAAATTTAACTGTCCGATAAAACGATTTTCTTCCACCAACAGCAAGTGTTCTAAAAGGTCTTAAACTGCTGTTAAACAGCAAACTAAAGATTAAAAGTGTTGGTGAAACGTCGAAATAGTTTAAAATTTTGTCGTTGGTGATACCAGGCGTGATGAAGATTCACCAAAATCTAGCATAAAATTAAAATTATGGCGGAAGCACCACCGCAAATCGATACTTTTTAACACTAAACGCCGAATAAATTCGACGATCTATACCGGTTAATGCTCCGGCGATCGACTGGAATTAGCCCATTTCCCACGATGCGCTCCAAATTCACCGGATAAAGTCCATCGCACCCGGTTTTATATACAAATCCAGTCGGAAAGTGATAAATTAAAAGCCGAACTTTCTGAACAATCATCCGGTTAAAGCTCTCAAAGGTGCCAATCGTGCTTAAAGCACCGTAAATGCCCCCGAATCGATATCGAAATGTTAAAGCACCAGTGGTGTACTTTCAAATTTTCTTTCGAATTAATCGAAATGATTCGTTGATTGTGTTATAAAGCGAAATAACGATGTTTATGGAGGTCATCTTCGAAGAGTCCTGGATCATAAATATAACCAATAAAATGGTTAGATTCTGGTGATGTATGTGGTAAATGAAGAGTTAATGAAGGTCATCTTCAAAAGATATTAGGTTATTGGTCAGAAGGTTTCTAGTTAATTGTGCTGGGTTCATATGAAATGGTTACATTCTGGAGAAATAGGAGAAAATCTCTTCGAAAGGTAACAGGTCTTGGATCACAAGGGATCCAGTTAGTATAAAAATGGCTAAATTCTGGAGATATATGGATAATGAAGAGTTGATAGATGTCAACTTCAAAGGGCTCTAAGTTCGAGATCACAGAGGATCTATTTATTTTGTACCCAGATAAATGTAGAGTTGATAGTCATCATCAAAGAGCACCAGGTTCTAGACCACAAAGAATCCAGTTAATTGTACCCAGCTTGTATAAAATGGAGATATAAGTTGATGGACATCATCTTGAAAGTACACCAGCTACTAGATAACTGACACATTCTTCTTTTACCTTCCAGAAATGTTTATTAACACTACTATTGATACCTAAATCGCTCCAAAAGAACGCAAATTTCACCAGCAACTAACCAATAGATAAAACTACCCACAGATAAAACATTTATGCAGCAAATTATGGATTGGAATAAAGTATAATAATTGTATAAGTTACCTTCAAGCACATAGGCCAGTCTGTTGCGCGAGAAGGCGAAGGTGTTGGTGAGATTGAGGGGCGCCGGGCTGTTGATCCTCTCCACTCCTTTCCAGTTCTTGTTGTATTCGCCCAAAGCGACCAGCAGATCGATGGATTGGTTCGGAATGTAGAACGGTTTGGTCGGGTCGAATCCAGTTGCTGAAAATTCGAAGAGGAAAAGGCCGTTAGCGAAAAGCTTGATGAAGAATTCGGAATGGTGGATGGTGATGAACAAGTGGAAAGAAAACGCTAAATTGATGGTTTTTTTTGGAAGTTTTCTTGAATTTAGTTTGTAATATGCTCTGTTTGAAGCGATAGATACAATCAGATGCATTTTCTAATCATCTAAACATTTTTGGTACAGTTTTTAGCTCCTTCTGCGAATTTTCTTTAGTCTACTGACATGAGCTGATTAAATCATCTACTACAACCAAACTGCTTGAGATAACTCTCCAATTTTTTGCACGCTTATTACAAACAGTATTACCAACATACAGCCGCTCGAAATAGTTAAAATAACCAAGCGCAGGTGGATTTAAATCAGAAATTCCGGATACATTTTCGTCACAGTGTATATAATGCATCGCGACGACATAATTTTCTGCTACAACGGCAGTTTTATTCGCTAATAAACACCGGTCGAAATGACAAGTTTAGTCTGTGTATTACGAGAATTTGAAAACATTCATCTACAGTGTTTACGTTTGTAATTTGATCGAGTGCCAAAAAACCCATACTATCCAGATATATATTATTTTCCACCTGTACAACACCCACCGTTTCCCGATACTTTTTTTTTCTCTCTGCACCATTTCCGCGTATAATCTATACAAAATATTAAACCGGAGAATATATATATATACAGGGTGGAAACGCCAAATGGAGTAAATCCACACGTCAAATTTTAATTATAATTTGATAAAATGAATCCTCTGGAGACTACTCTCTGGAAGACAGTGATTAACAATTCGTAACTTTTACAGGGACAATCTGTATAACACAAACGCATCGTAAATGCATTCTTTAATCGACGAACTCGACAAAATTGTAGTCTTGTTTGAAGTCGATAAAATTAACGGTTTTAGATTTTAATTCTACGAAAATTATACTACAGGACGATTCGGCGAATCCGTCCTGTATACAATCGGATTGATTGATGTATCGCAATAGAAAAGCGTCGGCGTCGCGATGCGGCAATAACTCGCCCATTGTCCTCTAAAACATAATGGCCCCCGAAGGGCTAATTCATTATTAGGAATCCATTCAAGCCCACCCCTGGCACTTTGTTTGCCAGGAGATAACCGTCCAGGAATTCCACGGCTCCTGCATACACATATATACAGGGTGGTCCAGTAAATACAAGTCGATAACTCGCGTAATCAACCACAAAAATTTCATTTTGTTCCCGTGTATAACTTGGAAAAATAAGTTTTAAATGTTCGACTTTGAAGGCTTCTAGATCAAAAATGGGAGCTCAAATCTATATGAAATTGTGGGACATCTATTTTCTGGACACCCTGTATACCGATGGTAATTGCCGTAATTAATTAATTGCTCTACTAAAGACAGGTGTCGCTGGTGAAAAACGATTAAAACAGGGTCGAGACCGGGTGAATTTTTCATTATAAGGAAACTATCGGGGGCGCGGGGGGTGCTGGAGGGGCCCCTTTATTGGGGGGCGGTTTTCGAGATGTGCGGTGGAAATCGATAGCGCGACTAACATTCCTTTTATATTCGATACGAAAAGTTCTTTGCTCCAGTTTCGTAGACCGGTGCATTTTCTCGCTTGTATAAACGCCCTTAAATCGAAACACCCCGTATAAAATGGGGTGGAAATCGATATACAGCCGTATTTAGTGGCTACTAACACACTACTAACGTCCATTTAGTGGTTACTAAGATATTAATTGTTGTTAGTAGCCACTAAATTTCTTAGAAGGGTTGTTTAAGTTTTCTCGAAGCCCACTCGCGATGCTAACTGGGGGGTGGTTTGTGAACTTTAAACCCCCGTTTAGGGGAAGATGCCCCTGTGTATAGTATAATGGTTTTTTTTTACGAGTAAATATCACAGTGGTTTGTGGAGTGATTGATTGGTAATTGCTCGGTGATATCGATCGGGAATTTAATTGGTTGTTTCTATATTATGTTTACTATCAATTAGGTAGTGCAAATGCATCGTATGCAGGTTAATGCGTTTAAGGTTGGGCGTAGGAAAGTCTCATTATGGTCTAACATGCGATCTGGAGTTGAAATTCGAACGTTTTCTAAACGATTCTGGACGATTCTAGATGGATAGAAATGGACCTGGAGCATTCTAAATGATTCTGGAGCATTCTAAATGATTTTGAAGCAATCTAAATGATTCTGGAGCATTCTAAATGATTCTGAAGCATTCTAAATGATTCTGGAGCATTCTAAATGCTCCTGGAGTTTTCTAAATGATTCTGGAGTTTTCTAAATGATTCTAGACAATGTTAAATGACACCCAGAGATCTTTGCAACTGTCCTGTTTTTGTTTTTCAAGTCTACGAGTAGTTTTTGTGTCTTTCGCTTGTTTTAGACAGTTTCTACCCCCCTTTTCTATGTATTTTTCGTGAATTTTTGGAGTAAATAGTAGTTTTATACAGTGCTTTCATAAAGTCTCCTTCGAGTTAGGCAACCCAATTTACACGTGTGGTGTGAATTAGAAATATAATGTACAAATATCCCTAAACTCAATATTAAAGTTCAATAGTTAGGAGAATTTGATTTGTGTTTTTTGTACGAACTCTAATCGAAGGAGGTATGTATAAGGACCTATGTATAATGCAAACAATTAGAGCCGGTATTGACCAGTTTTCTCTATTTTTTTCATCGGTAATTTGGGTTTCCTGCGGTCACGAAAGCCGGTTTTATAGATTATCGATCGAAAGCGGGGCCTTAGTTAAATATATTTACATGTATAATAGACGACGAGGTGATTGTACCGCATTAACTGGCAATTCTAAATGATTCTGGAGTGTTCTAAAACGATTTAAGGCAGTTCTAAATGATTCTGGAGCGATCTAAATAGTTGTAGAGCGTTCTAAGTGGTTCTAGACAGTTCTTAATAATTCTGGAGTGGTTATAATGGTTTTAGAAAGTTTTAAACGATTCTGGAGGGTTCTAAATGATTCTAAACAGTTCTAAATGATTCTAGACAATTCTAAATGTTTCTAAAGTGTTCTAAATGTTTCTGAGGCATTCTAAATGTTTCTAATCAGTTCTAAATGATTGTGAAACCTTCTAAATGGTTCTAGAAAGTTTTACGCATGTGTAATATACAGTTACGAATAATAGTCAATTAAACTTTAATAATTTCAATGTAATATTACGGTGTAAAATTGACATAAATCTAAAAATTTGCACGAGATGGCCTCAAACTCTGCCACTATCCAGCCAATAATAAACCGAAAACTTCTCCTAGCTTTCTTCTACTTCTCTTGTATTTGCCAATTAATTTAGATAGAATAGGTAAAATGTAAATGTTCATGTACACCGCGTGTGACCGGCGATTCGGCCACCTGGCGGGTCCGCCGCCGGTCATAAATTTAAATCCTTTTAAACCAGCGCCAAAAACCTGTCAAACGAAACAAACGCGCGCGGGAAAAGAAGACGAAAGAGACAGACAGAGTTAAGCGCAAAAAAAGAAAGACGAAAAATAAATAATCCGGCGATTAATAAGGGGTCTGGAAGATCGTTTTTCTTTGGAATTTTCCGAGCCACGTCGGGAGGTGATTAAGCTTTCGATGGCTCAACGGGGGCTCCGAAGCAGATGCAGTTATTAGTTGAAAGCACTGTAATGTACGACTAGAGCGGGCTCTAAATAGACCATTGTGTTTAAACAAACCGCCTAATTTATATCGCGAGGTGTTAGAAAAAACGTACAAATTTTTATTTAAATCACTACTTGTCACCTGTCATTCGCTGGATACTCTACATTATCCGAATAGCTCTGGTAGTTGAGGCCAGATATTTCGAACAAAAAGAAGAAGAAAAACTACCCGGATGTTCGTCTAGACTTACATAATTTGAACTAAACGTTGATTAGTTCGGAACATGTTGAAAAAATTACCAAGAAAACTATTTTTCAATCGGTAATAAGTAACCCGACATGTCATGACTTGTCTAGCCTGCCTTAATGAAGGCGTTTTTATTAGAATAACGAGCTGTTATACACGCGATCAAGTTACCTCTGAATTTTCGCGTAATATATGGCAAACGTCAATTGTCAAAATTGTCAATATTTGTATAATGCGAAAATTTATTTAATGGGATCTCTTTTGTCGGCGCGTTTGTTAAACAAAGCTCGTTATATGTTTCTGTGTTTATGTATGTATTATATTAGATAAATGTGCTTTTATCTGTCGTCGTTTAATCAGACGAAATGAAAACATTGTTCGTTTAATATAATTCGCGTGCTTCTTTTATTCTACACGTGGTTAGTGTGCATTAACGGAAGCGGTGTATGATGGATTCGAAATTTACCTGTCAAAAAATTTGTATAAATCTATCGCGGAGTCCGGGATTAACGACCTAAAACTGGAATTCGGTAAGTGTTTTTTATTCAAGTAAATCGATTCCTGTGTCATTTATGTCATTAATGTCATTTACATGAGTTTTTTTGTACATTCACGCATTATCTTTCTAATGTCATAAATGTCATTTATATGAATTTCGTGAATTTCCACAGTCCTCGCGATCCCAATTACGAATCTTTTCGTAGAATCCTTTCTAATGTTATTTGTTATAATTATTTTCTAATGCTATTTGTCATTATTATCATTTATATGAATTTTGTGGAATCCTTCCAATGACACATACGTCATTAATGTCATTTACAGAATTTCGTGAATAGACCTATTCAGTTTAACCTGTGCTGCGCGCGCATACTGTGGATAATTAGCTGGACATCTAAACGAACAAACGAACGCACCTCAGGTAAAATACGGTTCTGACAACTAGACAACGACAACTTAAGACATACTTCAGACGTCATTTGTCATTATCCAATAATCTGTCGGATATGTAATGGACTCGATAACTCGATATAAATTTGTTTTTACTGCCCAGAAAGGTGATTAGGCTTAATAATTACATACAGGTCAAGTCTAAGAAAGAGGAAGAGGGTTAGTACAACG